CTTCTCCAGCAGCGGACTCTTATTGGATACTGTCGTCCCAAGGACACACCCAGCCATATGCACCAACCAGCATCTTGACTACGTCTATGGTTCCTGCATTAGTCCGCAGCCAACCACCACGACCAAGTCACCAAACAGAAAGACTCTCCTTCCCTTACTCGCGACATAAGCATGTAATCGCAAGGTGGTGGCTTGACAAGGATCAAGCCGGTTGACTTGGGGTCCAGATTCATTGAGACCCAATCTCGGGGGATTGATTATTTTTAAAAAAGCCAAGAGATCTGGTAGAGAGGCGGACTTGCGGCGGCCGCCATGAGTTTGCATGCCGTAAGGCTTCCCTCCCGTTCCTGGAGGATTACTGGACTGACGTGATTCCAGAAACCAATCAAGGCACCGACCTATAGAGTACATGGCTCACAATCCTCGGGATTTCCCAAATCACTCTGCCAGGAACAACATTCTTTTATGCCCTTTCTCCAAGATCCAACAGAGGCAAGACAAGGAATGGAACCCCAAGGAATAAGAAGAAGAGTCTAGACTTCTGTGCCCTTTCATCATGGCCGAAGATCTTTACTGTTTTCTTTTTCTTTTCTTTTCCTACCTGACCTAAACATCACGTCGAACCGCTGCTGATTCACCTTGATTGATACACCACTAGATTCAGGGTCTCTCAAGATCTTGGGATACAGCCTGTTGATTGTGATAGGGCCATTCCGTCATGGTGGTAAAAATTGGCTGCCAAGTCATATGCGTGAGAAGAGAGATGCCTTCACACAAGACCTTTTTGTTGCGTCTGGGCACCTTACCCCAAACACTCATCCGCAGCCATGAAGGATCTTGTCATACATCAAGGTACAGACGACACCGTCTACATAAGCAAGTATATAATATCTTTGTCGGTCCCCACATGTCTATCGTGAAAGCTGAGTTGTCTGTACTGCCAACTTACTCTTCGATTCTTCCACTTGTATACTTATTATCTGCTTTTCTTGTGCTGACCCCTTCCACTTATACACTTCTCTTATGTTAATCCCTTCTACTCTTAGCCCAAGACTCTTCATTTATACTTGATTATACAAAAGGAGACAACAAACGTTTTCTCAAAATGACTCGTCTGACAAGAATAACCGCGGTCCTTTTCTCGCTGGCCACGAGCGTCTTGTCAGCCACTCTCCCCGTCGTGACCGGAACCGCCAGCACCACAAACCTGCCCGGCGTAGCCCTGATCCAACAAGCCAAGCGGGCGGCCGTGACTGATCGGCCATCACCACCCCTGGCGGCGCGGTCCATGAAGGCGCCGCCCGAGTTCCTGACCCTCCACCTCGTCAACTCGCACACGGCCGCCGTGTCGACGGCGCACGTGCACGACGTCGACAGCCCCCCCGCCGCCTCGGGCAACGTGGGCGCCGGGACCCTGGCCCGGGGCGCGTCGGCCAGTTTCGCCGTGCCCACGGGCTACGTGGGCAACATGGCCCTGAGCGAGGCCGAGTACCCCATCACCGCCGACGACACCCTGATTGAGATCAACTTTTCCATAGCCAAGGACTACGGCAACATTGCCGTTGCGGATGTCGACGTGAGCTACGTCAATGGCTACTCGGTGCCCATTACTTGTTCTTGTGGAGGATCGGTGGTGACTGGTTGCAATAAAGATTTACTCAAGCTGAATACTTGCGCAGTACGTATACCTAGATACATTGTCACCTCCAATTATGTATAGAGCATCATGCTGACACTGTTGATATAGGACCTCTCTCCAGAAAATGCCTGCGTCAACCCGCTCCGTGCCCTAATACCCGCGACCGCGGCTTCTCCCTTCTTCGCGCCTTGCCAGGGTGCCGCGTGGACCTTTGTAAACGACGGCGACGCTGATGCTTGGGGGTCCTGTCAGAGTGGCCAAATATCATGCTGTATTGGCACGGCGTGCCCTGCGAATCCGGATCAGCGAAAAAGATCATGCCGCAAGAATTGAGGAGGGCGGGCACCTTTTTCATCTTCTGGCCGATGCTGGATCACCGGCCTCAATCTAGCCAAAGGCTTCTCAAAATCTTTTTTTCTTTTTTTGGGCTTGACATTATCGACCCTCCAAGACGTTCAACTGTCTACTTCCATGTATATATTTTGTCAAGAAGCGTTGATTTGATTTCAAATGAGAACCAGACAACTTGAGAAGATTCTTATCTATTGGCTCATTATATTTGTCAGATGTGTGAGATAAGATGAGAGAGATACTTTCTAATAAAGTCCTGTTTTGAACTCAGGTAGCAACGATTGTTAATGCCTGCCCACTTCCTTGCACTTTTGATCTGGCTTACAGGCTGGAAGACAGACAATCTTGCCATGTATGGGTCTCGTGTCTTGTTTATGTGTATCGTATACTCTAGGCTATGGAATTGTTGAGTTCCATTCTGTCTTTCTGCAGTTCTCATGCGCCAGTGCAGAATACAAAGATCTCTATCTATAAAGTATCTTTTCAACCAAGTGGAGATGTCAGAACACCCTCATTTGTGGCGTCTCTTGTGAGTCCAACAGCGATCATGCCTCTTCCTTGTTCTTGAAGCCATAGGTTGCCTTTATCCTATGCCCAACCGACTCGCCTGACCAGTACGCCCCCGTCGCCGTGCCCAGCGCAACGTACGGAGCCGTGTGCTCTCCGGCGAACCACAAACCCCGCTCTGGAAGGCCCTGCCGCATAGTCGCAATGTCCTTGTCGCCCTGCTCCAGACCAACCTGGAAGTTACAGTAGCTGCCGCAGCCCGCGAGCTCGTCGTGCACCCAGTTGGTGGCAAAGAAGCAGAGGGGTTGGCAGTCGGGGGACGATGCGTCGTAATGAGGAAGGCGGGAATAATAGGGCCTAAAGAAGTCGTCGAGGAACGTGTTTTGCTTTTCTTTTGATCCCAGTTTTGCGACTTGCTCGGTAATGTACCGGGATTGGTCGCCATAAGTGTAGAACAGCAAGGTCGGATGGCCGGTGCCTTCCGGCAGGGAACCTAGCTCGACGACCTCCTGGTTCCATTTCTCTGGGTTGGTGTCGCTGGGATACTTTGGGGATAGCCACTGGCAGAATCCCGTCACGACCCGGCCGCGCGAGTCCGGCTTGAGCCAGTACGCTTGGGGAAAGCTGATGTAGACTTTCTCGAGGCAACCGTAGCCTATGCTGTTGATGGACTGGGTCATCTCCTTGGGTAGAGCTGGACTGAACGCCTGAGGATGCTTTTTGAGCCAGCCAAGAGGGGCTGTGAACACGACTTCGTCGAATTGCAAGGTCTCGCCTCCGGTAGTTGTCAAGGTCAATTTGCTGCCCTTGTCATCAGTGGTTTTTACCTTGGAGACCACTGTCGAGTACATGATTTTTGCATTGTCCAAAGCCGGCTGGGCAATGATTTGCAGAATCTTCTGGTAAGTACCCGCGCAGAACAGGTTCTCTGTCAAGTATCAGTATGAACTCCTGATTTGCAACACCACTTTCGAAGGGAATTTTCTATTGCATAACCTCCAAATTGGGACGAAAAGTCACGTACCTCCCTCAATGCATTCCTCGAGCCAGAAGAATTTCAAACTTTGAGTGTAGACGGGGCTGCCAACGAATGCTCCCCACATCTCAGCCATTTGCAGGATAAAATTGCGTTTTCTCTCAAAGTCGGGCTTCGTATCCGGTATCCGCTTCTTTACCTGCTCGCAAAAGAAGTCCCAGAGACTCGCTTCAACGCTGATGTTGGGCGAGTTCTTGCTGCTATAGGCAAAGGCGTCTTGGACGATATCCCACATCATGGTTGAGTAAATATCACTATCGCTCTGTGCGAGGAGTCCGCCATCCTCGTCGTAAATGTACGTGTTCTCGTCCCACCGACTAAGCGGGATCTGAGCCGAGGCGGCAATGTCCAGGATTGGGTTGTCCTCGGTGCCGTGGATCCAGTTGGGGCCGCAGTCGACGACGTGATCGCTGCCCGGCAGCTTAATCTGGTGAACGCGGCCACCGATGCGGTCGCGGCCTTCAATCAGGGTCACTTCGAACTCGTCCCGCTCCAGCAGAATACCGGCGCATCTCAGACCGGCCAAACCCGCGCCGACAATGGCAATCCGAGGTTTGTGCTCGCGTGCTTTGGTTCGGCGCTGCCATACATTAGATTTCTGTCTGAGCTCGAGGTTGATTGCGGAGACGAATTTACCTTGCCAAGCCTCGACACTAAGTCGTTGGCCTCTGTCAGCTGCCCCGGATCCCCCATAATGGCGCTGAAGAACCGGGAGGCCTTGAGGTCTTGCGATATGCGCGATGTGTTTTTGCCGAAGCCACTGCCAAAAGACATGGAGTAAGTATCCATGTTGAATATCGAATGATAAATGTGGTCATGAAGTTAAAGGATATCGTTGATGAAAATATTCCGTGTTGAGAGGAGGCTCTTCTGGCTCAAGGGTCTTTTATGTTCTGGACACCCAGAGCAGCAATGTGAAGCCAAAGTACAAGTTGAAGTCTGAATCAGAACGTAAACGTAGTGAGGTGCCAGGCTGGCGATGACTAATATCGAAGAGTATGCATCGCCATTACTGGAAAGGGTGACGTGGAGTATATGTAGATCACACCTTCTACACACTCGCTGGCCTGAATCGAAAGAGACGGTGGGCCAGTTCTCGCATGCGACTTGAGCCAGACCAATAGATCACGAATTTCAAAAGGTCGAAATTACTTTTCGACAACTGCCAATATCCAATGTAGATTCTCTTATCAGTGCTGCTCAACATCCAAGATGTAAGCAGCATCCCCTAATAAGCCGCCTAGAGCTCATCTCGCCTAACGCGGGCCCTCGAGTGCCAAGTGCCTGGAGTAAGGAAACCACCCTCCAAAACCGCCCATGAGATGCATTGGGGAGTTGTCATTGGGCCAAATTGTCTCTGTCAGAGGAAGCGCATCCGGCTTTAGTCGGCTGATGTTGAATGCTACCAAGCATGGAAACCGAGCAGGGCGTTGAAAGCAGAGCGGGGAAAGATAAAATCACAGAGCGGCAGGATTCGAAATATATAGACCATGTATGAACAGACAACTTACCGTATCAGTGACCTTGATGAAACGAATAGTAGCGAGGTCGTTTGAACTGCTGAGATCATCACTTTGCGGTGGCGTCTTAAAGATTTATGCCACGTGGGTTGTAGAAAACCGGCCGCGTGCAAAATGCGAAAACGGCAGTGGACGGAACGGTGTGGTGTATCCACTAGCAGGCCGAAGTTGAGCAAGCACAAGACGACGCTACTGACAAGTACAGTGTTTGCGCCCAACTAGAAGTTATACAAACCAGACCCGTACAAACTTGCACTACATGGATACTCAATCACTATTACAAGTCACACACACATACATACATGGCCATATACAGGAACGGCCACGACAGCTTCAGGTGGGTATTCAAGACAAGTTGCATTCGTTACCCAGTTGCAAGTATCTAAAAAAAAAAATTGTCATCTATATACACTACTAAGGACAATCATCCCTGATTCTCATTTCACTGAAAAGAAAGCTCAAATCCAGAACGCCTCATTCATAACCTCATCATGAATCATGCTGTGGCATTTCCGCATTCCCGTCTATTCCCTGTTCCAGAAGTCTTCGAATCATGTCATCAAATTGCTTTCATCACCTTGCTGGGCTGGGGACGCCCTCCACATGGCCCTGAATTAAACTCTCCAGCTCCCAAGGGCTGAGCGTGCTTCTTCTCCTGGAGATGGCCTTGCTCGGTCTCCTGTCACGCTTGCGTTTTTCCGATCTTGGCGATCGGCTTTGAATATTCGTGTCCGGCTTTGCGAGTTCATCTTCCTCAGGCTCCACTAGTCGTACTGCTGCAGGATGAGGAACATCTCTCTTTACCGGGTCTGTGCTTGTCTCGTCCAATACAGGTAGCTCTTGAACAGTGCTTGTGCTCTCTGGCTTGCGATTTGTTCGCGCAGCCTTCAGCTTCGCCCGTACTCGAGCTGCATCTGCCTGGCGCTCCGACGCCTCGAGCTTGGCAGATATCGATGCCATAGTGATGGGGCTTGGCTGAACAGGTGGGTTGTCAACCCGTGGAAGCCGGGCTGAGCTTGATGGCCGATCATGAGAAACACTCGTTACAGAGTCTGCCCCTGAGTTTGCTCCTGTTGACTTTGAAGCTGGCTTCCCAGTGACGGAAGCTTGTTTCTTGGTTGCGTCGGGTGCCGATGCCGTCCGCTTCGCAGCCTTTCTAGGTCTGGTGGACGATGTTGGCTTGGGAGGTTCGACGTGTGACACTGTCGTCTCAGTGATTTGTTTCTTGCTAGACGCTCGTGTCGGCTGCTGCGACCGAGGAATGTCCCGCGCTGAAAGTGACTTTTGCTCTGCACCGAATTCTGGTGCCTTGGGCGCCGGGCCCGAGAATAGCTTACGGGAAGGATTCGACCGGATCGGGGATTCATATGACTCTCCAAATAAGGTGCTTTCATGCATTTCTGTAGTTGAAGGCTTGAGCAGCTCTTGCGAGTCTGCAACTGATCTCAAGCTTCTGCTGGATTTCTGAGGCCGGGGGCCGTGAGGTGGGGGCGCTGGTGGTTGGCTTGTAGTGGTTGCCATCGCAAATGATGTTTCCTCGGCGACAGTGGTTGCATCGCCTGGCCGGCTTCGACGCGAGCCCCTTTTGCTGTTCTGAGAGCCCCTGTTGGCTGATGAGTAGGAGTCTTTGAGAGGGCTCAAGTGAGGTGGTATGGGCAACGGAGGCGAGCTTGTGGTGGTACTGTTTGTTGACTCTTGTAGAACCTCGACGTTAGGTTCTTCGACCTCGAGCTCATCCATATCAACATCGTCCTGGAATATACTAGATTCCGAGTCGTCGTCTGGCTCTTGTTCATGACTTGGCGCAGGCACAAGATGCAACGACTCTGCGGGGCTTCGGTACTCGACCGAGTTGAAATGGGAACCATCTTCTTCGTCTTCTTCTTGTACGCAAGACAACTCCTGATAATGCTTGTCCGTATCTGGGCCAGAGTTTCTGCTTTCTGTGATGCGCACCGGGCTGAGCCTCATGCCCATTTGCAACTCTTCCATGTCGACAGGCTTGCCGCTGGAGACCATGCGCCTACGCCAGCCATCCATCAGGTTAACGGCATCCTTCCAGCGGGCCTCCATGCGCTCCCAACCTTCGCGAAGCCGGGCAATCTCTGTTTCACGAATCTCCACCTCTTCGATAGGAACAAATGAAGGGTTGGTGAGTATAGTCCTAAGATGCTCGAGGATCCCTTCAAGCTCAGATGCCAACTCCTCAGCATTTCGATGTCCCTGAGGCGCATTATAGCAACCGCGATCATCGATATTCATGTGGTCATTGTCGGCTTGCTGAAGGCCACTCATGTCGCGCAGACTTTCGACAGTTCGGTGCACCAGGTTCAGGAGGGTGGAATTCTCCTCGCTGAGACTCTTTGCCAACTCGGTCAAGAATTCATTCGTCTCCATGCGCAAGCTGTAGTGCTCATCGTCGGTGCTGCTGCGGCCCATGCCCCCTCCATCAATCTCGGCTCCGACCTCACCAACGACCGTGATGCTAACGACATCACGGCTCTTGCTACCTCCTCTCACCCTTCCGGCGTCAATAACTGCCTTTTTGAGGCTCTCGATTTGCCTGTCTCGCTTGCGGACCTCGTTGGCGCAGGCGGCACGACCTTGAGCTACCAGTGACTTTGTCTTTGCAATCTCGTCCTTGAGCTTGTGGACAGTCGACTCTGTAGATCTGACCTGGAGTCGTAGTGTGCGCTCCACCGCGTCGGCGCCGTCGAGCCTGCGCTGGGTCTCTGTGAGTTTCTCGGACAATCTTGTCGTTTCTGTTGTGTGGCGTTGGTTATCGGCACGTAGTGATAGCAGTGTATTGCTAAGTGATTCTCGGTGGACTGCGTCGCGCTGGACAAGGCCAAAGATGGAGTCAGCATCGGTTCATCATTGTTTCTGTCTCATGTATAATAGGGTATATAGGCAAACTCACGTCACGTCGCAAAATCAAGTCGTTTACCACACCCATAATCTTCCCCATGGTCCCCTGCAGACCCTCGCCGCCCTCGGGGTCGGCAAAGTCAATGCTCTGGCCATCGCGTAGAAGGCCGCGGGATAATAGCTGGTTGTTGATGTACAGCGAGGCTGTTCGGAGGTTATCCGAGTCAATCATGGCCAAGATAAGCGCACGCGCGTAGCTGTTGGCATCCAAGGCAGAGATGGTTTAAGAGACCGTCTCTCGTCGGTCGCAAAAGGAATGGCGGTCAAGTCTAGAAGAATAAAAAGCAAGCATCGGGAGATTCCTTCTATTCCATATACGGGGCGGCGACATGCGGCTGGGAGACGCAAGCCGGAAAGAAAACCGTTGGTTCCTGGCCACGCAAAATGCAAGAAGGCATGTAAAATGTATCCAGAAATATTGGATCCCTGAGTCAAGAGAAAAAAGGCAGTATCCCGGGAGCAAGGGAACAACCTTACGTAGAAGGTCGAGAAATTGGAGCGATTTGGACAGACAGGGCTGCAGGCAATCAAAACCGAGTCCGGGTTTTGCTTGTCGCGTCGGAGGCGTTCGCAATGTGAGAAAAAGGTCCCCTGGAAAGCAAAAGTGGCAGCATCAGTGGGATGTTTTGGTGTGGTTGCCATGGGGGGTCTCAGTAAACAAACCTTGTATGGTGACAGGGTTATATTGGCCAAGCTTGCACTGGCTTGGCAAGCTTTACCCTTTAGGGGCCCTGGGTACCTGTTAGGCGTGGGGAATTTGCGTCGTTGGCAAGTCACCCAACCACCTCTCCATAGTGCTTGTGGACTCTTCCATTTTTTCTTCGCTCGCTTGGCTTCATGGGAAGTTGGGAAGTGCCTCGTTCATTTGAAAAGAGTCACCATCTCACGTGGCAACAGAACTACGGGTTGGCTTTGAGCTGTCCGCCTCAAATTGGTTGGGCATTGACGACCCTCAAGAACCTCTCTCCACCAACCAGGTCAATCCATCCCAACTTTTCCGATACTTGTTAAGTTGCCGTGGCATCAATCGATTTAATTGTTCCTCCCGGCCGCTAACTAAGTGCAGTCGGGTGGGTTGATCTTATTAGCAGCGTACCAATGCGCCGATGAGCCAAACACAGACTGTCCCAACTCTCAGGGACTTCCGGGGGGGAGGCTCACGGACGTCACCCGCGGACGCAGCCGCTTCTGCATTGTGCGACTCACTTTGAGCACTTGGACCCTGGCGAAGGGGCAAGGGAAACGCAAATTTAGATCAGCATGAGAAAAGAAACATTGCGAGACTCGAAGAGAAAGTGCGTGCGCGTCCAGCCAGATGCATGATTCAGTTCTCTGCTTCAAATCCCCAGATCCTGACGTAGGACAGCCCACTTTTTCTGTCCTCCCAGCCCAGATGCTTACAAGTTACTCCTACGCCATTGTAAGTCGATTTACCAAGGTAGGTAGATTCTGGTGATGCTGGGAGATAACTCAGGTGAGCCATACACCATCACCATCACAGCCACCGTACCTCATCACGATTACCTTTGATACACATCCCGTCCATCGGATGTCGTCTTTCATATTCTCATGTACGACTCATGATTCACCTCCTGCCATCCAAGTACGTAGACAATGGCTATCTGCCGTGCCGAGCAGAATACCCAGCCTTGCCAAGAATCAAGAAAGTCCTCCACTCAGCCTTCCTCCCATTGTTCCGATGAGGATCCAATGATCGCCAGGTCCGAGTAGCCATACACTTTCATGGGGGCACGGGAAGGGAAAGTTCAGTAGACTCAATCGTCTGCATGAGATAAGACCCCGAGTAGCTTTTGGAATCCCCTCCCTCAACCTTCGCCGACAGCCGCGAAACTCGGACTTCGGATATCCTCCTCTAAATCATGATAATTTGAAAGACTCGAGTCGTCCACATCTGAGTTCTTGAAACTGCACGTGGTCCATGATCTCGATCACGTACATACCCGCCATTTCTCACGTACAGCTCTGCGGTAGACGTGAGATCGAAATATAGCGCTATGGCAATGTTCAGCGGCCAGACTCAGCTACACGCGCTAGCAAGCAACACGATGCTCCCAGCCCAGCGGTGACGCTTGGACGATCAGTCTGTCTGGATATGTCATGTCTCTCAGACTTGTCCGCATCTTCCGAAACGAGCACAGGTATCTGTATACGAAGGCTTGGACAGAATATCCCCGCCAAGGTGCTGATTGCCTCCAAGTTCGACAACAATACTCTGGCAGGAAGATCATCATTACACTCCACCCTGATCTGACCAACAAACCACTCTGAGCCCAATAATGATACCTATCATAAATCACATTACTTCCTCGTGACACATTAGTTCAGTTGACGATCGATGGATTTGATCTCATTCTTATGGACTTGGAATCATACTGTACTGACACAGTAATAGCTATACTACACAGGAGCGCGATCCGACTTCCCATGATGTCGTCCAATCACAAGTCCAAACGGGTGCGATATGAAATCCCAGATAGCCCTCAGTATTGGCTTGGGCTCGCTAGGTTTCAACATACCTTGTTGTGTTTGCAGATACATTTTGCTCAAGGTGTCCACAGCCTCTTGTGTCAAGTCCCCAACATATGCAACCTCCAAATGTTGATGGTGTATCGTGTATGGGCGCTCGCAGTTGATGTATATGTCGTCATGGATTCTTCGGCCTCCTGATACTTCTATTTCAATCGTGTGTGTTGGACATGGCTGCTGCTTCAACGCCTTTACGCCTTTGCTCCGCAGTCGGAGCCGGCTGCGTAAGAAATCTGTATCTCGAAATGTAATGTCTCGATACCGGCAAAGAGGCAGACAAACCAGGTCCCTAGCTCGGCCCACCACTACCATACAACGGTTGGCAATAGTCTTGTCTTCATGCTGGCCGGAAATCTCGAAAACCTTTCCGTATCCATACCATCGACCGGTTGCCCTCCGCTGGAACTCGTAATCCGGCAGGGAATCCAGGGTGACTTGTGTCTCCTCCGGGTAATGTTCTGGACCGAATGAAGTTACACTACGACTGCGGCCTCGAGAATGTCTCCTCAGGTCGACGGGTAAGTGTAAGCTCGTCCTGTTATCGGCAAATCCCGTGTCGATAAGCGATTCTGGCGGCGAGGCATACGTATCGGCGGGTGACATTGTATTAGAAATACCGAGTCCGAAAGACGCTGTCCCAAAAGTTTCTTCCGACGTTCGAGTGCGTTGGCCATGTGGTACTGCTTCATTTGGAGGTTTTACTGCATATTCTTTTAGTGGTTGAAAACGGCCTTGAAGACGCCGGAATTGCAATATCGACAATATGGAAATATGCCTACCGATATTTCTGTTCACCGTTCTTACGTCTCCATCACCACCTGCGACATTTCTGTTATAGAAATGGCCACCACCTACGGCCTGATGGCTGTCACCAAAATACAAGTTGAAATGTGAGTTACCAGGGGCGGCACGTTGCCCGTTCATATTGATGATTCGGTACAGTCAGAAAAATGCCCAATGTTGTAGAGATTGCAATATGCTGGATATGATACCCACGCTGCTCATGTTTGGTAGGGTAATAACAGGCCAGAGTCCTGGAGTCACGGGGGCAACTCTGCCTTGATATGCACTATTTCTTACATCTTGCTTCCTGGGCTCTGAAGTCAGCCTCATCGCATATATCCCTGCCTCAGGGGTTTTCACCGAGTATGGTATTTGCTGACAGGCCTTCATTAGGGAGGTTCGGCTGCAGGTGGGCTGTGTTTGCCCCTCACTTGAGGACCTCGCATAAAAACAATTCTTTTCCCTTTCCCCTTTCCTAATTTCTTTTTTTTCCCTCTCTCTCTATCTCTCTCGAATGCGAATGGAATCAGTGTTTGCGAACATTGACTCTGACTCATACACAACTCTATATAATTGTCAATCGTTCAGATCCTCCCAGGTGCGGTCCGGCTCTGAGCTATACTTTGCGATCACCATAATTACTGACTCACACCCAAGTGAAGGATATCCTGATTCCCTTTACCCTGTGTCGCAGCTGGTTTCTCGCTTCTGCTTTATGGGCCTCACCGAACCTTTGGCATGATCTCATTGGACATCCCACGAACTTGGTGGACGACCCAACGACCTATGAGGTGGCACTGCATACGCTAATCATCAAAGATGCAATGGAAAACTTGGTCTCTCCTACGAAACTTTAGCGCCCAAGGCTGCTGCTGCCGCCTTGATGGCAATTCTTGAACAAGGCCGCGCCCTAGAAATGTCATCAAGATCGTAAATGCAAAAGAAGCACAGGATCATTACAACAACGCCATAAGCACGAATATGGCGGAGGCGGCTGGCTTGGCCGTAGGAACCATTGCTTTGGCAAGCTTGTTCCAGACCTGCCTCGACTTCCTCGAGTATATCGAAGACGCGCGCAATACCAAGGGCGACCAAGATCGCGGAGAGACAAAACTCGGACTGCTCAAGATCAGGCTGAGGCAATGGGGGGATGACCTTCAAGTTTCGCACCCTGGTCACGAAGATGGAGGGTTGCGAAAGCATTGGCCAGAAGAAGGAGGGACAATAAGCAAGAGTCTTATTGGGATTGCCGCGATTTTGGATGAGGCAGCCAACTTGAACCGCAAATATGAGTCATATAATATGAAGGAATCCCCATCGTCATCACCGGACCTCGAACTTGATAAAGGATCTGGCGAAACACAGGTACTGCGCCGCAAATACTGCAAGTATTTGATCATCTTCAAACAACGAGCATCTTGGGCCTTGAAAGACAAGAAGAAACTCCACAGCCTTTTGACAGAGCTTGATTTCTTCATCACCAACTTGGAAAAAGTTACCGTCAAACTATTGCAGACGGGTGAGTATATCTCCATGCGACATCTCCCCGCTCAACTAACGCTTGATGCATAGGTAGTTTTGAATATTACCAAAGTCCGACATATGAAAGCGATTCCGACATGAGTCGCCAAAACAGCCATCACACTTCTTATCCACCCTCCATGACCCGTGATTACGGCTCCGACATGAGCAGTCGCAGTAGCAAGTCCAGTGCGCACCACAACACCCCGTCGCAATGGCCTTCTTCAGACCAGCAGCGTGGTAACTTTCAGGCTCTTGTCCAACATGGCCAGGCATCGGGGCAGTCACGTATGACTAGTTCTCAAGCTCTGGTGCGTCTACCCGGATCTACTTCTTCAGGCCACCGGAACAGTCAAGGTGCGCCCAGCCACAACCGCACCTACCAAAGTGGCACGGACAAGGACGGCAACACCTACAATCATTGCGTCGCCGATATCGAGGCCAAACAGTTTAATGGGAATGTAGATTCGGATTCGCGCTCGGGGAGACACACATACAATGAGAACGAGGCAAAAGGAAAGGCCAAGCAAGTGAATGGAAATTCAAGCTATCAGTTCGCAATGGATTTTTTCAAATGACGGTCAAGGAGAAATGGTTGGACCCTAGCAAATGGCACAATGATGCAGGTTTTTCATACGATAGATAGCCTTTCAATGCAACAAAGTATACCGCCTTGTCGGACTCACAACGTAAAGCAAGTCAATCGTTCATGATGTAGATTTGCTGTTGGTTGCGCCGTCCTACAATTCCAGGTAGGTTTCGCACACGACGTGGATACACACTGGCACAAATGATTTCCAGACACAACATTCGTCGTGACGTAGCATTACAAAGCAATGCAATTCCCTGGGAAGTTTCCATGTGCAATGATGCGAGCTTCTTGGGGTGGACTTTTGGTGGTAGAGAGGATATACCATCTTACGAATCATCGTAGATCACTGTGCAAAAGATTTGAAATTTGATGAATTTACATAGCTTCCATCGCCCCCCAAATATGAAATGAGAAAAAAAAAAAAAAAAAAAAAAAGGACTCTGATCTCGAGTCCAACTGAAGTAGTGTTTGGTCTGGGCATTAACCCCTGAAAGGTACATGGTAACGGTACAGATATAACCAGAATCCTGAAAGTCTAAAAATATTTATGGTGCGCAAAGAAGCTTCAGATGGGATGCTCTGTTTGGACTCGGTCTTGACACGTAGCACGCTCTTCATCTTTGAGAACCCTTGAACATTGCGAATGACCTATCGCGGAGGCAGCGAGGATTGTGGTCCCTCACCAGGCAATGAATCATATCCAGAATCTGATACCAGCTTTGTGGCGCATGTACACTGCTGCAAAGCATCATTCCCCCCCAGACTGTCAAAAGCTGGGTTACCTTCATGCCAGCCTGGGTTACTCGACAGAAAGTCTGAGGCCGGCGATTCTATGCTTTGATCATCGAATGGGCCCCAAGGGAAAGGGTCAAAAACATTTCCGAGACCGATGGAATCTATGCCGAATATCGATGACTCCACCTGTTGCGACTGCTCATGAGCAGCTCTGATCGCACAATCTGAAGATTCGCTGACAGCATGCATGACAGGTGTTTCTGGTCCGTTTTGCAGCCCGTTCTGTGGATCGTCTGGTGTATGTGTTAAACGTGGCAGGTCATTGAGTGCTTGATTAACAGTCTCCTCGCAAATCGTTTGCAGGTCGCCATGGCTCAAATTGATCCCCTCAAGACGTTCCGCCAGAACCTCTGCGACGAGTTTTGGTAATACTTGGCGTAGGTACGCTTCACGTTTCTCTGAGCTTTCACCAAGCGGAAAGTCAAGGTAATCTTCAGGAACGTAGTCTGTTTATAAAATGTGTCAGCATTAACCAAATTTAAAGTGTCAAGAGTGCGCAATCGCCACGTACAAGGCAAGGGTATATCATCCTTGGCCACGCTGGGGAAAATGATCATGTATGCCTTTCGCCATTTATCACACTCTGCCATCTTGCTGAAAGTTTTTCGAGAAGACCTAAGTTTCCTCTCTTGAGACTCGTCCAAGCCGTCTATTCGCACCTCTGGAGAAACATCACATGGAGGATCACTTCGTTGATGACTGGTCAACGCGGCTTCGTCTTGGAATACCTCCCAGCAACGACTACAGTGCTTCGGTTTCATATGTCTCTTGAACAAATGGTCCCTGCATGAGAGGTTTTGATTAGCAGTGACTTGATAAGTATATCCTTGGTCCTTACTTGAGTCTATGCATATCAGGCCAGCCGGGTCCACAGCAATAGCGCTTGTGGCCATACCTCGATCTGTCATATTTGAAGAAAGGGCAGGCGAAAAGGGGTCGGTCTTCGTTCTTCTTTCCCTTAGAGGTGTTATCTGTTGTTTTCTCTTCATCACTTTCCTCGCCGGGATCGCGATCGAGCCTCCTTTTCTTCTCTGGCCGTTGGGATCGTCGTGGATCAGAGCCTGCCTGACTGTTTTCGTTTCTAGATGTGGACAATGTTGAAGTACAGGATGATATGAGACTAGAGGAGGGCGTATGTTCTCGGAAGCGTCCGTCACGGACTTGATACTGAGGATAAATAGACTCAGTAAGTCTTCGTATCTCATGTTGTAGTCTCCCTAAACGTTCAGAGGGCAATCCCAATGACAGGAAACTGCTCAAAGACGTTCTATCGTCTAAGCCACGAATTTTTGCTGAATTTTCAACTTGATCGGCCTTTGAGTGCTCTTCAGTCTTGCCATCGTGAGATATAGCGAGTTTATTGAGCCTGTCTGCAAGACTTTGCTGGCCTGGTCTGTTCAGAGAGTCATCAATGTTTAGCATGAATGTGCTAGACTCCCAAGGTTCTGCATTTGTGTCCGATGGTACAGATGAGGGCGACATGTTGAGCGGTCTCTGTGGAGCATCACCCAACTCTGCAGCAGTCGGATGTATGTCCTGTGTGGTGTCCGCGTAGGTGGAGTTTCTCCCCGATTTGTGGCCAAAGGTGAAGCTGCTTCCTGATTCCCAATTCCTCGGGGCAAATACTTCGGGCAGACGTGATGGCGCAGTTGTAATGTTGTGGGTAAAGACATCAGCAGGTGCTTCACATGATTTGCTAATTTGAGACTCGGATGCATGGATGAGCTTTGTAGAATCGGACTCTGATTTCCCGCCATCGAAGCGTCCAGCGTGAGAGTCCAAGGATGTGGGACCTTTGAGCGAGTCTGTTGGCAAGAGATTACCATCTCCTACGGTTGCGACGCCGCGGTCGGGCAGGGAAGCTGAGAACTCTTCGCTTGTGAACTGGGGCTTCGAGCTGGCAGAAGAGGCATCGCTATCATCGGCTGGAGTTGATAAATTTACTCGGAGCTGAAGACCTGGGGATCCCTCACTTGATGAGTCTGATTTCTCACAAGTGGAAGTTTGGAAAGTTTTGACATCACTGCTGTTATGCTCTTCCCAAGAAACTGGCATGATTGAGGTCTGGGGTTGGATCGATGCGGTGGCATGCTTGGAATCCAGAAATTCGGACTTCTCGTCTTCCTGTATCTTTAGGATGCTCTCGTGTTCACCATCCGGACTTTTTGTGACTGGCAAGTCGTGATTGCTCGGCTCTTGTGGATCACCTCTGCTCGTTGGAGCGTCTGACCATGAACCTCGAGGCATGCTGCCCATGCTGTCCTGTTCCTGTCGAGCCATCATGAGCCGCTTCTTGTTTTGCTGTTCCAGGAGCATCATTTGCATCTGATTATCTTGCAGAGCGTGATTGCTGCCGCCGCCCTGGCCGTTATTAGGTGCGCCAGGTCTTATACCGCCTGCTGGGAACTCGTTGGCGTCGTAAAGGCTGCTCATATCATCAGTAGGTGTCGGAGATTTGATTGAAGATCCCATTCGCCCAGGGCTCTCCTTATCAGTTCCGGTGTCATAGGGGACCTTTTTCATCTCTGCTTGCGTCGTTGTCAGATAATTATAATAGTTGGATCTAGATGCCCTATAGTCAGGATGTGGTTCAGCTTGAGAATAGCCTCTCGCGGTCTCCTGATGCACAGAAACACCATCGCGGGATACGACTGTCTTCTTGTAGTCTTCTGGGTATTGTTAGCGTCGTTATTTGGTAACTGCGTTGATTGTGCCTTACTCCTAGTTGGGGAGCGGTACTCTTGGTAGTAAACATCTTTTGAAGGTGCGGCACTCGAGTTAGTGCTGGATCCCGAACCGCCGTAGCCAGAATCACAGTATTGGTAATCCATGTCGTATCCAACGGAGCGCTCTGAAATTAGCGGACAGCCCAGGATCAAGATCTCGTGCCAAGGATCGATAGCACAGGTTGATAGAAGAACCAGAACGAGAATTGAAGCTCAATCGAGGACGAAGACCTGAGATGTACAAGAAAGCTTGAAAGAAAGGCCTTGCACATATGAATAGCGAGTGTGGAAGTCATTTTGCATCTGTTGCAAAATTTCAACCCTATCCCGAAAAGTGGGAGGGGCAGTCGCAGACCAAGTTCAGCGCAGCTGCGCCCAAACATATTGCGGTACATTACCCAACACACCACCGCAGTGAGATTTTGCACCAGCCACGCGTAACAAAACGATAGGCTGTAAGCGACCGAACGCTGTATGCTACACCGGGCTGAAATACATAGATTAGAACGAAGTCAATCTCTGACTTCTGCGTTGCTGCGCAGAACTCATTAACGGTCATAACACCAATCCATTTTCTCTGCGCAGCAACGCCGTAAAAGATCATGATAGCTGGTTCAATGCCAGAGGTAGTATATAGATTGGCTATTGCCGCGTAATCGAAGTGACGTTAGTATCACTATGATTGATGCGACCCAAAGGTATTCACCTGCCATAATCGAGCCTCTCAGCCAGGTGATCAAGTGTAAAGTTCGAACGAAGAACTTCGACATAACCCCGATATAATAAGGACATTTTTTGTTCGCACATGGGCAGCATGTGTACGAAGTCGTCCACCACCACCAAAATGTCAATTTCGTCCACGACGACGGATTGGAAAAGGTATGAGAACCTACCAAACCCCTGCAAAGAGGGTTGTCGTAATACTGACGCCTGTCACCGTGCCATAACAGTGTTGCACCAAAGCGATTGCTTTCACCAATGATGGAGACCTACATGGCGCTGAAGTCAGACAATTTCATAGACAGGCTTGCCTCGGGTGATGTAGGCTCCTCGGCGAATATCATAGAGCAGCAACGTGTCAAAGAGTCCTTACAAGCTTTTGACGCTGCGTGGACGAGGCCTGATACTCGGACTAATAAAAGAGAATAAGACTTCGCTCCTGGGTCGCTTATTGCCATCCATGTCACTACCCAATGACATCAGCTTTGGTACCTTTATATCATGATCAGACTTTTTAGGTCACTATCTATATTTCAAGTCATGAATAATATCATATTTTCGGATATAGATCGGTGCTTTGAGCACAAGAAGCTCATCAAATTCTATTGCGTCATTTTTGTGAACATCCAAGTGAACACCCGATGTACTAGAAAGTCTTCACAGGGAGCGTGGATAGACGTTGCGTATAATGACGGCCCACCCACCATACGCTGGGCCACTACGGAGCGAACCTGTCATCTATAGGTAGTATACCTATTCTAGCGGTATTCTAGACTAATAAACGAATCAGAACAATGTATCATGGAATGACTTTAGCGGCTATATCTGAATCATGCCTCTATAATGCAGGTGGCACACACATGCAGCAGAATATGCACGCCGTTCTTCATCGCCACTGAATACAACCTCCATCTTATTGTGAGTATATGCCTGAAAAATCAATGAGTGATTGTGCTGGCGAGGCCTACATGCCAGTCAGCGACGGTGACCGGAGAATAAGTCATCATATCGTTTCCGGAAACAATAATATATAAATGGAATTGAACATGAAAGTAATTGCCCGTATTGACATTTGACACGTCATAAAATCTTCCAAGCCTCGAGGTCCCAATGACTTCTCGAGTATCAATGTTTGGAGCTTATGGTCTTCAATTGAGCCATATATGGAGTCCGATGTAGCTTGTCAACACCCATCATTTGCCAGAAGCAGAACCCCGTCGCCGTGTGGTTCAGTTTCGGACCACTTGTACTCGAGCTTGTGGCTTTTCACGGCACTGCTTCCCCAACGGGCGAGTCCATGAATATCGGGGCTGGGGTTTGATAAAAGGACTCTGGCAGGTTGTCGAACCCGAAAGGATCAAGGTCGCGTGTAGGTCCTGGCGCTAAGAGCCCCCCGAAGGTCTCTTCCTGTTGTGTCGATGGTTGATGCGAATTTCCAGCTGCAACGCCCCGATTTGCGCAGTGTCGATGATATTCGGGACTTTGTGATTCGGCAAATTCATTTTGGTTCTGGAGCAAGTCTTCGAGACCTTTTCCAATAGCGTCCTTGACACATTCAACAATTTGGCCCGTGTGTACGTTCAAACCCAGCGCTTTCAGACTTTTCTCCAGATGGCCGACAACGCGTCCGGGTAGTTGTTGGGCAAAATGATCCATCACACTTTGGGTGTCATCTGGGCTGCTGTCTATTTTCCGAGCCTGGTCAGTATCAACCGTATGACAGCTGAGAATGAGCTATTTACCACATACAAGGTGAGGGTATCTCAGCCTCGGCGACGTCAGGGAACAGGATATGATATATTTTTTGCCATTTCTCTGGCTTGGTCAGTTTGCTTAGACCTTTCCGAGACCTGAGGAGTTTCTCTTGTTCCTCGTCGAAAACGTCCCAGGTCGGTTCGTTCGACTCCTTGCATGGCGGTTCTTCTTCCTGATGGGCGGACAAATCGGGAGACTTTCCAAATTTGGTCTGACAGCGGCGGCAACGCATGGCCCGTCTGTGGTGCCTGTACAGATGTTCTCTGATAAGAAAAGCTCCATTAGCAGTGCTTGATGAATATTGTTTCGTTTCTTACTTGAGTCGATCGATATCGGCCCAGCCGCGTCCATTGCAGCAGGTCTCTAGGCTGTGCCGTGTCTTGTCGTGCTTGAGATATGGACATGCAAAAACAAGCTTTGTCTCATCCTGCTTGTCTTTTGGTGTTCGACTCGGCGCTTGTTCTTCGTCATCGCTACCTTCTTCGTCAGACTGTTGGTTGAGCTTCCTCTTCTTGGGTGCTGCAGATTGCCTTGTACTGGAACCTGATTGGTTGGCTTCGCCGTTGGTCCTAGAAGAGTTGACATTACTGTGCGTCGGATTGCCGGAAGCAGCTGTATGCCCTCGAGTGACCTGGTTGTAAGACTGTGTTCTGGTCTGAAAAAGAGGTGTCGCATTGATGATCAATTGCTGAGTAGGGAGTTGCCTTCTCTGCGCAATTCCAATGTATATTCCTGTGGAATGTGTGTCAAAGAGAGCCTCTTTCAGATAGATCGATGACCCTGGCGACTGTGAGGTGCCTGAGCCATGGACTGCTGCAGCCCTGGTGTCTAGAGATGTCTCGTTCGTGATGTTGTCCGAGATCGTGAGCGTGTCGAGTCTTAAGCTAAGCTCTCCTTGTAAGTCTTTCTCGTTTGATGCAGTGCCACTGGTTTTCCTAGCAGTCCTAAGTTTCCCGGGTTTCTCATCTCTGCCAGCCGACTGTCTCCCGATTGATTGTAAAGGTGATGGATGATTACTGACTTTTGCACCTCCATCTGGACTATCAATGGATGAAGAGGCCGAAGCTTCCTTGATAGATCCCAAGCGCTCCTCAGAATCATGTTTGCGATTCCCGCGGGAATCTTGGTATCGATGATATGTTGTTTCTTGTGATCCTGGTGTATCATGCAAGCTTTGGCTCAGCGATTCCAGACAGTCGTGCCAGCAGCCTTCTTGTCGCTCGCCATCAAATGTGTTCTGGTCTTCATAAATGGGGTATAATGTTGGACTGGGAAGAGTTCTTGGTATTTGCGCCTGTAGCGGGTGATATCGGCCGAGTCCGTTTGGTAAAGGGTCCCTGTCTGGGCTGACACTTTTCCTCGACAAAGATTTCGAAAACATGCCAATGGGATCCATGTTGACTTGTTCCTTGTTGCTAGATATGGAGTTTTTGTGTGTCTGTGTGTCTGTGAGTCGTTTCACTCTGTCGTTTATAGCGACGATACCTATACCCAGGACAATGAGCGATTCAACTAGTTTGACATCATGAGGCCATGGTCTCTCAACTCAGGCATAGTTAGCATAGACCTGAGAACGAAGAAAATTATTGCTCACAGTAGAGATGAGAATGATGTTTGTTTAAATGATGCCGAGTGTGACAGTATTCTGAGACCAACAACGAGGTGCTTTATAATACCGGAGCCGCTGGTCCCAAATTATGGGTAAGTCATTCCGTATCTTATATTATCGTGTGACAGGCAATATTATTCTCTTAAGTATTACCATTTATTGCAAAAGGATATAACGGTAGGCGACATAGGAAATACGGCTCGTCGATATCGGGGGATTCGGGTATGTTTTCGGCGGATTTTAGGAGTATACATTAACAATTATAAGATAGCAAGGAGCATCAGCAGAGACGGGGCGATAATGGAATCAAGTGCTTGCAATAGGAACTGACGATCGAAGTTCTTCAGTTAACAAGGCAATGCTGGCAATTATGATGTATCATTTCTGCTCAAGTTTGGCGGCCAGCTCAGTAGGTAATGTAGCAGACAGCTCTCCACTAATGTATGTTTCCATCACTTTGACCGAGTCAAGTTTAAAGAGAAACAAGAAATGAGAGAAGATTCCAAGCTACAGGGAAATAGCAAAAGGGACAATGCCAAGCGAGCCGCAAGACCAACCCTGGTTCCAAGTACCAATACAAGCGCAGGCATGTCCTCGCTCAAATCGCTTTCGTGGCTCGGAGAGCACTTCCATTGGACCCCTGTACCGTCCAGAATCACACGTGGACTCTGGGGCTGCGGGTTCTAGAAGGACGCTTCTATACGGTGAGGTAGTTCTCAGCCCCGTGCAGCATGGACTGCGCAACACACTTTGCACCCCGATTTATGTGGGTTGGCGGGTGGACCTTTCTTCTTCTTCTTCTTCCTCTTCGTCGTCGTCTCTGCATAACGTCCTCGGTACATGACTATTGACCAGGGGGTCTGTGTAGGTGTCCGTGTGTTATCTGGGGCCCTTTTCAGATAGCGACGATCCTGAATCATAGTTCCCCAGTTAAATGGATCCTCTCAATCATCTCCAGTCCAGTGCCCCTCCAAGAATCCCATTATCACCGCGGGGTACTCAACGCGCCACCAGGTTTTGCGCGAGCTGCGGGCAACAAATTGCTAGGTTACAAGCGACGTGTTGTTGTTGTCGTTGAGGATGACGCCCGACTGAATCTCATGGCCGAGATCAAGGTCAGGATTCGAGGTTTTACATTGCTGCGTAAAACTCACTGACGGTCATTGCGCTGACCCATATGTTGCGCACCGTAGGTATTCATGATAGCTGGCTCAGGGCCAGGAGAATACGATATATATAGACTGTGGTCGTTGCCGCTGAATCAAGGTGAACTCAATGTCACGACAGTCTCGTCCCATCCTCTGGAGATTTTGCTTGCTATAATCAATCCTTTTAACAACGCCTTCACCCGTACCAACTCAACAGATTATTAGTGGAATAAAGCTGTTGTGATAAGCGCACCCCTTGCGGTGCCCGGGCAGCATGTGTACCGAGTCCAACACCACTAAACCTCCGCCGCCGCCGGCAAAGTCAGCGCTTAAAGAAATGTACGAGAACCTATCGACCCCCTGCTGGTTGTACCAAAAGTGCTGACCACTGCCGCTACGCCATAGTGGTGCAACAAAACGATTGCAGTCACCAATTATGGACTCCTACGTGGCACCCGTTTTAGATAACTTCATAGACAGACTGGCCTCGGGCGAACTTGGCTGCAAGGATATCGCCCAGCAGCAGCGTGTCAAGGAGTCGTTACGAGCTTTCGGCACTGCCTGGGAGGCATCTAACACCCAGGACAAAAGATCATGATCGGAAAAACGGCCAGCTTGTGAAGATGAGGCTCTGCTCTGGCGTGTCACTCGTTTATATACATGTGATTCCGACTCGTGACGTACTGTACAGGGTATCTGACTAGATACCTATGTACTTTACCCCTCTTCCCCTGGACGTTTTGGGCAGGGCTTGAGTATGGAGCCGCGCTGATGACCGTGGTATGCTGGAATACGATTTGTACGATTGGTCGAGATCCGTTTATAGATTGTACAATATGATGCTTTGGTCTATTTCCACTTGGGTCATTTGTTACACTTCAAACTCATGACAGAAACTGCCTTTTCAGGTGCAAATGGGCCGTGCAAGTACGCAAAGCTCGTGTCTTACTGCCCGTTAGCATGCAAGTGCATATCTGTACCTGACATAGAGCGTGTCACCCATTGCGCTGCCTATTTTGGCGGTCACCTCAGAGCCAATTGGCCGGCCAATACAACACAACAGTACATTAAGGTAGTAGTGTATCATTCGTGGGGGTCGAACGGGTGCCTGCATACCTGTGTTCACATTAGTCAACACGTCAAATTTCCCGTCTCTGGATAGATGTTGTATCCCACGTCAACATACTCACAAAGGTCACGAATCAGCTAAAGATTCTATGATTCAATTGCACTCACCGCCAATTCAGAGCTTGCTCTAGTGGGATTATACTTTGGTAGTGCGACAGCCGCCTAATCTTACCTATGTATCTATATTTAGAGACCTTGACTTATAACTTGCGCGGTAGATCCAAGTCATTGTCACGAGTATTATGAGCCATGTAGAACCAAACATTCCGTCAATTGCTACGGCCGGCAAATGATCCGCCGGAACGCCGAATGTTTTCATCGCCGTCCCAAAGTCACAAGTCATGGAGGCATAAGCTTACTTTGAACTATATCATATCCCTTTCATGGTCGCTTCTAGTTCTCCGGATGAGTCACGATGGCCGGCCGCAATGTTTAGCTTCAGATGACATACAGAAGAGGTCTACAAAAATGCAGCTATAGTCTACCGGTGGGAAGTTGGTCAATTGGCTTTTATACTCATTATTATTTTCTAGGATCGTTTACATCCAAGCTGCTGCAATTCACATACCGTCCGCTTTACCACGATTCAATTCGGAGATTTTCACTTTATTGTCAGAACATGTCGCAGAGTCATGGCAGCCAGCCTCACGTCGACGCCCTAAGAGGCACCCGGGTCCTCGTCATCGGAGGCACAGCAGGCATCGGCAAAGGCGTCGCATCGGCAGCGCTCGCCGGGGGAGCCAAGGTGTTTCTCTCGTCATCGGACCCGTCCAAAATCACCGCCGCGGTCGCCGATTTCCAGTCAATCTACCCCGGCGCTAGCGTGTCCGGCACGGCGGCCGACCTGTCCCGAACCGACACCGTCGAGGCCAATCTGGAAAAGGTCCTCCAGGCCGCCGTCGCAGAGCTGGGCGGCCCCCTCAATCACGTCGCCTACACGGCAGGGGACGCCTTTGACTTTGCACCCCTGTCCGAGGCCACGGCCGCCAACGCCTACTCGTCCTGGACGGTGCGCTACCTGGGCCCGCTGCTGCTGGGCAAGCTGGTGACGGTGCACCCGGGCGTCTACCTCGAGGCGGCCGCCCGCTCCTCCATCACCCTGACCTCTGGCATCCACGGAAGCAAGCCGTTCCCGGGCCTGTCCAAGAGCATTGCCTGGTGCGGCGCCGTCGAGACCTTGACGAGGGCCCTCGCCGTCGACCTGGCCCCGGTCCGGGTCAATAATGTCTCGCCCGGGGCCATTCGCACCCCCATGCTGGAGAAGCTCGGCCAAGAGGCCATGGCTGGCTTTGCTGAGAAGCAGCTCGTCAAGGATGTAGGCAAGGTCCAGGAGATAGCAGAGGCATATCTGCTCGGCATGCGTTGTGCCTTTGCGACGGGCCAACAGTTTGTCATTGACGGCGGCTACACTTATAAATGATCGCCAGTAAGTCTCAATGCAAACATGTGTATAAATGCGACGAGATGGTAAAATGTAAAATATTTTGGGAAGCTATTTAGAGTACAAACATCGAGGATTATAAATACAAACGAAGTTAGCCACCTTTTCGTCTCTGGCGTGTTGATACCTAGAACTTTCAGGTTGGCAACGGTCTTATGCACTTATGCCTGTGTCATCAGGTCAACACCTCGCTGCCCCGAGGAAACAATACGCCATGTCCGGCCGACGACATCTGGTCGTGGCACCAGTTCGATATTGATGTCTGCGTCCGGTTGTTCCATGGCTTCCGCTTGAGATGACTTGGCCGTCGTCGGGAGGACCCAGGGCTTCCCGTCTGCCGACCGGACATGAAAGCGCAGGAGGAGCATGGTCGTCAGCAGCAAGATCTCGCTGGTGGCAAAGTGACGGCCGGGGCAGAGGGTGGTTCCCCCGCCGAACCCGCGAAACGCGACCGCGAAAGACCGTTTGCCGCCGCTCTGTTGCTTCATGAAGCGTCGATGGTCAAACTTGTCCACGCTCTCGCCCCAGACACTCGGGTTCTTGTGCTGAACTTTGGCTGATATCATGACCAGTCCACCCTTTTTGAGCAGGTATCTATTATCCAGCATGTGGTCTTCCGAGACGAAACGTACAGAATTGGCCATGCCGTGATAGCGAAAGACCTCTTGGTAGGTAGATAGAAGAATCGGACAGGAGTTGAGGATGTAGCTCATGTCGACTGAAGAAGTCCCGTTTGGTTCGTGCCGGACAGCTTGCAGTACCTCACCGCGGCACTCTTCCAGGACCACAGGGTTGCTGAACACGCGGTAAATAACCCAAAAGGCAGAAGGAACACTGTTGGCAACGTTATTAAAGACAGTTCCCAATAAGACTCGCGGGATGTCGGCCTCGGGTAGATGTTGGTCAATACAGTGTTTGGTGAACTGCTGAATATATTCGGATCCTTGCTTGTAGTTGCCCTCTTTGTAGTACTTTGCGAAACTTTTGACAAGGCTTTCTCGACTCTTGATGGCTGATCTGAAGAAGATGTTTTGTGGTAAAAGGTCCAACATGAGAAACATGATGGCCGGATGTTATTTGCTGAGTAGACGGGATTAGCCTGGAGCAGCATATTCACCTACATTGGGGCACTTACTGCCAGTGCTCGAGATTTGAAGCATTACGCATCGGGTTCGAGGGCCCGTAGATGGCTTCTGTAGTAGCATGCATGATTTGCTCGTCAATCCACGAATACATGGATATGGTCGTTGGGGCATTGAGCCCTTTCAAGGCAACATCAAGAACCTCAAAGGCTCGGATATTCAAGGCTTCCAGTGCTGGACCATTGATCATTGTAGGATGAGTGGCCTTGATCATGCCATTGACAAACCCGGCCTCGGTTACCATGTCGCGTTCCAAAATGGCGACTGCGCCTTGACTTACGCCCATGACGGCCTTTGCGGCCTTCACTTGGATCGGCGCAAATATGAGCGTGCGCCATTGTTTATGCACCACAGGAATGAGATCCAACGCATTGACGACATATATCCTGGCGCCAGGCATCCTCAGAGTATACATTGGCAAATCATGGAAGCGCTTCCTATCGGCGTAGTTAGCAGAGGCTTTGTTGAGACTGTGCCAGCAGACAAATAAAACGTTGACACTCACTTCATGACGGAATAAAAGTCCATGCTCCATCGAACCATACCAAGGATAGGGCTGACAAAGGGAATAGAGTCAAGCACCACTGGAGGCTCTTTATCATTCTGAGTCGAACGCAACAGTGCCAAGAGAAATACATAGGTCGTCGTGACGCCGCCCAGGATCACCAGGGCCATTGCAGTCGACATGTTGCAGTCAAGGACCAAAGCCCAACTCAAACTAACAATCAGCAGCACGTGAGCGAGAATGAAGAGTCACAGATGCTGTACCGAACGATTCGTGGACTGAAAAACCTTCTTCAGCTTGCATTTGCGTTATGTTCGCCATGATAGGAGGTACAGTGCCGCAAGCTTGTTGTCAGCATGCCAAGGACAGTTAGCCTAGTCATACTCAGTGGAATTACAACCGGGGGATTGCGGCGCAGCGCTGCTTTGAGGTAGATGGATGCAGCATACTTTGAGTGGGTGCGCTAACAGCGATAACGACCCGACTCGAATCAGAATAAACTCGAAATACTTCCCAACTCGATAAATTCCCTCCATGCTCAACTTGGACATGGATACGCCCGGAAAAAAGAATCAATAAATTCTAGGAAGCTATCCGAATATATTGATTCAGTTAATGGTCTCCTTTGCCTTGACCTGTTGCTACCAGTATACTGTGCCAAGCACGAACCAGCATATAAGCATCAAGTATGATTGTGACAATGTCCATCTATACAATAAATGGTAAAAGTTTAATTAAGTTGCCGATGCTTACTCGAAAGCCTGCATGCTTTTCAATTTTTTCTAAGCATCCTCCCTATCAATACAATCGCCTCCGTACCAAATCGTTGCTTGATTCCGTACCTTGTGAATATGTGAAAATGGGTATCACAGTGGCTAATCAAGGTATGGAATATTTCCTTGAAAGATTCAAATCAGGCTGCTCCCAGATCCCAGGCCGTTGCTAGAAATGCTCCAATCAATGCAACATGCAATTTTCCCATTCGCCAAACTCCCCAGGCCGGCAAAAGAATAATCATACTATTGAGGCTCCCACCTCTTGTTTTCTTTCAAACTCCCACCATATGATGATGCAATGAAATGAACTCTTGGTGTCGCGCCACGTTGGCGGGCACTTTAATAATGAAGTGAATATTGATTTGCATGCGTCTCCGTGTCGCTATATTTAGTGATAACGGAATTGACCATTGCATTGGGAAATGTCTTGCAGTGTACTGGAAGAAGAACCCATTACTGTCTTCTGCGGGACTGGTTCCAACCGCTGAGTCTCATCCGTAGGTGAGGTACGCGCAAGTCTTGGGCGCCAATAGTCTTTTCAAGAAATATGAGCTGCGAAAGCAGTACTTGCGATTGGTTTCGACTAGCCGTCTTCGTTTCATGTCTTGCTTTCATGAATTGTGAGTGGCTTCCATGTGATTTGTGGTGAAAGCATTAGCTTCGTGTCCATAGTCGCCGTGAGAAACTATCACGGACAAATGTCCATGGGCCCGCTGCTACTGTTCATGGACTCGGGTGTTGGTGGATCAGGCTTGAGGAAATCCTGTCGATCCAAGCCAGCCAAGTCTTGGAGCTGACACATCATCTTTTCTGTAATAGAGGAGTCAGGACGAGAACAAACTCGGGGTTTGAAAATTCGCTTACCAGCAATTCCCCAACGATGAGCAAATATCTTGAGACTTTCAAATTTAGCTTCCATGGCGTCCTGGCACTGCTGCCATTCCTCTGGGAAAATCTTGCGTAGCGTTGCATACGTCTTGACCACGAGATAGCATGTAGGTGCTGCCGGTGCAACAACAAACTTCAGTGCTGATGCCTCTTGAGTTGCCGTTCTCTGCATGTCCACGTTTGCTTTGCAGCTGATATCTACTGAAAGCTGTGCAGCGAAGCGCAGAGCAGCAAGTGCTGTTGTCAGGTCATGGTCTTGTTGTATCTGATCCCTTGTTTTATTCTCCAGGACGGGAAGGTATGGCAAATAGAGACTGAAAAGCGCTCTGCAAAGTGATGTTAGTATGCAGATTACAGAGTCATCATGAGCGATGCAAGCCTTTGTGAGGATGTAGTGCGTGAGCATATGACTTACGAAACAGCCATGGCGAAGCAGTCAAGAGTGACTTGCCAATTAGTTACATCATCTCGCAAAAGCGTTTGTGTTGCTGCTCGAATCTCCGAATCCAAGCTAGAGAAAGAGGTGACTGGGGGAAGATAGCCAGGTCTTGTCCGGCTATAATGTTCATGTCGGAGAGCCCGGTGGAGGAGACAGGAAATTTTAGCTGAAAGCTGAAATTGCTCCAACTTTTGCGTGTCTACTGCAACACTGATGGGCAACCTTTGCCGAGGCGGCGTTGGCTGCTCGCAGAGATATTTGACATCAAATCGTCCTGATTGAGTTGGCGTTGGTGGCGTTATTGACGCTGGGAGAAGAGTGTTCATCTCTGGGCTTTCCATAACGAAGGGGAAATTCTCAGCCATTTTATCTCTGTGCAAGAACCTGTAGTTATGATTAATACAATTCGGATAATAAATCGGCACACTTCGTTCGATCTTGGTTGAGAAAAGCGAGCCACGCGGAAACTTACTGATCCAGGATGAACAAACTCCACCAAATGCAGCTCTTCTGTTCCTCTTCAACATTGGTGCCAATTTGCAACATAGCATCGCCATCGCTGTTGAGCTGGCCTGGTCTGATCCCTACTACCCTCGCCGCAGCCACGGCCTCGCTTAGGGTCCTGTAAGCAAGACAAGAATCTCCGTGACCGTACTCGTACATTGCAAGCAGCGCGCTGCACTGTATGAGCTCAATCCTTGGAACCCTGTTCTCCAAAAAGGCCAGAGCCACGATACGTTTGACAAAGTGGTACAAGTCGTCATACATTGGCCTGGTTCCGGTTTTGGTGAGTCGATGCCGGGTGATTAAATACATGGTGACGATGACGAGGGCGAACTCGCGGCTGACCTGCGGCTCCGGCACCGAGCCGGGTGAAGTCATGATGTGCGCGACCGAGGTAGGGGGCGATGTCTCTGAGGGCGGCGAGCTCGTGAGTGGGGGTGAGTAAACCTGAGTAACCTGGCCTGGTGGAGTGTCCCCCGCCGGGGTGCCTCCAGACAATTGTTGCTCAAAGAAGCCGCGATGAACGACGGCATACCACGAATGGATATAGTCATAGTAGGCTCGGACGCCATCAGTCCAGTCCGTGTTCTCACCAGCCTGGGCATCCTTTGAAATGAGAGCGAGGATCTGAGATGGCGCGATCTCCTGAAGTGGGTCAGGGCTTCTCAGTAGCACATCGTTTGACGATGCACGAGGCTGGAAGATGACCAAAGGCGCACCATTGGTGCCTTGGTTTGATCCCACAGAGTCGGCAAGATATACACATTTTGCATTCAGTCTAGATTAGACATGGTCAGCGGTACTCGTTCTCTGCCGAACTTTTGCGCACGTGGATTGTGAACATGAGGTGCAGCACCCAAAAGTCCAGCCAGGTTATCCCCGAAAATGAAGGCGTTAGGGCCGATGGACAGTTGAGAGGAGGATTGCGACAAGGCCAAGGGCAAGGAGGCGCATACCGTGTGCATCTAGTACAATAGGGGAGCGTCTTATCGCATTTCCTCTTTGATGCGCGACACTTCTCGCAGGCCCGGTGGGCAAAGCCATCAGCGCCGGCATGTTGTTGTGCGGTGCTGTGGCTGTGGTTGCGCGGGTCTGGCGCAAAGGAGGCGACATCCGCCCTATCTCGAGTGTGGGGTGAGTGGTGTTCCAGGGACGATGTGTCCGAGATGGGCGACAGGCCGTTGAGCATGGGCGCGTTTGGCCTCGTCATTGTCGCTGTATCCATCGTGGAGGCGACAGTGTAGATATCCTGAAAGGTAAATCGAAGCACTGGATTAGACCAGGTGCGCGCGCGCATACACTCACGGAGGAGCAGCACTGCAGGCTGGGGTCTGGTTGAGGTGTGGTGATCGCTCTCAGTCCGTCTGTCGTTACCTGCCTGCCTGTGTGCCTCTGTGCGTGTTATGTAGACAGGCAATCTGTCCGAGGCACCGGGAAAATTGAGAGGTGGTGGCAGCGGTAGCAATAATTGGTAGTAGTAATGTTTAGTAGTAGTATGCGTCCAATTGCAAGCAGCAGGCGGATGAAAGGGTCGTTGCCTTTGCACGCATCGGGTTCCTTGGTGGCATTGGCTAATGTACCTACAAGACCAGCTCCAGCTTCAGCTTGAGCTCCAGCTTTTTGGCCCAATGAGAGAAAAAGCCAAAAAGTCGCCGCCAAGGGGTCGGGACGATCTTTGGGCCTTTAGAGTGGGCGTGTGTAGTGGGTTTCAATGACTGGGCACCGCTGGCTTGGGGGGGCTGGATTTCACTTCAGCTTCCAGTGGCTTCGGCGATTTGATGCTTTAGTGCTTTCTGGGGCCTCGATGGGTATGCTTCCCTGGCTTCATGCCAACTTCGCCTTCTCGAAGGGAAAAAAAAAAAAGATGTCGTGGGCGTTCGATGATCAACCGTTTAGTCTTTGCGCTAATGAGTAGCGGAGAGGTGTGAGGCAATGCCGGGTGCTCCGGGCTGTCTCCGGGCCCGTGGTTGTCTTTTGAAAGGTCGCAGAGCAGTTTTGGGATGATTGATGGATGCAGCTCAGGTAAGCTGGGTGGTAGGTAGTAGTGGGAGTAGTAGGTAGTAGTCTGTCTGGTATGATGTCCTGGCATGTTTCTGGGGGCGCTCGCTGTTCGTATATACATGTGGCAGGTCCTAATGTAATGTAGGTTCAACCAAGGCATGTAATGTACCTATCCACTGTACCGACGGTCGATTCCAGCTTGAAACCAGAATGGTAAAACCAAGTATCGGCCTAGACCCCCGCCTTAGTAGACCCCCTCCCTCGAAAGTTACGATACCTCACGAACCGACCGACGACATCAAGCAACCACCCTTCCAAAGTGTACAAGGTAGGTAGAGTCCGAGACCCCTCATGCATTTGCACATGAGATAATCAATTGAGTCTCACTTCAATCTGGGACCGCCGGGCCGTGCAAACTGTCACTGCTGAGACCTGGAGGGTTGAAGCTGAATACGTGGCTGCGGGTATGCCCACGGCTCAGACAATGTGGCTGTCTTTGCAGGGACAAGAATGGGAAATCAATCAAATCAGTTAATCCTCATCAGCCCCCCGACCGAACCCAGCGACGGGGGAAACGTTTGCAAGAACGGAGCCCGCCGCCATTGTACTACTCTGCACGGGACAAGCGCTCTTTTTGCCTTTTGGCACGCGCAAGACTTCTGTCGTTTCGACACCCTTTCTCAAACCAGATGGTTCGTTCTAGGAAAGTAAAAGTAGTCCGCAAATACCCGTCATATCATGAGAGCAGTATCTGGCCAGTCTGGAAGTGGAAACAAGGCAAGGTATATAGGTAGCCATGTAAGTAAAAGTGCAAATCGCGTAGGGGTAAGAAATGCATGTACGTATATTAACATATGCAGCCACGAGTGGGCTTGATGAGAACTACAACGCTAGGGGCGGGGTGTAGAAGTCTAAGAGCCGTGCACGAGTCGGAAGAATTGGAGCGCCCATCAGAGGGAGAAAAAAAAATAAAAAAATAAAAAAATAAGTCCAGTCAAAAGAGCCATCAGGCCATAAGAGCGAAGGAAAAGAAGAAGGACAATATTAATGGCTTGTGACACCAAGTCGGTCCGTCTGTGTGCTACTAATGAGGCGTCCCGTCGGAGCAGCTCATAATATGTGAGTGAGCCTTTGCGATGCGCCCTCACAATGACGTTAGTTTACCTTTCGTCTATAATCGGCAGCGAATCCTTCTTCAGTAGCGACGTCGTGAATAGAAGTCAGTCATGTCAGTCATGGCCATGAGTTGAAGATGAGCACCCGTGTAGACTGGTGGCGAGGATGTTTGCGAACCAGCCAACACGGTAAAAAGAAGAGTCGTTGAATTCAAAAAGTCGCCCGACAAAAAGTATAGGGCGGGAAAACTTCTCTTGGCTTATGTGAATATGATCTTGGGCGGTTTCAACTTTCAAGCACACAGCCACGTACCTAATACGCCATGTAAGCTTGTCACTTTGGACCCTTTTCCTTGGCTCACATAGACGCGAGACACGCATCACTTCATTCTTCCCACGGGATTAGGTCCATCACCATTATCGTCTCTCTGATTGGTCATTTCTTTTCAGCACGGGTCCAATGATTTGGAAGCCAACCTAACCCAACTTCACTCAAGGCCAGGCCGAGACCGGTTCAAGCCGCAGATTCCAAATCATGCTTTCTTAAACATTGACAAGTTTGGCCAAGTCAAATCTCTCAGTCCAATTCACTTATGATGCTCCCGTGTTTTCCTCCTCCACATCGCAGGACAAGATTGTCCGAGTGTGTCCATTACCACATCCATTTCGTTCCTCATTATTTTCATTCGTTGCAGTTCATAACGTCTTCTCAACCCCTTCAAGGTCCAAGCCAAGTACAACCGCTTCGTTGCTTCCGTGGAAACCCTGCGAGTTGTTATACCCAGCTCCTTCCATCATGGGTCGCCTTTTTTGTTGTAGTGCTTCCAATTGGCCGCTAGTTTCAAGCCACAATGCAATTGCTTCTAGGCCTCCCATCTTCCCGCCGCCACCGAAGGGCTTCTAGATGCTGAGTGATCCTTGCAATGGTAGAATGCGACTGCTCGGCCCCACGTAAACGTCGTAGGTCCCGTTTTGCAAGAGCCATTTTTGTACGACTACATCCCAAACGCTCAAGTCGCGTCTTGTTAAGTCAAAAGTCACCGTTGTTGTTTGACTGGCATTGATAAACGGCTTGTCAAAACCACGGAGTTGCTTGATTGGTGCTCCTGGGATGCCCACATAAAGTTGAGCAGCTTCTGCTCCGTCAACATCGCCTATGTTTAGGATCTGTGCTGATACAGTGGCTAGGACATCCCAGAGATCCGACTGGCCACCCTCAACAATGTCCCCTGTCGGATATTCATCGGTGTTTGCCGTGTCATTTTGTTTGATTTCGAGACCCGTATAATTGAAACTGGTGTACGACAAGCCAAAACCGAACTCATACCGCGGTGTAATATTCTTGGCATCGAAATGTCGATAGTCAATGTAAACGCCTTCTGTAAAATTCGACTGGGGGAAATTTGCAAAGATTCCATCAGCCTTATCAGCATTGAGCAAATCCTCGTAATCAGATTCGTTGTGGGCAACAGTGTACGGAAGCTTTCCTGATGGATTCGACTCCCCATAGAGCAGTGAGACCAGGGCGTGGCCCGAGTCCTGGCCAGGCAAGTGAGCAAATATGAGTGCTGTAACATTCTCATGGTCAATGAACTGGTCAACCAGACGGATTCCTGCGTTGTGAAAGACCACGATTGTGTTGTAGCAACGATCTGCCACGTGCTTGATCAGGCCATCGGTGTAATCGTCATGTGTACCGGCTCGATCATATCCTTCCGAGGCAAAGGCATTGACGATTACTACGCAGGCATCTGACGCAGCATCAACGTACGGAACAGGACTAGAGAGGTCCCAGAACAAAGCCGTTCCATCGTCGTACGCTCGAGCATTGATAGCATCGTATGGCGAACTTATATATGAAGGCGTGACTGCTCCGCTGCCGCCACCGCTGATGATTGTGCCGTCAGGAGCGATCTGCGGAATATCTCCCAAAGAATCGAGATCGAAGGCGCCTGAGATGTAGCGGCCCAGAAATGCTGATTCGCCTCCAAACATCCAAGCTGACACGCCTCCGGTCGCATTATAATTCCATTGATCAGGATTTCTGGCAGAATACCCATAGAGGGAAAGCAATTTGGGCTTTTTCAACGGAAGAGCTGAGTTTGTGTTCTTGAGGAGCACATGGCCCTCGATAGCCCCATCAAGCAGAGTCTGCTTAAAAGAAGCATTTCTGGCATCGATAATTGTGTGCGGCTTTGTCAGATCGGCTGGCATTCCGATACCCGGTTGGGGAAAATCCTGGTCTTGGCCCATTTGAAACCAGGAAGCCACGATTCTAGTAACCATGTCGTCAAGTCTTGAATCCGAGATGGAACCGTTCTGGACCGACTCGAGCAATTTGTCTCCCCAAAGCCCAGCTGCGTCAGGTTGAACCATGTCCATCCCAGCAAGGGCAGAAGCAACACCTGCGTGCAAGGCGCCCCAGTCAGACACTACAAAACCCTGGAAACCCAGTTCTGTCTTGAGAAGCCCGTTTTGTGTTTTACTGTTGGCGCAACCATACGAATTGTTGACGCGGTTGTAACTGCACATGATGTTCCCCGTCCCAGCTTTGACCACGTCTTGGAACGGCCAGAGGTAGAGTTCGTGCATAGTCTTATCGTCAATATTCGAAGATACGGCCTCAATGTCGTTGGCCGGCACTCGATGGGTTTCCTGTTCATTTCCAATGAAGTGCTTGGTGCTTGTGATCACGCCAGCGGACTGTATACCAGATACAGTCTCGGCGGCCAGAGCACCACACAAATATGGATCAGTAGAGAATCCTTCCCAATTTCTACCGCCAGTCGCGATTCTTCCTACCGGGCCAACTACGGGCCCCAGGGCGACGTTGACGCCTTTTGTCCTATATTCGCCGCCCATTCCGATTGCGCGCTGTCTTGCAAGTTCTTTATTCCAACTTGCGCCTACATGGATACCACTCGGCCAGCCAGAGACGAAATCTGTCCCGCGAAGTCCTTGCCCGGCGTCCATTAAGCACATGCCTGTGAAGTTGAGGCGCGGGATTGCAGGAATGCTTCCAGCACATCCGTTGCCGGCCCCAGCTCCCGTCGTCAGGCTGATCTTTTCTTCAGTCGTCATGCTTTGTACAAGTGTCACGGCTTTTGTGTAGGAGTCGCTCCAAGTGCCTGTGCTGGCCATGGACGCTATTTTGCATCGTCAGTTCCTATCAAGGCATACGTATAGCAGCGACGCAATGGAATGTGTTACTAACGCGACGGGTATACAGGCTCTGACTGCCCGTAGAAGTAGGTATCATCAGTGATGGCATTGGATGTGCCGCCACCCGCCGCACTGCCTCCATGTTGGCTGTCCGAATGCCGAAGGGCCAACAGTCCCAGAAGACCGAGAAGAGGAAGACACAAGATGAAAACGATGAGCGCTTTCCCACGCTTCCTGGCTAGAACCGGATGGCGCGCTTTCATCCGCGCCCACCAGCCTGTATCGTTCACTGGCGCGGCTTGACTCGGCTGAACCGCTCTTGTTGAGGCTCGATACGATTCGTAGCCGCCAGTGTCCGTGGTACTGCTTGGATCCCTCTCCCGGTAAGGGATGAACCTGTCCTTCTCCATCGCGACTAGGCGCACCACAGTGGGCAAAGACAGCGCTCGCCTAGAATCCTAGCTATACTCAAGGTCCTTCACACTTGGAGCATGAGCTGTGGATGGCTGACTGGGCTAATGCGATCTTTGTTGCGCAAGGTTGATGCCAGATGGTATCGAGATACCGATGACGATTAGCGCACTTTAGAATTTAGAGTAAATAAAAACCAATTGACGAGGTCGCATCTCTGCTACGCAACAGAAGTCTAAAGTTTGCTCGCTTGTTTAGCAGCAGGATTCACCACCAGATTGAATACGAAGTGAAAGCGGTGCCTGAAGTTGATGTGTCAACAAGAATCATTGAGATCGGTGTTTACCCCAGTCGCCGCCGTCCAATCGCGGACGCACCATATGGCAGTAGCGTCGCTGCCCCGGGGAACGCAACTCCCCCGAACCTTAATTCCTTGGGGGGAGGACCCGCCAGCACTGGAACGATTGGCTGCTCGACCCCTCTAACCCCCAATGCCCCTGGAGATGGAACACTTCAAGGTTGTATGGCGGGCTCCGGGGTTATCCACACTTAACACCCGCGCAATGCATCGATGAGATGGGCCTTTCGGAGATTGTCAATATTATGATTATTCGCAAACCAACCCAATGAGGAATTTGAAGGGAATTTCAAGGTAAGTCCACTCTACGGCATAGGGAAGGATTCCATGCCATGACGAGGGAAGACGTCAAAATAGTCATATTTACCCGACCTTCATCCAAGAATGGCCCGTTGGGTGATGAGACACTAATTAACCATATTTGGTTGCGTGCTATATGCGTCACAAAATGCAGCGGGCATCATAAGGGACGTGATCGGTCATACAGAGTGCTTGCAATATATGCCAAATTTATGAATCAAAGAGCTATTCACGGGGTTAGAACGGATGCAAAAGAAATTCGATCGTGATTGGAAATCTAAGCCCAAGAAGTTCACGCCCCAAATGTGGGCGTATGCCTCTTTTGCATTATATTGACCCAACTATTTCAAGTTTGGTTCTAAGTTCTTCCGCTCCAAACCCTCCCCCACGTCATTCGTCATTATATTTGTTGATGCCAGAAAAAAGGAAAGGTTTTTGAGGTATCGATTGTGCATAAAAAACCAAATCCGTCAGATACAGGATGAGATATTCGCTTTCGTGATGTGGCTAGTGCGCAACCGTCAAGACATGAAAGCCCTCGCGACCGGGTCCCCATATATGTAGATATGCCGGTAAGGGATGATAAACAGTTGATCGTGAAAAAAGCAATGCTGAGTTGGTATCAAAGGCTTGGGTCGACCGGGAGGGTGTGATGACTGAAGTGTTGCTATTGCTGCTGCTGCTGGTGGTAGTGGTGGTAGTGGTGTTGGTGTATGTTGTTGAAGTGTCGTATTTGCGCACGTGCTCGGACATCGCGGGCGGGATAAGAGTGTTGGTGAGATAGGATGACGATATGCAGTAGCATCATAACGTGGGCCTGAAGTGAAGGATTTGGTATAAGCTTCTGCGAATTCCAAACATGATCAAGTTCGGGGGGAAAAGGCGGCCGAGGAATCCGTGGGTAGGGCACCTTCTGCATCGAGGCGCAATGCTAGATCCTTTGCAAAGTCTCAGCCCTGGCTCTTCCTCCACGTTTTAAAGTTCCTTGAAAGCAATCACTCCTTGGTCAAAGTTTCTTGGATTGCTGATCCGTAAGAAACCGAAACACCAAAGGAGATGCCGCCTCTTGGACGCCAGGGGAGGCGCGGACGCAGTCCCGGGGGGGTGGTTTGCGCTTGCAAGCAGTCCGCGCTGTAGAGTAGAGAATATCGAAACCCAAGTTGAGGTCGGAAGACTCACAAGATGAGCTGCTTCAAGTTACGCTGGATAATCATATCCTGCACGGAGCCCATGGTGATCTTTAGCAGGTTTGTGTCGGTTGCGTTGGTAAAGTGACCATAGATTTCCTTCTCGGGGTTTCTGTTAAGAGCCCTGAATTTATCCATGAAATACTTGCTGGCCTGCTTCCAATCATCCTGGGGCCCTTGGTAATCAACGAAGCCGTGGCTCGTGATTGGACTTGAGGACAGCTTCTCCTTGAACAAGTCCATCTTGTTCAAGAAGAGAATGAGGGCCGACTTTGTGAACCAATGTGAGTTTGCAATCGATTCCCACAGCATAAGCGCCTCATTCATTTGATTCTGTATAGGCATTGTTCAGTGCGCGCTCGGCTCAAGAGTCTCACAATTGACTTACGCCATCCTTGTCCTCCACCAAGCACTGATCATAACCGCTAATGGCGACGAGGAAGAGCAGGCAGTTGACATTTTCAAAGCAATGTATCCACTTCTTTCGTTCAGATCGTTGACCACCGACGTCAAACATCCGGTATGTCAATTGGCCTAGGTCGAAGATGGTCTCCGTGATTCCAGTTGTCCTCAATCGCGATCGCAGCAGGTCTTGGTCGTTGGGGATGTAGCCTTTGGTGAAAATGCGGTCCAGGTCGTCGCAAAAGCTTTTGTGCACATGGTTAGCAGCATGCACACATTGTGGTTAGGAGTCAAGCTAGCCAGCTTGCTGCGAAACATACTATGAAAGGTTATCATGGAGGGCGTATTCGTTTCCTTTCAGCACAGCCCTTTGCACGCCCTCATCGGCCCAGAGTGCCTTGATTGGGTCCAGGTGGTCTTCGGGAAGATTGTCGTTGGGGGAAATCTCGCAATCTAGGAGAAGTAGCGCCTGGTTTTTCTATTCGTGGCAATTGGTTAGTTCCTGCGACCACAGTTTGAACAAGGTGCATCACAGATGTATGCGGCGGGACGGGAACAGTTCATGTGCGCAGCCAACGGTTGCGCAGTGGTAGGTGCTTTTCCCCTCACCTCATTATCCTTGTTTACAAACTCGATCGACTGATCGTTCATGACGTCGAAAATCAGCCGTAATGATTGAACCACATTGTTGAAGACCACCGGTTTGCCCTCGAGTCTCTCGTTCTTGCTGAAGCCTTGCGCGTAGATCAACTTCATTTGCTTCAAGACCGTCGACTTCCCCGATTCACCGGCGCCTGTGCGGATTGTCCGTGTTAGCGACCCTCACCGCAGCATTGAATTGGAAATTGTGAGACATGGTGCTAGCCGCTGCAGAAGCAAGAAATATGACTCGAAGACGACATACCCAATAAGAGGAGCTTCACTTCACGGGCCAACCTCTTCTCATCTTGCCTTATAATCTTGTCGAGCTCGCGCGATCGGTTCTGTCCCTCCTCATCCGTTTTCCTGCTCCCGAAACACATCTTGGCACAATTAATTGCGCTTGAACGCTGGGCAGTGCGGCAAGTCCTCGAAATCAATCGGAACGCTGTGCACTCGTTGCGCGAGGCGGGGCACTAAGGTATTGTGCTGCCGCGGGACTGTTGGGGCGGCACTCTTTTTACAGGTCGTTTTTTTTTTGTGTTCTCGATCCACCAAGAGAAGTTACCGTGGGCGGGAACAGCGGGTTTACTCTAGTGTAGTTCCCGATGATTTGAGTGACCTCACGCGCACTAATATTCTAGAGATGCGAAGACGGTAGGCGAGCCGGGGGGAGAGAGATAGAAGAAGAAGGGGAAGGGGAAGAAGGAATGGAAAAAGGTACGTAGTAGCAGGAAGTAGTAGCGGGAGTAGTAGTAATGAATGACTGCGAATGATGGTAATAATGAGATGAATTGAGATGGATGGGGGTGCTTCAGATCTAAAGCTTGGCCGAGAGCGTGGCTTTGAAAGCTTTCTTTAGGATTATCCCAGGATAAGACAGACCCAGTGGCCCCCTTTCGCTCGAAGCTAGCGACTTATCACTTTTTGGGACCTGGTCCTGGAGTTTAAGCGTTTCGCGTTCACCAGTACGTAGATGAGACAGCCAGGCAGGCCGGCGGAAGATAAGTACCGAGCTTAGGCAAGCGTACTGTAGGTCGGTAGGTGCCAGGCGGAGAGGACGGACGAAGAGGCACAGACATGCAAAGTGACGATGATCCCGGGTCCTGGTCCCAGCGGATCTTTTCTTTTCTTTGATGTCAGCCCAAGCAACAGCCCTGGGATATTGGCGAGGGAAAATGACGAGAGGATAAAAAGAGTATGGGAGGGGAAAGAAGAAAAGAAAAAGAGATGCAAGATCGTGCCCCAAAAAATGACCGCAGCGGAACTCTGGAGGAGACCTTGGGAAGGCAAAGCGCAGGCCTGTGCTGACCTGAAAAGAGGCGGTATTAAAGGAGAAGCTCACGCCAATAACAATACGTACTGGAGAGGGTGAGGGAGAACCTGAAAACTCGAAGGCGGATGGCGAGGATCAGTTTCGGTCTGCATACCCCTAGTACATAATACTACGATGTAGATACCGTATGCGCATACTGTATTTGTCCAGCAACTGCCTTGCCTACCTGAATGCCTTCTTCGACTGATGGGTTATTACCGTACATCCATACCTGGGCAGCTAAGAATCGGCTTATGCAGGCGGCACACTGTATATTGGATTCCGCTGCAGGCCCTTGAATGGGTTGCCTTCTCCGGGGCACCACCCACCTGGCACCCAGCCAGGTTGTCAGGCTCTGCTCCAGCTCTCGACCTCAACTCCATTCTGCGCGTCGAGAAGGGGGCAAGATCAGCGTCGTCGTATTATTGCACCGCTGCCTGTCTTTGTGTCTTGTCATCATCCAAGGTTTCATGCAGCGACGAACGATCGTCTCACTTGGGACCATCTCTCCATAAGGGCGAAGGTCACCTTCGATTGAGGGACTACGTTTAACAACTAACGATGCTAGCGAGCGGCGTCGTACCAAGTCCGGCCAAGTGCAGTCCATATGGTATGGACTATGCCTTGAGAGAATACTAGGTAGGAAATGTAATCTACGTAGTATGATGGAGTAGAGGGTTGTTAGTGTAGTGGATGGACATTGGAGGGAGGTAAAGTACCTGCTGCCGGTACGGCGATAGGCGGTCGGTACGGTACACAAGATGAGGGAAAAATAAAAAAGCCGTTGAAAACGTGAGACGAAGAGAAGCTGACCCATGGAGGTGCCGCAATCGAATCAGAGGCTATCGTTTGCAGTCCAAGTGGGCGAAACTGGCCCCCCCTCCTCTTAAAGCCCTGTACACTAATAAGCAGTGCCCACCTCGCTCAAGAAGTTGCCCATGACAAGAAGACCCAGGATCCAGGCTCGCCAGGACTAAAAGCCATGCTTGCTTTGCAGACCATGCTCGAAAAAGCTAATGAGACTGGGGAACGGCGCCCGAATGTGGGCTCGGACGAGATGAACGCTAATAAGTTGCCTCATTAGTGAGCAACGAAACAAGATGTGACAGGAATCGGCAGCGCACTCTAAGATGCACTTTTTTTTTTTTTATTTTTTTAAAAAAAAAAAAACTCATCTTGAGCGTGGATTCAGTAAGCAAGCGGGCAAGCAAGTCTACAGAGAACTATCCAGAAGTGGATGGAATGCGTAGATATGGATATGGGAAGCAGGTATGTTGGGTACATATCTGTTAACTCGCTGCTTTTCAAGCAAAACACATGCAGAAGAAATGCAATCAGCAAGAATGAAATGCACTGTGATGGCCCGGCCTGCAACCTCGATCCTTCAGTCGAGCGAACAAGAGAGGCGATGGGAAGAAGGATTGAACAGGTCTGGCACAGAAGAAATTCGTCATTATCCCTTCCTCGACTGCTCCTCGGTGACCACCCTTGCTGCTAAAATAGAATGCCATAATACTACACACATACATCTGTAGTGTATATACTGCATGCAGTTCATGTACATATATGTATGTTTCAGCCCCCGATGGCTACTCAATTGGCCTCGACTGGTTCAGATTTGTTTGGATAAAATCAGCAAACAAAATTCCCCGGGGCCCTAGAGGCTAGATACCAGACCACACACACTCACACCTTTGCCCACGCACAGAGAGATGCGACCCTAGCTGCCACGTTAGCGCATCCGAACCCATGTGTCTTGTCTGCAAGCTGCAGTGCCGAGAAGGGTATAGATTGACAGGATTCCCAGGCTCATCAATTGATCATGTTGTGGCCCTGCCGCTGCTCACTTTGCGGGATGGATCCGGCCCACTCGAGCATCCCTGACCGCTGGAGAGTTTCCCATCCTCCCTAACAGAGTGAGCAAAAGTAAACGGTAGTATCCGTACACTAGCGCAGAGCAGAGCTGTGAGATCAACACCGAAAGAGAGTTATTCAGGGCAGACACGCGAGCCGATGAGCAGGGTCACGACTCGGCACACTCGCTGAGCGGATGATAGACACGCCGGCGCAGGGGGGACAAGAGGTCTCTTCCGCAGATTCCTGTACAATACCCTGTTCACAGTTCAGGTCTTGTCTCATCAAGTGACAGGACCTACCTTTTGCCGGGTAATAGGTAGCGCAGGCCGCGTACAGTGCGCACCCTGGCGTTTCGGCATTGGATATCGACTCCAACTTGTCAATTCATCATCGCGTATTTTTAGAGTTGACTTAGACCATCAAGCTTGAGGGCGCAAGTCTCGCACGAGTCAAGATTTTATAGAGCGGCGGCGGTTAGCTCTCAACCGTATTCCCTTTACCGAACCCATCCACGACCACGCGGCGACTTGATGAGCTTTTTGAAATATACATATTGGAGAAGCTGACCGAGTCTCCTCCCTCTCTCATTCGACATGCGAACAAGAGGCACAAGATAGGTACCAGGGGCACAAAAGGACCTCTTCGTTGCCCGTTCTTGCCGTGCCGCCACTGCTGACATGAAGATCCGCCGCCGCTGGCTGATGAGGGAAGAAAAAACAAAACTTGCCCTTCAACGGCAAGCCATTAAGTTGCGGCGCATGCTGACAGGATGCAGTTTGTGTCTCCATATTGCAGCTACTGGTTGGATTGCCACCTGCAGCTTCTAGAAGGCAGCAATTCTGGGCTACATACTCTATCTTCTATTCTAAGCAGCCAGCCAGCCAGCCAACCAGCCAACCACGTACGTGCTTTGCTGCGTGCGGCACGCTCGGTAAACCACCTCCACGTTGCCATGATGGGGTTCATGTTGTGGCCGGAAAACCTGAGTACCTACATACATGTTTTTGGCCCCAATGTGTTCTCAGCGTGTAGTTTCCTTACTTTTAGTTTCGTTGATGACTACCTACCTATCTACCGTGTAGTCCATCATTGCACCGGTGTTTTGCTTGTACCATGTACCTGCTCGCTCGCACGTACGCGGACGGCAACTGTGAACACACAAATCGGGATGTTGCTTTTTAGGATTCCTAGGTGCATATCAAGCAGTCAGATCAGATGTCAAGGCAACACTCCATCATCTCGCCAAACTCGCTTGGCTTGCGCTCAGTTCGCATGAGTTATTGTTTACCCAAAACGAGGAGGAGCAAAAGGTTCTCTCGCACGAGTGTTTCTTGATGCTCCTGCCGCTTGCTACCGCATCCTTCTCCTGGAAATGGGTCTACTTGCGGCCCGCCTCAATATTACAGCCTCATCTCACCAAAAACGGACAACTCGCGCACCACATATACTACATTCACATTCGCACGGGCACACAGGCTCGACTTGCTTGTTGAGTTGTGTTACGCTTCTTCTGGCAACCGGCATTGCAACGTGCTGTAAAGGCTCGTCTGGTGCATGTGCATATCACTGAACGAGATTCATCAACTACACTCGGCATACTCTGGTCGTATGAATTCCTCGTTTTGGTAGTATACCTACCTAGGTAGGCATCAATACTTCCCCAACATGCCTAGTAGCATGAGAATATGATGATTCGGACACATGGGTTAGACAGGATGACCATGAGACGCAAAAAAGTATAGCATTCGTCTCTAGAACCAGCTGATCGGTACGATGCGGCCATGTGCTTCCAAGATGGACGTGGACGACCTGTCGCATGGCCTTCCGCAGCATCGTCCGAAGTTTCGAGGGGCGCTTTGCACGACTGGAAACCGCCGAGCGCGCCACATTGGGGCCTTTATTAGGGCCTCTCCGCCGTAACATGCGTGCCGTTAACCACAAGATGGGAAAGAAAATTTTCATGTCTTATCAAAATCCCAATTTGACAAAGCTGTAGGCCGAGATTGTGTAGCAAGTATCACTACTCTCTTGTTCCTTCAGTGCAATAGGCCTCAAAAGTTTGCTCTCAAGCATTTTCATGCAGCCCTACAGCCACTTCATGAGTTTAAAAGCTACGGGATTGGGCATACGACGGTTGGGTGCGGCATTTCGACCCCATTTTGTAGCCAACAAAATTTTTTCAAACTTTTGGTCGATTGGGCAGCAGCAGCAAAAAAGTATCCACAATAGTAGTTGTAGTAGAGGTGCCGCAAACCAGAATTGCAGTTTCTTCAACACCGCATCAATATCTCAAAAGAGAATCTTCAGTACCAGATCTGCTTATTCTGTTGCTCAACAAGAAACCGCCAAAATGTCTGAGATTACGCACCCTACCATTAAGGGTAAGCCACCTCATGTCGCAGTTGCCAAAAATTGCTATGTTTTTTCATGTGTTTGTTTCAAAAGATGCCGCTGTCGTGTTATAGCCCGCGATCTGCCGTGGCGCCTTTGACAAAACCCCTGGCAATGTTGCTTACACTTGTTTGGTTCATTGGCGATATTCTACATGACATGACCGGAAATACGGAGGAACAGATGAGAAAGAATGATCATCAAAGCTGACATGTGTTGCAGATGGCTGGTTCCGGGAAATCTCCGAAATGTGGGCTGGTAAGTCGGGACAGCAGTCTCAACATGATGGCTGATAGGACTGATTAGCCATACAGGTCAGGCCATGACTCTGAAGGTCAAGAAGGTCCTGCACCACGAGAAGAGCCAGTACCAGGATGTCTTGATCTTTGAGTCTGAGAAGCACGGCAACGTGCTGGTGCTGGACAATGTCATCCAGTGCACCGAGTACGATGAGTTCTCCTACCAGGAGATGATCACCAACCTGGCCATGTTCTCTCACCCCGACCCCAAGAAGGTCCTGGTCATTGGTGGCGGTGACGGCGGTGTCCTCCGTGAGGTCGTCAAGCACGACTGCGTCGAGGAGGCTATTCTCTGCGACATTGACGAGGTGAGCAGCCAGTGCGGAATTATGATTGCGGAAAAAAGAGAGAGAGAGAAAGAGAGAGAGAGACAAAAGTACTACGGCAAGTCTTGGTGCTGACATTGATCAACAGGCTGTCATCCGCCTGTCCAAGACCTACCTTCCTGGCATGGCCGAGAGCTACAAGCACCCCAAGGTCAAGGTCCACGTCGGCGATGGCTTCAAGTTCTTGGATGACTACAAGAACTGCTTCGATGTCATCATCACTGACTCCTCCGACCCCGAGGGTCCTGCCGAGAGCTTGTTCCAGAAGCCTTACTTCCAGCTCCTGCACGATGCTCTCCGTGAGGGTGGTGTCATTACTACTCAGGGTACGTGATTGCTTGAAAGACTAGTGCTATTTACCGTAGTCTGTCTGCTGACTCGATGCCACTATAGCTGAGAGCCAGTGGCTCCACCTGCCTCTCATCAAGCAGGTCAAGAAGGACTGCGCCACCGTCTTCCCCGTTGCCGAGTACGGCTTCACCACCATCCCTACCTACCCTTCGGGCCAGATTGGCTTCATGGTCTGCTGCAAGGAGGCTGGTCGCGATGTCACCAAGCCCCTGCGAAAGTGGACTCCCGAGGAGGAGGTTCAGAAGTGCAAGTACTACAACTCGCGCATTCACGAGGCTGCTTTCGTCCTCCCCAACTTTGCTGCTCAGGCTCTGCAATAGAAGTGGGATTGATCGATCGGGGGAACAGATGCGACATGAGTTTTAAGACGACCAATGATGAAAATGACATCTGGGAGAGGTTACCAAAAATCCGGCGTAGAATCAGGGAAGATTTGCCAGCTGTGAGCCTCGGAGCGAGGCCACGATAGAAATGCAAACCCAGGAATGAAGACAAACATGCAATCCACCTTGGCCAAGTAATGACCTGCTAGTAGACCCGTTCAAATTCCCTCCAGAGTCTATGCGAGATCAACAATGGCATGTATGTGACTGGTTGTTGTTCAAAGAAATTACGGAGATCTACGATTCTCAAGTCCCGAGTACCACTATTCCGTAAGATACCTTGAAATGTTTGGATCTGGACATAAACATTGCTCACTCTATAATGATCATATTGTAGCATATTCACTATGAGATGTAATGCATTTTGAAATATATGCGCTTCTTGCCATGCAGAAGCCCATTGTCCGAAGGAGGGGCAAAGCGCGATTGTTGTACCCTGGTACTGGGATTATATCATCGGTCTACCCCGCCGACAACTGCTCAGTCCCCGCGGACCCTCCAACCAGCAAAGAGGAGCTTCCACCCAATTGTTCCCGATCTCGCATCTGCTTCTGCGGACTTTCGCGGGTTGATGTCCGACGGAAAATGCGACCACCATGACTACATTTCTGAGGCGACTGAGTCTCTTCGCCAGGTCTCTGCCATCCACCTCATCATTACCCGTTCACAAGCTGTTCCAGCCAATTGCCCGCACAATGGCCACGTCCGTCTCCGCCGTCCTCCGACAGCCAGTCAAGCTGGCTTGCATCCAGCTGGCCAGTGGCGCCGACAAGGCCGCGAACCTTGCGCACGCCCGGGACAAGGTCCTTGAAGCTGCAAAGGACGGCGCCAAGATCATCGTGCTCCCAGAGTGCTTCAACTCGCCTTACGGATGTGACTACTTCCCCTCGTACGCCGAGACGCTACTGCCGAGCCCGCCCTCCAAGGACAAGTCGCCCTCGTACCATGCGCTGTCGGCCATGGCCGCCGAGACCAAGACGTACCTGGTCGGCGGCTCGATACCAGAGGCGGACCCGGACCCGGCGTCCAAGAAGTACTACAACACGTCACTGACGTTTGGACCAGACGGAAAGCTGTTGGCCAGCCACCGCAAGGTGCACCTGTTTGATATTGACATTCCCGGCAAGATCACATTCCGCGAGAGCGACGTGCTGTCACCGGGCAACAAGGTGACCATTGTCGACCTGCCAGACTATGGCAAGATCGCCGTGGCCATTTGTTACGATATCCGCTTCCCAGAGCTGGCCACCATTGCCGCGCGCAAGGGCTGTTTTGCTCTCGTGTACCCTGGCGCCTTCAACACCACCACGGGCCCTCTGCACTGGAGCCTGCAGGCCCAGGCCCGCGCCATGGACAACCAGATCTATGTGGCCATGTGCAGTCCCGCGCGCGATGTGAGTGCCACATACCACGCCTGGGGCCACAGCCTGATCGCCGATCCCATGGCCAAGATTGTGGTCGAGACAGACGAGAAGGAGAGTATTGTCAGCTGGGAGATTGATCCTAAGAAGATCGAAGAAACCCGCAAGAACATCCCGCTCGTTGGCCAGAGGCGCTTCGACGTCTACCCAGATGTCAGCGCTGGCAAGGTACGATTTGAGGAGCCCAACGTGCCAAAGGAGTAGGATACTTGCCGCGTTTGCATCAAGAACAATGGGTTTTCCTTGAACAAACGGTCGGCCTAGAGTCACTCTTTGGTTGCCTGGCATCAGTACGGGGGCGACAAAGAACCCAAGTTTACTCTCGCACGCCACATGACATGCGCGGTTGCTCGGCCAGGGATGGGCACAATGTTCTCAAAGCCATATAAGATCAAAGAAGCAAACACCTCATCAATAGAAAGGCGCAGTGGTCGAATGGTAGAAAGTCAAAGATAACCTCTTCAAACTTGAAGACCCAGCGTTCGAATTTCAAAGATCAAAATCAAAAAAACCCTCGAATATTTTTTTTGTTTGCGGTTTGCAGTACGTCCGTGAAATTCAGGTCATATTTTTCCTCACCATTGATCGATGCAGGATTGCACTCATTATGCATCAGTGAAAAGACTAGCAGTCAATAAATTTCAGTCTTTTTGCGGAATTAATCTTCTCGTTGGTGGCATGATTAGTAGGATGATGATGCAGGGTAACTCATCTCCCGATCGCACAATGGAGTAGACATGATGACATGTCTGTTTTAATGGCGTGAAGAAGGCATGGTAGCATCGGTCAAGACTTGGCTGCCCGTGAAAAATCTCGATGATAGACTCGGTCGTCTGAGGTCTACGGAACTGGGTATAATTGAGCCTCCTCTAGGGACATAAAGTCATAGGGACTTGCCCGCATCTCTCTTGGTAACAAACCCGAGAAAGCTATGCTCACCAGTCACAGCCTTTGCCGAGGATATCAGCCAACCGCTCCAGGTAGTGGCGGTCAACCTCGTCGAACCCGTCAACCACGGCACAGTCGATATCGATAATGGCCACGAGCTTCTTGGCGCTACCGCCCTCTTCCCCCTCGACTGCGCCCTCTGCCGGCACTACGATGGGCACGACAATCTCGCTCCGGCTGTCGCCGTCGCAGGCAATGTGGCCCGGAAAGGCGTCCACGTCGGGCACCAGCTGCGTGGCCTGGGTGCGCGCCGCCGCGCCGCACACGCCCCGGCCAAAGGCTATGGTCTGGCAAGCGACTTTGCCCTGGAACGGGCCCAGGATGAGCTGCGGCTTGGTGGCCGAGGACTTTGGGTCCAAGGTGTAGAAGCCTGTGTGTGTGTGTGTGATGAATAAACTTGTTTCAATTGGAAGCGATGAAGCGGCCAAATGACTTACCTGCCCAGTTTACCTGGTTGCTTGGCCCTGGTAAAGACTTATAGGCGTGCCATAGTAGGGAAGCAGCGTTGGCTAGGTTGCTGTCGTTGTTGGAGTCAGACTTGTTTCCTTTACTATTCAAGCAGATTCCGTGTCACTAGAGAAGTGTATTCTTACCAGATCTTGATTATTTTTTATATTGTCAGTCATCTCTTCATTCGTTTGACTTCATGGTGCCAGTTGGCAACAGAGATATGACTCACCCAGTTCCTCTGCTCATAGAACAAACCCTCAGCCTGGACTAGGACCTGCTCGTATGCCTGCTCCTTGGTGACGCCGGCGGCAAAGTTGGATGCGTCGGCGTGAACCTGATAGAAGACTTGGGGTGAGTATGAAAAAGACAACTGCATCCGAGTGTCTGAGAACCCACCATTATCGCGATTGATTCAAGGTTTGAAGAAACTGGTCAACCTTGTGCCGGGTCCTAGATGGTACCTAGTATAGATAACTGCCGCAGCCCTCGCAAGATATGACTTGCGACTGGCTACAGGACTTGAACTATACTCTATGGGGCAGTGGCGATATAAAATTCAGGAGAGAGCAGACAAAGAAGGTAAAGCTTGCGGGTTCCAGTCCATCCGTCGTGGAAATATAAAAAAAAAATCCAAGTATACTTTTTTTAACAAATGGGGCTGATTCAGTGTGTCTGTGCGCCAAGAATTGCCCTGATAGGCTGCCCGCCAAAGCACGCAATCCACAATAAAATACATGTGTCCACTCAAATCAATGCAGCTCTGCTAGGATAATCATAAAAAAAGCACCGGTTTGCTTCTTCCGATGTCGATATTGCGATATCTGGCATGATTTGTAATGCACTTTGCGCCTGATTTCCGAACCGGGCATGTTCTTTTCTTGTCACTCTGCTGGTTGAGATTTATCACGATTGACAAGGTCACTCACTGCACGCACCATGAATCAGCACTAGAACTTCAAATGTTAGTAGTGTTATGTCCTGGTGAGTATTGAATGATGATTGTGAGCCTGCCAAAAAGTTACACCTCAAAGATATTTCGACAAGTACCTCATGGTTACATTTTCATCAGCGTCAGCCCGAGTCAAGGATATTGCCCAACCTTGACACCGGACCACCAAAAACAGGCGCGAAGATGGCAGACTCACTGATCGATATGCCAGATACCTTTGGAAAGTATCAATACTACGATTAGAGAGTCGACGACCAATTGAGTACAAGCGGCGACTCTCTTGCTTCGGGGAATCAATTCCATGATCTCAAAGTGCCATGGCAGATTGAAGGATTCAAGAAGACCAAAAGCCACCAAGTAAGCTTATGCGTGCCTCATCAAACGTTATTCGTTGAAATGTCAGAATTCTTTACACTTCAAAATTTCTCCCTCATAGCTTTGCTTCAAGACTAGGCGACGAACCACTGCCAAAGACAATAGTCTGGTTCGTGACCAGGTCGATTTGGCGATACTGCCCTCCTGCATTTTGCTCCGTGAGACGCTTGGTCGAAAGGAACCTCCAGCACATCTCCTTGATGCGAGCATCGCCGTCCAGGCCCGCGTCCACAAGATATAGCGATCCGATCAAGATCTCTGCTGTTTCCCACACCAAGTCCCTGGCTGAGCTCATGAGATCCTCCTGTGCCGTCCCTTGCATCGTACTCTTGGTCTTTGCCCATCGCTGCGCCAGTACCGTGCCTTGCGCCTTGCCCTCCAGCCCGGCCTCGATCAGTGCATCCAGGGCGGCCAGGCTCTCGGGGCCTTCGCGCGGGTGCTTCAGAGCCCGCACGAAATCTGTGCTCAGCACGTCGGTGGTGCCCTCCCAGATACTCAAGACGCAAGCGTCGCGGAAGAGGCGCGCCAGATTCACGTGTTCGGTCTCGCTGTTCTCGAGGTATCCGACACCGCCGAGTGACTCCATGCAGGCGTAAATCAGGTAGATAGAGTTCTTGCAGACGTACGCCTTGATGACCGGGGTCAAGACCCGGAGGAGCGCCGTCGCGCGCGAGGGCGAAGACGGCGCGAGGCGTTGAATGGCGACGGGGACGGATCCCGGAGGAGAAGAGGACGGCGAGGCTGCGCCATGTTCGTCGATGCCCATGACGTAGGTCCCGTAAAATGTCAACAGCATTAACCCGTGATACTCAATTGTCATGTCGGACAGCGTGCGCATGTGCAGCGGGCTGTCACTCAGCCTGATCCGGGCCCCTCTGCCAGCGCCGACCTCGCGGACCCGGGCGAATGCTCGCGCCACGGCCAGACTGCGACTCAGGTAGCCCAAGCCGCCAATGGCAGATCGAATTCGTGTAATGGTGAGGATGGTGGTGATCTCTCGGATGCCCTTGCCTTCTTCACCAATCAGCCAGCCCCGCATACCGTCGAGCTCCAGCTCCGCCGTGGGCAGCGACTTTGTGCCCATTTTATTCTTGAGCCGGGTAATGCGCACGCCGTTGAGCTCCATGCCGCCCTTTTTGCCACCCGCGGACACGGCGAGGTTCGGATTCCAGCGGCGCATCGGTGCGTAAAAGGCGCTCAGGCCCTTTCCTGGGGACGTCTGCGCGAGGAGGATGGTCATATTGCTGTCTGTCGCGCTGGAAAACCACTTGAAGCCGGAGATGGTCCACGGGCCCAGCGGTATGTCCTCGGAAGGGCTGCATTGCGGCGAGAATCCATCAGAAGTACTGACCGGTGCATATGAGGCAATCGTCTCCGTCTTGGAAACGTCGCTACCTCCAGGGCGCTCCGTCATCCATTGGCCGCTCGTCCAGGCCTTGCTCGGGTCACGGGATGTGAGATGGACAAAAGCGTTCTCAAATACTCTTTTCTCCACCGGGCTGAGCTTGCGGCCTTGGCCTGTGAGTTGTCTCTGGAGGAGTCGGCTGGCACCGTCTTGCATGGCCTGTGGGCATGATGTATTTGCACTCGACCCTTCCCAGAGAAGTAGACGCATGTACTGTAACACTCGTGTGTACTGTCCTAGGCCTTGCTCGTATCCCTGAGCAGAAAATCTGTGCAATAATGGTCCATTCAGCTTTCCGTTCTGGCAAATTCAGGTCATGTCCTCTCCCAATCCATTTTGTTGATTGAGAAAATTCATGTAACGAGTGTTACCACTTACCCATTTTCAAAACCGCGATCTTGAAGTTTCTTCCAGCCTTCAGTCACGACTAATTTCGTGTCAACGGGGCGACCGAAAGCATTCTTGCCCCCGCCAGTAATGTACGGTTGATTCTTCTCGGCGTCGGTAACCCATTCAAGGACTTGTGGAGAGAGTGCTTCATCGCAAAGCTGCTCAATCTCCGAAGCCGCGCCTTGTAACACCTGGCCTGGCACAAACACTACATATGAGTCCAGCCGATTAGATCAATATTTCGACAGTGGTCATGTTTTGGTGATTGTTCGGATACAAACGTTGGGAGAGGGATCAGAGAATGGCCTTACATTTCAACACCCTCTGAATACTCGGATCCTCGTGGAATTGGTTGCTCAACACGGGAACTTCTTGGAAGAACCCTCTTGTGGCACTCGCCTTTTCCATTTCTTACTTATCGCTTAACCACTTTTAATGTATCCTAATATACTCCTAGTGAATTGATCCCGCGATTTCCAATTGTTGGAAACCTGCCCCGGTAACAGAGTTAAACCAATAATGGTGAAATCGAACGCCCGCAATGACGCGGATTGAGGACAACTCTGTGTATAGAAGATTAATGCAATAAACCAAAGTTACTCAAAACTCCGATGTACATTATCTGATGCAGGTTATTTGCCATACAAAGCTCAAATCATAACATCCTGAAGCTTGAGTGAAAAGATACTGCTACTTTAAAAGTGCATGCTTCGTTTTAGACCGAGGCATGCATGTGGTTTTGCGGGGTCGGCTGACGGCTGACGGCTAACCCCCTGGCTAAACAAGATCGACATGACCATGGAAGCATCCGCCCACTGCGTTTATTAGCTACCGCGTAGTGTGATGCTATAATCTTCAGTACGATCGGAAAGCCATCTCCAGGATAGCAGTCCAATGCATGCGAATGAACAGCTTTTGCTGTCTCTGCTTGGCAAGTGGCTGAGCCTCGATTGAGTTGGGGGGCTTGATGGAATGGCAATCGCACAGAATCGTTTGATGTATGTACTATCTCTCGCCATCTGTCATACATAGAATCCGGGTTATGATTGAGCCAGAGGCCCTGGCTATTGGGCCTTTAGTGCCCTGACTCCTATTTCGACACTGGCGCCATTGATGAAGAATAGTGGAGAAGGAGCCAAATTGCGACAATCATGCTGTTCAGCGAACTTTGGAGAAACCATTTTCTGCCAACTAGATTTTCTACTCTTTTGTGTTTTTCTTAGATGCATATATAGAGACACTGTATCTAGCCACATGTGCATTTTAGAACTTCCGCGCGGAGTTCTGTAGCGCCCGGCATAGCGTATTTACATGACTTCTGCGTCGTGCTGAATCTGGACTTCGGGATGCTAAAGTGGCCCGTTTCCGGTAGTCAAGTAGCGTACATAGCTAAAGTAGCAGTGAATTACTGTAGTCACTGTAGTCACACAATTTGGCATTTTTTGTACAAAGACTCGCTAGACTCGAGTAATGTAATCCTTTAGCTCGGTAAATCGTTGCGAGGGAGTTGTAGGTACGTCAATTTGTGCACATAGTAATGGTGGCTGATAAGCCCAAGTCGAAGTAATAATGTACACTCTATGAGGATCTATTTCGTCTTTTCATCCAAGCTCGTCAAGATACAAAAATGTTTATCAATACATATACAAGAATTGTGATGCCAAGGCCGGATGCTCAGGCCAAATCATATCCGTGAGGTTCGTCGCAGATTTCAATGTACCGGCGTCAACTTGACGTGCATGGCGCCTTTGTTCCATAGTGTCCAAATGTTCTGGTTGGCGGCCCAATCTTTACTCTCGTCCATGAGTTCCAGGTCAAAGTGCCACAAGAGTCGGGTCAAGATGAGGCGCATCTCTCCGTAAGCAAGGCTAAGAAAGCAGCAAGATTAGCTTCTCTGTATACGATTTTGGCAGGCAAAGAAGAAAAGAAATGGCTACTCACTTGCGTCCGATACAGTTGCGTGGACCGACGGAGAAGGGTTGGAGCACGTCTCTGGCGTCGCCAGCGAACTGGGCATCACCCATCCACCGCTCGGGGATGAAGCGCTGTGGCTCTACCCAGTTGTGCTCAGATTGATATGCCGACCATTGAGGTATAGATACAGCCGTCTGTGATCTGAGTTAGATAATTGTCTTTGCTTCGGACTGGCCCCAAGACGATATTTGACGGGGGCTTTTGCAGGCAGCTCACGTTTTGCGGTATCCAGTAGCCTTCAATCGAGGCGCCACCTGGAGGAGTCACTCGAGGCAGCCCGACGGGCACGGGAGGATCTTGTATTGATTAGCGATAATCTTCTCCATGCGTAGAGATAACTTACACATTCGAAAACCCTCGTCAAAGACAGCTAGCAGGTATTTTAGGTTGTTGACACTGTTTAGAGTAATCTCATCCTTGGAGGTGAAAGTGGTCCGTATTTCAGAGACGAGTTTATCGTATTTTTCCCGATTAGTCAACAATTGAAAAGTTGTTCCGCTGAGCTGTGTAGCTGTGGTCTCGCTGCCAGCAATGATGAGAATACTCGAGTTTGCAATGATTTCGTCAGTGGTCAATCCCTTTTCATCATTGTGTCGGAGGATATACGACATAAAGTCCTCGCGTTCCGTGTTGCCAGTCTCGATGCGGCGCAAGGCAGTCTTCCTGGTGAGTTCCTGGTGGTCCTGCAGGCTCTTTACGAGCTTGGCCGGAGTGAGAAAGGGAGCCAACCTCTTGAGCATTGGATATCTTTGAAACAATTGGTAGTAAACGCCATTATGGATGGTCTCGAAAATCATGGCAACCCAAGGGTGGTATCCTCCGCTTTCGAGACATCCAAAGGGCTCGCCAAAGGCCAGGTCACCGATAAGGTCAAATGTAGTAAAGTTATACCAAGAGACTATGTCGAGTGCCTCTTGTTTTGAAGCCTTTTCTGCCATTTTGGCGATGAAGGCATCAACGTACTGATTCATTACGTCCTCTTGGTTGCGCAGAGCTTTCTCTGAAAAGGCGTGTGCCAGAGAGCGACGCATGCGCTTATGATCAGAGTCGATGGCCTGGATGATCTGTGACTGACCAGGCTTTGGTTCGCGATAAGCTAGGTAATCTTTGGAAAAGTTCTTTGATGTGTTGTTCTGGTGCCCGTAAATGGTCTTCCAAGCACCGGCTGTAATAAAGGAGACATCGCGAGGTGTGTACCGAACTGCGGTGCCGTATTGATCATGCAGCTGCTTCAATCTATGCGGCCATCGACCTTGCACAAGATGATAGAGATAAGGAATATCGGTGGCGGCATAAAGTCTCGGGCCTGGGACTTTGGCGAGAGGATGGAAATAGGCTCGATAAACACCACGGAGAATGAAGAGCGCGACCGACTGGGAATTTGGTTAACGACATGACCTGATAGTTTAGACCATTGAACGCACTATGGGCACCACTAAGATGGCGGCTAGATGAAGGTTCAGCATTGTCGCCTCAGTGTTTGGGCACGCGATGCAATTGAGCTAGGTTAGATGATGCAATGTCGAGAGAGAAGAGTATGGCAATCAAAGATTCGAAAACGAATGTTGCCTTGTTTCTTCTTCTTCTTCTTCGGATGGATGCTATATATGCTGTAGACGCTGTAGATGGTCTTTCGTCGTATAGAGGCAGTGCATAGGTACTAGGCAGTGAAGGTTCGTTCGCATTCGCATACCTATTTCCTTCCTATGCTAATTCCATGGCACGTCGCAGGACCGGACCCCTAAGGTGTTGTGTCTATTTTTCTAGCAGAATCCACTTTGTGCATCGGCAGCCCGCGACCCCGGGACCCTTTATACCAGAAATCGGGCTTGCACAGAAGGACACATATCAAGCCCAACCCAATAGAGTTTGCATCCAGTGGCATAGATAGAACAGGCATTCCCACCCACAGTCCAGAAAAACAAGACGACTGTGCGTTGCGACTATTGGGAGCAGATCTCCCCTTAGCGAGTCTTGGACCCTGGCTAAGTCGACATGGTTCAAATGACGTATCCACGACCTGGACGAAATACAAGACCAGGATATGATATTGCCCTTGTCACATTTTGCAAAAATCACAATGTGGGTGAATATCTACGAATTGTGTCAGTAGTCTTTGATAATATGATGAAAACGTCAAACATGAAATGCTGGTGTGGAGGATGGGGAAGACAAACAGTGTCTATCATCAAAGGAGCAAGTCGTGGCGTTGACAGTAATGAACGAGGAAAAGAAATGAGATACGCTGTACGATAGCGAACCCGATACCGACAGCCACGAGTGCCAGGTGGGTGGCTTACCAGGTCTGCAGTGGATGTGGCACAGCGCCAATTGCCCATTTACTACCTAGGTTGCGCCAATCATCGGTACAGCATTTCGACAACACGACTTGAATGTACGTATATGGCCTCCCGCGAATCTTCTCGGACCGATGTGAAACATATCTTGACTCTTTTGCTTGGTGAAATCGGCACGCACGAGCATAGAAGCTTTCCGATTGCTAAGCGGGTTTGGGTTTGGGCTTGGGGGGGACACATCCTGGGGCCATTTTGGCGCCCTTGCACAAAAATTTAGCAAGGCACCTCGGCATTCTCTAGTGCCCGACGGGATTCTTGACGTTTAGTCTGGGGCTTTCAGCGGGTTTAGGACTTGGAATCGAGAAGCGCACGCTGATCAATCCCGGCGCCGGCTGCTCAAAGCTCCCCGACAAGGCGGCTCGACTCAACCTGGATACTGTTGACACTACAGATTACTTGCATTCGACCTAGACATGACTGGTCTACTTGATACCTATTTTGGGATATTGTTTCCCTCTTAAACTGACATTCTGGTCTCCTAGCAAAGCACTTTGATCCTAATCATGACTGAAACAAACGACACGAGTGACTTTGCTGCATTACGAGTCATTTGGGCTTTATATGCTGAACTCTATTCTGTCGTTCCACCATTTCTTGCTACTGCTGCCCCCAAATTCAATCGGCGTGACCGTTGCGCGCACACTAACGAATCTGCTCTCTGAGTCTCCACTACAGGTAGTTATGAAAAACGGGGAGTCGCTGCGGTACCTTCTTGACTAGCAAACTAGCTTCTCTTACTACCGTATATAGACAAACTGGCACGCACTCTGATCAGGACTGTCTCTCCTTCTTGCGACATTCCAGATCGATTTGTTTTGGCTTCGTTCAAACACGCTCTTTAATTCCTTTACTCATTTTTTTCTTTTTCATTTCCGCATATTAACTTTCGCTATTTAATCAGGGCAGGAGGAAGAGCACAGCTGGACAAAAAGGTGTCGTCAACATGGCCGCCAATGATGCGCAGGCTAAGGAGTCGCCGCCTGAGAAGGGCCAAGTCAATAACGGTCCACACCCTGATCAGATTGATCAATACTTCGAAGACACGGCCAAAACTCCGCGAAAATTCTCACAATTCTTCAGCCATTTCAAAGCCAGGGATCTCAAAAACCTCTTTAAATCGTCACTCGCCGTATGGGTCATGACCATACTGATCTTTATCAATCCTACACTCAACACCATTGGACAAGCGACTTTCTTTGGATGGTGCGGCAACCTCACTCTTGCTCAATTTAGTTGGCCCGGATGCTAACGGAGGAATAGCGTCGTCTTGTTCATCGTCCCGCCGTCTGGCGTGGTCTTCATTCATGTGCTGGCTGGCTTGACGATCTGTATTGGTATGGCTTTGGCTTGGGCATGGGGAACAATCACCATGAAAGCAGCTCTGGCCACTCGACCTGCGGCGGATCTTCAGGCTCAATATGCCGTCCTCCAGCAGGCAATCGCTTCGGGATCTATTCAGGCTTCTGGGCAATCTACGGCGTTGCAAGTGGCCATCTACAATGGGCTTTTGCTGGATACGCGCGTCACACTGACCTATTTCTGTATGATGGGATTGTTCATTTACTTGATGGTGAGTCTATCACAGACCCAGCTTCAATCAAGGCAAAACTGACGTACATCAAGGCGCGGATACGAGTCGTGGCACCAAAACTCACTCTGGTTGGCATATTTTCCATGATTATCGCCGACATTTACATAACGACCGCTCCACTACTTCCGACATTCCAAGGAACCATCCCTAAAACCTTGATCCTACCTACTGCTATTGCGGTGGGTATTGGAATGGTTTGTAACATTCTAATCTTCCCCCAGTCGACGTCATCCATTGTCGTCGATTCCATGAGCGACATCTTGTCCCCAATGCCTGACTTCGTCCGAGCCTTTGCGCACTCGCTCGGCAACACAGCGCGTAACTTCGACACGAAGCAGATTGAGCGATTGCAATTGAAACTGGCTGTGGCCTACAAGAGTGCAGATGCTTCTGCCAAGTTCTTGCCACTGGACTTCTCTTACATCCATTGGAGTCCCAGCGATGTCGGTTCACTACAAAAACCGCTGCGAGGTGTTCTGGTTGCATTCGGCGAGTTAGTTCAGCTGCCTATCTCCAGGGAACGCATGAGGACGAAGAAGGCCGCATTTGAAGAGACGGTCAAGGATCTTATGGGTGAAGATGCGACCGACTTCAAGTTTCCGGTTGCCCACTATCAGATTGCCAAAGTACTTGCGCTGCGGGAAACGTCGAGACATCCGGATATAGATCGATTGATCATGGAGACTGCCACAATACTCACGTCATGTGCTACACCTCTCTTGGAGACTTGGTCGCACGGTATTACTGTGGTTATCCAGGCCTTGCAAGGTGCATTCGACAAGGGCCCAGTCAAGAACCTGACAGCTCATGAAGAAACACTGCAATCGCTAAAGAACCTGGCAGAGACCTTTACCGCCGACACTTCAGAGAAACTCCTACTTCCCCACGCTCATCTGTTCGATTCGGATGGAAACCTGAAAAGCGAAGAGGAACATGACCGTCGCGTGTTGCTGTCTTACATGCTAGGGCTCTTGTATCAGGAGCGCATCATTAATATTTCCAAGGCTCTCGAAAATCTCCTGCAAGAAATCATCAATCTGGAAAAGGCACGAGAGCGTAAACGGGTATGGGCACCCGCCCAGCTGGGTAAACTGCTGTCCTGGGCCTCCTCCAAGGACGACGCGACTCCGGGTATGCCGGGAAATCCAAACTCCACACCACCCACCGCCGCCGCTACCAAACCTCGTCAACGAAGCGACGCCAGCCGGTCCTTGTCCACTTCAGCATCCCCTACTCTGGCAGGTCTGGACGGTGCAGCGCGACTTGAAGATATGCGGGTTCCCCGTCATCGTCCAAGGTCAATGGCCAGCAAGATTCTTCTCGACATTGTCAACTTCTTTGGTAACGATGCAGGAGTTCACGCCGCGCGGACTCTCATCTTGAGTATTGCCTTGGCTGTTCCCGCGGTCATCACAACCTCATCTGGATTCTACTACCGCGAAAAGGGTCTCTGGGCCTTGATCATGGCCCAAATGGCCATAGTGCCCTACACATCCGACTTCATTTCGGGCCTTATTCTCCGACTTACCGCCACCGTCGCCGGCGGAGTCATCGGCCTGGTCTGCTGGTACATTGGCGCAGGGTCCGGGTCCGGCAACCCCTACGGCATGGCGGCCGTCATGGCCGTGGCCATTGTGGTGCTCATGTACTGGCGCCTCTTTGCGCCGCAGGAGCAGCTCCAGGCCGGCATCATGCTGACCTCGACGCTGTACCTGGTCGTCGCCTACAGCTGGAACGACACGCACAACCCGACCTACGGTAATCCCGGCGTCGGGTACAATGTCTTTTGGCGACGCCTCTTGTTGGTCCTGATTGGTTTTGCCGCTTCCGCCATCGTCATGTTTCTCCCGCGGCCGCCCTCTGGCCACAGACATTACCGGGACCTGCTGTCGAGCCAGCTCTCGTCCTTCAAGGAGCGTTATGCCCTCTTTGTGTCCACGTGGGAAGATCCACCCGCCGACCTTGTCGAGGTGGTCGAGAGGGAAGGGTTGCTCTCGCAAGAGGTTCTCGAAACTTCGATACAGCCCATGACGCTGCTCAAATTCGAATTTTCCTCCAGCAATCTTGACTCGCGAACCCTTGTAGCAGTGGGCAAGTTGTGTATCGATTTGAACACAACCATTACCCAACTCCTGGTGTACGCCAGGCGGTTAACTTCGGAACAGCGGGCGAGGTTTATGCTATACACCGGCGCCAACGATGAAATCTTCGTCGCCGATCTGATGGCCGTATTTTCACTCGTACAAGGAACTTTGAGTACTGGCAAACCCTTGCCTACAATCTTGCGAACACCCTTGGTCAGCAGGTCATTGGGCAAGGCCAGACGCAACGGCCCAGACGAGGTCGACGGAGGAGCCAAAGAAATGACAGCACGTGAGATGTTGACAGGGGACAGTGGGAGGAATTGGGCCAGCGCTGTCGGTGCATTCATCTCTCTTTCGGCAAGGATTGATGAGCTAGTCATTATTTTGAAGAAGGCTGTGGGCGAGGAGTTTATGATTGACTCTACGGCGTTGGCGGTATAGAATTGGACATGACCAGACATATGGGATTATTTGCACGTATAAGTAGTAAAACATTCGAGCGAACTTTCCCCCAACAAATCCAAAAAAAAAATCTTATGTATTGGCTAAATATGGCATGACAGAGGATGCGGGACGAATATGTCCCAATCCACTTTTAATTCCACATCAGAGTATCAATTGATAGGTACATGGCGCGAGGTCTCCAATAATTCTGTCCGCTACCGACCTTATCATAGCAAGTGCGTCCTCAATTAGCCAGTGTATAGCTGTCACCCGTTGAATCTTCTTTTTAGTGGGTGTGGTCAATCTAAGCATCTGTCCTGTATATAGGTGAAGTATTCGATAGGCTCTGACTATAGTGATGAATTAGTTCCAGACCATCTTGAACCACCTTTAGTTACTCTCTGCCCGGTGTTTCTGGCTGATATAATCAAGAAACAAGCATGATGAAGTCCGAAGGAGGCTGTCGAAGCACTTTTGTTTACCAGCATTCCCTGATGCTGAGGCAGTCAGTTAATCGTATCTCCCACAATTGGCATAATATACTGAATGGACTTACGGAATGGGGAGGAAAAGTAAACCCGGCCTTGACGACGGAAGGGGTGGATTAGAAACACTGCCAAAACTAAGAATGTTCCACGAAAAGAAGTGTTGAAGGGACGATTTGTAACATTCCTCCCCGAAAAGCAATTGCTGGCTCCGGATCAGGACAAAGTACTGGTGCAAATCTGTTGCTATTCCCAATTGTGATTCTTCCCAACAGCTACAATAGATACGACTTCGAGGCGAGTCGTCCACGACCTCATTCCGACGTGGTGTGCTTGCAAGGCGAGGCAGGGTTGATATAGGCGCTTACCGACTAATGGCTCGTGGTTGTACAGTGTAAGCGAGGCCGATTAGCAGGCTGCAGTTCTACGACTGGCGACCATGCAAACTAATGCTGAACCCCATGTCTGACTGGCCGTGACCATGGCCATGAACGCTATTGTGGTCTTGGCCGATGACTGATACGACCCAGATACCAAGGTCCAGGACAGTGTACTCAGGTCACGGCCATACGGAATAGCCTACACACAAAGAGGGGGACTTGTGAGATAGACGGGAGTTGGCAAGAACCGGGATTGGGCAAGTCGATTGTAGATAAAGACCCATCATACCTCGGGCGCCAACGCAGCCAAGAACCTTATTGTTTTGACAGGGGGTGCATAGAATGTGTGGCCATCGAAAGAAAGGTGGATCACTGCCGGGCTTCTTGTTTTGTTTCCACACAGAAGAATACTTAGGCTTCGTGGCAATTTACACCGGGATGCAAGAAATGGTAACTGTGACGATCCGTGTGATCCGTGCTGGCCAGCCTGGGCCCCCGTTCCCCACCGGCTTATCCGGAGCTGTAGATAAAACCGTTCCGTAGCCGAGCATCACTTTAAGCTGCTCGTCTTTAGATCATCATTTAATCATAGGGTATACATAGCAAAGTCCATTATTGTCCATTGGTGCCGTAACCAGGGGCCGGAAACCCTGCCAATAAAGATTGAGGTTCGGAAGCTAATGCAGCTATTAACCTTGAATCAGCAATGGCGCCCCCACGTTCATCGAGCTTGTAAGTGTCATAAAGACCGGCGGTTTAGATGGTTTTCAACTGTTGATTGCATAATAAATATATATAATGGCATAATTTAATATAAAGCTGGAAGCAACTCGCCTTTCCCGGTGTAAAGCAGGTGGCTTAGCCTTAAATGCAATAATTAAAACACATATTAGATATTCCTAAGATAATTATGGTGTGGCTAATTGTTAAAACAAACAAAAACTGCCCGATTAGAGCCTCGGAGACTTTATGCGAGAGATGCTCCGACGGCAACCAAGAAGAGTATATAAAGCGAGCTTAGTTCGAAACGCTAGACGTCGTTCAATATGGCGCGGTGGTATAGCACTCTGCAGGATTAAATTCTCAAGAGGTCAATGGTTTTTGACCCCGAGCTGCCCACAAAGTATGAAGATTGACCGGGAACCCCTTTGGAGCCTAATGTCAGTATCTGCCCTTGGTTACTATGTATTGCATTAGAATCCCTGCTGAGTCTTCGCGCGCTTATGGGCCCGCCCTTACCAGTGTCGGGGAAGTTCTTCCGGTTCGATCTCATGTTGCAGGATGCGAAGCCTAGATCTTGTAAAGTCGTGGTGCTTCCCATTGAACCAATGTGACTTAGAATACTGTATAATACCTAACACTCTCGGCTATACGAATTGATAGTCCGAGACGATCTAAGGGCTCATGCTACACTATATGATTGGTTTGCACTGAACGACCTCAACCGTATGCACCACTAGTGTAATCTCCCCTGAATCTCCCCAGATTGCCGTGCCACCACCACTAATCACCGGGAATAATAATCGCGATCTGTGTACGATTGTGGCTTCGGGTCGGAATCGGCTTGCTCTGAAAACTCGGTCCCGAAAGCTATATGCGTACACTAATATCTGCTGTATAGATTATAAAGCGACGCAAATGCCTTTTCTTCTTCCTTTTCCGCGGAGTGGAGCCAGCCTTGGTCTATGATGGACTAGGTGCCCGGTTGAATAATGATTGATAAGTGAATATTGTGGCAGGGTGTAAGAACGTGAGGGCGAGTAAGAGTGATAAAATAGCAACGGTAGGTGTATTTAGTACAGAAAGCAAAAGCCTGCCTAATCTCAAGCAGCGGGGTAGCGCTATAGTGACTATATTTCATTTCCTTCGCTGAAACGGCGAAGCATAGCCGTAATCCCACGTAGGCGGGTTCCCCGAATAGGCAACTCTTAACCTCCCCCTCCCCCTCCCCTCCCCCTCTTAACCGGGAAAAAAAAAACCGTATTCCCCTGCAGGATTCTAAAACCGGGTTTAATTCTCTAAAGATACCACCTAGAGTTAAAATCGGCGCAAGAATTAGAGCTCTGTGGCAAAGAGTTGGGAAAGGCAATGTGGCCGTATAGCCGAACCATGGTATGGTTGGGATTCAAGCCGTCAAATTTGGATGTCCTGGCTGATTTCCCCCCGAAGACGTCGGCTCAGTGTTCGATTTGAATTGTAAAGGCTATGGACCCAACTACTGCCGCGATGTCATGGATAATCGGCTGTCCACGATCGTTGAGCTCTCGATTCGACGGCGGATAGTCTCCTGATGGCACCGTCACCTTCGCCACGCCACAGGAGAAGTCCTGAGAACCGATCTCCCCTAGATCCTGTTATTCTGCGTCGGCAGTTGACCGGATGTCGCCGTGAAGATGACCGGCAGCCGAGACGCGCTGGTTAACCTCGACCAAAGTATATGACTGTACAACAGTGTCCAAAAAAAAAAAATGGCCAGAACTCAATGGGAAGTCGACGCACGGGTTCCGCTGAGAGAATGTCAAGTTGGATGGCTATACTACTCCTCAGGATTTTAGATACGGCGCATCGCCTTGGTTCCAATGCATACCATGCCCACATGGCCACGTTTACCAGTCAGCTTATCCTTAGCATATAATCTCGGTTTCCTTCGTGGGAAACGATGAATGCTTTTATATCGAAAAAGTTCTGCCACTTTAGTTCAGTGTGAATAATAATATATTATATTTGAATTCGATGAGGGTGACGACTATCGGCGTCTATTTGAATAATGGCGTTTCGCCACGTGAGTGGTATTACATTTTAGGCGTGACGAGGACCATGGCACTCCACGAAAACCTTCCCTTTCGAATTCCCGTCCTCTCATTGTTTCTCTTCTCTTGTGTTGAAGCACGGATAATCCATATTGAGCGCTGACTATTATGTACGTGCGTACTTGGTCAGATCCACCTAGTATTCCGCTAGTAGCATGGGCCGAGCCGCATCGTGCATTATTAGCCTCCTAAGATGAGTGACGGGGAACCAGGGTAATCGGAGCCGATGATGCAATAATCACCTTGCATCGATTTCTAAACACCTCGAACCACCTCGGGGTCGAACCCTTCCTGAAAGTCAAAATCTACAAGGCCTGAAAGATGCTCCACAACGTTGTGACATAAAGATGAGGGACACACAGGATCATCCAACCATATTTAGTTAATCCTTTATTTCACGGAAGTAAAAATATTGGGGATTATGCAAAGGTTGGCCGATTAGTTACTGTGTGTATTAGACCCCCCTTAATCACCTAATCACCCAATTATGTAGTGACCTAAGAAATCCATGATGGCTAACTGCGGCACCGTCCTAACTAGCGAGGAGGGCACACTGCGAAGACAATCGCCATGAGCTTACACGTTGCTAAATAGGGGAGGGGAGGGAACGAGCTTCGATGAAGTCGACTGTAGACCGAGGACTCTGAATACCTTCACGTAGAACCTGGCCTAGCACGCCGCGTGCCCCACGGGAGGCCCTGCTTGAGCTCGCTACGCGAGCCGGCCCCGGCGTTAAATACCACTACCTACCTACCTACCTACATAGTGACCCAAAGAAAGAAAAAAGGGATTAGCGGCTCTATGCGCGTCTCGACTACCTATGTTTTTAATCGGGGAAGTAGTCCGAAAGTTTAAAAAGTTCGATGTATTTCGTGCCAAATCTATATCAAAGTCCTTTGAAAAAGCGAGAACCTAGCACGCACTTCCAAAATGCATAAAAGTCGCCTTTAATTCATTAAGTTAAAGAAGCGATGCAATAAAGAAGCGATGCAATAAACAAGGAAAGTTCTGCTCTTTTACAACTGCCGTGGTAAAGAAAACATCATCCCTGTTTTATTAACTTTCAATCGAGCGTTGACATGCACTTTCAATTGTTATATTGTGTTTGGAGATAATCCATCGCCTATATTCCTCGCACTTGCCAATCTTGTCCCAAACCTTGTCAACAAACGATCAAGTTACTGCAATGCTTTTCCATATCATCGCGTGTTTATTGTTCTTTTTTGTCTCTAAGCTTTGAAAATATTACGTCATTCAAAATCCTAATGTCATTCTCAAATTTCTTTCAATATTCGGATCAGACTGCGTCTTCTGCTTTGGCGCAGAAGAAGCGCCAAGCTTGTGAACGATGTCGCAGCCAGAAGCTTAAGTGCATTCGCAACGAGGGCATTCCAAACCAGCCTTGCTTCCGCTGTACCGATGCCCGGGTCGATTGCATCACAAATACGCAGCGAAGGATAGGTCGCCCTGCAAAACCTCGTGGCGAACATCAACAAGACTCCAACAGAAGGACAGACGCGGGTAACGGAAGCCAATATACCTCAGCAGAAGTCCCGGACGATGTATCTTGGAATATGGATGACTTTGGATTTAACTCCCTCATATCCTTTCCACACGGAAGTACAGCTGTTGATTATGACTCAGCACCATCATTGGACACTTTCCATTCTGAGACCAGACAGATACCTTTCCAGCAAGCGGAGAACTATTTTGGAATGGTTGCAGAAGATAGGGAAACCGGATTAGTCTCGAGTTCCAGCGGAAACCTGGAGTCCCAATTACTTCGACTACAGCAACAGCTCACAAAGCTAGTAAATGAAATGCAGACAAAACACTGGAGTATCACGGCCTCAATGGCGCTCAAGTACCAAATGGAGGACTACGATATTATCAAAGACGCTCAAATGGATGGGCCCAGCTTCAACCCGCTCGCTGCTACATTCCAATCAATTTCGATATTTGTTCATCTTTTGGACGAAACAGTGGTTACCATCTTCTCTCAGCAATCTGCAGCAGTTTCCAATCGGTCAGGCTGGGTCAAGAGCCAATACGTGTTAACTGCCTTGGCGTGTTATATGCAGATACTTACTGCTTATGACTGTATAGTCTCGCACGTCTTAGATCAGTGCTCACGGAACCCGGACATTAAGGATTTCTTTTTGAACGAATCCCCAAAACTTGCAATTGCAGGCTTTGTCATTCCACAACCAAAGAACGTACTTGGTAGGCTGCTTGTACAGCTCTTGGAGTTGAAACTCTTGCCGGTAGAGTCAGCACTAGGGCTTCCAGATGTTTATCGTGTCTCCCCAGAAATGAATGACAGAGACAGCTGGAAAGGTGGTGGGTTACTGAAGGAGACGGATGGAAGGTTACTCTTAGATATATTGGAGAACATAGACTCCCGAGCCACGTTGAATTCATCGGAGCCGAAGGGTCCACAAGCATTGCGGGATAAATTGAACTCACTTAGATCACTAGAATTATAGCAGTAGCAAACCCATTCTACCAACAATAGCTGGTTGCATACTAATTCTCGCGCTGTGACGTATCTTTAACAGTAGATTATTTGTCGTACTGACATAGTCAGTACCCACCGCAGATCACCTGCTTGGGTATATAGTCGCTCTTCAGCACCTCTCTTTTGTAGACTAGAGATCAACTCAGACAACTTTCAATGCTTCCTCGATCATCTCGTCTTCAGTTCCCCCCTCACACATCGGCTCAGGTGAGGTTATTATTATCATCAAATTGGATCAATCTAAGCTGTGTTGGCAGTATTTCATTCGACACAAACACAGAGCCCTGAGTCCAACTTGGGCTACGTAGTTATCGAGAAGTACTGGTTTTGGTACCTTCTTTATATGTATACTGGACATTTTCTCAGATTTGAACTGGATTCACTGCGTTTAGGCTCTGTGTTCAATTCTCCCGACATCGCATCGCCAATATTGTGGCACGTCACTAAGACCTTGGGAAAATGTTCATCGGAAAAGTGACTCCTTTGAGAAGTAAAGCGCTCGACCTCACCCAAATACATGACAGCCGAGATGCTCTGCAGGCTTACCACAAACATGTTTCTCAACTATTCCATATCTATAGATATTCTGAGGCTTCGGGCTAGAATTCTGCACATCCATCAATCCCTCTTGACAATCCTAGGCAGTCCAAGCCAAAGACCGAGAATTACCACCAACAGCGCTAGAATAATAGGCTGCAAGACTTGTACACCTTTCGCTTGCGCAATTGCTCCAACTGCGAATGGCAATATTGCAGCACCACTTGACCCGAAAGCCGCAGCAAAGCCTATTGCCCCAACATGAAGGTGGCGTGGGAGCAATCTCGACATAATCACGATGGTAGCAGGGAATAGCGGCCCTAGAAAGAAACCTTGCAGTCCAACCGCAACTGCTGACACAATGAGCTGTGGTACAAGCCAGAATAATAGCTCGAGTCCCATGATTAGGAGGAGATAAATCTAAACTTCATTAGCTGTAAATCCCGGAGAATTCAGACGTTCTTACAGATATGGCTAATTTCTCGCCGATTTTAGGCGTGATGAAACCAAGGACAAATCTTCCAACGGTGATTCCCAACCAAAAGCCGGTAGCCGTCATTCCGCTGGCAACCTCACTGCCGTGGCGAACTTGAATCATGAAAACAACGATCCAGCCTCCCAACGCGACCTCAATGCCCACATAACCTAACAGGAACAAGGAACAGAGCCAAGTTACTCGAGCAGATGGTCGCGTTATAAGAACTGCGCTGAGAGTTGCCTTTTCATCATTTCCAGTGCTGGAATCGTTCTCGCTTACAGAAGCCTTGTAAGCTACGCCAGAAGACGACCAAAAGCTAAAAACCAAAGACAGGAATTCGAGGCCGGCGAATCCGATCTGTGACATTCACATTAGAGCCATGCTCATGAGACAAGTTATGCTTAAGCTGGACTAGATGTCATGTGAGATATGGTCTAGGACTTACCATCAAGTAGTAGTAGGTATACCACGGCAACCCGGCTGTCGCGACCATAGAAGTTGCAATCAAAGGTGAAAGAACCGCTCCTGCACCGTAGAATCCGTGAAGGAAGCCTAGAAGCTGGTTTGCACTCTCCATGCTTCCTATGAAAGCATTCCACCCGGCATCCCCAATGCCATTGCCGAATCCTGCTATCGCAAATGCGACAACCAGAACAGGGTAAGGAGGGTGAATAGCGACCTTGTTAAAAGCGTAAGCTGAATGAAAGCTCAGAGAGACGAGAGTTGTAGCTTTATTTTAGAAAAACAAACTTACAAGTGTGTACGCAAGAATATGAGCTCCAGCGGTAAGAGCGGCTACACCTCGCTGTCCCCAGAACTCATGTACCCGATTATTCAAAAGTGCCGATGATATATAACCCACCAAAGGTGATAGGAAAATGATGGATACGACAAGGTAAGACAGATTATAGTAACTCTCAATCTATGACTTGGTTAGTTCAAAAAGCAGAACGAATGATGACACTCGTGATGCGCGCATGTGCGTGCTTGTGTGTGTGTGGTTAATTGTACAACAGGCGGGAAAGCTCTTACGTAGTGAATCAAGGCCTGTAATTATTTGTAAGCATTTTCCCCTGTGATTTCTCTGATGTTGCTAAAAGCGGCTTTGCGACGTCTAGGAGAAGGTTAAAGTGTCAGTGCGAAACTTACACCATAAGCAGCATCATTGGCCCCCATTACTATGAAAGACCAAAAACAAGCTGCGATTTTTACGATATTTCTCCTGGGATGATTCCATCGCTGAACAGTCGTTGGAGGCACGGAGTTAGGCGAAGTCTCCGGCTCTGTAGTAGGAGTGTCGTTCATGGGTGCGACGCGACGCGACACTTCTTGCTGTTTCAATTCCGCCGTCTCGGTGGAGCTTGCGGTCGGTGCCATCGTAACGCAGAAACTGCTGCTTAGCAACGCGACCAGAACACCTAAGATGTAGGCGTACTAGATTGAGTGCAGTTCAATAAAGACTCAAAATAGCAATCCCCCCCAAAAAAGAATGAGCACGGGGAGAGAATTTGTGTGGAAAAATGATTCAAATAATTCGATGTCTCGATCAAAGATACTTGCGAAACAGGGAATAGTAGTATTGGTGTAGAATTTGAGGAGGGATAACGACGGTTTTTATATTGCGCGATACAAATAATTTTAGCTGCATAATGACTGTTCAATTATCAGCCACTCATTTAACTGCCGATGCTACCTTTGCAATCCCCATTTTAGTATTAGTGGGCTTTTCGGAGGATGCGACCGCCAAGGGAAGAATTTCCAACCCAAAAGGCTAATCTGGATGCGGCGATTTTTAGACATACATTTGCGTTTCCGGGCTTTTTATTTGTTGACATTATAGCACGCCGTGGCGTCCATGCAGTATGTATATAGTGTATGGAGGTCTATTGATGTTCCCCTGCCATGAAGGGGTTATTATTTACAGCTGGCTATGAGCTGAGAGGGCTATAAGCTGGCCACGTATCTGCCCAGCTGGAGCCTCCTCCAGCTCGATTGAAAAAAAAAGGGGGAAAGGCAGGGGGGATGGAACAAGTGCAATAATTATGCTGACCCAGCACTACCTTCTTTCGCCAGTTCAGCAGTCTGTTGTTTCTTTCTATTAGAGGAAAACTGAAATGAGCATTTGAGCTAAACTACATTAAAAGCGACAAAGACAGTACAAAGAAACATAGGTAGCTCATCATAGCTTGGGTGAAACAGAAACTCTCCAATCTTGCCAATTTTGTAGGACCAAGTTAACTGGATTCTTTAACCTCTTTGTACTTGCCTCAAAAACCTTTGGTAACTTCGTATCATGAAAACTTGCTCCTTCTATTATCATTGATGCGAGCCCTTTTGCCGCGAGGTATGCTTGAGGCATGCCATGCCCAGAGAAACCAGCAATGATGAATTGATTTGGTCTATCCGGTAGATTTCCCACGAAGGGCACCCCATCTGCTGAGTGTCCCATTACTATTTGCCAAGTCAGCTATAAAGTAGAGTCTCTTATTTTCACTGTTAAATGACTTACTCCCAGTCCATATTTCCTGGGTTTCTGCTTCACTATCTTCCCAGCCATGGAAATGTCGCTGCATATAGCCATCGAAATGTGGATGTGTCCCTCGCATCAATTCGTCATCCGCGACATTGTCGTACCATTCGGCTTTGTTGTGGTAATACTTTACACGGCCACCACCGACAACCAAACTGCCATCCAGGAGGGGGACGAGGTACTCGGAATCGATCGAACTACGTCGTATAGTACATGAGTTTTTCAAAACAGCGGTGCTTGTCTTAGGAACAATACGACAGCACGTGCCCCTCACGGGGATAATTTTGTCCTTTAACTCGGGCAATAATGCAGCTGTGTATGCATTGGTGGCATAAACAATTTGTTTTGCGCGTACTTTGCCCCTGTCCGTTGTTACCGTGGCGTACCCATCGTCATCGGGCGTGGTAGTGACATGCTTAACGCAAGTATGTGTTTGAAGATTAACTCCCATATCCAAGGCCTTGGACAAAAGATGCATAAGCAGTTTGTAGGGATGCAGATGCCCTGCCGGATAAGTGATGCAACCTTTTGCACCCTTGACGCCCGAGACCTAGAAACCATAAGCTTGTATTGCATTCAAGTGTGAGGCAGTTTACCTGTTCCGCCTTGGTACCAGACAGTGTCTGAATGGCACTCATCATAGACACATCTTTTCTTTTCAGTTCCGCTAGCTTGTCTCTCGTTTCATTCAAAAATGTCTCATCCAAGAAGACGTCGATGCAACGTGTCAAAATTAAATCACAGTCGATATCCTCACTCTCAATGAGCTCCTTGAGAGCTGACACATGCTGCTGTTCAAATCTGGCACACTCGATGGCAGCATCCAAGCCGTAGTTACGTGCAACTGCTGTAGCCATACCACATACGTCAGGTTTTAAGTGGCCACCTTATAGTCTGATTAACAAAATAGCTTCAAAGTTACTGGAAATGGGAATTACCATTACGACCTGTCGCTCCGGAGCACGCTTCACGTGCCTCCAAGAGAAGTATAGATGGCATGGGAATGTCCTTGTTTTGAGCTAGCTCAAGCATGTGGTGCATTACAGATATCCCAGCATATCCAGCACCGATAACAATAACATCCACTGTGTCAGGGAGCTTTGATGTGGTCCGTTGATCATCGATTGGGTGCACCATTGTTCTCCAAAAGGACACCGTAGGATTTTGAACTGGAACCGCAGGTGCAGCCATGGTGTTTCTGGGGGCTCCAGCTTCTGGAATGTATAGGTATGAATCCGACGGAGAAGATAATTTCAAAGAGTATATTGAATCTACGCTCCAAGTATCAGCGTGTCATTCATCTATCATCTGAACGCTCAATTTACAAGACGAGAAACGCAAGTGATACTATCTCCATTTATATTATTTCATTGATACTGCTCAACTGAAAGCAACATAACCGGGATCGGTCAATATTTGAACAGCCTAGCCTCCTACATGCTATGCGACTTCCGTTAATTGCTTGTCTATACTATTGTAATCATAGTTGAGGATATCTGTATTGCATAGTAATTGAAGAAAGAAAGCGTACAATTTATAAATGCATAAATTGACTGTCGGAATGAGAAATGCACAAGACTAATTGTGTCACTTTATGCAAGCTTCGTACAAGTTTATAGCCCGGATATGCTTTCGGCAAATGACGCGATCCCTGTCTTGGGAAATTTCCGATGCAGAAGATTCTATTAAAATTGGTCGGTGTAAAGTCAAAAACCCTCCGGTACAAGAAGCCCACGAAAGACAAAAAGGAGGAAAAAAAAAAAACCTTCCGATGCAAAGAATTCCCGACAGGCCCGCAATGCAAAAGTACCCAAATAGTATGGCGAGATTTACTATCCACAAAAGGGGAAAGTAATGAAGGTGAAAAGAAAAAAAATGAAAAAGAAGAAGAGAAAGAAAAAGGAACAAATACACAGACTGCCTCAGGTATACGAAAAGATTTCTCGGATGCATAACGTCAAGTGAATGAGGATTGTGTGAATTTTCGGGTTTTCTTCTCCTCGGTCTCTACGCCTTTGTGTCGGTATGTTAGCTATGTTTGTACACACCTCGGTCACTTTTACCCAATTCGGACATACTAGTAGTTCATGGCAGCCCATCACCCTCCTTTTTCTTTTTTCCTCTTCTGATATGGAGTAGGGAAATGGAAGTGCCAGCACCGACAAGTAGGTGATCGCGCGCTTGCCGTGGCAAATCAGTACATGCTTGAAAACGATCAACACATTGACACTCGCTTGGGGCAATTATATGACTTAGCTTAGTCTACATTAGCGCCTTGATCACAGCTTGTGAATATCTGTTGCATTGCTCGGGTAGCCTAGTACGTCCACAGTATAATGCTGTTTCAGACATATTCCGACCAGAGAACCCCAGCGATGAAAAAAATACCCAAGAGTATTTGCTCATCTGGATTTGATTACCATTAAATCCCTATATACGCATGCAGGAGCACCCTACGCCCCAGCGCTCACACACACACACACACATATATACAGATGCAAATACGTATACTGTATCCAGACTCTCATTGCCATTTATCCTTACGCTATTAGTTGAGATCTTATACATTCTTATCAAATGCATCATAAACTCACCATTATCGGTTGCGGCGTTTTTGGTCGTTCCATTGTCGATGGGCTTTTATCATCTGAGAGTTCTCCTGAATACCGTTTGGCTTTGACACACCGCCGTTTCGAGGCTCTCAAGGCCCTTCAGATCGATTACCCTGACGCTGTGGTTTCAAGGGACAATGGAGACCCCTTGATCTGGGATCATACTGACGGTGCAGCCATAAGGCATGTTGTACTCATCGCAACACAGCCACGTTTCACGTCAAACGTCTGTAAAGATATCTGCAATGCTGTGAAGTCTGCGAGAAGCGCCCAGGAGCTTGTCGTCGTCACCGTATGTCCTGGCATCACTCTAGCCCAGCTCAAAAGTTGGTTGCCCTGCGAAACCACAATTATACGGGCCATGCCAAATACCCCCATTTCCATCAGTCAAGGCGCAACCGCCCTATTTGCCAGCGAGTCCGCCCCCTGCGAAGTGGTGTCAGAAGTTCGCGCGATTTTCAGGCGAATTTCCCCTGTCGTTGCTATGCTTCCACGGGAGGAGCTCATGGACGTTGCAGCTGCCGTATCTGGGTATGTAAATTCTCCTGTCGTATGCGATACAATTCTTGTTTCCATCAAGACTGTTCCGAAGAGTATCTAAAACTTTCTTCAGATCTGGTCCGGCGTATGTGTACTACTTACTGCAAGCACTGGTGGCTACTGGTTCATCCCTAGGTCTTCCAAGTGAGCTTGCCCATCAGTTGGTAGTCCAGTCATGCATGGGGGCGGTCATGCTCGTCAAGGAGGCTGCCGAAACACCCTTATCAGACCTACTGGCTCACGTATGTGTCGCCGGCGGCAGTACTGAAAAGGCAATGAGTACATTGAACCGTTGTGATCTCCGCACAATCCTGCAGACGGCAGTGGAGGAGAGCTGGCATGCAAACCAGGCAATGGGAAAAGATGTCTAGTAGGGCTCGAGCTTAGCATGAATACCAGAGAAGTATCAGATACTCTGACTGAATTCCATTGCAGCGATACAGTACTCTTTCGTGTGAAATTCATTGTAGCCCTTCCGATTGGCCATCATCTTGGAAGTGGATTGCAATGGCTCACTGCAGAATGACGAGCAGCACTTTACCTCTTGGTATCTACATGAGCTATGGGCAGTGTTCCACAGCTGGATTAGAAGGGAAGTATCCAATCTAGGAGTAGTACTATACTCCAGATAACGGCCTATAAGCCAGTCGCACTTATAGTAGATTGGCCTTTTAGCCACAAATATGGGTTGCTAGTTATGGATATGTCAAGTTGAATTTGTGTAACTAGAACGAGGCCTAGTGATTCGTGCTTGTCAACATGAATGAAGTAGCTGATTCCCTTTAATACACTATCAATTTGCCCTGATTGAGAAAGTTGAGGTCCTAGTTAATCCTCCACGAAGAAGGGGAGAATCAAACTGACCTAGATATATCATTTTGCGATATGACATCCTGCTAACTAGTTAGTTACGTCTTCTCGTTCAAATGTCCTGCTGCTCGCTACGGCATTATTGTTGCTGCATCACATAAAGTATCATGGATATATCACTACCAGATCAGATTCGCGGACTTCTGTGAACCAGATGTGCTTGTCTAAGCGTCTCGGGCTGACTGAAGCAAGTTTGGTCACTGCTGAATATAATCATTCAGGAGATTAACAGAATGTAAATCAAGCCTGCGCTCAACTTTAACATCGACCCCGGTGAGAACTCCAGATAAGTCCGATCCCGATAGATCATTCTTCAAGATTCATCTGATGTAGGCGATTACCAAATCAAGTTTCTCGTTTTTCGGGGTAGATTCCTTGACCCCTTGTGTATATCATAGTAAAATCACTGTTGAGTAACTCTGAGCGTAGCAAGTTTTAGTAGCAGTCGAAACACTGGTTGAAGCTCGATTCATGGTTTGGGGCCAGGAAAACTAAAATCTATCAGATAGAGTTCATTTAGTATAGGCTCGCAGGAGCAATATTGATAGAAGGCAGACTTCTTAGTGACCTAATATACAACTGCATTCCGAAGTCTGTGATATTCCCGAGACAGCATATCCGGAAACTTGGAAGGCTCATTCGCGGACACAAACTTATCGTAAGGTCCCATCGAAGCGTCCGCATTGGCATTAACGAAGAAAGCCACCGAGAGACGAGACGGGATCGTTCCGGATTCTGAACACTTTGGCCCAGGAGGGACATTGACCTGATGCAAGACTGGTTTCAAAAGACCATTCGTCCACCGTTCCAGTGTCTCGCCACCATTGACAATCAGTTCAGTTTTGTTTACTAATGAGACGGATTCGAACGATCCCGGAGAGCTCTGATTCTCGACCTCGAGGCCTCCACTACTGTCCTGCACGAGCAAAGTGATTGCACTTGCATCGGTGTGCGGCCAGATACGCATCGTATTGTTGGACTGAAGTTTCTCAGCTGAGACATTAGGATAATGAATCAGGCGCATTTCGCTCTTGCAGCCGTCACAGCGGCTTACAAAAGAGTCTTGAGGAACCCCCAAGGCCAGCTCAAGAGCGTTGAGAACTCTCATGGCAACTTTGTGCGACTTGAACCAGTATTGCTCTAGCCAGGATCTGAGCCCCGGAATGCTGGTTTCTGCTGGCCATTGATTGGGGAAATCAGTATCGTTCGGACCTCCCATATCAAAGGTTTCCTGTATTGATGTATATCAGTCTCAATCGAGCCACGCGTCACACATGTCCCACATACCTTGAAATCTTCCCGCCCTTCGTGGCTGGCCATTTCAAGATTGACTGCACCGTTGATATTCAAAGTTGCGGTTTTCTCAACACCAACAGCGCTGTAACCACGCTGAGGTTCTGGTCCAGCAACATTGGACACTGCTAGCTTCTCCTCCAGAGGAAGTGCAAAGAACGCTTTGTTCTGAAATCATAAATTAGCCAATATTTAGAATACGAGAAGTCATCATACCCAGGCAAGGAGCTGGTTAATTTCCGATTCGGAAATGCCATGACCAACAAGTTTAATGAAGCCGTCCCGACGAAAGCCTTCTAAAGCCTTTCTTGCGAATTCTGGGGAGTTGGATTGGAAATCGCTTAGATCCAGTGTGAATGGAGTCATCGTGATGGCTGGGTTTCGAAAACTGTAAAAGTGTGGTTGCGGGGAAGAATAGTGTTGTACTTAGAATATATTTCAATAGGTTTCGCAATCTCTCTCTCTTTCCCTTTCTCTCTTTCTCTCTATATATATACATATGTATATGTGTGTAAGTGGAACAGGGTCCAAATTTCCTATTCCTCGATAGTCATAGCGTATCGAAGGGTCGGACATAGAGCAGTACTGTGTACTTCTCTAATCAAGTCTGGGTTTGATCTCCCAAAGCAGAGAGGCTTGTAAAAGTCAAAGTACTCTAAAAATCAGCCAGAATTTTCAAGTGACCAATACAAACTAATTTTCGATATCATGCCTCGGAGAACGTGTTTTGACAATGTGGGTAAGGACTTGCGTAGAGTTTGGTTCTTTCTACATAGTCCGATTTTTCCGGGATAAAACCGATTATGCCGACAGTTCTCATGGCAAATATCTCCGTAACATACTTGCAAAAGCTTCTTATCAGCATTCTGCTCGAATGCCCGTCTCGTGAATGCAACCACCGGAAACATTTCTATTGCTTGTTGGAAGCTGCATAATCTCCGATGTTGTTCGTTTCTCATTAAAAGCCGAGCCCGTGCTTGGCCACCAAGGTTAGGCTGTATTCAGAAAATTAATACTTGTTGATTCGTCCGGAGTATTACTCTTGAGTTTCGGCGTGTAACAGTAAAGGTGAAAGGCGCCAAACAATACTCAATCGCTATCGCTAGGTGGCATTCGGGCCCTAAAGCATATTGGGTTAGAATGGAAATAGCGCTCGGTAATGCCCAAGTCCGGTTGGAAAATTACCCACAGTACATCTTCACTACCGCACTGTATCAAATCTAATTCCTTACATTCGTGGACTTCTTGAAGGGTTACATGACACTTATCAGAGCAGGGGTCGATTTGGGCTTGTAAAGTCAGTTCAATCAAGCAAACGTGCAAGTGGTACGCTCGTTATTTCTGATCTCGGTTTATTTTGCTCAGGTAGAACTAAAGCTGTCTCATTAAGGACCAAAGTTGTACTACATATCCTTGACCTCATAAAATTTTCTTCCAAAGGAGAACCACACAAAACAGATTAGGCTCAAAATCAACACCAAAATACCAGGCGTATAATTTGCCTGGTAGGTAGACACTGGCAAGTCCGGAGGGAACGAGTAGAAAACAAGAACAATCAAAGTCCATCCAAGCATGATGACGTTTGCGATGCACCCCAGCATCGGAAACCAAAAAGGCCCGTGACTAATCTGAGCCCGTCCCCTGTAATGAACTAAGATGACTGGCAGGCTATAAGTGAAGTACTGCAATATGACACCTGCGGCAGAGAAGGAGGTGAATGCTATCTCCGAGCCAAGATACAGGCACCCTGCAATAGCCGTCCCGAAGGCAGAGCCAAATAGAGACCATATTGGAGTATGGAAGGGTGAAGATGCAAGTCTGCAGAAATGGTGGTGTAGAGGGAACGCTGCTTCCCGGCTAAGTGTCCAAGCAAGACGAGATTGCCAAAGTTGGACAGCCCAAACAGTTCCCATACTGACAATGAGGATCGGGATTGATAGAACCGCGGCAGCAACCTTGCTGTGAGTGATTCGGTAGATCAAGACAACGGCCGAGTTGTCATCCGACGCATCAATCCCATCAGGTAGGTTAACCAGTATGGCTAAGATAGTAATCAACCCCGAGCAGAACCCAATAGCGATTGTCCACATGAGAACCTTGGGTATATTGGTGGCAGGGGACGGAATCTCTTCTGCCAAGTGCGTGGTGACATCAAGGCAGGAGAAAATCCAGTTCAGGCCATTGACGCCGATCAAGAATGCTGCGCCGTTTGGCCATCCCGATGCATTGTCAAGGGGTCCCAAGAAACTTTCCGTGGTGGCGCGGGTAGTAGACATTGCGAAGAGTGTGATGGAGAAAACGCCGAAGGTAATGCAACTCAAGATTAACATGAGCTTAGATATCGTTGGCTGGGCAAATTTGAAGGTTGCTAGGAGCAAGGTGATGAGATTAAGTGCCTGATATCCCGCAAATCCCATCCACCTCTGGTATACAAAGGCTGGTTTTAGGAGCTTGATCAGCGAGAAGAGATATTGGAAGACGGCAAGGCAGCCTGAGGCACCTATAATGATTGCGGAGAACCATCCAGTCATCCCCGTGGCGTAAGACAGGAATCGTCGATATTCGGGCGGGGCCAATCGATTCACCCAAATGTATTGTCCGCCAGGGTGAGGCATAGCAGAGCATAGCTCAGCAAGGCTTATGGCTGTGGACAGGGCAATCACTGCCATCATGAGAAAGCCACCCAGAAGCAGGGGTGCTCCACCGAAGGGTAACACGGTACCAACGACGAGTAATACTCCAAGAGCCGTGTTGGTGATACTATAGCCAATGCCGAGTGCCGAGAAAGTGCTGAATTGTCTTTTGTTTTCTATGCTTGTAGCCGAATTTTCCGCGTTATCGAGCATTCTGAGGAAATGCACGTCCACTTTGATACAGGATTCACGAGAAGTGAAAAAGAGTGTTATGATAATCATATATGTCAGATACAGAATTAAGGTCACTTGTGACTATTATCAAACTTTACACGGAAGATATAAATACTTCAGTATTATGCGAGGTATTATGTCGATGCATTCTTCTGTTTCCCTGGTTAGATGTCGGTGAAGTTGATGCTACCGAATGAATCAATATCCGAATGAAATGTGACAGATTCCTGTTTTTTAGGTGTATAATAGCGTCGACCGTGTAGTCGATCCGTAAGTAAAATCAAGGAATTGGCCGGGTTCGTATGGATGAATGTGCATTAGCACGCCATGATAAATGTTACAGGGATAGTTTTGCATCGGTCTTCGGACAATTCGCTGCAGTGTGATGATCAGACGACACTCAAATACCCAAACTAATATGCCACCACATTTAGCTCATTTATTGGTCGATTAAAGAGCTCCAATAGTGTGATAATCGCCACACGTGTCAAGTCAATTAAAGAAAGAAGAATATAAATGGGGACGATTGAAAATCTTACTTGACGTGCAAAGATCCCATTCGCCACAGTCCTCTAGCAGTCACTATACTTCAGGGCTTAGCATCTAAAGGTTCTTGGTTGTTTCTTTGGAGTCTTCTTGTTGTTAGACATCGTTCAAGATATCTCATCTACGCTTCAACCATGGGATCAATTTCGACTCCTCCAGTCAATATCACAGTGTCTGATTATGACATAGACAGCAAGGATTACCCTTCAGAAGATATCTTGACGCAAGAGGTTATCAAACGGCTCAAAGTCGCGGGTGGGTGTATTGTTCGTAATTTATTTGGGCAAAATACCGTCTATTCAATCACGCGGGATTTTGAACCCTATCTAAAAGCCAAGCAAACAAGTGCAGGTCAGTTACCAGCTTTCTCACAGAGCTACCCTTCGACTAATGCTCTTGGTAGATTATTTTTGGCCTTCTGAAACGACGCTTCTGAATGGCCTCGTGAGTAAATCGGACACATTTACTCGAGAAGTCGTTGGCAACAGGACCTTCCAAGAGGCATCTGAGCACCTATTGACCTCTCCATCCAAAGGCTTCTGGGTATGGCATACTGCGATCAGTTCATCACAAAAGACATGCATAATAAATTAATCATGAGAGACAGGTTGGCCAGAGGCTTATTAAGCCAATCTCAAAACCCCAGATGAACAATACATGTGCTTTCAGAATTGCACCAGGGGCAGAGGATCAAGGTTTCCACAGGGATGACAACGTTCATCATGGGCAAGTACCCTAATGCAAGTAAAGTGAAATGTGAAGCTCATATTTCCCAGATGGAATGGACATGCAGATGAGTATATCATAGGCAGAGACACTGGTGTGGCTATATTCATGGCGCTCACGAAAACCACCAAAGCCAATGGTGCCACTCGTTTCATCCCTGGAAGCCACCTTTGGGATTATACTACCCCGCCACCCGAGAACAACGACTCCTGTGTCTATATAGAGCTGAGCCCTGGGGACGCTTTCTTCATGCTTCATTCGGTAAGTACTGATTAATTTGGAGGCTGTGCGGTCGAGGTACAAATGCTGGCGAAATGACTTACATTGTATGTAGACGCTTCATGGGGGGTCGGCCAACACGACCAAGGATGAATACCGTTTCATCTGTATGTCTACTTCAACCACCGGTCTTCTGAGACAAGAGGAGAATCAGTACCTAGCCAATGATGTGGAGAAGATCAAGAAACTACCACTTTCGTTGCAGAGGTTTCTTGGATGGGGTATCTCAGATCCTTGGAAGGGTTACGTCGAACTCAAAGACCCCGTTCTGCTATTGAACCCCGATGAAAAGGACTTGGCCAACACAGAATACTAAATAGTTCTCATTACATCGGTGGTGAATAGTGCTAGTTTCTTTATACTCAACAAGTTCTATAGTTTCTAGTTTGCAATGTCGAAAACACACTGGCTTATAGTTTCAGACAAATTCACCTTTCCTTCTTGCTTCCAATATCGGAATCCCAATTATATCAGAATATTAGCATCCAAGTGTCAGTATCACCACTCATCTAGAAACCTTTCGCTGCTTTTGTGATTATCATGATCTCGCCAAAATCATTCTGATTAGCTCTTATTCTAAACCAACACTGTGATAGCAACAGGAATTATATCGACTTAGTTACAGAGTTCAATTATAAAATATCAAGAACGATTTATAATCTATGAATGACTTAATGCATACTCGCTTCCCAAATGGACTAACAGTATCGCAGCAATACGTCTTTGATTACTATATGCATGATTGCTTGGGGTCTGCTTGCGACTTGCATGTCCACGCATCTCTCAAGAATGTCTCAATTCTCGTGATTTGCACTTCAGGAAACATGTCCATAAGGCTTTCCCCACCCAAATTGTACCCATCACTCAACAGTGTAAACATGGCCTCTTTCTCGACCAATTGATAGAGGTTCCCCCATTGTTCCTGTGCAAACAAATCTCGATTAGAAGGCAGCTGAGTAATCTGGCCTCTTTGGATATCCTCCACTGAGTCATATATCACAGTGAAGCTTTTCCCTGTGCATCTTGTAAGCTACCGTCTTGATATATGCGTTTTATTTGCGTCTTACACACCTGTAACTCTTTCTAGAATTTGTATCAGGTCTTTGAGCTGGAATTTGTTGCCTTCGATAAGCGATTCGCGAGGCCATCGATCGCCAGGGATATCAATGAGGCGCTCTACGATGGCTGCAAGGTCTGCTGAATGAGTAAAAACCATCATCTGTGTGCCGTCTCCTGGCAAGACACAAATCTCATGCTGTAGATCGACAAAAATTGACCAAGGCATCAGATTTGTCGGTTTTGGGTGGAATGGCATTGCAAGATAGTCGAGGAAAAGGCCGTTTCGGATGAGTGTCCAGGTGAGCTGCGGATGGCGCTCGAGCTCTTCCTCGGATCTGAGTTGATAACTCTTGAATGATAACTCGATACCTCTTTCGTAATTGCGTCAAGTAATGGTTTACAAGAAGATACAGATCTACCTACTGGATGGGAACATGGAAGTCAAGATGGTATTCACTGGGAATGAACTTTGACACAGTCCCGGATTGCGCGGAAGCGCGGATCAAATTGATTTGAGAGTCGGAAGTCTTTTCGTCAAGTAGTACTAGGGCAGAAACGACTACTTGGATGTCGTTCTCGCGTAATGTAGAGCTGATCTGGTCGACGTTGCTGTAGTTCACGCATAGGTGTTGCACTCGAGACTGTGCACTTATATTTGCTTCCTTGGGAAGATCAGTCAATCAGAATCAATAAGTGAGGTTTCCTGTGAATGTTACATGCATTTCTCGATAGCACGAAAACCCTGTGCTTGCCTGAGGCGATCATGGCATTCACCAAGGTGCGACCAACAGCCCCCGTGCCACCAGCAACAGCTACGATAGCCATGCTGACAAGTATAGAAGTAGTTTCGGAATCCGCGTCTCTGGGAGGAAAAAAAAAAAAAAAAAAAAAAAAGGCAAATGTGATTATAAGCGCGTATAATATCTAAGTAACCATAAACGCCAACCACATTTGTCAGAGGAAAAAAGTTTTTATTGTAGTCTGACGTATTTTTGGAATCGACAGGCTTCATCCGTCATCTTCCGTGATCTCTAAACATGTCAACGATATCAACCTTGCCCAGCTTACGGTTAAGGCCGTATTGAATATCCAGCCTTAGTCAAGTATGAGTGGACGCATGTGGCATTCAATTTACAAGGTTGTACCAATTGACTCGCCCCACCCGAGCTAATGGGTCGGACATATACTCACTACGGGCAGAACCCGTTCAATGCTACAATGATGGCGAGATTTTGCTTCCCGCATCGGAGCATTCGGAGATTCCCGTATAGTCGAAAAGGTCCGTCAAATCACCGACCTAGGATCATTTCGGTGCAATTCTGTGTGAAAAGGTTCTGGCTCGTAAATGATCTGTGATGGGCCATGAGATGGAAAGCGTACAATTATCAGGTTTCAATGTCTTCTCTAGTATTGGAGACTGGCGGATCTGCCGAAAGTCAGTTGGAACAAGGAATTGGTCATGTAATGCGCTTGCATAATATCGGGCCACTATTTGAGGCTGCGAGTACACGAGATTAAGGAATTAGAAATATACCTTCTTGTAGACTGATGTAAATCAACTATCCAATACAAGTTTAGTTGAAGCAAATCGTGTCCAAGTTGTTGCCGAAATTACAACCACACAAGTTATTGTACCATCTTCCCGAGCAACATGCCGGCCATCTCAGAGGCGGAGTATCTTGGTCTTGTGACTGGGTTCAATGCGACTGATGATGGTCGCTTTCTGGGGAAGCGCCTGGATCTGTTGTTCGAGGATGTTGTGGAAGAGCATCCATCCAGCATCGCCTTGATTCATGGCGATAACCGGGTATCATATCAAGAATTGAACAATTCTGCAAACAACTTTGCACGGTGCCTCGCTCGGCGGGGTGCGAATCAAGGCGACATCATTGGACTCGCCGTGGACCGCTCTATAGATTTGGTCACGGTCATGCTCGCTGTGTTGAAGCTCGGTGCAGCCTACGTACCAATCGATCTATCATTCCCCAAGAGTCGTATCGACCAGATGATAGAAGATGCCGAACCGAAATTCATCATTACGAGTGGACATACAGATAGTCTCTCACGCTGGAAAGGCTTGAGTCTGGGCGTTGATGAGATCAGACATGACGAGATCACCCATGCGAGCAATTTGGAAGTCAAAATTCAACCAGAGGACCTGGCGTATGTCATATACACCTCAGGTTCCACGGGGAAACCCAAAGGGGTTGAGATTAGCCATGGTGCTGCAACGAACTTTTTGGCCTCGCTAAGAGAGCGGGAACCGGGGTGCGGACCACATGATACATTGCTCGCCATCACTACGATTTCATTCGACATGTCCATCTTGGAGCTATTCTTACCCCTCCTGTCTGGGGCAAAAATGGTCATTGCACCAGCTGATGCTGTCAAGGACCCGCAGGAACTGCTGAGATTGATGCTGCTTCACGGCATTACCATGATGCAGGCAACGCCAGCAACATGGTCGATGCTATGTGATTCTGGGTGGCAAGATCAGCCGAGGCTTTCCAAAGCCATCTGTGGTGGTGAAGCACTTTCTCGCCAGCTCGCCGACCGCCTCTTAATCCATGCTGACACCGTGTGGAATGTCTATGGCCCATCTGAAACAACCTATGGAAGCGTCGGGCAAGTCGGTCATGATGGTGCCATCAGTGTGGGAAATCCGGTCGCGAATGGTCGCATCTACGTCCTTGATGAAGACCTCTCGCCGGTTCCCTTGGGAAGTAGTGGGGAGGTGTATATTGGTGGCGCCAGCGTATCGAATGGTTACCGTAACAAGCCAGAGCTTACGCGTTCCCGTTTCCTTCCAAACCCCTTCCATGGTGGTGTCTTCTTTCGTACAGGTGATCTTGGTCGTTTTCTGGAAGTGGGAAAGTTACATATCCATGGAAGAATTGACGACATGGTCAAGATTCGAGGCTATCGCATTGAAGTTGGTGATGTGGAAGCTGCTATAATGGACAATGTTGCGGTGTCCGAAACTGCTGTTATTGGACGCGCCGGCCGTCTTGTGGCCTACTGTGTGCCTAGTCCTGATTTCTCAACGACACTGTCATCCTCCGAACAGGCCGGAGCAATCCTCGATCACATTTTGCGACCTTGGCTTACAGAAAGGCTGCCAGAATATATGGTACCAGCATTCTTTGTGGCTATGGATGTCTTGCCGTTATCGCCAAATCAAAAGGTTGATCGAAAAGCCCTACCAGATCCTTTGATGAAGATGAGCATCATCTCTTCTAAGCAACCCACAACTAACTTGGAGACCCAAATACGAGACATATGGTCCAGCGTCCTAGGCCATGATCAAGTTGGTATTGAAGATGGCTTCTTTCAGATCGGAGGCGATTCCGTTAGACTGATCCAAGTACAAAAGCAGCTGGAGAAGTTGGTCGGCTTCAAGATACCAGTGCCTGTGTTGTTTGAACATTTCACAATCAAAGCGCTAGCTAAGTATCTCATGGGAGCCACGAGTATCTCTGAACAAAAGGTGGACACGGATCGCGATGCTGGATTTGACAGGAAGGTCCACGATGATGACATTGCGATTGTCTCCATGGCATGCCGTTTGCCTGGCCACATCCACGATCCTGATGACTTCTGGGATCTTCTCGAAAGGGGCGGTGATGCCATAACCAAAGTTCCGAAAGATCGTTGGGATGCTGACAAGCTCTACGATGCAAGCCCAGGCATACCCGGGAAATCATACTGTCGGTATGGCGGGTTCCTGGACTCGATCCTTACACACGATATATCTTTTTTCGGCATTTCGCCACGAGAGGCTCAGGAAATGGATTGCACGCAACTCTTGGCGCTTGAGGTTGCCTGGGAAGCCTTCGAGCGTGCTGGTTACACCCGGCAAATGCTCCAAGGCAGCGAGACCGGCGTGTTTTTGGGCGTCAGTAACAACTTGGCAACAAATCGAAAGTCGGGCAACCTGAATGGCTACTCCATCACGGGAAGCGCCAGTGCCGTGGCCTCTGGCCGTCTATCCTATTTTTTCGGCCTCCATGGACCAACGATGACCGTGGACACCGCATGTTCCTCTTCCCTAGTCACAGTGCATCTGGCATGCAACGCCTTACGCTTGGGTGAATGTGATATGGCCCTTGCAGGCGGCATGACGATATTATCCAGCCCTGGTATACATATCGAATTTAGTCAACTACAGGGATTATCACGCGATGGTCGCTGCCGAGCCTTCTCTGCTGATACGCAGGGCACAGGCTTCAGTGAGGGCATCTCCATGATGGTGCTTAAACGTCTATCCAAGGCAGAACGTGACGGCGACATTATTCATGCTGTTATCAGAGGCACAGGTGTGAATCATGGAGGACGAGCTGCGGGTCTTACCGTGCCTAGCGGCCCTAGCCAGGCCCGGCTGATTCGGAAAGTACTTGCAGGCGCTGGAGTTCAGGCCAGCGATGTCGATTACATTGAGGCGCATGGTACGGCTACAACGCTCGGTGACCCGATCGAGGCTGCAGCACTTGCTGAAGTCTTTCGTGGCAGAGACTCGAAAGCTGATCCCTTGTGGATTGGATCCTCCAAATCGAATATCGGCCATTGTGGAGCAGCAGCTGGCATTGCTGGTATGATCAAGGTCGCTCTGTCTCTTCAGCACAGCAAACTACCACGAACCCTGCATGCGGCAGTGCCGACTTCTGCAGTCGATTGGGAGGCAGCTAAAATGTCACTTGTTCAAGAAGAACAACCTTGGCCTGCCAGTATCCATAGAAAGCGTCACGCAGGCATCAGCTCGTACGGAATAGGAGGCACAGGCGCCCATGTCATTCTCGAGGAGTCTCCCAGCCCGGCAAATGAACTTGGTCAAATGAATAGTGGCGAATCACCATCATTTGATCTGGTATTTCTCATCTCTGGCCGGACGTCTATCGCCTTGCAACATCAAGTGCTGCGGTTCGAACAATACGTCAAGAGACCAGGTCCCAGCCCATCTCTTCAAGACATGGCCTTTTCGTTGGCGACTACTCGTACTCATTTTCATCACCGCTTGGCTTTCAAAGCCCGAAGTAAAGACGATTTGCTGGAGCAGCTGGCGTCAATCCGCGAGCCTAGTTCTTCGATAGTGACAAATCCTTTCGATCAGGATGTAAGAAAGCCACGCCTTGCTGTGCTCTTCAGCGGTCAGGGTAGCCAAGTCTTGGGCATGGGCAAAATGCTTTACCAGACATATCCACTCTTTCGCTCGTCGCTAGATCAAGTGGCAGCATATTTTTCTGAACTCGAAGCACCTTTGTTAGATGTGATGTGGGCTGAGGCTGGCACAAGCTTGGCTTTATTGCTAGATCGGACCGATTTTGCTCAGGCTGCAATATTCTCCATTCAGGCCTCACTTTGGCTGCTCTGCGAGAGCTTCGGGGTAGAACCCGATGTCATCCTAGGCCACAGCGTTGGTGAGTTCGCAGGGGCTTTTGCCGCTGGTGTTCTGGATCTTCCAAGTGCCTGCTCTCTTGTGGCTTGTCGTGGTTCCTTGATGCAAAGTATGCCCGACAGTGGTGCGATGGTAGCCATGGAGGCTGGTCTACAGGAGACCGTTGCAGCGATCAACCTTTTGGGGCATGGTAGTCAAGTCTCTATTGCTGCAAGTAACTCGCCAGAGCAAACGGTCATCTCTGGAAATCGCGAAGACGTAGGAGTCATCACGGCTCACTTTACCGCCAAGGGTCGCAAAAGCAAGAAACTCAATGTGTCTCGCGCGTTTCATTCACATCTTATGAGAGATATACTGCCACAATTCCGTGCAGTGGCAGAGAAAATCACCTTCCATCAACCTCGAATACCTATTGTCAGCAGTCGGACAGGTCAGCTGGCTGATGCAGGTCAGATGGAGGATCCAGAATACTGGGTCCAGCACATTGTCGACCCGGTACTCTTTACAGATGCCATATTTGCTGTTTCTGACTTGGGTGTCAATGTGTCTCTGGAGCTCGGCTCACGTCCAGTCCTCAGCAGCATGGGCATGGAATGCTTTGTAGACCGTCAAGAATCTGACTATATGACCTGGCTTCCCTCCCTTGCTCCGGGTCAGCAAGACCTTTCTGTCTTTCACCGAAGTCTCGCCGAACTACACATCCGCCATGTTGGGATCAATTGGTCGGCAGTCTTTTCTCCATTCCATTGTCGAAGGGTACAGCTACCTACATATGCTTTCCAACGCAACTACTCTCTTCCCCACGATGACGGCAACGAATCTACGTCGCAAGTACCTTCATCGGAGCTAGCGGCAAAGCCTACAGATCAAACGTTCGCTATTCAATGGCAGCCTTCCAATACTCAAAAGAAGCCTTTGATATCCACTTGGGGAATTCTTTGCCCGGCTGGCGTTGAATTGCCTTGGATGTCTGGGGTCATCGCCTCTTTGTCGCGCAGAGGCCTATATGTGCGGAAGGTGGACCAGCTTGGTGACGCAGAGTCGCTGAGTGGTCTGATCTGTCTAATGGACTTATCTGCAGATGTGTTGAGTCAGGCTCACACACTATCAAAAATGACTCTGAGTCTATTGCAAACGGCAGTGGAAGCCCGTTTTTCCCCAGAACTTGTATGGGTGACCCACCAAGCTGTTGGCACTGGCTTCCAGGACGGAGTTACGAATGCTGGGGCAGCACCTATATGGGGACTGATACGGACAGCCCGAACCGAGCACTCTGAATTGCGCCTACGCTTGATAGATCTAGGGGAAGGGCAGAGCACGGTCGACGCTTTCCCCTTGGCGCTTACTGTCGAAGATGAACCCGAATGTGCACTACGAGACGGTCAGGTACTGATACCTCGGATTGAACGCTACAGACCGCGCGATTCTTTACAAACGAAGCAGAACTGTTTCGTACGAAAGGATGGTGCAGTCTTGATTACAGGCGGCCTCGGCGATATTGGTCGTCAGTTTTGCAGGAGGCTAGTGAAATTCCATGCTGTGACCGATATAGTGCTTGCATGTCGCCGTGGAATGGATGTCCCGGGAGCTGAAGCACTGCTACAAGAGGTGGCAGAACTAGGAGCCAAAGTGACTGTGCTTACTGTTGATATGGGAGACCGACACGGTGTCGAAGGGATCTTTGAGCTCTTCTCCTCATCTCGCCCTTTGCGCGGTATCATTCATACCGCAGGTACACTCGATGATGGAGTGCTTACGTCTCTCACGGAAGGGAGGCTCGAAACTGTCTATCGGGGCAAGGTCGACGGTGCATGGCATCTCCATTGCCTGACGCAACATATGGATCTGGACTTCTTCATTATGTGCTCTTCTCTTTCTGGAGTGATAGGAAATGCTGGGCAGGCCAATTACGCCGCGGCCAACACGTTCCTTGACTCAATCGCATACATGCGTTCGGCGATGCATTTGCCGGCCACCACAGTCTCACTGGGACTATGGGGTGGCGAAGGGATGGGTGAAAGGCTTGATGAGCACTCTAAAGCTCGATATTCCGAGATGGGCATGTGCTCCTTACACCCAGAAACTGGCCTGGATTTGTTTGAACAGCTGGTTCAAGAGGACTGTCCTCACAGCATTGTGGCTGCCTATGACTTCGACAAACTCCAAACATACTACAATGAGTCCGGCGGTGTTCCCCCTCTGTTCCGATCGCTTGTCAAACCTAAGTTACTCTCCTCAGCTGATCTGAAAAGGCCAGTGCTTGTCAGCGCCTTACTGGAAGTTGACCGCGATCAGCATGAAACCATTGTTTTAAGCACTGTCCGACACGAAGTAGCTAAAGTCTTGGGATTTGCATCCGACGTCAGCATTAACATTGATGATCCATTGAGGGAACTTGGAGTCGACTCGTTGACTTCCATTGCTACACGCAAGCGCCTATCTAGCCTGACCGGCTTGACGCTTCCAAGCAAATTCGTGTTTGATCACCCCAATCTACGAACTCTGAGTCAATTTTTGTTGTCAGAAATGTACAAATCTCTATCGAGAAGTTCTTCTGAGACATGGAGTGACGCGACGGAAGCCACGAGTCAAGGCACGACATTACCAGAAACACCGAGCAATGAGGGATGTCTGGAACCTTGCCTTGCCTTCGATGCATCTCGCGCAATCCCGGGGCCCCCCAATACTGTCTTCATCACGGGCTCTACAGGGTATGTTGGTGCATTCATCACGGCCTATTTGCTGAGAAGAGGCATCAAGGCTCATTGTCTGGTTCGTGCTGCTTCCGCAACAGGTGCTCGGGACAGGGTGGTACAGATTCTGAGGCAGTATGGCCTTTGGACTCAAGACTATGAGTCGCTACTCACAGCAACATCCGGGGACATATCTAAGCCGTACTTTGGAATGTCTGAGCCAGAATTCGGGAAATTAGCGGGACAGGTTGACGCTGTGTGTCATGCAGCCGCTCTGGTAGACTGGATGCGACCATTAGACGACTACATCGGCGCAAACGTGACGAGTACGAAAGAAGTTCTCCGGCTAGCAGCTACCGGACGGCCGAAGCCAATTCACCACGTTTCGACTATAGCAGTCATTCCAAGGTACATGGGCTACAGTGTATCCAAGTCTGCTACAGAATATGGCTATTCAACTTCCAAGTGGATGGCAGAGCAGATGGTAAAAGCGGCAAGATGGCGAGGTGCCAAAGCCTCAATTTACCGTCTACCATACGTATCAGCAGCATCAACTGGCCATTTCCGGCTTGATCGTGGTGATTTCCTACACAACCTTGTGGTAGGATGTGTCGAGATGGGCAAATTCCCGTCAATTGCAACTGACCTATCCTTGGTCCTACCAGTTGATTATCTGGCAGAATCAATAGTCACGGTCATGACGGGAGACCTTCTGTCAGGAAATGATTTCAATTTGGTCAACAACAAGGCTTTGAGCTTTGACCAGTTCTTCAAGCTGTTGGCTGGCCCTCAACAGGAACTCATTCCGTTCAGCGAGTGGCGGACACAGGCCATGGAGTTTGCCACAACCAACCCGAAGAGTTCATTCGCGAGAATCTCTGCAGTCCTGGATATCTGTCCCACCGAAGAAGAAGCTATTGCAATGTTTCACTTTACAGGCATCGAAGTAGACATCTTTGCCTCCAACGAACTCCCACCACCGCCATCATTCAATGAGGATTCGGCGAGAGCTTATCTTGGACGGATTGCTTCGGTGAAAAGTGATGTATTCTAGAATAGTCGTTCATTACCTCGTACGACAACTCGTCCAACTGATCATTCTAATTGACGTGTCATGCAAAGAAAGACTTGGCCTGTGACTTAAAGATCCCAATTATTCGCACCAGTAAGATCCATGAGTTTGAGTTGATGGGCTGATAACGAGGGTGAAAATTACAGCTGTTTGGGGGGTTGAGAAGCCTTCTGTATATAGGTAGGTAATAAAGCTTGCTAATTCACCGGGCCTTCTCCACACTAGAAGTATTCTGTGGCAAAATGTTCTTCTCAAATCAAGAGTTCTTCTTAAACCCCCCCACTATAAAGTCTGCTATAACGTCCCTTACAGCCACTATAACCATCCACTAGACTATCCACTAAGTCACCCACTGGCAAAAAGAAAACTCGCGATTCTTTTCTTTTTCTTTCAAACACAATACGATTTTAATATAAAACCTACGGATTGACAATAGAATTTACTGGCTTACGACTACGGCAACACGTGTTTGCGGATTTACAACGAGCACGACGATGCAACCGGTTATTTTGGATTCTATTATATAGCAGTGCCTGCAGCGGCTCCTCTAGGGGACCAAGAAGAACTCTTCGTCCGAGAAGAACATTTTGCCACAGAAGGCTTATAGCGCTTCCAGAAAGACAAGAAGACTCCCCAACCCCCTAAATTTCCCACTACTGTAGGCAGGCGTGATGAGGAGGTAGGGACATCACAGTGAATAGCGTCACAACCAAAGTACAAGCCACTAAAGGCAAGGAGTAGTACAATAACAGTGCTCAAGGGAACAAAGACCAGAATTTGATACACTATCACCCTGAGTGTCCATTGGCTATTTTTTTCAACAGCTCGACGAAAAAGATTCAGCGTATAAACACGTAGATAGCATAATGAATGAATCAGCCTTCGAGGAAATTTTACCACCTATCATTAAGCCTCGGCGCGTATTTCGAATCGAACGCAAAGAGACACAAACATTCACACAGAGATTGATAATTGTTGACTCAAGTGTGCATTCACCAAGTATTCCTTGATTGACAGCCTTCAGATCACCAATCCAGTCGCGAGCATCGTCCTAAGTTCTCTGATCCACTGACCTTCTGGTGATCTCAAAGACGAATTTCGCCAAATTAAAGTTCAGTGCCTGCGGGGCATTCTTCTTCATCCTCTTCTTCTCCTCCCACCACATCATTCTGTGAATGATGAAATTGTACATTATGGTCCTAGATTCAAATGTCGAATGGCCAAGATCTGGACTTGGCGGCGAAGTGGACCCAGCACTGCCCGGATACTTTTGGCGATGGGCGCCTGTCATAGTACTCAAAGGGGTAAAATGGTCCAGGGTAAGCCCCAACAAGTCGGCAATTTATCCTGTCTCCGAGGCCCGATATGCCGAATTGGTATCAAGTAATTACTCACCGAATCTCAAGGCACAGCCGAAGACTAGGGTCACTAATACATCCCGCATCGGAGGTTTCTTTAGATATGTCTACGCGAGGGCTCTACTCGCGGCCTCAATTGGCTAAGGCAGATGCGCATCATGCCCGGCATTGATCAAACTAAACCTCACTATTCCCAACTGTCTGTTATTCGGCATTCATTGATATCTTGCATCATCTGAAGGCGAGGGCTTTGCTGATCATTTCTCGAGACAGTTCTGCTCCAGATTCCACGTGGTAATAGGCTCTAGATACATCGCTGAAGTTCTGCGCGCATGAGAGGAAGTCCGATTGGGTATTCTGGCCGGTGACATATTCTCCCCTGGCCATACTCGCCAGTATTGCGACACTCAAGTATTGTTGCAGTAAGGATTTTCTCTACAAGTTTCAGGGCGATAGGCGTGAAGGAAATCTATGAAATGTTAAATATTCTTGATGGCCTTGGGCACTTTGAACAACCGCTTACCAATATTTCACAAACACTGAACGTGATTATTAACTTGACTGTTTATTCTTTTTTAGATACTCTCTCTAACCGTGACGTTTATCGGACGACATCGCAACTATCATCATGATCGCCCGACCCATTGCGGCTCTAAACCATGCAACTAGTTCCGGTGGCATAAGAAATCACTCTGACTTTAGTAAGTTGGTACTCAACAACCGCAAGGCTAATGACCCTCAAAAGTTTTCCTAACACCGTTCCATGAGAATTAGACAAGCTTTATCGTGTGATGAGAAGCTTATCATTATGCAGGTCATGTCTCATGTTTTAAAATCATCGATTCAACCCTACGGGAGGTAAGAATCAGTCGGGATTTTACAGCATTTGAGGACGTATCTTATACTTACAACTTCTCCAGGGTGAGCAATTTTCCAACGCCTTCTTTGATACAGAGAAAAAGATCGAGATTGCCAGAGCTCTAGACGAATTTGGTGAGTACAAGTCCTCTTTGAAGAGAATGTATACTAAGCCTGAGTACAGGTGTTGACTACGTAGGTTTACTACTCATCAGCCACTCGAATCTTTGAAAAAAGTAGCTAAGATCTTTGCCCGAGAGCAGATCGAATTGACCACACCAGCAGCTAGTGAGCAGTCACGTGCGGATTGCGAAGCCATCTGTAAACTCGGCCTGAGAGCCAAGGTAGCTACGAAAGATCACTCGCATAAATCATGCATACTTATCAAAGTGGAAGATCCTGACTCATATTCGATGCAATATGGATGATGCTAGAATCGCTGTGGAAACTGGTGTACATGGCGTGTAAGTTGAGACCAGGGAAAACCTCATTGGTTTGGGAGGGGAAAGGGAAAAGAGAGTGTTTTCTCGCTGACACAAACAAGCAATCTTTTCTTAGGAACGTCATCATTTTCAATGAAAAGTTCTCACGGCAAAAAGATGTCTGATGTTCACAAGACAGCACTCGAGGTCATTGAATACGTCAAAGCCAGGAATATCGAGATCAGGTTCTCTTCTGAAGACAGCTTCCGGTCCGATCTCGTCGATCTGCTTTCCATCTATCAGGCTGTCAGCAAGGTAGGCGTCAATCGAGTTGGCATTGCGGATACAGTGGGCTGCGCCAATCCTCAACAAGTCTACGATTTGATCAAAACTATTCGCAGTGTCGTTTCATGTGAGATAGAAACACATTTTCACAATGATACAGGCTGTGCTATCGCAAACGCCTACTCTGCACTACGGGCCGGTGCAACCCATATTGATACTACCGTTCTCGGAATTGGGGAGCGCAATGGTATCACCCCTCTAGGCGGTCTGATAGCCTGCATGGTTGTTGCCGACCGCGACTATGTTATCAATAAATACAACATCAAGAAGCTCAAGGCGATTGAACAGCTGGTGGCTGACGCAGTCAAGATTGACATTCCCTTCAACAATTACATCACGGGTTCTTGCGCCTTTACACACAAGGCCGGCGTCCACGCCAAAGCTGTCCTCAACAACCCTTCAACGTATGAGGTTCTCAACCCAGCTGACTTTGGAATCGATCGATGCATAAATTTTGCGTCTCGCCTGACTGGCTGGAATGCCATAAAGGCGAGAGCAGAGGCTCTGTCCATTTCATTGACTGATGCTCAGTACAAGGAATGCACAGCCAAGGTCAAAGCCCTTGCCGATACCCGTGAGATCACTGCCGACGATACAGACAGCATTATAATTGGATTCCATGACGCACAGAAGCTTGGAGTATCCATAGAATGTGTCAGGAAGTGATCAAACTGGCACAGCTTGATGATTTACACTGAAAAGGGGGGAGAATGCATCAATCGATGAGGATGGAAACGCATAACGAATGCGATTTTCGATGTACAATATAGCCGTTATCATTAATTTTCCAATACGACAATCTTAATAACATATATTCGCGATTAGACTCGCTCGACTTCGCCCAGGGCACGCGACCCTTGCGAGGCGCTCCTTGGCTAACCGTCTATATTCACACAACTACAACCACATTGATTCCAATTCTAACTTGGGTCAATAGTATTATCATTCTCAGTCTATTGCTGTGGATGGAATTATTCATCTTTGGAAACAAATTGTCACGACGGAATGGCAATTGTGAGATTGAATCAACATCATAACCGAGATCTAGATAGATAGCATTATGTCGTTTAACTTGCACTATTGGCTATTAGAATTGGACATATCCAGACATACAGGAGCATTTGGACAAGTAAGTAGTAAAACGTTTGAGCAAATCTTTTTTTTAAAAAGAAAAAAAAAAGTATTGGCTGAATATAGCTTAATAGAGAATGAGGGGCGAATATGTCCCGATCTACTTTTAATCCCACATCACATGGGTAGTGTTGATGGGTAGGCGCTTTGCCACTCTCCTGATAGATGCAATATCAGCCACCAAGATTTGCTACGATGCATTTAATTGCATGTGATAAGTACCAGGTAGTAATCCCACGCTCGAATCTTCACTGCATCTAGTTCATACAATGTCCATAGTATGACCATTGTGAGAGTTCTTGGAATGATCACGGTAAATGTCAGTCAAATTCTCAGGTCATTGGCCGCATCATGAAATTAAAAGAGTGTTTGATCGTGAAAGATGATTTCATTAGGTCATGCTAAATATTATACAATTGACAGGACTGTCAATTCGCTAGGGTATCATCAATCTAGAGCGTTCAAGTAGCTCTACCTCTGCCCAATCGCAGTGTCTAGTAGCGGTGAGTTTGATCCTTGCCAACAGTTTTGGAGCCGTCGAGGTCGCTGTCAACACGGGGGTCAACCTTGTCTATAGTCACATATTAGCTATCGAAGTCCCATTTCATCAATTTTGGAATCGATTCGATGTCGTATCGATATCAATGACATCGATAATATCATCGATACGATACAGCATCGTCACGGTATCGATGTGGCAACTTACTCAACATGTCAGACTTGTGGGGTCCGGCGGTGTTCTGAGCAGGACCGACGTGAGACGTAGCAGCAGTGCCGCGGTGGTCTCTGTCAGAGTCGATGCGGGGGTCGGCGGCGTTGGCGACGCGAGAGTTGTGTGTGCCGTAAGTACCCTCGGGGGCATTGGAGCCGTAGCCAGTTGAGCCAGTCAGGCCGCTGGAGTGGGTACCGTGTGTACCGTGAGTACCGGTGGCGCCAATGCCAGAGTGGGTGTTGCTACCGAGACCAGAGCTGCCCAAGCCGGTAGTGTGGCCGGGAGCGCCACGGTGGTCGCGGTCAGAGTCAATACGGGGGTCGGCAGCGTTGGCCATGCGGGATCCGTGGGGACCGTGAACACTATAGTGTCGGAGTCAGTATATTTTCCAATCAAAACGGAGGGGTTGCTCTTACCCCTCGGCTGTGTCGTAGGCGCCAGTGGAGCCAATACCTCCGGCGTGAGTGCCGGTGTGGGCACCGGTGTGTGTTCCGGTGTGTGTACCGGTCGAGCCGAAACCGGTAGAGCCTACACCCTCATGGGGACGAGCAGCAGCACCCTCACCGTAGTGAGTGGTGGGGTTGGCGCGGTGGTCACGGTCGCTGTCGACACGGGGGTCGGCAGTGTTGGCAACTCTGGAGTTGTGAGGACCGTGAGAGCCTTGGGGAGCCTCGTGGGTCTTGTCCTTGTCGGAGTGGAGGGCGTCCTTGACCTTGTTGATAATGTTCGACATTTTGGATGATTTGTTTATGTGAGAAGATGTGTTGGTGAGAAGTGTGTAGATATGATTGGATTGAAAGTAGAGGTGACTATGAGTCGAGTGTTGTGTTATGATTGTAGTGTGGAATGATGAACAGAAGAAGTCGTCATGGAGGAGGAATTTGGGTTTCTTAAGTATTTGGCTTCGAGGCAGCTCAGGGAAGGTGCACAAGTAGATTGCTACCTACCTACCTACATACAAAACAACATACAGTAGTCACATCACGACACGGAGCTACTACTGAGTAACAAGATGCAAGCACATTTGGCGTTTGCTTGTTGCATTCGAGGCTCTGATGTCATACATCGTCATGTTTTTGGTAACAGCTAGTGTACATTGCAGAAGATGGGGTACGTACACTAATAACTTCACCCACGCTTGCAATTGTGCAAGTACCCATATGGGGCTGAACCGCCAGAGTGGAAACACCCGATGGCTGGAGACAAGCTTGTTCCAATCTCAAACATTCTTCCAGGGCCGAACGGTTATGTGTTGTGTGTAGTGTACATAGTGCACTATAGGTAGCGGGGTTGGGAACTAGGTTTTACGAGGTAACCCCCATCCATGGATGTAGGCATGTACTCTTGCACTTTGAACTTGGCTGCCCGAACGTCACATGGCGACCGGACATCATGTTTTGCGCTCAAGTTTGCCTAGGTATCAAGGTGTTCAACTATACACGACCCTACATAGATAGGCGCTCCAGTTTCCCCAAGCTCGGACTTGACAGCGGCACGTTGCTAGTCTGCTCAAATGCAGCAGATGATGGGGGAGGAATATGGTTAGATCGTGGAGTACAGGAGGACTACTCGTAGCTAATACTCACGCCTCGAGCGCTATGTTAGCATGATGTGCTGGTCTATTGAGTACACTATCATAGAGCCAAAGAGCAAACAGCTTGCGTTCAATTGATCCGGTAGGCTTTGATGTTCACGCATGCCTCGTCTGCCATGTTGCTCACGAACCAAGACCTAGACATGCCCTTGTGGAACAGCACATTCAAAATTGCCACAGCAAGACAAAGGCCCAAGGTACCGCTTCAACTTGGCCAAGGCACATAGATCTTGTTATTGTCCAAGCGGCATCGAATGAGGTATCGGGGCGAGGCATGAGTACTCCAGCAAGACACTAATGTAGGTCGCAAGCTCCGGCCGGGGAAAATGTTTGCAAAAATCAAGGCAATTCCAAACTAGACAAGCAACGAAATGTCAGACTACGAAAGCCTAGACCCGTCTCAAGAGGTTTTCTCCATTCTCCATTATGCACAAAATACGATTGACGACAGGTGGGAACTGTCCTTGTTGTGCATACAAACAAGGCACAAGTTGTCGTCGTGTCCCCAAAGAGATGCGTCGTCGGAATGACGCTCATTCTAGACTGGCCATCCACTCAAAACTGCCCCACCCTGGATGCACGGTAGATCAGCCCTAGCGGGTTGCCGGCTTCCCGTTGCAACAGTAGAAAGGGGAACAGGTCTCGCAGATCGTGGCTGGAAGCACGCTAGACGTGGGGAAAGATGTGGCGCTGTGGCGTCACCTATAGCTCTTCTTACGCAAGGTCGTGCTCAACACCCCGCCAAATGCCGTCATGGAGTTCTGGGTTAGTACTAGCGTTATTACGCAGATGCTCGAATGCGAAATCTTCCTTCTTGCTTGCGTTTCTGCCATGGAACAAAGTCAATTCTTATTGCAGCACTACTAGGTTTGGGGATTTGCCGCAACGGGGCTTGGCTCTTCAGTGAAACAGGCGAGACCTAGATCAACAAGGAAAAAAAAAAAAAGGTCCCGTGAGGCATCAGCAGATCCTCCCAAGGTATTGTGCAATACGTGGCTAATGCAACCGATCACTGATCGTTGAACATGGCCGCAAGGTAGACACAACACGACGGAATGCCGTCATTAGCCACAGCCTGGGATGTACGTATCTCGTACACGGCGGACACCAGACAAGCGAGCAAGTGGAAGACTTGAATCCCCAAGCCAGAGAAAACAAGCTGAAAGCAAGGCAACTGCCCATGTCCGATACAGGGCACGTACCCCGTAATATCGGAATAGCGGCACCGTGGGGCAAAGATACATATTTGGCCGCCGGTGAAAATGTTCCGGCGCTGGGACTGGCACCTGCCTCACCCCCGGGCAAGTTTGGACTGGCTTGGCTTGGAAATCTTGTGTTGCTTCAAGTCCCTGCTTCACTCTCGTCATTCTTTGTCCATGTCCATAATCGCTTAATGTGTGTGTGAGATTTCCTGCCCTCATGGCAAACCATTGATGGCGGTCAGCACGGCTGCAGAATAATACATGATCCTCTCTAGGGAACCTGCCGATTAAAACCTGGGACTTGCAGAAAACTGGTAAACTTCCCCCTTCCTTCCCGGCGATTGCACCCCTGACCACAGACCCCGTGATCTCGGTAGGAACAGGCAAGGTTGACGGGAACTCCCCAAGCGCTGCATGTTCCGTTCGGTTAACTGTACCTTACTTTGCTCACACCAGGTTTTTGGTTGCTGGCTCGGGATTACAGACCAAAACCTTCTCACTATTATCACCAGCACCAAAGCGACTACCATCTTTTCAAAGCCGAGGCACAGCCTGCCTCTTCAACTTTCGGCCGGCAGCTGCCGCGACATTAGAAAAACGTGGCTGGTCATGCATAGACGTCGCTTTCATGATGATCTATTGTTCGCCCGATACGTTTTTTCTCAAACTTTTTCAGTCGTCCGTGCATCGCTGAATACAATGATAGATCGGTCCTCACACTCAGCTCTCAGTGCTGGCATATTGTTATTCCCTAAGCAAGCATGTACGCTAGATTTTCGCTTATGTGTAACAGCGGTGAAAATAACCCCCATGTCATAGAAGTAACGCCACATGTGAGACGTCGCGGGCCATCCCCTTGACATGACCTACGGACTGTAAGCCTCATAACTAGGTATGGATCATACCCGGTATACACAGACGTGTACGCGCCCGAAGGTCTCCAATACCATAACACCACGGAATTTCATGGTACAACATGTCACCCTGCTTACTATGAAAAGTACTCGGGTAATGTAATGAATCAACATTTTGTTGGACCTAACTCTGGTTTGTGGACTGCGACATAATTGGCTGCTCTGCACACAATGCTTGCCATGTCAGACCAATGCGAGCAAATCGTACAAGTTTGGAGAGTGTTTTCGCGCTGTCAATTGATAGGATAGGTATTTACTCGCGTAGCTTTTGAATGGCTATTATCTCAATAACAATTATTCATTACAACAGGAATTACATGTCATGAAAAAAGAGCAAATAGTGTACTTGTGAACAGACCAGGTAGGCTGTCCCTCTCACGCAAATAGAGTGACGGGGCGAGGCTCGTTCATCTTTTTGTGCCACAATCATCACCACTTCAGGACATCTTGCGCTAGATAATGGCACGAATATTAGTCACATCCTCAAAATATAGAGAAGGGCTACATTTAACTGCATTACTGTGCAAATAACACTTCCTATACTTACTTCGTGGTCCGAGAGGCATAGCCCATTCCACGAAGATTGACACTGTAACAAACACGTGCACGTATGGACTTGTAAATATGGTACTATTATGTTGTATTAAGAGTAGATATTGGTAAAAGGGGGTATCAAGAGGTATCAATTTCAACGCGCAGCGTTATATGTGGATATGGCCATCCAAGGGTGGTTGGTATAATAGTAACTCGAAACAAAGCAAACCTCAACTCCCATCATCGTAACTCGTGCTGGTGAATAATGTACAGGACCTGCGCCACCTGGGATCCCAATTGAGTAGAACCCATGCGTCACAGGTAAAGGAACTGATAGTTTTTTGGATGCTGATAATTATTTCGTCGTCATGAAGTTAGACATGCATTTCGTACAGCAATGCGCGCCTGTAGGTCGCTCATGCTTTTTGTGTCGTAAATGGTATATACCGCTTAGACGCGGCTGCGACCCCAGGTGCGGCGGCGGTACTCGCGGCGCTCGTGGTCGCGGACCCAGATGATGCCAACAATGGCAGAGACGAGCCAGCAAATGGCAGACAGGAAGGCAAAGGCAATGACGGCCTTCCACTTGCCGCACTGGTCGTTGCCGCGGAGGGCAATGTTGTCCCAGTTGAAGGCGCCTCCGCAGGAGCCGCCCAAGAGGTTGACAATGAGGCCAAAGGCGACGAACCACAGGATCGAGATGAAGATGTCGACGGGCCAGTGGACAAAGCTGCCCGAGAAGGGCAGGAGCCAGATCAGCGCGAGGAAGATGGCGAGGCCGGCCACTACTTCAGTGTAGATGAAGCGTCCCTGGGACCAGCTGCTGGTGTTGTGTACCGAGTGGAGATAGGCGCCGTTGATACCGGCAACAATAGCGGCAAAGACCAGCTCCGCGAGGCGGAGGATCATGGCAAAGAGATCAGTCAAGATCATTTTGGCGGTTGGAGGCGTTCACTTGGAAAGTGGTTGTAGCTTATGGTTGTATCGCTTTGGTGGCAGTGCCCTTGGCAAGGCTACTGAGAAGCTGATGCTGACTGTTTCGGCTGAAGGATTTGTTGCACAATGTCGACTATAGAAAGACAGAAACAGGATATGGCAGGTTGCGGCACACGTATTTATCGGCAATCAGGACTCACTCACTTTACTACCTACCTGCCCAGGTAACTCAGCCAAACAAGGTCTGCGTCACTCGCACGAGATGACGAATGACGCCCATTGACTAGGGGGGGCGCCTCGAACCAGTCGCCAAGCAGGGCACGAGGCATTGCCTACTTTCCTGTTTGGAGTCATTTCTCAAATTGTACCAAAGCCGCACATCCGTCCTACGGAAAGATGCGTGTGTGCTCGTTGTTTCTGGTTCTGGATAGCCCCAGCACTGGCCAGCCGGGGCTGTGCGGGAGGGCATTGGTGACTGGTACTTGTCGGGCGTCAAGAGCACAGCCGAAAGACACGCGTTGAACGGGGCATCAGTCGTGTCACGGATACCTGGCCGACTTGGAAGGTTGATCATGCAAGACAACATGTTGGACGACGATTCGCCAAAGAAGATTCTTCATTTCTTTGTCCTCTTGCTTTCGTGGTTGTCGTGTGAGGTCATACCACTAAAACAGGATTTTAGTGCCTCGAACATACAATTTACAGGGATCCGAGAAGGGCCTGAGCAGCCAGTCACAGCGCACCAGATCACTGAAACGGTAAGTGCGGAGCCGGCTAGCGACGCCCAAAAAGCTTGGCCGTCTGCTCGTAGCCTGGTGAAAGCCCTGCAAGGTCTCAAGCCTGCGACCCAACTACCGGCGTCTGGGCGTGGCTCGGTGAGACGCTGACAGCATCTTGGAGGGTCATTTTCTGCAGCCAGAGGGAAATTGACAGAGAGAACTGAATGTGTTCACTCGTGGATGACTCCATTGGCAAATCAGGGTCCAAATTATGAAGCAGGCAATTACTACTACCCAAGCTACCTTACTTGAGAACGTCGATCCCCCAGACAAGAAACTGGATTAAGCAGGATCGAGGCATTAGCTACTCACTACACAGTATAGTCGCATTGGCAGAATAGAACAAGAAGTCTTCACACATCCTCAGAAGAGTCTAGAACAAGGCACTGACGCAATGCTCGCTTACATCGGCAAACATACTCTGTTGACATACGACCAAGAGGAGATCATCTCGACGTCCAGTGGCTGAAGTACCATACTGAAAATATGAGTGATTCTGTTTTTCGAAACCACGATACTTTTTTACAATTCAGAATTTCGGTACAGTCATTTGGAGGATAATTTTGTGTAGAGAACATGTAAATCGTAACGTATCCTGTGAATAATTTCGCTGCACGAGCCACGGCATAATGACGACACGTCCAATCAAACCAATGACGCTCTGACATGCGCGGCACGACTTGTGGCTTGGAGTCAATCGAGTTTCGATCGCACGTCCAATCGGCGACTCTAATTCATCTATACCGGAAAACGAACCGTAGATCTCAAGACGAGGACGAGAGGGGGAAATAAGAAATAAGGGTGTCTTGTCGCAGGGCTGCCCCCCCTCATTCGGGTCGATCAGACATACAGTAGCGGCATCTGGCGTGTGGGCCCTGGGGTCTCGTGTCTGGGGTAAAAAAGGCAAAATAAAGTCACGGAAACCAAGATCTATGGTTATTTTTGCGGGTTGTTTGCTGGAGTCCAGTCTACCTCAGGCTACCTGGTTTTCTCTGAGCCTGTGAATTGACATCATCTCACAGAATCGTGACCTGAATGTTCTTTTCACCAAGGCGTCCGTGCGGTTGCTTGTGCAAGCCCATCGATGAACTTTCGTGGAGCATGTTAATACGCATGATCAGACAAGGCCGAGATTTGTCAATGGTGCACAGACAGCCCATCATTTGTTGGGTACATTTCGGGATGCATTCTATGATAGATTTGTGGTGATGTAGGTGTATAAGTGCGACGACGAATAGTGTCTTGACGACCAAGGTATAAAGCAATCCTGGCGCCAGAAAGCGGTTCAAATTGGGGCGATGAGGACCACACCATGATGCTGCAGTCTGGACAATTATTCTCCTTATTCACTACTACTCCATGCCTCCTACATTTCGGCATTGACAGGGTAAAACTTCCACATTGGAAAGGGTGTCAACATCATGAAAAGGGAAAATATGAAAATCATGCGGGGCGGGACATGAGAACCTTATCCCCATGGTGGTTGCTTCATGTCAGGTCGATACTAGTCCCCGGAATGGAAGGCAAAACTAAATCACAAGCTGGGGAGTGGTGTTTACAAGATTGGTTACGGACTTGCATAGGCTGCCAAGTATCAAATCAACGTGATTCGATCCATGGCGGTCTAGCACTTATTCGGCTGATTTGCTTCAGATTGACCAGAATCTATTGCAAGAAAGCGCATCGCTACCATCTACTGAACACGGGGATGAGACTACCATGAGGGGAGCTTCAGAAACAGCCCATGCTGTACGAATAAATACAAGTTGACTACACAGTGCTGATGAGGTCCTGCTCAACCTCCAGTACGACGGAGAATTGTCTAGTACTACACAACACACTAACATTAGGTGCTACCAGTAGTACAATACCACCGCAGCCACAGCGGCTTTTCCATCTTCTTCCACATCCCACTTTCGTAGCTACCTAACCTAGGTACGTTTTGACATGCTAGATTGAGTGATCACCTTGCACGATCAGCATCAGTCTTTTTAGCCAGTCAGATCGATACGACACTCGTTTACTTTCCATCCATCAGTTCTTCCATCATTTTCGGTGCGTACCTTGTACTAACCAACGACCTGACAAGAATATGAATACCCTATCGATTAGTTCACGCATCCGACACCAGATTCGTTGGCAACCAAATGATACCCCTTCATGGTTTCCCATGCTGGCGTCAATGCCCATAGACAACGCGATACAGGGGGGGCGAATTGTTATTTTCTAATGCGATACAAAGCATCTAGGTATTGTGTGTGCCAACATCCAATAGCAGAACGGGAAGAGATTCTCCGTGGTCTATTTGTCTCCAAATATTATTTTCCATGTTGTCGTAAAGACCTTGGAGACCGCGCATGCGGACGAGACCTGCCAGGTTCAGGAGCCTTTGTGTATGGCCACTGCAAGTCGTTTGGATGCCAGTCGGGTTTATGACGGGAATGATAGCTATGCCACGGCTTCTGTCGGTGGTAGAGACATTGCTTATATTTTTTGTCCCTTAGTCGACGGGTGCTAGCTTGACGATTCGCGTCTCTCGAGCGTGCCGACGTCGAGTTGGGTTGAAGGATATCTCGGTGACAATTAAAGCTGTGATTGTTAGCCAAGCATGGAAGCACTTTCCTCGAATTCGGGATTTCTCAAGCTTTCCATGACAGTGGAATACAAGGTCGCCCGTGTTGGTGTGAAAACAGTATGAGAGGCAAGTGTATCAAAAAGACTTGCAACATGTCGACGACGCCAGCAAGGGCACACTGGAATATAATAGCATTGAAGACAAGAAAGATGGCCCGTGCCCGTACTTCAACCACTTACACTAGTGTTCTGTCTGGAGCCTGGTCGATTATAATAATGATATGATGCCCGACATTGCCACGCGATAAGCACGATACATGATCAATCGAGCAAAGACTATCTACCGTACACCAGGAAACACTTGACCCTTTACAGATAAAAGCCTTACGGAACCTTGCATGCGCACGTTGTTTGACAGATGGACTAGAAGCCGAACCAGTCTACCGGGTCGGGGTTGTTCTTTTAAGTTTATAGTAGGATTATGGATAGTGGAAACGTGTTTGCGCGTGGCCGCATGCACCACCAATGCAAGTAATGCGAGCCCGTCGAGGTTGGGTGGACTATGAAAGACAATGAAAAGGGTCATGAATTCGTTATTGATAATGATTTTGAAGCATAGCTTGTCCGTACTGGGAAAAGTCATCGTCAGCCTGCAGCGCAAAGTGTGTGCCCTTATCCAATTCCCCCGTGCTCCATCGGACGTGCCGATCGCTCTCAGCGCTGATAAGAGATATGCAACCCCCATTCACGACCCCAACAACCCAATACCCAAGCCTGCGGCCGACAACTCATGGTTCCGTATCTCCACTCGTTCCGAATAACTGGCCGTGTCTATTGCATTTATGGCGTCGATCTTGGTACCAAATCGTTAAAGCTGTCGGATTAGATACTACTTGCAGCCCCCATGTAGAGCAGTCTACTGTGGTATCTGCCGATATCACCTCTCCAGCTCTTATACCGAGCACATCTCTGATTGGACGTAGAGCTTGCTATCTTGCCCAGAGCTTGGGTGTTCCTGGGCAGATCTACCCTAGGATCTCGAGATAACACACTGAAAGCTGCACTTTGAAATGATAATGGCCTTGGGAGCATGTAGCCGCCCCTTGTCTTTGCGGTCACTATTCCGCATGCCCTCTCGCAGGGCTCCGATCAGTTCCACAAGAGTCTGGACTGGTGCCTCTCATTGTCATGATGTACATGCGTAGATATGATGATAGTGGTTGGGGTGCCACCACCGCCGCCAATCTCTAACTGGTCCGTGGTACATGATAAATACCTGCAAGAAGCTCCCCCTGCCGCTCGTTGCAACCACACATTTAGGACTCTGCGATCCCCAACCCACGCCCAGGGCCAATCTTAAATCGACGACACTTGCTTTCCAGCCGGACTCGGGAAGGGACTGATTAATTCACAACAGTGATCATGGCGACCACGTCGGAAGCCAAGAACGAGAAGCTCGACATCTCGCCGGCGACACCCGCCGTGAGCGACGGCAATGGCTCACTGAAGGAGGCCGAGCTGGAGAGCCACGAGGTGTTTCAGAAGAATGCCGATGGCGTCGATTTCCGGAATGTGAGCTGGCAGCGGGCGACTATCATCTTTCTCAAGATCATCTTTGCGACTGGTGTCCTCTCCATCCCGACGGCCATGTACAGCTAGGGTGCTGTTGGCGGCGCCCTGTCCGTTGTAGGCTGGCAACTCTTGAATACTTGTAAGAGAGATACTCTTTTATCATCATGTGGACTGCTGCTGACGCAATCTTCACAGACACTGCCGTCCTTCAGGGTAACTTCAAGACGAGGCACCCAGAATGTCACTGTAAGTTTCAAGCCATCCTTATCTAGCGGGCGAGCAAACACAAATGCTAACGTGAATAAAACAGCTCTGGCGGATATGGGAGAAAAAGTCGGTGGTGTCGCGCTGAAGGAGCTCATTGGTTTCCTCTACCTGGTCGCCTATATTCTCTGCACGGGCAGTGGCATCGTCGGCCTGTCAGTCGGTTTCAACGCGCTCTCCGACCACGCCGCCTGCACAGTGTGGTGGTCGTTCATCTCGTTCGTCATCATCACGGCGGCGGCGTCGGTCCGAACCCTGCGCAACATCGGCTGGCTCACCTGGGTCGGCTTCTTCTCCATCTTCATCGCCATCCTCGTCGTCGTCATTGGCGTGACGCTGCGGGATCGTCCCGCCGCCGCGCCGCAGGAGGGCGACTACGAGCTCGGTTACTACGCCATTGCGTACCCGAGCTTTGTGGCCGGCATGACGGCGACGGCAACCATTTTCGTCTCCTCGGCCGGAACTTCTGCCTTCCTCCCAGTCATCTCCGAGATGCGTAACCCTCGTGACTACAAGAAGTCTCTGTACATTTGCATGGGACTGGTCCTCGCCATGTACCTGTCCTTTTCGCTGGTCGTCTACCGATGGTGCGGCCAATGGGTAGCCAACCCTTCGCTGGGCAGCGCCGGCGGCACGTTGAAAAAGGTGGCATACGGCATCGCTCTGATCGGTCTCATTGTCAGTGGCTGTCTGTACCAGCACGTAGCGGCCAAGTACTTGTTTGTGCGCATCCTGCGCGGCACCAAGCACCTCCAGGCCAATACCGTGACGCACTGGGTAACGTGGCTGGGCTGTTCCATTTCCCTCGGCATCGTTGCCTTTATCCTCGCCGAGGCCATTGCCATCTTCAACTACCTGATTGCCCTGACGGGCTCCATCTGCTTTGCGCCCATGGCCATTAGTATCCCCGGCGTCCTGTGGCTGTATGATTTCTCGTCATACAGAAAGGGAAGTCTCTGGCAAAAGGCTCAGTACGGATTCCACTGCTTCCTTATCGTTCTCGGCTTGTTCATCTGCATTGGTGGAACGTAAGTTGTCCCATGGCTTTTCCGGCATTCCATTGGAGTTGGATGACTAACAAGAAACTATCAATAGGTACTCGACTGTGCTCTCCATCAAGGCAGCTTACGCTTCTGGCGAGATTGGCTCCGCATTTAGCTGTGCTGATAACTCTGGTACCGTTGGTTAGCTGCTGTAGGTCGAACAATCCGACTTAGATAAGCCAGAAGGGAAGGTGGGAAGCAGATGCAGGTTCATCGAGTTTTATATTAATGAGCAGCGACAGAGTCTATTATAGCTTGACGGGAGCTAATTTGGTCCTATCAATGATACGCGACCATGATAATACAGATCCAATATATAAATTAACTCTTATCAATCAGTTGTGTGAGCTTTGATCCCCTCGCCAGTAAGGACTTTTGTAATGTGATACTCGCTGGCGTAGATTGTGAATATCGTCAAGAACATAGGTGTATTCCAAGTTGTCGGGCAGTCGGGTCTCCAAGGTACCACTTGCACTGCAGCAATCTCTACTACCAATTCGAATTGACGAATGCGCGTGGCCAAAGAAACATGCATCGCAAATGCCTTGATTCATTGGCCAATTCATCTCACCATGTGATTGAAATTCTACCATGACCTGTGGTATAACAAAGTGTCAAGCCAAGCGCTGCCAACCGACCAATGTGGGAAACGACCGCAGGGCATATTCGCACCAGTAATCATACAAGTCTTTCATCCACAAAAAAGCCCCCAATACCGGTCCAGTGCCGGTACACACCATCATTCTCGGGGCGAAGTTGCATGACATTGGTTAGGGTGGGGATCTTTTCGGCTTGAAAAGCAGCTGGATCTCTGCTAAACATGGTTGCCGATAGGACAAGCTTAAAAAGAAGGAAGAAGAATGCAGCCCACGTTTTCTTCCCACAATTCTTCGCTTGTATGCCCCCTGTTGATCTAAACCTGCAATGGCGGCGGAGCCAAGCGAGAACAAATACTCACAGGTCCAGCATCTTTAGATTCTATCATGAAAGTTTTCTTTCCCAACCAGGGCGGAAAACTCGAGCAAGGAAATAAAAACCCCAGCTCCGCTTCAAATCTCTCTCTTCCCTTCAACAACAACGTGGCCCAACTACCGTAACTTAATTGGGCTGCCCAAAAGGAAATTCCATTTCTCTCTCATCAGCTCGCTAACCACTACCACCTCGGACGATGCCAACTGCTCTGGGATCTGCCAAGCCCACCATCTATCCTCCTTTGGGGTCAGTTTTCTTCATGTGCTTAGTGCCCCCCTGGATGAAAATGTGGAGAAGACCCCTGCCTTCAAGCCAACTTCCCGAATCCCCCATTCCTACATGGTACAACCCAAGAACAGATGAGCATCTGGTTTCTGCAAATGAGGGATCTGCATTTGACCATGCGTCGTCGAAATCTAAAAGAAAAGAGAGGGAAAAGGGAGGGGTGACCACTGACTGCTGCTACCACATAGCTCCCAATGCGACGCTGGCCAAGCAAAGCTGGCTATGTATAGTAGGTCTTGGTAGAGACGGACGGACATCGTTCCTGGCCTGTGATGTTGGGGAAAAGAAGAAAGCCAATAGACGAGCTCCGGGAGCTCGGCGTCGGTCCTCATATTAGTGGTGGTGGTGTCTTTGGGGGACGCCATTGAAATAAATAGTGCCTATACGACCCATTCTCCTATAGAGGGGGAGAGCTCAGGTAGCCCTCCCCCTCCTCCTGTCTCGAGAACGTCAAGCTTGAAAAGAAGAAGAAAAATCAAAAGACGGAAAAATGCGTGTTGGTCAGGTAGCCGCCCTTCTCACCACCTTTGCGGGAGCTACGCTCGCTGCCCCGTTGGAGCCTCGCGCCGTGATCGCCCACGACGCCGTCGTCGGCTTTGCCCAAGCCGTCCCGAGCGGCGATCTGGGCACCGCGCTCCTCAAGTACAAGCCATGGCTCTACGTTGTCAACGGCTGTGTACCGTTCCCGGCCGTGGACTCGTCCGGTAACACTGGGTATGATGATCTTTGGGACGATTTTAGTTGTTGAATATCGCTAATCGTGCTCGTTCTTCAAAGCGGTGGTCTAGCTCCCTCTGGTGGCTCAAGTGACGGATGTAGCTCCAGCCCTGGCCAGGTCTACGCCCGTGGCACACAATATGGAGACTACTACGCACTCATGTACTCCTGGTGAGTTTTCTTTCCATCTGTACCTCTCTATATTCACAGCAAATGTTGACGCCCCGTCTTTCAAAAAGGTACATGCCCAAGGACTCTCCCTCAAGCGGCCTGGGTCACCGCCACGACTGGGAGGGCATCGTGGTCTGGATCGACAACCTGACGTCGCAGACCATCAAGGGCCTCGCGACCTCGGCCCACGGCGACTTTGACGTCATCACGTCCGACTTCCCGCTCGACGGCAGCCGGCCCAAGATCCAGTACTTTAGCACCTGGCCCGTCAACCACCAGCTCGGCACCACGTCGACCAAGGGCGGAGAGCAGCCGCTTATTGCGTGGGACAGCTTGACCGATGCTGCCCGGACGGCCCTCGAGAACACCGACTTTGGCGATGCCACGGTGCCGTTCAAGGATTCTACCTTTACCAACAACCTTGCCAAGGCTGCCATCTAGTGGTTACGAGCAGGTGTTTGTATATGCGAGTAATGATGAATCTTGGCGATAGCTTCTTTCAAGCTGCGGATACTCTACGCGATACACATCTATACTACGCTAAATGTAAAAGAAGTCATTTAAACAATGTACATTTTTGTGTTGACCAGGAAATGATACAAACACGTGACTAAGGCATCGAGCATTATCGATTGTCGATTCTAACATGTCAGGCCGGATTGGTATGGCTGTCGGCTTCCTGTCCATGCTGATCCTACTTCTTGCGCCTGCGTTGCCTGGACATAACTGGATCATATTCAGCACACATGGAAGCTAATTTAAGTAGTCTTGCTGATACTGTTCATAATCAATAATTGCATTGTGAACAGATGAATACATTAGAAAATTGTTATATGGGGACTGAACATTTGTTGATAAGTTACTACTTTCAGCACACTCTTTACCTGGAGAGCTATTGCCTTGGCGCGTGATGAGATCGATGCGTCCTCCAACATGTGATTTTCTCCCTATGCCCTCCTGAAGTGCAAAGCAACAGGTGCGTCTCCCGGTCCAAATCACCAAGCACTCGAAGCTTTTTGGTAATGGTCTTCTCACAGTGGACCACGATTTCTCCATGTAATCCTGTCTAGGTACCAAGGACTTTCAGGTTCTGAATCTGGACAACCATCAGCTCCTTCATTCCGGCCGGCAGGGATCGAAATCCAGTCGCAGAGCCATCGAGACTTGTTGTCGGGATTCTCTGAGATACTTGTATCGCTTTCCCGAACAAAGTTCAAGACGATATTGTCGCGATGCTTGCTCTTCATCCACCTCCACGTCTCGAGGTAGGAGCTGGTCATGATGATATTGGCTCTCGATTGTGGTATTTCGTCCCTCATTTTGACCACCACGGTCAATGTGAGCACCGGGTTCCGATCTGCACTCTGTTTTCTGCGGCCGACGAGTCGCACTCTGGTCTGCAGACTCAAGCCGGGGATCTTGAAGACACGCCGGGATCCGTTCTCTAGAGCATCCGTGACAAACGCCCTGAGATCATTTTCGATTCTAAGGGCCTTCTCATCGTTCTCTGCCAGGGGGGTCTCGTCGTCGATGGGCTCATATTGTTGAATGGGACACGAAGCAAGGGAAGCCAATTTGCCGGGTCCGACGTGCCACTCGGGCTTGGGTAAAAGCCGTCTGATCAGCCACGGTCGTGGATCTTCCATGGCGTCCATGGTACAGAGGAGCTATCAAGGTTGTGGTCTGTGGAAAAGCTCGTCGAAGACGTGTAGTTATGTTTCCTGGTAGACGCGAGAGAGGAAGAGACAGACTGATGAGCACAATGAACTAATCCTTGTACTCCAATGACGAAGCTTGAAATTGGAGAAAGCAGATGCCTTTTTATATTTGAAATCTTTTCAGCAGCTTACTGCAGTGTCCATTCACAACGCCGGGAGGCTTTTCATACGAGTATCTTAAAAATCAAGTGATTCATCTCCCTTTGTTCCGTGTGACATATCATACAAAAGGTTTTCGGTCGGGTTTTGCTCTAATAATCATCTTTTCCAGACACAGATCAACTTATCAGTGGGTTTTCGCAATGAGCAGCATTTTTGTTGCCTATTGAGGCAGAAAAGCGGCGTATGGTAACAATGCAGTGAACAATGAATTCAAGCCCAACCATGTTCCATTTATAGCACTCATACTCCTCGTGGAAAACAACCCTTCTTTGATCCTTTGTGGCAGTTTGATTTATATGTGAATCGCTGACAATGTTACCGCAGCTGGGCTGGGCAATCATAGGCCATTCAAGGAGGCACTTGGGTGTCAAAGGGCAGTAGAAATGGCACGAAAGACTCGGAGGCACACAATGAGAGCTTGTGTTTCCATTGTCTAGAAATCACAAGGAAGGTGGAGAGAAACTATGTAGCTGATACCTCACCACAACACCTCTACCTTGACAATGGTGACTAGTGACATCCAACAGTCAGCCACTCTATGCGAACCGCCATTCCTGCACTGTACAGCAGAACAGAATACACACACATCACTTCATTCGTGTGTAGGATGAAAGCTAACTGAAAGTACGAGTTTCTTGCTTTTCATTCAAAATTACTTGTTTTGATCCATGAATTACTAGGACTCTACGCCTTTTCCACAATATCGAGTCCTGCAACCACATCAAAAAAGGCATCGGCCAGGTAGTCTCCCCTGGCCTGAGGCTTACCATACTTGTCCGTGGCCATCTTCTCCCGGGCCGGGGCCGCCACGTCGCGCATATACCAAGCAATGCCCCCCTTCTTGAAGCTCTCGGCAAACTCCTTGGCGTGGAGACTGAGGCCCTGCGTCGCCCAGATGGGCTGGACCTGCCAGACGCAACCCAGCTTGGCGATATCGGCGGGGAACGACTCCATCTCTGCTTGAGTGTACCCGTTTTTGGTGTAATCGTAGGCGCCAGTGTAGCCAAATGCGAACAGACGACCGGGGAAAACTTTTCGCACGCTCGTGTGGAAGTCGTGCATATCCTTCTTGTCTGTGATACCTTGTTAGTCTTGCTTGCGTCCTTACATGAACCTGATGGAGGCAAAGTCTTACTTGGCTTGTCTGTTATTCTCAAGTGGTCAGCAATCCCGTCTATAGCATGGAAAGGTGGCTTTTGGACATACCCTGCCGACTCCACGTCACATCACCCAGCGGCGCGGCGAGAATGCACCGGTCAATGACGGCCTTGGTGCACCACTTCCACATGTACTGGCCCGTCGGAAGGCGTGGCAGCTCCCAGTCAAATGTGATTTCATAACCCACAACCCGCTTCGCAATGGCCTTGCGCTCCTGGAGAGCTACAATTTTGTCATTGACTTCCGACATGTATGCGGTGTACTGCTCGTCACTGGCAACGGCTTTCACGGCCTCGTCAAAGGTCATCAATGCGGCGGCGGCTTTCCATTCTGACTTGACAGTCAAATAATCCTTTCCTGCAATCTTGCCCTCGTCGAGTGCTTGGATAAAGGTAGGCACTTGCTTGGTTGCTCCCAACACGTATGGGTGGTCCCGGGGGTCGATCACACTTTAGATGAGTCAGCATCTTCTGCCTGCTCAATCACACCATGACGATTCTATACCTTGTGATGAACTCGGCGTTATCACTGTCACATCGACACAGCAGCATCGTGTCCGCTCTTTTGAGACGACTCGTTAGCAGTTGTACGCGCTGGTCTTTCAGATCGTAGGAAACTCACCCCATGATGTCAAACGTCATTCTCACCGTGGTCAGCCTGTCCAAGTACTCTCTCGTCGGGACAATTGTTCTGCCTTCTCCATTGGTGAACTTCTTGAGTCCTAGCGCCAGGTCGTCAATATGAATCATGGCAACACCAGCTTCGACAAAGCTTCTAGTCAACTTCATGCAACCAGTGAGTGTGCCGAATCCCATGTCAGCATCGGCAACAATGGGAAGCAGGTAGTCAAGATTCTCGAGGGACTTTCTGTCCTCTTCATTGTAACGCATCCGCAATTGTGTCTGTCTCTGATCGTGAAACAGCTGAGTGTTGAGTATGCGCTTCACGACAGACGGCACCAGGTCGGCCGGGTAGTCGGCATGGTCCGCACCAGGCCAGGCAGCTTGCGATAGTCCACAAAGTGCACCCGATACATAGACGGTTTGTACTACAGAAATATGATCAGTCGCCGCGGTTCTCTGTAAAAAAAAAAAGACGACACAAGCAGGTCTTACCGCCGGCCTTGGGCATCTCCTTGGCAATGAGGGGATCCGTGGTGCCAAAGGTGAGATCATATGTGCCCTTTTCATTGTGCTCATTCAGTAGGCGCCAAAGCTTGCGGCCCTGGGCACTAGATGGATACTCGATCTTGAAGCCAATGTTGCGAAGGGCGGCAATTGATTCCGCAGTGTACGGCCTGTCATGATGAGCATCACGAACACGTATAGCGCAGGGAAATCAATTTTCACAAGATACCTTTGGATGTGCTTCTGGCGGTCTGTCTGCCACCATTGCTTGATACTCTCCACCTCTGCGGCAAAGGCGTCCTTTTCGGACTGGATGTCTGCATACTTTTGTGCCATGTTTGAACAAGCCGCTTTCTTAGTCAATAATCGGCAGAAAATAGTTTTTCTAATGGTAACAGTATAGAATCTCAATTCAAGTGTACTATTATTATTATTTTTCCAATACAGAGAGCCCGTCAAGTATCATGGTGATCCCTCCCTCCGACGACGGACATGGAATTAGCAGCATGAAAGCATACATAATCCAAGCCGTGGACTTGCCTCGGCCGACTTCCGAGTCCGAAAAGATCGCACATCTCATGTCCATCAATAGATCATACTTGTTAGACCACTCAGTCATGATCCTACCCTGTCGGACATTTTGGTGCGACAGCCTTCGGGAGCTTGGCCGAGGATCCGATGATAGGCGTGTTCGGGCTTCGTGCGGTGATTAGTGGGGGCGAGCATTCGGGTACATCATGTCCATACAGGCCTGATCTCCATACAGTGCCAATAGTCCCGTGTCATCTCTGTTTCTTACTTCTGTATTGCCTGTATGTTATGTTGTAGCAAGCGGTGCTTGAAACCATCTATCAACACTATTGAGCTTCGACCGACTTCAGTTATATTGGCAAACAAGAGCTTGGAAATCATTTGAGTCCCACATCCGCTGGGTGGGTCCGGGACTTACACTCCGGTCTCTCGGTGCCGGTGGGACCTCCGACCGTAGATCAGAACAAGCTCCGATCCAGAGCCGTTGGCGTGTGGATAATCCATGCCACTTATATGCTTCCAACATCGCAGCTCCGAACTCAGTTTTCATCATACGGGAAAACTTGAGTTCTCACCAGGTCGGGCATAGATTGACAGTCGAGTCGAACGGTCAAAAATGGGTTCCCAGCCAGCACCAAACGCGAGGTCGTTGATCAATCTTCAACTAGGATGGCCGAGTCCTCGGTTGTTCGCCAGAGAGGGTCTCCTCAAGGGCGCCGAGGAGATTCTAACGTCCGACAAGGAGAGCGCGACGGCGCTCATCTATGGGCCGCACGCGGGACACCCACCGCTGCGGGAGAGCATCGCCGAATGGCTATCGTCCGTGTACACGTCTTGCGCTCCGACGACCAAGGACAGAATATGCATCACCAACGGCGCTTCGGGGAACCTGGCCAACGTGCTCTTAAAGTTCTCGGATCCCATCTATACGCGGGCCGTCTTCATGGTGGAGCCGACGTATTTCCTCGCCTGTCCGATCTTCGAGGACAATGGGTTCCAGGGCAAACTGCGCGGCGTGCCCGAAGACGACAAGGAGGGTTTGGATATTGAGTTTCTGCGCCGCGAGCTCGAGGCCGTCGAAGCCAGTGCGACTGCGACGACGGCTCCCACTCTCAAGACTGGCGCAACGTATCCAAAGATATTCAAGTACTTCATCTACCTTGTGCCGACCTTTTCCAATCCAAGCGGCAAGACCTTGTCCTTGCAGATGCGACAGGAATTGGTGTCCCTCGCCCGCCAGTATGATGCCTTGGTCGTTTCCGACGACGTGTACGACTTTTTGCGCTGGCCTGAAGACTCCTCGGCACCCGACAATGCCGTGTCTGGAGTGCCTCCGCGGCTGGTGGATGTTGATCGAGCCATGCCTGGCTACACGAAATGGGGTAATACCCTGAGCAATGGATCGTTTTCCAAGGTCATTGGACCCGGCGTAAGAGTCGGATGGGCAGACTGCTCTCCTGCCATGGCAGTCGAGTTGGGAGAGGTGTAAGTTTTCCCTGACAGTCCTGTCCAACTAGAGACTATGTGCTGACTAGTATGAATCCATAGTGGCTCTTCCAGTTCTGGCGGCCAGCCAGCTCATCTCACTTCCACCTTTGTAGACAAGATGCTGCGCAGCGGGTATCTGCAAAATTTTATCAACGATACCCTGATCCCCACGTACCGGAAACGCTACTACGTGCTCATGAAATCAATTGACGATTTGCTGGTACCGCTAGGCATGAAGGTCGAGGTGAACAAACCTGCCGACGCGACTGCCGAGACCGCAGGTGGTTTCTTTACGTATCTCAGCCTGCCAGAAGATCTTCCGGCTGCCAAGGTAGTTGCGGCTATTGCCTTCAAGGACTACCAGCTGCGTGTTGCCTTTGGCCACATGTTTGCTGTCACGGGCGATGCGGGAAGTATTTCGAGGGCAGAGATGGATGGCGGTTTCGCCAAATGCATCAGAGTCTGTTGGGCATGGCATGAAGAAGAAGAAATCCAAGATGGTGTACAGAGACTGGCAGACGCCATCATAGATATCAGGGATAGAATCAAAAGGGGAGAAGATGTGGGAAGCAATCTCGCCATTGGTATTCGATAAGAAATTAATTCAACAGCTGCCATAATGCATAGATTCAAATGATGAACCACGGCTTATCTCATGTAGAAAATGCTTTGGCCCGTTTTACAAAGAGAAAAATATCCTAGGAATTGCAATCTGTGCACAGAACATGACAAGTATCATTGTTTCCTTAAGTTCTTCGGTACAGTATCAAGTATGCAAGTGCCTCTCAGGACTGTCGGGGTCCTTCAACAACGTGTCGGGCGCTAGGTCAGCACCCGACCGACGAATCTCCATTGTTTTTTTGGCACGGCAAATCCACTTGGTAGAATGAGTTGAGCTTGGGTATTCTATTGTGCTGTACCGACTTTGTCAGTGGTTCGAGCAACCCGGAGACAGCCGAATTGCAGATAAGCCCCCGGACATGCTGGTCAGAGTGTCCCCGATACGAGTCTCACCCAATGAGAACCAGTCGAGCCCGAGTCGCAGTCAGGATACTGGGGACACTTGGAGAGGGCATGCTTATAAGCGTTGCTAACCGGCTCTGAAAGTATGGGAAAAGCCCATTCACTAATTCCTCTTCCTACATATTTTTATATAGACTGATAGCGTTGCTGTTGGTATAAGTCGTTTGCCCACCATGGCGTCGCAAGATCATAAAGTACCGTCGAGCGTCACAGATGAGGAAAGGGAAGCAATCAAACCTGGGCAGCAGGACGATGTTGCTGCAGCATATACGGGATACTTTTCGGAAAATGAGCCCTACTCGCGGAAAGAGGAAGCTTCACTGCGGTGGAAACTCGACAGGAGACTAATTCCGATTCTCTGGTTCAACATTATCCTCGGCGCTGTCGACAAGGTTGCTACTTCGACCGGTGCCCTCTATGGCATGAGGGAGGATACCGATTCCACGGGGGATCGATACGCTTGGGTCGGCAGCGCCTTTTATTTTGGTTATTTATTCTGGTGTTTCCCTGCTGCCTCTTTATGTAAGTGTTTGGTTGCTTGGCGAGAATTATAGCGGCTCAAAGAATTGTGATCATCACGGACATGGACTTTTACTGACTCCGAGTAGTGCAAAAGCTACCCATAGCCAAACTCATGTCTGGTGTGATTTTCTGTAAGTACCTGGGCAGAAACATCCTTGGACCATATTCTAATACTTGGACAGTATGGGGAATCATTCTCATCGCCACGGCGTACAGTCGAAGTTTTCCAGCGATTATCACACTCCGAGTCCTCTTGGGTGTCCTCGAAGCCCCAATCATCCCCGGAGGCTACTTGATGCTGACAATGTGGTATACAAGAAAGTAAGTATCATATTGTGAACAATCAAAAAGCTTTCTTTATTGAGACTCTTCCAGTGAGCAAGCTCTCCGATCGGGTCTCATGTATACAAACCTCTCAGTCTTCCTCTCCGGGCCTATTGGATACGGGTAAGTCTTTCCTCGCCCATCAATTCACCAAGACTGAGAGCACTAAGAACAACAAAAGCGTCGGTGCCATTACCGGGGGCAGCCAGTGGCGCTGGTACTTTATCATCTTTGGCTCCATCTCGCTGGTGTGGTCCATTGTGCTCGGCATCTTCCTCCCCGACAACCTGGCTCGAGCCAAGTTTGTTACAGAGCGCGAAAAGGCCATCACGGTGGAGCGGCTCCGGGCAAACCAGGCCGGTATCGAAAACAAGACGTTCAAGAAGGAGCAGGTGATTGAGGCTTTTACCGACCCGAAAACGTGGTTGATGTTTGCCTTCAACATCTTCTGTAGTATTCCCAACGGTGCCCTGACTAGTATGTTTAAGCATTCATGTGATACCGACGGACTGTATTCAGTATTGACCTATTCCCACTCTTTTAGATTTCCAAAGCATCATTATCAAGGGTCTTGGCTTTAGCTCACGCCGGGCCCTCCTCCTAGCCATGGTCGAAGGCGTCGTCGCCACCATTTCCGCGTATCTCTGCAACGGCGGTGTCTGGTACCTGACGCGAAAATGGCCCAAATTACAATGCCGCGTGCCCATCATCATCTTGGGCGAACTTGTTGGCATGATTGCCTCCATCTTCTTGTACACCCTGCCGATTACTGCCATTGGGGGCCGCCTGGCCGCTCTGTGGATGGCCAAATTCTTCCTCGGGCCTTATATCGTCATGTTGGCACTCAACGTGACAAACATTGCTGGTCACACGAAAAAGGTGACCGTGCAAGCAATCGTTTTCATTGCTTACTGCAGTAAGTTACTTCGTCCTTCTCCAAGACCGGACCGGATTCTGCTGACAACTCGCGATCAGTATCCAATATCGTAGCGCCACACTTCTTCAAGGATGATCAAGCTCCGCTATACCCCCTTGGGACCGGTGCCATCTTGGGAAGCTATGTCCTTTCCATCATTACCATCGCCATGTATGCGGGGTACTGTTACTGGGAGAATTGCCGGCGTGATCGAATTGATGCCACGGCTGGGGAACGCGTACACGAAGACACGGACTTCAAGGATTTGACTGATCGTCAAAATATCCACTTTAGATATGTTTGGTAGAATCTTGTGAACGACGAAGGACCCCACGGAGATTATTTTCAAGTAGAAAGGCTAGTGAAAAACATGTCGATCATAAACCTGACTTGGATTGCAACAAGTCCGACCCTTGGCGTACAAATAAAAGTGTGAAAATCATTGATTTCTCAACCGTATTCAGACGACAAATGTAAAACAGTCAACAAGTTCAATATGCTCGAGATATTGTTCAAAGTCTTGTATTATAGTCTACATGGTTCATTCGACAGAAACCACCCTCTTTCGTGATATACGCTTTTAGGCTTTACCGCCAAACGATGCACTTCCAGCGCCAAGCTATTCATGAACAAGTCGTTAAATGGTGCCCAAACAGAGCCAACATCACAAAGACGAGGCAGTTCCCGATTCCTTCTATACCATGACGCTTTTTGTTTGTGCCTTGCATTTTTTTTTTCCACCCCGAACCTTTAGCCACCTTTTCTTCCAGCCAGCTTCCCCATGATATTCAGCTCAAAAGCCCTCTAGACTCTCTGATAGAATAGTAGGTAGGCGACCTTGTTATCTGCCTTGTTGTCCTTTATAGGTTTTGGTGCAGGTGCTGGCGGATTTGCGTTGCCATTGACGATGCTACTCCATTTCTTGGCACCGCCCGTGGGAGCGCTCACCTTGTTCCAGCCCTCATCATCAGCAGCATCATCGGCGATGCCTTCAAATCTGTTGCCTGAAGCACCCGCCGCAGGTGCTTTCTTGTCGTTGGACCAAGAGGACTTCTTGTCCTCCTCGGCACCACTCTCCGCCACGTCCTCACTACGAACCCGCCGGATGACAGTATCATCAATACGGATCCATTCTCGGCCATCTTGGCGACGAACGTCAACAGTGTAATGGCCACCGCTGGCGTTCTTTCCGTGATGGTATACGGCAGCGATCAACTTATATTTGGGTGTGCCACCAAACTCTTGAATCACAGCCGGGTGGCAGGAGCGCGCAATGATCTCCATGGGGATCTCGAGCTCCAAAGGATAGCCGACCTTTTTCCAGATCTTCATGGTTCCACCCTTTGCATCGAACTGAAAGCGCTTGAGGTGCAAAATGAGGACAGGAGGAAGTGTCTCAATGAAGACCTGCTTGTGAGCGACAGCAGTCGTGCCCTTGAGGGATTCAAAGTCGCCCGTGAGGTTTTCAATTCTTGTAATGTTCCTAAGCGCGTCGACGATGTTTCGCACTTGAGGTGAGTCAATGTCCAGCTGGAGTGGCTGGTATGGCTCGACCGTTACGGAAAGCTTCTTTTGTACCCTCAGCTCGGATCGGAGTTTACCACCAAAAATTGTAGTAATCGGCGAGTTCATGATCGGGTGACCAGAAGATCGCGTCTCCGCCGGTCGCTGTTTGGGTCCAACCTCGTGCCAAGTGTTGTTATTGGCTTCGGTTGGCGTGTTAGTATTGGGGTTTGTGGCAGATGACCCGGTTGCAGATGTCTCTGGCAGGCGGCTCAGCACACTTGCGCATTCATCGTGAAGCGCCTCGAGTAGGAAACCAAGAAACTCTTCGGCATCTTGCTGATGACCGCGCTAAAGTCGTGTTAGTCTTTCTTCATGTGTTTCGCAACAGGAATCTAAGCACTTACTCTCATGCTCGCAAACCGCGGCAGCTTCCGGATAGCTTCGTAAACAAACTCAGGTGTAAAGGGCTCGCCATATTGTTCTAGCTCTTCGTTTTTCAACCTTCGCCGCAATTGGTCCACAGATGTGGCGGAGTCAATGACTTTATACTCACGCATGAACATTATCCTAGTCTAGCATTAGAGACGACTTCGAAAAATGTGCAGACATGTGGCAACTCACATGGCATCAATTAGGGGCGTTTCACTGTTGAAACTGTGGGCAGCCTTCTTGCTGACCTGATCCAAAAAATCGTAAAAAGGTATGCAGAAAATCAAAACTTGTAGCACCTATTTCATCTCATCAGTACATGATGCGACATCTCAAAGTGGTGCGGAAAACATACCGAATTCATATAACACATATTGCCCGTATTAATTAGACCTCTGGGCTCCAGAAATGGAATTTTGGCTCCGTTGTTCACTTTGAAGTCTCTAATAGCCTCAGCCTGTGAACTGGCATTGGACTTGGCAAATCCTGCGACAGTTGCAGCACTGGCAGAAGCGCCCTCAGCAGTCTTGGCGCCATTGACGTCAGATGTTGCGGCGCGTGCTGGTGCGGCAGCAGTTGGGCTTGGGGCGAACATTGCGGCCCATGACTTGTGTGCCACCTTCACCGGCGCAGGAGTTGGCTCAGGTTTGGTCTCCGGCGATGCGTCCGCAGCTACATTGTCGGCTGCAGGGCTTGCCACCTGCTCGGAAGACACTGACTCCTTGACTTGTTCTCCTCCAGACTTTTCAATACCCGCAGCCGCTTTCGTTTCTTTGGGACTACCCTTTGGCAGTACAGGAACAATGGGCACTGCTGGTACTGCAGTCGCAGTCTTGGAAGATGACTTGGCAGTCTGCGTGGGAGTGACACTCGCTACAGTTGACGTCTGCGTGGTATGAACCGAGGCCGGTGTCGTAGGAGAGGTGGACTGTGCGCTTTCTGAAGGCAAGTCCTGGGTAGACGGCGTTTCTGGTCGCTCTGCAGATACCGCTGAAGGAGTAGCAGCATCTTCTGCAGGAGTTGGCTGTGTAGGCGTGGCCGATACCGCGGGCGCTGCTTGCTGGTTGGATGGCAACTCTACACCACCTTTGACAGAAGACACAATCTTTCTCCTTCGCCGCGATTTGGCCGCTCTGGTAGGGAATGGGGAATCAGGATCGGAAAGCCACGGTAGCTGTTAAGCGAAAGGGTCAGCAGGAATTGATCAGTGAGCAGTCGTATTCTTGACATACAGGATACTTGAAGGGTGCCTTGGCGGGCAGAACCTCGACCTCCTGCGGCGCTTGAGGAACGACGTCCTGGCTCTGCGGTGTAGTAGGTGTAACAGAAGCCTGGATAGCCTGCGAAGAGTGTGTCGAGGACGGTGTCTGGGGGACCGGCGCAGGCGGTGGAGGTTGTGCCATATGGTATGGGGGAGGCGGTGGAGTCGAGAGAGCTGGCGACTGCTGCTGAGGGGGGCGCGAGTAGGGCTGGGGAGGATGCGCCATGCTTGAAGATACGATTGGAGGGTATGCTTGATGGATCGCAGGGGGAGACCGTGCAGCATACGGGTTGTAATGCATGCCGTATGGAGCGCCGGGCATGCCAGCAGTCGGGTAGTGCGGCGGAGCCTGGGGATAGTAGGCATTGGCATATGGGTTCATATGGCTGTTCGGGTAGTACATGGGCTGGCTGTGGTTGTGATGAGTATACGAATGCTGCTGATGCGAATACTGCGGCCGCCGCCTTGGTCCATTGCCTGTATGTGGCCCCGGACCTGAACCCATATCTACCGGTCCTCTACCTCCACCCATTCCACCGACACCTCCTGGCATGGGCTGCCCAGCCGGCAGATGATGATTCATCTTGCCGGCTTGGGGTTCATGAAGCAGCGGCGAAGCTGACCACTGCTTCTGATATGCACTAGAAAGTAACGCGCTGTTGATAGCCTCGCTTGTTCAGTATAGCTTGGACACGAGGCAGTACTGCGCGGCAGCGGCGACGTCGGGATGGATGCGCACTCGTCGTCAAGGCGCCCAGAGAAGCCTTGTTCGTCGTTTGGGGATGAGTCGAGTAGTTGGAAACGACGAGGCGAGCGGCTATTGTGCTGCAAATGCTATGCAGACGGGTCTAGCCTCCGATTGCGCTTGCTTCCTCGGGGGCGGAGAGGGATATGGAGAGATAGAGAGAGGGAGAGAGAGGAAGAGAGAGCGCAGGCAAACACAGTGCTTATACCAGATGCCTGCGAGACAACAAGCAAGAAACGACCAGCCCTGAGTAGAAGAAGGAGCGTCAAGGGATAAAAGAACAGAACCCTTCAGCTTTAGATGATGCAAGCACGCGTCGAAGGGGACAGGCTTCGTCGAATTAAGGTGATGAGCGCGTGTCGTGTCCGCCGGTGAGGATGATGGAGTCAGGCAGAGAGAGGTCCCAAAATACAATGGATGCGCCTTTCCTGGGATTTCTAAAGTTTTCGGGTCTCTCAGCAAACTCGCCAAGGTCTTAGGCTCATTTTTTTTCGGCTTGCCAGCGAGTGAGCAAGCACCTAGCGGCTAATAATAATAGACGCCCGGACCACATACCGGCGTGTACGCAAACTCCCAAGCTCCGAGTCTTAGTAACAGCTCTGGTGGAGAATATTATTGTTCCTTTTTTTTTTTTTTTTTTTTTTTTTTAAATATAAATATGAATTCTTGTTCTTTGGCAATGCAATCAGATCTTCAATTATGCCTCGTCGACTCTTTCATCTTCTTTGTTTACCTGTGCCCGCATGTGTCTGGACGGGCAGTGTCTATATAAAATCTCAGTACTGTTCGGTGGTACCGTAAAGCCACGGCTTTGTGTACTACCTCAGTGCCGGTAGTCGGATACATTTGATATGCATCGTGACGGGCGGGGCTTAGAGCCACGTGATACATGTGCATACAACCGTTTGTAGAACGTTTTTACAGCTTCCAGAACTCACCCTGTCTGTCTCAAAGCTTGTTGTTAGACATGTATCACAGCTTCCGGATTGTAAATGTGTAGAGGTCTCAACTTGCTAGTGCGTACGTTACTCTGAAGCAATGCGTAGTGATACCTCCCATTATCATACAGTCATTCCTCAACAACGAGCCATTTGTGGCTGCTGAGAAGGCAGCTGTCTCATTATGGTTCTTCATCTCTAAACAGGTATTTCCCCTTCTTCAATGCCTCGTTATGCCGTCTTTGAACCTCTTCCAACTCCAGTCGCTTGGCTTTTTCACGGTCTTCTGCTTCTTCCTGTGTACTAGGAAAACCAACCCGATCCCATCCCGGCGGCTCTTGCATGGCACTATGACGTTCGCGGTGTCTGCCATACTTTTGTGATATCTCTCGGATTTTGGTATCCACCCACAGCTTCTCCATCTCTGCTTTCATCATTGAGCTCAGCTTCCAAGCGTCATCTCCCAGCTGCGCCTCCAAATCGTTCCTTACGTCGATGAACATGGTCTTTGCCAACTCGAGTTCTGCCAGTGGGCGGTAGAGCTTACCACAGCACTCTTCTTTGCTGCAACCTGGAAGCGCAGCACGATCCTTGCCACGGACGACTTCATTGTAGGCATAGTTATACCCTTCGTTATACTTCGGGTTGAGTTTGAAATCTGCCCGATTCAGACTTTCGACAGGGCGATCACGCAAAGGGACCTCCTCTCTTCTGGGCCATGGTTTTTTAAACCCCGGAGGAAGCTTCCTGTTTTTGCCAGCTGGTGGAGTTTCCTTGTTGCTGACCGTGGGGGTCTTTGGGGATTCGCTGTTTGGTAATTGCCATTCGCTAGGTAGTTTCCGCTTTTTTCTCTTTTCAAAGGGTTCCTCAGGAAAAGTGGTTGCCTCTCTTAGTGGCGAGGCACTCCATGGCCATGGGATGTGAATAGCTTCCTTCTCTGGTGGGGCCGGATTGTTTAGCAGTCCAGCAAGGCGACCAGCCTTGACTTCTGGCCTATCAGCCGTAGAACATGCGGCCATAATGGCATTACCATCCTCGGCTAGACTTGCTATGCCTTCGCGCAAGGAGGATCTCAGGATTGCTTTTCGCACCGGCTTTGGCATGGCAAGGCTAGGTCTTGGGTGATTGTACGGGAGCAGAGCAGAAGACCTCTCCATTAGTCTATGATTGTGATTTGCTTCTGTTGTTGGTCCATTCGGCAAGGCAGGCTCCTGACGCTGGACCACGCCGTCATGCTGCGGGACATCCGCCGTCTCAGAAACTGCTGACGCGACAGCAGGTATGATCGTCGGCGACGGGGAGCGAAAATGTCTACTCTTTCTTGGCGTCACCACCCTATCGTCGGCATTATCGAAATCAACGCTGTCATGGGCCATGAATCGACATTGCTCACTAGTCACGACGGGGTCAGAGCCTTCTTCTAATTTAATTCGCGTGGTAGCTGGCGTCCGGGTAGATGGTTGGTCGGCGTGACGTCTCTTGCGCACACATCGTTCGGAAACAACGACGGGTGTGTCCGAAGAAGGCTCCTTGCTCGGAGTCTGGTCAGCTAAAGTAACAGCTGCAGCGTCCTTGGCAGTCGGGAGTGGCGGTAAAGATGGTGTCCGCTCCAATATATGCATCCTGTTAAACGGCAATGGCTCGCGGTTGGTGCCGCCTCTTGACACAATGGGTAAGAGGTTGGGCGAGCTTGTTTCTGCTTGGTTGTGCACCTCATCTGCGGCTGGGGAAGTCTCGGACGTGAAGGAAGTATCGGTATGAGCATCAGCGGGGGTCATTGAAGCCAAGCGGGCTTTCAACCTTTCGATCTTCTGCTTTCGCGCATTACTCTGAGCCTCGAGCGTCTTGGCGTACTGCACCCACTTTTCACAAGCTTGGTTTTTCTCGCGAAACTGTTTCTGAAGAGTCTCATTCGCTTCCAGGGTAATGGAGACCTGGCCACGAAGTTTGTGATTTTTCTCCTCCAGCTTGCCATACTCGGCGACGAGCTCATCGTGGCCAAGGCTGCCGACATTCGGGTGACCACCATGCTTGATCGAACTTCCGAGAATCCGCAACTGGTTTACTGACTTAGGGGCCAAAGGCGTCCTCGGCTCGGATTGGCTTTGAAGAAGTCCATGGTCGTCTCCATGTTGCTGCCGCTGCTGCTGCTTCTGGTTGGTCCGTTTGAGCTGCTCCAACTCTTCCCGCAAGGCTTTATTTTTCTGCTCGAGCCACTCGACCTGCGCAACGCGAGCTTTCAGGATTTTGATTTCGCCATCCAGACCTGCAACTCTCACATTTTCCGCGTGGCAAGCTGTAAATTGATGAATAAGGGGAACGAATGGAGTCTGGGCTTGAGGTACAACTCACCACTCCGATAGTCGCTGTCGATCCGATTCCATGCCTCCCCGAGCGCGTCAAAAAGCGCAGACCTCCCGCTCTCCTGTAGCCAATTCTCCATGATCTCAAAGCAAGTTCATCATGATCCCAGACTGGTGATATGTTGCGGCAATGTCAAAAATCGTAAATGTGAAGCTGAGACGCGTCTCCTAAGCTGAGCGCGAAGGAAAGTGGGGCAATCGTCTAATTGGTCAATCCAGCCGCCCCAAACGTGTTGCTAGTGCCGTCATAGCTTAGCAATCAGGCAGCAGAGCAGCTGCCTGCAATTGATATGAATGGTTGAGGTATGGTTGGATGTCCTTGAACCAGGCAGGAATTCATGTAAACATCAATAGTAGGCATGATCAACGACGAGAATTAGAGCATTTCCCCTTTGTTCTCAGGTTATCAGCGAATAATTATTGATTCCCAGCGATCTTATCAAGGCTGAATTGGAATAATCTGAACAACATCATCTGCCGGCAGCTGGCATTCCGACCACTACTGCAGGCCTAGCTTCGTGATGAATGGGTTGGCCTGCTTCTACCAGAAGCACTGAACCATACATGATGCACACGTGTTTTATGTTGCTTTTTCGATAGCTGCGCGCACACAAGATGTTAACGATAATGCAGTAAATGCGTGGCTAACTGATTAACCACAACGTCGTATCCTCTTATCCGGTATGTCATATATGTTCTTGAAGATATCGGAATGCTGTCGCCGATGGAGCTACGTATCATGTGGACAAAACCTACACCTGAGGTAGGTAGGCGATTTGCACAATCGCAAAAGTTCTGTGGCACAAAAGCCAATCCCCCAAGAAGATTGCTATACTTTTAATTCAGGACGATAGCTTTCACCTACCTCGTGCACATGGAACAAATTACAGCTCCTTCAATATTTGGCTACCTTTCTCACTTCTGCAAATGAGACAGAAAGACGATACGCAAGAGCATACATATGCCGGGCCACAGCATAATCGGGCGATAAATGCCAGGGTAGGGGGAAATAAATCGCCAACAAACGTTGGCGCAACTTCCAAATCTTCGGATCGCGGCCGTTGCTAGCGTGAACCCAAAAAAAAAAAAAAAAACCAGCGTTTGGTGAGGCCAAAATTCTCAATCGGCAGGCGTTGGAGTAGGTACATAATGTAGGTAGGAAATGTGCGCAATGTACATGTCACAGAGCACTTATGTACGTAGTAGGCTTATGCAACGTGCTGGTAACAGATAATCATGGTGAGATTCCTCATGGGAGCTGCTTCTAGTCCCAACTGTATTTGTATTTATAATCGCTCTTGGCTGCCTGACCTGCTCCCACCTTACCTTAGTGGATTGAGCTCGTGACCAATGAAGGCAATAGCACGAATTATCAATCCAAACAGCCTCCTCACTGGCATTCATCATCATGATTTTGACCAGTCTCAAATATCGCGACAAACGCAGCACATATCCGGAACTTGTGACAGGGCTGATTTTAGACGCACGTGCCGCACATCAGAAGCGGGAGATTTCCAAAGAAATACCATGATCTGATTCGACAATTGATGGACCCAGGCTGATCGATACCTTGAACTGTGACATGGGAAACCTGCGGTAATGCCCACAATTTGCCTCTTACCCCAATCAATTCCGGTACCTTAGGCTGTGGCCCGCAATCGAAGGTAGGGGGGTCGGGAGGGCGAAAAAAAAAAATTCAATTGGAGGGAAGTGAACAACCAGCTGGGGGACACCAGCCAGAGTCTGGACCAGGAAGAAGAAAAAAAAAATAACAGCAACAAAAATACAAAAATAAAAAAAATTCATTCCCACATACCGCCTCTTTTGCCAGACCAAACCAAAACTCTGTTGTGGGACGCGTTGGCAATTCTTTTCCATCTCAACACTCTCTTTCTTTCGCCGCATCAAAAACCCGAAAACCCTCGATCTTGGATTTGTCCCACTACTGGTACATATTCCATCTTCGCCTTTCTTTCCGCCACAAAAACTTGACAACCTTTGCGGCCACCTGCTACTGAGAACCCTTCAGTCGCCCATTCGCATCTATCCATCTCTTGATAAAGTAAGTCCAAGTCCGCCCAAGCCACCCACACATCCATTCAAATCTTTCCGCCCTCCTCCAAAACACAAACCCCTCCAAAAAAAAACAGCAACCCCACATCCCACCATGGCCACGGCGCAGGTACAGACAGCCATAACCCCACCATCGACGACGACTTCAAACGGCCAACTCTGCGCCGACCTGGTCTGTCCATGTCGTATACCTATTGCGTGCTTGCGCGCGACCAGAGCTAAACCCACGCCGTGATCTGCTCTGTTCTTTGAGTGTCTTGTATCCATCACTGCGCCTGCGCCTGCTCATTACACTCGATTGGGGCAAAATGAGCAAAACGGTCCCTGTCGTCGTCGTCATGACGTGTGAGGGAAAGAATTCGAGCTGACTTTCTCACCTTTCAAAGCTTCCAAGTTTACTACTCCAAACATCATAATGGATAGCTTCCAGCAGAACACCGGCAGAGCCTGCTTCACCTGTAAGTTTTATTGTCATCATCATCGTCGCATTTGTCTGTACGGGTTTGTCGGATTCAATTACTAATCCTATGCATCTAGGCGGCCAGACCACTCACCAGGCCCGTGACTGCCCCCAGCGTGGTGCTGCCAAGTGGTAAGTGATTTTCCCAAGCAGCCAGCCAGCCAGCCCCATGAGCTGCAAAAAAACATGGCGAGATTCTTTTTATTCTAACTCAGTGACAGCTACAACTGCGGCAACGAGGGCCACATGTCCCGTGACTGCCCCGAGGGTCCCAAGGACAACAAGGCCTGCTACCGTTGCGGCCAGTCTGGTCACATCAGCCGTGACTGCCCCAGCGGCGGTGCTGCCGGTGGTGGCCAGGGCGGTTCGTCCGAGTGCTACAAGGTAAGTTCGCATGCCAACTCATCATCCTGATAAACGCAGAAGCATGGCATGCTAACTCCCGTGATCTCATCAGTGCGGTAAGGTCGGTCACATCGCTCGCAACTGCCCTGAGGCTGGTGGCTACTCTGGTGGTGGTGGTGGCGGCGGCTACGGCGGTGGCTACGGCGGCGGCCAGGGTGGCCAGGGCCGCACTTGCTACTCGTGCGGTGGCTACGGCCACATGTCCCGTAAGTCTTTTTCTTGCTCCGTCGTGGGAAATGTTCTCTGTTGCTGACTTAAAAATCTTAGGCGACTGCATCCAGGGCTCCAAGTGCTACAACTGCGGCCAGACTGGTCACTTCTCCCGTGACTGCCCCAAGGAGTCCACCGGTGGCGAGAAGATGTGCTACAAGTGCCAGCAGACTGGCCACATCCAGAGCCAGTGCCCCAACTAGTGCTAGGCATTTTCGGCCTCTCACCAGTACCTGACACGAACAAAAAAAAAAAGGAGGGTTTGATTTCAAGGGATCGTGACGACACAACTTTTCCACGTTTTGAGGACGAAAACGACGACCACTTTTCAACAATTCTTGTTTCTTTCTCTTTTTCTTTTGTCTTTCCGAAATGACCCCATACGATCGCATGGCGTTATTGCACACCAAAAAATCTTTTACGAACGGAAAAAAAGCTCTTGGGAGTTACAATGGTCTTTCGGCTGGCTTTTTCGCATGGATACCAATTCCCCCCCAAAATCCAACGGTTCTCTTCTAGCATTGTCTGGATTCCTAGGAATGAGGCATGATGACGAAATGTTGCGCGCAAAGCCGGCTGCTTGCCGCCGACGAAACGAGTTCATAGTAAGGGCGGCCATTTAGTTACTACTTTCGTAACTAGGTAGTGTAAGCTGAATCAGTGACCTGAAGATGAAGAAAAGATTTCTTGTCTATTTTCCGTGGTACAAACAACCCTGTGATGTGAACAGAAATTGCAGTCATCGTCGTCCTTCATTCTAGTGACTTGAACGTCCAGCTCCAATGATGTCAACATGGTCTGGTCATCTAGACCTGAGTTCAGAGGCCTGAGCATTACCCTTCTGCGACACTATTGATATGTGTGATAGGAGACAAGGAGACAAAAGAGAGGCTCGTCAATATTGAATGGTATCAATTTGTGGCGTCAGACGCCTTCCTTTAAAAGAATCACTCGCTTCGCTATCTAGTCCAAAATGAGGACAAATCTATAGACACACTCCCAAACTCCCGATAGAATCAAAGAAAAGAGCAAAAAAACGACAAAAAAACCCTAGACTCCTGTAATCTATTCCCCTGGGTCTCAGTGTACCTGGATTTGCTGGATTACTCCTTCTTAGGCCTAGAAAGGAGTTGTGAAAGGATAAAATGGCTGATGTCCTCGTCCTGCCAGTATGACATGTGTGATGCAATGGTGTTGATAGGGTTAAAGTCAAGGGCGCTCCTGTCAGATAAATTAGCAATATGTCCACAGTATGAGCGTGATAAAATCAGAAAAGAGAATGGACTTACTCCTGGATGCTGTAATCCACCCTGCCATTTCGGTTCAGTGCGCGGACCTTGAGCTCCTCCCTCCTAAGCTTCTGAGCCTTGAGCTCCTGCTCCTTCCACTCGTCACCCAGTACTTTGTGAGCCTCATCGGCGCGGCTCATGGCCTCGACGCGCTTCTTTTGGAACTGACTGAAGAGCGTCTCCATGTCGTCGTCAATCAGCGTCACGCTGTCACTCTCCTCCTGGCCAAGGGTTGGCACATTCGTGCTAGTGGTTGTGCGCTTTGCCAACGCCTTCTTGCGCGCCTCGGTCTGCTTCTGTTGCGCAGTGGTGTCCGAGATGACGGCACCACCCTTACCGCCGGCACCAATCACGGCATTAGAACTGCCATTGTTCCCAGCCTGTGAGGTGCCCGAACCATTTCCAGCAGCCTGTTGTTGTTGCTGGGACTGAAAGTTTGCCACGTCATCATTGCTCAGCCCAAGAGATCTGTTAAGCAATGATGATGTGATACTGCCAGATATACTGGACCAAAGACCAGAGACGGACTGGCCAACCTTCATTCCGATACCTGACAAACCTTGAACCTGAGCATCAAAAATACCCTTTTTCGTATATGGCAGCAGCTGAGGCTTGAGTGTCGACATTGCAGGAGAAATCAATGGTTCCATGCGGTAGGCAATGGGATCCGACGGGTGAAATATGTTGAACATTTGCGCAACCTTGGGTGATGACACAGAGAATGGGTGACCTGTTATAGGGGACAGGCGCTCGGTTGGATCTGCCATATTGAAGGGATCGTCCAAAAAGTCGGGCTCAAGCGGGCTTTCTGAAGGCTTTGCATTGGGCGAGCGCCGAGCTGCCATGGTCCGTCCCTTGAGCATCTGAAAGAGGCCCACGGGTGAGCCAAGACAATAGAAGTCGTCCGCGTCAAAGTCAAAGGCGAGATCTTGGGTCTCTTCGCGTGCCCGATTGGCCCGATCATTAGACGAGGGCCAGATCCGGAGCGGGTTGCGCAACTGCTGTTCGTGCTTGGCGGCATCCCTTTGGCGGCACAAGATATCAAACATGATGGCGCTACCAAGTGAATGGCCCATGATGTGGACCTTGCCCTTGAATTCTGGATTGCGCTCCTTGAAGAGCTTGTATATCCTGTTGGATTCCAGAAGAACGATATCCGAGATCTGCTTCCTATATGCAGATTGATATAAAAGGACATCCAGAGCAAGATCACTAATCAGAGACCGGGCAAACGCGATTCCCTCGATAGTAATGTCTTCAAGAGAAGGGTATTCGTCCTCTTCATCGAATGCCATGCCTATATCATGTTCTGCCTTCTTCTCTCGACGTTTGGGAAAGTCTAGCAAGTGCCTCCAACACACGGGCAGAACTTGAACCTTGCAGTTGCCTGGGCCCCCCTCAATCTCAGAGTTCAAGGCGCGCAAGTCGTCTGAATGAGAGTAGACACCCTTTAAAGTTTTGCGAAGAACATTGACGTCATGGACAAAATTGATGCTGTCCATACGAAGACTGAGTTGTTGTCCGATGCCATGTGTTACGAGGATGAGGTGCTCAATATCACGTCCTTGAGTCTCGCCAGCTTGTGCATTGTAGTCGTCTTGTATTTCTTGCTCTTCTCGTTTCCTGATTTGCTCCTGTTGTGCCTCGGGATCATCGGCAGTCTCAATGTAGTTTGAAATCTGCCGTTGGAGCTGACTTTCCCGACTTGGGCGGCCCACAGCTTCCTCCTCGAGGTTTGTGGTTGACTCTGCGCGTGCCAGAGGTGGAGCAGATCTGCGTTTGAGCGCCTTGGATTCCTTGTCATCCTCTGTTTGTATTTGCTGGGGAAGTGCCGCAGTGGTTGGAGTGGTTGGGCGCTTCTCATCCTTGGTCTTTTTCGGTTCCGTGTAACCGCGGACGAGCTTCACGCCGCTCAGATATCCACCACCAGCGAACCTCTGATAGACTGAGGACGTAACCCATGACAAGACTCCGTCCGTAGAGAGCCATGCCGTTGTGGAGTCTTGGTAAGTCGCGATTGAGTTCATGTAGGCGCCGAACAACCGGTATGTCTGGGGTTGGTGCTGGGGTGCGCTGGTCGGGATAGGTTGAGTTTTCGAAATAGGCTCGGTTTGTGCCGTAGCTATTGGCTTGATACTCTCTCTCGAAGCTTTTGATCTCAAGCTATCTCTGGAGCCTTTTGGTGTTAGATTGGACTTGGCCCCAGAGCTGCTACGACTTCTCGTTTCCGGATACGTCCACGGCTTGACCTTGAGATATCCCTCTTCGAGCTGCGCGGCAAGGTTTTCTTCGCATGGGCGCAACGTCGACCCTTCCTGATAGAACCAAGTTCCTCTTTGCACATCATATATCGGGCCGAGCCAGTATACAGGAGCCAGCTCGCGCTGCTCAATGTCGACGTCGAATAGAAAGTCCTCATTGACGGGGACGCGAACCGCCTGGTGTTGACTGGTCGAATCCGAGTCAATGCTGGTATTGGTCTGGTCTTTGCTCGAACCGGTACGCCTTCTCAGAGAGTCTGATCGCATATGCCTAATGGCTGCCCCTCTGCCACGGTTGTCCTCCCACTCTTCCAGTAGTTTCTGGTACGCATTTTCAATGGCTTTTGAATCATTCTTCGAAAAGGGATTAAACTTCTTTGGCGCAGGGACCGGTTTAGCCGGTTCCTTCTCTTTCTTGCTCTTTGTATACTGCGGTTTTCGTTTCGGCACATCAACGGCGTGAAACCACTTGACGTGGAGCGGCGGACAGTCCGAGGGGTATTTCCTGAAGCTTTGGCCATATAGTGTGCTACTGGAGTGGTCGTCGGCCTTTTTGGTCGGCGCCGGTTTTGGCGGAGGCGGCATCTCTTTGTCCTTGGGCACCGGCGTCGTGCTCCGGTTGGAATTCCACGGGTTTATTGATTCGACCGCACTCGCAAAATATGACTTTTCCTGCTTCTTCTCGGCGGCATCCGTCTTCTTTCCTTCCGAACCACCGACCTCTTTGCTCGGAGGTGTAGACATTGGGACTCTACTGGGACGGCCGAGCGGCCATCCGAGAAGATCCTTGGGCGTGTTCCAAATACGACGGCGCAGGTGAGATGGGACGAGAATTCGGGCGTTGCAGGTCAGACTTGGTCGCGTGAGCAAAGCCGGAGAGAGCGCCAACGTGTCCGGTGTGATAGGAGGTAAGGACGTTATAAGTCGTTATTGGGAAGCTCGTACACCAACCACGTCGGTTCCACCGTCTGATTGAGTATTTGCGGAACTCGCAGAGTGGCTCGTTTCCAGTTAATCAAATGGTTGCGTCAGCGGATATGTGGGTGGACCAAGAACACAACGTCTGTGGTTGGACAACGGGTACTGCGACACCATGAACTTGTATCGAAGCCAGGTGGCCTCTACATAGTCATCTGTGGGAACGAGGCGTGCGAGTGCGCTGTCGGAGAGATGAGACGAAGAAGAGGTAGAAAAAGACAAGAGTAAAAGAGGCGCTTTGCGGGTGATCTATTCTGACAGGCACAAATGCGACAAGTATTTTAGCAGCCACATGGTTGACGGTTCACATGCCATTGGGTGCGCGCTCAACTGGGCAACAGTCAGTCAGTAGACATTCCAGAAGATCAACCCCACCAGAGCTTCGAAAGGCGGGACATTGAATGTACTGTGTAAGTAGGTACCTCTCTCTGTATAGGTAGCCCTGTAGACTACCTACGTACCCAATCTCTACACCATATGTAGGTAGTAAATAAATGGGCAGCTATGGGTAAAAGCTATGACGACGGTGAGGGCGCTAGAAGAGCGATACGGGAGACATGGACAGGGGATAACGTGGGGTATCCATCGAGGATAAGGGGCCCGGGGGCTTCGGAAGGTCCATTGACTCGCTTTGGTTCATGTACAAGAAAGTCCACTATTTAGCCTTAACAGTTGCCGTTCATCATGTCTCCTGCCGACATTGCCTCCTCTGTACCTGCACCTGCGGCTCTATCCGCTGCTTTGTAAGAAACCCGAGTCAATATTCATGATGATATAGAGAACTCAATTCCCAGACGCTTCATGGATGGCATGCATGCATGCGCCCAGATGCCAATCTGGAATAAGCATACTTGGTCCCATCGGCGTCGGTCACATGGCCCATTGCATAATCAAACTCACTTTGACTTCAGAGTTGGGCATTCATGATCATGCACTTCTCCAACTCAAGATGAGAAAGGACTCCTCCACATGGCTTTTGACCCCGAGACATTCGGATTCCTTTGACTTCAAAGCAATGTTGTTCCATCAGATCGACATATACGAAAAATGGATATTCTCGTATCTAGTATGAATATGAGGAGCCTAATGAGATACTATAGCGTGTCGCTGAACACCCAATTTCTTAATACGGGAATCCAGCTCCTCACACGAACTTGTTCTTACGTGACATTTTTATATCTCAGTGATGCACATCAACCCTGGTATTTGACGCAGAATCTATATGCAGTGTATAGCTTCTGGATTTCCATGGCATTAATTCATCTTGAAGTTGAGATTTGCAAATATGCTTAGTATCTCGCTTTTCTCTAACCTTAGGTAGTCTCTCTAGTCTTATACAAGTGGAATGGAACTAATACACAACTCTGTAGATTCCTGGATCCTCACTTACGCCAATGTTAGAGATCTACGTCTTGACCAGAACGCCTTAAAATACAGTGGTGAAAAGAGATCGCAGATATGCTGCTCACAAGACCCAATATTGATGGCTCGCATGTTCTTGCGTGTCTATGCGTCATGACAAGTGACATTACTTTGCTGACCTAGAAGATTTCCTCGATTCCCTGGAAGCCTCGCTCTCTAGTCTCCCAGTATCCATCCTTGCCCGTCTTCATCTTCCAAACCTCCTCGCCGCCGTCCTCCTCACCGGCGGCCTTGGAGAACCACTTGGCTTTGTATTGCTCTCCACGCTCTTCTAATTCTCTTCTCCGGGCTCTCTGCGCCTCTTCGAGCCTCACCTTCTCCTCCTCAGCTTCATCGAGTTTACCCTGCTCAGCGAGACGCTGGTCAGGACGCAATCTCGTATCAGTTACTGGTAGGCGTCCCTTCTCGATGGCCGTAATCTCGTTCAACGTGGCTGCAAATGCCGTCATACCATATGTATTTACGGCATTGGGAACCAAGTCCCCAACCTTCCAGATGTCATTGCCTTTGCGTGCCTTGCCGTTCTCAGTGACTTTCAGACTACCCGTCCAAGTGCCGGTCAATGCAAGTCCAGTCTGAGAGCCATCGCCACTGCTAATATCGGCCTGGACATCCTCGCCGCGGCCGCCAAACATGCCCTTGGCACGGAACTCGATCTGCGCTTTGGCACCGGTCGACTCATTTGTCACGGTCATATTGCCCACCGGCTCGACGTATTTCTCACCCATGACAACATTCCTCAAAAACATGGTTGGGTGTGACCACGAGTAGTGCTCATCCGTTCCATCTGGTAATCTCAATGCCACGCGGACCTTGCCCTCAGTGGTGATCTCTGCACTCTTACCCCAGAACTTTTGGCCGGGCGCAGGCGTCTGAGTGAAAGACCACAAGGCTGCATCCGCATGCATTGCCAGCCTGACGGGTCGGTGAGATACTTTTTCCACGATAAGTCTGAAACCTCCTGGCACCTCGCTGTCCGTCCTCAATAACTCGAACGTTTCACCCAGTAGCGGGTTGAACGGCTTGCGAATTGCGCGTTCCCGAGCCCTGTTCACGCTAAGTTGAGATACCGCAAAAGCAGTAACGTGCAGCAGCCGCTCGTTGGGCGATTTTTGTTGTGTTGCGATGTCTAGGAGCTGCGCATATTCCAACTGCTCGGCTGTACGCTGGAGGAGTGAGATAGGCTCGTTCGAAGAGACGGGCATACTGATTGTGCTAAAGTCTTTGCCCACGTTCTTCCTTGCAAATGCAATGAGAGATGGAGGCGGGACTGTTGCAGGAGGGATAGTCTTTCGACGCTCGACAGCAATACCCACAGGTAGAGGGTGCAATGACTTTGGTTTCGCCGGGAACAGCGCTGCTGCTCCCTCTGGATCAAGAGTGCCATCATCGTCAGCCTCTGAGGAAACGGAAGAGGACGAGTGTATCGATGCTTCATCCGCTTCGGATCCCTGCGAGTCTTCCTCGCCTTCGCGGTCAATGACCATGACCTGGTTTCTAGTGTCCGTGTCACCTGCTTCGGCATCAAAGAACTCATCTGTTGACGCAGTAGACTCGAAACTCATGCGGGATGCCACAGCGGAGCCGGGCGCCGGGGTACGTCGTCGCTTGCTCTTTGCAACTAGGGTGGTGAATTCCGAGACAACCGCGTCGAGATCATTGAGTAGTGAGGTACAGTGATCTTGGATATTCCGTTCTTCCTGCGCCGACTTGGAGTTGTCAGCTGCCGTAGATGCGGCACTAGGCGAAGGTACTGCCAGAGCAGACGATTGTACAGCTTGGAAAACTTGCGGACTCATCGGTGGCGCGCTAGATTTTCGCCTCCAGAAAGAACGCCTTTGATCTTGTTGGGGCTGCTGAAAGTAACCATCGCCGTCCTCACCATTGGGCGTTCCCCCCGGTGAGAGATATGAGCTTGTGGGACGGGCACTGCTCTGTCTCTTTGTAGAGATATCCTTGACAAGCCGTCTGAGGGCATCTCGAGAGCCTACGACACGGCTCACCAAGATCTCGACTTGCTCCCATTCACGAGCTTCTTCCTGGGGCGAGTACCCAGTGCGCATTGGCACTTGTGTGTTGACCTGTAGCGTATCGCTGCGCGCCACAACGCCCTCTGGAACTGGTTCTGACTCTAAGCCACGTGCGATCCGGCTGGCTTTCTCCAGTGCCTTTGCCCAATCGCTGAAGTCCTTGGCATTGGAAGCTCTCAGGTGCCACACTTCAGCCCCAGAGTCAATGGTGATTTCTCGTCGTCTCTCGTCCGCAGCGATGGCTGCAAGACTGAGTGGAATTGCACCCCTAAGCGCAGAAGAGTTGCGGTTATAGTAGTACGACAAGGTGCATGATGAGTAGTCGAGCGAAAAGAAGCGTCGCGCAAAGCCTTGGCCCTTCTTTCTCCGTCTCTTGAGCAGATTCCCGGTATGATACGCGGCCGAGGGCGCTACTCCTGCTTCACTTCGACCGGCGATAGATTGAGATCTATTCTTTCCATGGCTCTGGAGGCTGTCTACGGACTCGGATGCTGCGGCTCCGATGCGTGGGCTCGGCTTTCCGAGGCTCGTTTTGCTGGCTGCCGCAACTGGGTGGCCCGTTCCCAGGTTCGGGATATGGTGGGCAGTCTGTGGTGGTTGACCAGTCGGGAAAGTCAACAAAACAAAGGTGGCTGTCTTTCCCGTAGTCTTGGAAAACGTGTTGTCGAATATGAGCCCAAACATGCCCCCTTGACCAGGCGGTACGTCGTACGTCCCCATGGACACCTTGTCAGCCTCACACTTGCCATGCCACCGCATAAGTATGAAACCCTTGCTGCTCAACTGCTCCTGCGCGGTGCTGGAGTCCTTTTTAGAGAAGCCTCCACGGCCGGACTTGACATCCTTCCCACCGGCCTCGAGGTTTTCGAAGGTGTTGTTGAGTTCGTCAATGGCGGCCGAGGAGGCTAGATTGTTCGGACCGGAGCCGGGATGCTTTACGATGCCGAAGTTGATTGACTTCTTGTGAGGTTGCAAACTCCATGAGATAGTGTGACCTTCTTCGACTTTGACCCATCGCACAATGTAGGACTAGATTCGGGGAAGTCCAAGTCAGTATACGACATTCTTAAATGCAGCTACATGAGGCAGACGTAGAACACAGAACCCATGGAACCAGCCTGCCAGCACTAGGCAGGAAGCTCGTGTACACGCACCTTGCTATGGATCTCGAGTTGTTCTATGCCCGCCATGCTGAAGTCGATTGCCTTGATGGGGGCATGTGACGTGTGAATGTCGTAGCTTCGAGAAGCTGCAGATGGTTGTCTGTTGCAGGTGGAAAACACTGGCTAAAGAGGCAGGCTTGTAGGACTAGTAGTAAGTGATCAAGTCAGTCAGTCGCAGCCAAAGATCCATGCCTGGGCTGCGTCGCGGAGGGCAGGAAAGGAATGGCGGCGGACGCGGGTGACGATCAAGCTGAACGGGTTTAATTAGATCAAGCTTCGTAATCCTCGGCTTGCTCACAACTTTTCCCTTGTTGGTCTGAATGGGACATCAGATGTACATAGCGTGGTGGTGGATCAGACCCGTCTCCGTTGAAGCCGCTAATAAGGCACACCAACCAGTTCAATGGTTCACCATTGGCACAGGGGTAAGGCTGGTGTAATGTGAGGTAGGGGAGGGGGATTACCCGCTGAGATGCCCCCTAGAATCGGGCCAAGTGGCCTGACCAGCCGCTATTCTATTCATGCAAGCTTACCTTACTGCACTTTGAGGACTTTGGTCAAAGTACATACCTACCTGTCATCGTACCCGAGAGGAAAGGCTGCAAACAAGTTCAACGTTGGCAAGGTACATCAAGGGCAACTGTTGCTGTTGGATGTCAGCATTACGTACATCTGCTCTTCAGGTCCCGTGATGTTCAAGTTTTCCATTTTTATTTCCAAAAATACCCAAAGGCGAACACTGACGGCTTGGACGGGAAACAAAAAAAAATGGGGGTTGGCGGCATTTCGTATGCTCATAACTCATAATTACTAGGTAGCCCCAGTGAGCAGTAACATGCTGTTGGCTGGATTCTTTTAGAGGATCCAATCAGTCAATCTCAACCAGCCAACGCACTGATCCCTCAGATGTCTAGATGACAAAGAAATGATTCACAGCAGATGAAAGCCGAGATTATCAAAATATTATCTGCTACTACGTACTGCCTAAACTTAGGCAGACTGGCGAGGATTTTCTATCTAGGTATTGTACAGACCAGAGTAATTTGCCCATGCTCTGACTCAATCTGGCTTTTTTCTCAACTTTTGTCCTGTAATGCAGCAGTGCTCTCTAATCCATGACACTGCTATGCAATTGACTGTTCAATCAAATAAAACACACCGCTTCCTATCTTTACCCCTTTCTGTACCTTGTGTGATCGGGTTATCCTGACCCTCATGACGGTGCCCCATGAAGGGAAAAACGCTGTCCCCGGTTTCCGACCAAGGCCCCTGCGGCACCATCTTACTGCCTCTACCGCCGCGTACTGGCTGCCCTGTTGAGCTCGCTCTGGATGCGCAATTTGAACCCGTTGGTCAATGCCCTCATATCAGGGTACTGATTCTTGAGCATTTCGTAGGCGTTGGGTAGGATCTTGACTGGCCACCAGAAAATCTTTGATTGTTTGTTGGTCTTGAAGGCCAAGAAGAAGTAGCCCGGGTGCTTGGGGTCAATACACAATGTGTATACAGCAGCCTTGGGATTCGCATCGGTATAGGCTGTGAGCCATTTCTCTGTAATACACATTAGTTGTTATGGAACAAGTACATGCACAAAGGCAGAAAGTGTTACTTACCAATCTCAGATAAACTTCCCTTGCGGAACTTGTCATGCCCAGTAAGCTGGTCGACCTTGCGGGCCATTGCCTTGATGTGCTCCACGATCAACTCGTCAAGATCCGAGTAGCTGTACTTGCCCTCCACGCGCAGAATCTTGCCGACAGCGAACTCGCTCTCTTTTTGAAGTTCAACAACATCAACATGCTTGAACACGCCGTCTGCGACCTTCCATGTTATGGTCAAGTGGTCATTTCCTTTTGAGGACGGTCTGATCACCAAATCACCCACAGCTTGGGAACCAAGATACTGCTCCGCCTCGGTAGAGTTGAAAGGTTTGAACATCGGATGCTTGATGACTCGCTGTACGCGACCAGTCACCTTGTCTTTCTCACGTAGTTCCTCCCGATCGTCGTCCTCCAGCCTGAAGTCCCACGTGTCGGGATCGTGATCGGCATGCCTTCTATATGGCTTCTTTGTAGCATCCTCGCGCACCGACACCTTTGCAAGGAAGTCTTTTCTGTTTAGGTCGAGGATCTTGGCTTGCACGGTCTGACCCGGCCGCAATATTTCCTTGATAGAAATGTTGGTCCGGTGGCTGACCTCGTGGGCATCTACCCGTCCTTCAATGCCACAATCAAGCTTCACAATGGCGAAATCATCCTTGACAACACGAACATTGATAGGTAGAACCATGCCTTCGGTCAATGAGTCCTTGGTTTCACCGGTAAACATTGTGAAAATGCGGTCGCTCTCAAGTGGGCCAAGGTGTCGCCTAAGTTCTTCGTATGGAGCTTGCAGTTCAGCACGGATCGTCTCCAGTGTAGCTCGCTTTCGCTGTGCGTATTTCGACTCTAGCTGCTCGGCATACTCTTCGAGAATCAACTCGTTGACCTTGTCCTGCTCATCCTCTTTGAAGAGCTTGCGCACGATAGCACCTTGACCATTTTCAGCAGTCTCGGCCTGGACATCCTCCTCGTCGAGCTCTAGAGCATCAGCCGCCATCTTTCGGCCGAGTTCGTAGTCTTCGGGGTGAACACGAGTGTTGTCCAGAGGCTCGGATGCTGGATTCGACGGGTCGTATTCCAAAAAGAGGAAACTGGCGCAGTTCATCCATACAAGCGGACCAACCACGGGGAGTTTGTTGTTATCAGGGTCTCCGACCAGTTCGTCTCTGGAATTAACAGCACCGCCATTGAGATTGATTGCCTTGATCACCGCAGTGGCCTTTCGAGGGCCTAGACCAGAAACATACGGGAGCAAATTGGCAACATAAGAATCTCCGACCGCCTCGTTGATATCCACACCACATAGGTTGACCATATCGACCATTGATGTCTCGAGGGATCTGAGCAGCTTGTCCTGCGGCAGAAGATTCTGGCAGGGATGGAAGGAGACAGATGTGATATCCTTGCCGAGTGTTGCATACTCCTTCATGGGGTTCTGGAGATACCGAGCCAGCGCAACACAGTAACGAGTGACTGCGGGTAGACCTGGATGCTCTGCAATTGCTCGTGGACTATCTTTGTAGAGTCTTGCCACTTCATCGTTGACGACGAACACGTCCAGCAGCTCACTGCGATAGTCGCCTGTGTCAGGGTCTTCGAAGTCGGGGCCCATGAGACGCTTTTCGCCAACGAGACCTTCAATGTCTCGCACAAGCTTATGCGTATCGGCACAGAAACCGCTGACGGCAATCACATCCGGCTTTCGACGTTCAACGACTTCCGTAAAAGCCTCGCGCTGGGCGTCGTCGCGGGCAAGGTTCCCAAACCGGCCCTGCTCGATGACTCGACCATCTTCCTCAACCCAGGCCCAGAAAGTAGGATCTCTTCCGACATCGCCCATGCCGTTTGACAATGCAAGGACTCGAGGTGTTGTACCCAATACCATTCCTTTCGGCTTGTAGGGGGCTTGATCAAGTCTCTTTGAATACTCTTCGCGGCAGATCTTAAGTAGCTCTTCTTGGCAGAACGTTCGCAGGGACTCCTTAACGCCCTTGGCAATAACCCGTTCCAACTTGTAGAAGGCAGAGTCTAGCACTCTTCGTCGTTCCTCGTTCCACGCATCAGCAGCAGAGCTGTAGTTGTCCGACTTGAATTCGGCGTCCAGCTGCTGTCTGAACTTGCGCTCATTCTGGAGTCGTAGCTTGATCTCAACCAGCCCCTCCTCTTCTGCCTTCATCATCTTCAAGAAGAGTTCCGGCCGACGTAGGAGATCAGGAATTGTCTGGTTGACGAGATATTTGATCTCATAAAATGGATGGGATTCATCAATCCTTCGTAGTCCTTTGTCCGTTCGACGACAGCTGATTTCACCATAGTTATAGAAGTGTGCTCTGAAGTACTTTCGCATCCTGGGGTTTGCAAAGAGTTCTTCTGTGTACATCAGTCGAGCCTGGGAAATGACGGCTTCGGCGCTCGGCGCATCAGCGTCCGTCAACGAGTCAGCCAGGTCCTCGGGTGCCTTCTCATCATCATCCACAAGCGACCTCTTGCCATCGTCGCGTTGAAGGTTTTGTGCAAGACGATCAGCGGAGATACCATAGGCTTTGACGAAGTTGTAGACCTTGCTTCTTCTCGTGCGCTCCCAAGCTGAGGACTTCGTTCCAGGGCGTTTCGTCTCCTTGGTGTTTCCCTCCATGGCGGCAATGTCTTTGAGCTGGGCAGAATACTGAAAGTTAACGTAGTCCTGCAGGTCTTGCAGTTCCTCCATGAGCTGAGCTGTGGGAATTAGTTCTTCAAGAATGTCGTCTTGGATGCCAGCCTTTTCTCTCAAATTTTCAAAGTTCTTCTCCAAAGCATTGCGTCTCTCGATGAAGGCTCGGAACTTGATATCCAGCTCTAAGACTCTCCACAGGTCATCTTGGGTAAGAAGCTTCTCAGCACTGACGATACTCTCAGGAGCGTCCGGATCATGCTTGTGATCAGGATTCTCTCGCTTTTCGGCATGAATCAGATAATCCTTGCGGTGCTGAAAGACATATGGCACCTCGAGCATCTCGACAACAAAATACTCAAGTACTTTGCCGATGGCCCTCTGGAATGGCTCCTCGAGCCGTTTAGGAAGCTGTTTTTTCGGCCACATAAGGTTTGTGATCCACTTTGCCTCTTCCTTGAACTGTTCGCTTGTGATCTGAAGCGATTTGAAAGGCTTCCTGTCGAGCTGAAAGCGTTCAGGCTCGTCTGTGTTACGGATGACGTTGTCCTCATCCGTCAGAAGCTTCTCCTGCAATTGCGACGGCTCGAATACGTCCTTGAGCTCCAGATTCTGATCTTGGAAGCGGCGGTCTTCCTCTTCCTCCTCCAGTTGAAGTGCCCAGTCGTACTCCTCGCCATTACCGAAGATTTCCTCCATGTCATCGAGAACTTCCTGATCAAGCCCAGTAGTGTCCAGAACTGTCCCAGCAAGGCCACGATCTCGGGGGCGGGCAACTTCAGCATCTTCGATCTGGCGAAAACGCTCATCCTCATCAACAGGATCGTCATCCTCAATGAAGTCGTCCATCTCGTCTTCCATGCGACCAGGGCGGGTAGGCCGGGCATATGCTCGATCATCCGCTTCCTCATCCTCATCAGAGAACATGTCATCAAGGCCGCGGCGCTCGTTTCTTCTATCGTCCGAGTCGCGATGACCGATTCGAAGTCGCTTCATTTTCTTCTGGAATTGTCAATTGTCAGTCTTGGCAGTGGTGCGATTAATAGAGTGGAATCGGCTCCTACCTTTTCTGGCTGCGCAGGCTCGCCCAACGTCTCTCCGATTAAGTCGAGATCTTCCTCGTCAAGCTGTGCTTCTTCTTCCCGTTCCTGTCGGCGCTTCCGCTTCCTGCGCTTGCGCTCCTCGGCCGAGTCCTGTATGTCGTCTTCTTCCTCGTCCTCGTCGACGATGAAGCCCTCTCGAACCTGGTGCGGTGGTTAGCAATTGGTATCCGAATTCCCCAGTATGCGATGTACCTTTGCGGCTTCTTCCTCATCATCGTCATCATCCTCTTCCTCGCTCGAGTCATCGACATCACCGTTTTGATTGCGGCGGTTCTTTCGGTCTCGAGTCTCGCCAGTTTCCTCATCGTAGGACTCCTCGTCGGAGCTGCCTTCATCGGCCTCGCCCATGACGAGGTCTCTCATAGTGCTAGACATTTTCGCAACGTCAAAAGGCTATGTTTGGAAAGAGTGTCTTAGATCGCTGTCGATACTGCCTTCACTGCTTGGATCGCGTGTCCAGCTAGCAAAGGCGGTTTAAACCTTGAAGAGCTGGAGCAGGTGTCAAAACAGAGCCAGATGCAAGGAGTAAAAAGGAACAATATTGACACAGATGGTGTGCGAGCTCGTTGGAATTGTGGCGATGGCAACGGCGCGCTGAACGGGAGGCTCGTTGGTTGCGACGGAGCTGGGGGAAAAAATGTATCGCGTCGTTCTGAGCAGCCTTGTGAGGTCAAATGTCAGGCAGATCGATGAACTGGGCCGCTGGTGCAGGGTAGGCAGGGGATGCAGTTGGCTGGTCAAAGCGTAGAAAGCTGTACCCATTCAGCAGGCGCCTGGAGGGCAGTCGGGGAACTTGAATGCGGATGATGATTATCGATAACGATAACGATAAAGCCAGCGCCACTGCATACCCGAGTAGCGGGATACATTAGTGTACCTTGCCTACTGGTGGACTGGAGGCAGACTTGTAGAGATGAATTCAGTCTCTTCAAGTTGTGAGGAATCATATTGCTAAATCATACGCTTGCCTAATTCCCATGCTCTCATGTACCATATGGATCAAGTAGTCTTCAGGCCAGCACAAATACCACCCCCAAGCCTTCTTTTTCTCTCACGCACTTCCAAGTTTGTAGTGAGCCTGCTATAGAAGCGGGCGAATTCCTGGAGCGCTTCTCAAGCTGACAACATTCCTGCTCGTCAGATACAATGACGAACAGAATTATTGAGTCTCATGACGCATCGCCGGCAATGACCTGAAGTCATAATTGCTTGAACGTTCATTCTATCTATGTAGCTCGTACGTAGTAGGTATAATGCAATGCGGACTCGCCCCAAGCAACAAGCATCCAAATGAAGTACATTCACCCTTCCTGGACACTGATCATCACTTTTGTTTTATGCGGAGTGGTTATTGAAAGCATTTGAAAGGAGGACGGAACCAAATGCGATAGGGCACTGAATGGATGATAACGTAATTATTTTTTCCACTGAATCTAGCTCACCTGTCGACATCGGGAATCACTGATCAATACATTTGTTCGTATAAGTGGAACTTGGTATGACATTGGATCATGAACAGGTCCGACCATTCAATCATTCTTTATGTTTCTAACCTCTGTTGACGTTTTTCGCAGATAGCTCTTTGGCACAAGACATGTTTGGTAACTAGATAAAGAGATGGATCGTATATCTTTGAATATGTTGATGCCCAAAGCCATGCAGGTATTTTTAAAAAAAAAAAAAAAAAGTTGGCCAGGGGCCGTATGGATGTACAAGCCAATCATGCCTCAAATGCCCTCATATTGAGACAAAGACTGGACAGGCAAGAAGCCAACCTGAAGAACTCAACCAATCCATTCGATCCCCCATATATGAAACCCTGCCTAGCACGACTGAAATTTCGGCACGATCTTTTGGCCCCTGATGGAATGTGACATGGTTATCATACTCCATCGACCTGAAATCAACACGTTAAGCGCCCTGGGATAAATAGCCTTCTTGGTATCTCTCGCGGCATGAGCTTTGTCATCAACTATGATCCAGTGGTTGAGCGGCATGTATGACAAGGAGGAAACAATAGGGGACATTCAAGGATTGACGACAGCCAAGAGCATGATACCACCTACATTAGGTACCTAGGTACGATATAGGTAGATAACATGAATGATGACTAGGTAAAGACATGCCTCCTAACTGAAGGACCAGGTATTCCGTACGTTACTTCATTATTAGCCTGGCATCAGAAATGTTTACTAAGGAGGATGCGCTCTCCGTGACTTGGTCTCCATTTATTACCATACATCCGCGACAAACACTAGAATGGTAACACGACTAAAATGAATATGTCTGCTTCCGTATAGTACACAGTAATGGACTGAAGAATAATGTTTAGCATACCCACAACAAATATTCCTATCTTTCTTTTCAATGGCATTGACCCCTTGTCTTTCTTTGGGCTGTTCTCCTTTCTCCGCCCTTTGTTGCTAGTCTCCTTTCTGGTCATGGCCTGACCCGTCATGTCGCGGCTGATGGACGCTTCGACCAGCGAAGTTTCACATCTCCAGGTGTGTCGTCACAAAGATTACGGGGGCGCATCTTGTCGCATCCAAGATCCCCATGAATCGATACAGCTACGCAGTACATATATGTATGTATACCTTATTAGAGCGACGCCAAAATTGTGTGGTATCTTGTGCAATTTATTAGTTGATGGCCAATTGCCGCTATTGCAGGTACTATTGCCAATAACCATATGGTGTCTATCTGCAACTTTATATAGCAATGGCCACACAAAAAAAAAAAAAAAATAGTAGTAGAAAGACAGTGACGATCCAAAAACTTTTTTGTACACTACAACCGGAATAGACTTGTGGTTCCCCGAAGATCCACTGGAGGGGACGGGGACATTGACAGCTGCACACTCCGTTCATCTTGCTGACCTTGATACCAATCCTAATTAATTCGACACCGACTGTGTGCTTGCAACGCTTAAGTCAAAAGACTTGACTCACTCAATACAAGAGGCATTCAAAGTCTCTGTGTGTTTTGAGCTGTATATTGAACGCCCACAGCCAGCCGACTAACGGTGTGACAAGCCTCGGCAGGCCCTTTTTTTTTTTTTTTTTTTTTGGGCAGAGTCTCGGCAGAGGTCTTGACTACGTATTTGAGCATTCACTAGCAGACAATTTGGTTTGCCAGGTTTGGAGGTTACCTACAATTTATAGAACGGGGTCCAGGACTCGAGGTATCCGTTGCAAGTACCTACGCTACTAGTATTCCAGAATCCATCCATGGATGGTTCGAACGCACTTGAAAACAAATCACCTCCGACCTAGTCAGCGGACCGACGAAGACTGAGACCTGCCTAAGCTTAGGTTAGTTGGCTGTAGCGAATCCAGGCCCGATTCTTTTCTTCGACAGGGACTGGCATCTCCACCAGACGCTCCCACCCCACGCAGGGACCCACGACCTACAATTACCTAGGAACGGACCATGGTAGCGCTCGCTACTAGGTGTGAATGAAGTGGCGCGCTGATGACTGGAACTGAGCTGGGCCGAACTGGACTGGACTGACACTGAATAATATCCATCTACCGACCAACCGCCAACAGATTTTCTACTTTCTCTTTTGGTTGAAACCAACTTTCTGGCCAGACTCCGACCTGTGTCGCCGTTGTATATAACATTCATCACAAGCCCGGAGATTGTTGCTTTCTTTGTTGTGGCTGCCCATCAATAAGACTGCGATTTGCAGGAGAGAGAAAAAGGCCCTTTGCCTATCTCGATCTGCATCCTTGAATCTGCAGCTACTACTACCTAAAACCCAACGACTCCAGCCAACGAGGGGCAGCATCTCGCCCGCGTCGTATTGAACCGCCCCGGGGCCGCGCCCAACCCACACAGTCGCTGTTCGCTCAGACTGCAAAAGCTACTCCTTATCAATCGTAGCAGCATCCAAAGGGGATTTTGTCCTGTCCTGGCTTTGATTTTGGCTTGCACTTTTTGCCCTTCGAAAAGAGCTCCGTCTCGATCCAACAAACGTCGCTCCCTTTCCCCTCCTCCATCGGATCGACGCCGCCCACCATGGCCGACTTTGCCCCGCGCTCGATGAAGCGCAAGAACGTCAAGGGTCTTGCGCTCACGCCCGCCGCACCCAAAGCGCCGCCCACCGCCAGCACCAACGCGCAAGCGGGCCTTGGCTGGGGAACCGGAGGATCCAAGCACGAAGACGGTAGCGAAGCCCAGCTGGAGATTGGCATCGAGTTTAACTTGAGCCTCAAGCAAGAGGACCTAGAGATCATCAAGGAGCTAGGATCCGGCAATGGAGGCACCGTCAGCAAAATCAAGCATCTCCCAACGGGGACGACCATGGCCCGAAAGGTATGATACAAATACCATGCCCATACCGGGAGTTCCAGTATCTGGCATGAGCTAGTCACTGACGTTTGAGCAGGTCATCCATGTTGAAGCAAAGAAGGAGATGCGGAGAAGAATCGTGCGTGAACTTCAGATCATGCACGGATGTCACTCTGACTACATTGTGACATTTTACGGCGCATTCCTCAACCCGCACAACGATGTGATCATGTGTATGGAGTATATGGACGTCGGGTAAGCCTAGAGGAGATGCCGCGACAAAGATTCAAACTCAGCTGACTTGACGATAACAGTTCTCTTGACCGCATCTCCCGAGTCTTTGGTCCCATTCGAGTCGATGTGCTGGGCAAGATTGCCGAGGCCACGCTGGGCGGATTGACATATCTCTACGAGAAGCACCACATTATGCATCGTGACATCAAGCCCTCCAATATTCTGGTCAACTCGCGCGGACACATTAAGCTTTGCGATTTTGGCGTGTCTGGAGAACTCATCAACTCGGTCGCGGATACGTTCGTGGGCACCTCCACCTACATGGCCCCTGAGCGTATCCAGGGAGAAAAGTATACTGTAAAGTCCGACGTGTGGAGTTTCGGCCTGAGCGTCATGGAGTTGGCTATTGGCAAATTCCCCTTTGCTGCAAGCGAACAACTGTCGGACGGTGACGGTGCGCCGGCAGGTATTCTGGACCTTCTGCAGCAGATTGTGCATGAGCCTGCGCCCACGTTGCCCAAGAGCGACGCTTTCCCTTCGATTCTGGAAGATATGATTCAGCGGTGTCTTTACAAGAATCCAGATGAACGACCGACACCCCAGGAGCTTTTCGTAAGAAACCTCTTTCATTCAAAGTACAATCGACCAAGCTGACCATTCATAGGACCGGGATCCCTTTGTTCAGGCTGCCAAGCGCACACCTGTCGACCTAAGAGCCTGGGCTGTCGGCCTCATGGAGAGGGATAACCGCAAGTCGCATCTAGCACCGCAACTCTCCCCAGCTACGCAGGAATTGTTGAGGTCTGGTGAAACGCCCACACATGACAGCGAAGCAAATCCAGCTTACACCCCAACTTCGGGCGAGATCCCCATTGCGGGTATGAGCGGCATGACCATTTCTTCGCCTCGGGATCAAGCACATAACCGCTCTCCCACGAGGAGCAATGGAGGATATAGCCGCCAAGCATCGTCGCATGCACACCCTGGCTTGGGACAGAGATCAGCAACCTCTGGAACGATTCCCAAAAGCGTCACTCCCGATTTATCACACCCAGCAAGTGCGAGCGCAAATCAGTCTACGTTCGCGCTGCCGGGCCGGCCCGCACCCCCTGGTGGGCCTCTACCTCCGCCTCCGCCAAGAAAAGAAACCCCCGACGAAATGCGAAGGGAGAGCAGGCGGCAGGCCACATTCGGGCCCAATGGATACTACCAATGATATCAGACATCACCCGATCGACTTGTGTGACCACGGCCTCTAGGTTGGCCTGCTTTGACGACATCCGCACGCACACTGCACCTTGAAGAAAAAGAAAGAAAGATCATCCATAGTCTACACCACTCCAAAAAGAGCGGCGTTCAAAGAAAACAATTGTAGTACCGAAATCCCAAGCCGTGCCACGAGATCTCATCCACGAACGTGTTGATCAAATTGGGCTCGAGAGAAAATGGTGGAACATTTTCAGATCAAAGATGAGAAGAAGAGGATCATAGTGGGCATTGATCAGGACTGCAAGGAAATATAGTATAAGGGCTCCACAGCCTATATAATGGACGAAGATGGCTACTATTTCTTTGCAAAGGGGGTGACTGAAAATTCTATGTTACTAGATCAAGAACGCTGAAGACAATTGTGAGTTCAGAAGCAAGCGAAGAAGCCATGTGCCTCGTCCATCAAAGTCCATGTCCACCTCATTTGATTATGTAAAGGAGTTGGAATCAAGCAGTTACGAAGCCTCGCGCCCGACAAAACCTTCTTCCAGAATGCCCACCAGATCATCCAACCTCTGAATAACCAGATCAGTGTGACTATGCTCGGCCAGGTGCTCATTTGCGGGGTTGACGAGAAGAACAGTAGCGGCACCCGCTCTCCGACCGGCCGTCATATCATCGATACTATCGCCGACCATGATCAAACCGCTTGCATCGCCAATTTCCCTGTCGTTGTTGCCCTCGTCGGGTCCGCGGTTCTCACCCAGGGCGCCGGCTTTTACGCCCGCGCTCTCATCGCTCTCCTCGACCAGACCCTTGAGCTCCTCGGCCCGCGCCGCGTTGACCTCGGACAGGCGCCGGCTCAGGCCCCACGAGCGGGCAATGAAGAGGATCCCCGCCGGGTCCGGCTTGGGCGGTCGAAAGTCGCGCGTGATGATGGGCTGAAAGGGGGACTCGGGCAGGAACTTGGTCAGGAGGTGCGTCACCGGCCCGTCAAAATTGCGCGTGCAAATGCCCTTTGGGATGGAGCGCGAGTCCAGGTAGGCCATGAGGGATTGGAGGCCTGGCTGAGCCACTTGTCTATTTTTCTCCAGGTGAGCCCTCCTTCGAGATCTGGTTATTAGGGCAAGAAGGACGAGTGATTGCTTACTCGGACATGTTCCGGCGTTCAATGGCCCGAATCTGTTCCATGGCCTCTTCCTGTTTCGATTCAGGAGACAGTGAGTATATGTGGTCAAGAATGTCAATAGACTTTGGAATCCCTAAAACATCTCGCATCTCCACAAACATGTGATTCTGAGGTTCACTGTGACTGTATGTTAGCTACTGCAGTCTTCATGAAAGGCCCGGCAAGAGGAGAAAAGAAAAGAAAGAAAAGAAGAAATATAGAAGAGACAGTATGGTGAAAGTGTCAAGGCAAACTCGGATACCTCTTTCCTTCTTAGCAGACGTATGCGTTGAGTTCCATGATTCCTGCATCATCAATCACGAAAAGCAATACTATATATAGGTTGCGTGACCAATCGGACAAGTTCACTGGTCCTTGAAGGACAGCAGTATAATGACTCAACTCAAGATGAGAGTCCATTGGAACCAAAATCCTTTATGCTTCCGAGGTAGAAAGATGTCCATGAACTTTCGTAGGAAGAGTAGGAAACAAGCTCAATAAGTAACAGAGGAATTAGACATACCACAAGGTTCCATCAACGTCAAAGACTACTCCTCTCAACTTCGGCAAATCGTTGGAGTGGCTGATGCCTTCTCTCAGCGGCGCGAAACGCTTCGGGCCTGCTTTCGCCATTGTCGATAGTAATCTTCGCATAAGGGTAGAGAGTTGTTGAGGACTGCTGAATCGAAGATGTCAAAAATTAGTATGTTCTGATCAAAGCAAGAAAATATCAAAGCAAGAGTATGCTCACAATATTTGCGGGTGAATGAACCTCACCCAGATTCTTTCCTCCAAATATAGCTCCAAACGTTAATGGTCCCTCGACTATTTCATGTATGATGATACATGTGAGTGAGTGGGGTCCGTGCGTCATCAGCCAAAGCATTTGATTTGTAGCGTATCGTTACTGTTCATTTAGGTAATTTAGCGGCTGGCTGCTACCCAGAGTTAGGCAAGCTGCAAGCCACTGACTGGGATCGCAGCTCGCCCGCGTGTCTTTGGACAAGCTGTCATTAGATCCAGTAGCTGGGTTCCGGAACAATATCAAGGCCACATTCGAATACGCAGACGACACCGTATTTAGGGCACGAGACAGGAATTCCGCATCACTGACTGCCGTTACACTCTCGTTCAATACGCAATTACAATTACTGATCGGCCCATTACTTCTCCTGTGCTAAGAAAATCACAAGAACCGGCGCAATGGCGGACGATGACAAGGCAAAGGCTGAGAAGCTGGCCGCGGCCAAGAAGAGAGTGAGCTACATTTCCTACAGACGAATCATCCAGTAGAGACTCTTGTCTAATGTCAGAATGCATAGGTCGAAGAAATGAAGAAGAAGCAAAAGAAGAAGGCCGGCGCCAAAAAGGACAAGGAAGAAACCAAGCCAGAAGCTGGCGCCAGCACGCCCAAGGACGACAGCGAACCCGCCCCAGCACCAGCCAGCGAGGAAGCCGCCGAAGAGTCTGCCGAGAAGACGGCCGCCGGGGATGAAGCCGTGGAAGATCCTACCTCCCCCGCCCAGACGGCCTCGCAGCAGTCTAAGCTGCGCTCAGCTTCCTTCCGCGCCGGATCCATTTCGGGCGGCCCATTCTCACCAGGCGCAGAGGGCGAGACTGCCGCCGATATTTATCGCAAGCAGGTTGCGCGTATTGAAGATTTGGAGAAGGAGAACAAGCGACTAGCCAAGGAAGCAGCTGATTCTGAGAAGAGATGGCAGAAGGCCGAGGAGGAGCTGACAGAGCTCAAAGAATCTGACACCAAGACAGGCGGTAGCGATAGCGCCGAGGTAACAAAGTTGGTATGTTGTCTGTCGTGCAATATCGTCCGCACATTGGGTTTTTCAGCAGCTAACACACTACGTAATTGCAGCAAGCTGAGCTCGCAGCTCTCGAACGCCAGAACGCCCAGCTCCAGTCCGCGGCGGCAAAGAGTCGCGGCCATGGCCCGTCGCCATCTGTCTCGGCATCCTCTCCACCTTCTGCTGAGCTTCAAGCTCAACTAGCCTCCAAATCAGCCACTATCGAGACGATGGAGATTGAGCTCTCCAGGCTCCGTGCCCAGGCCGAGCGCCGCGCCAGCGAGGGCGGTACCGAGAAGGAACAGATTACGGCGCTAGAGGAGAAGCTCGCGCGCGCCGAGCAGGCTGCTTCGACATCTTCTCGCGAGCTCCAGGACCTAAAGCGTAACCTCGAGCGGACAAGCGAAAAGGCAATCAAGGAGAGCAGCAGCCGCACCAGCGCCGAGACCAAGGTCAGAAGTCTCGAACAGGAAAACGAGACTCTCCAGGCGGAAAAGGAGGAGCTTCAGAAGAAGCACGACGCACTCGAGAAGAAGGTCACAGCGCTGGGCAACCTGCACAAGGAGAATGACTCGAGAACACAGACACTACGCAAGGAGAAGGAGGCCGCGGAGAAGGAAGTGCTTCAACTCAAGGAAAAGGTCGAGACCCTCGAGGCGGACAATGCGCGCTTGCGCAAGAAGGATGCTGCAGAGGGCGGCGGCGATGACGACGGTGTTGATGAGCTCGAAGATGAAGGACGGCAGAGGCTGGAGAAGAAGATTCGTGACCTGGAGTCTGAGATTTATGATCTTCGCCGCGGTATTTGGCACCAGCGCCGCAAGGACCTCGAGCCCGGTGCCGAAGACGTCACCTCCCCAGGAGGTGACTTTACCAATATTGACCTTTCCGGCCCGCAATCACCTGATGCTGGCCGCAAACACTCGCAGCAAAAAGGCTTGGGCGATTTCTTCACTTCGGGCCTGAACGCCCTCACCGGTACGACGCCCGGGGGACCAGCCGATGAGGACGGATTCCTCGATGACGACGACATGGAGTTTGACGAGGAGGCGTTCCGGCGGGCCCAAGAGGAGGACGCCAAGAGGAGGATCGAGCGGATCAAGGAGATCAAGCGCGGTCTCAAGAACTGGGAGGGCTGGCGACTGGATCTCGCCGACTCGAGGCGCGGTGGGGGATACGGTGTTGGCGAGGTCTTTGAAATTTAAAACGAATACCAGTATTGCCATGTTGGTATCGATATGCAACACAACTTGTATGAATATGCACTCAATAGAAACGCTCTTGAGATGAGCAAAGTCGCCTTTACACTTTTGACTTCTCCAGGAGAAAACACGTTTATGGAATTTGGGTTCAGAAGAACAATAGCAACAACAGGTTCGCAAGTTGCTACAAGATTATGACGTGTGCTCCAAGCTGCGTTGATCATACTACCAGTCGCGTTCCCACTTCTCCCAGTTCAAGACCTCATATTCCAGGCATATCAAACAAGACAATGACGAACAAGACAAGATCGATTATGGCAAATGTGCATGTATATACCCCGGGAAGAGCAATCGCTGTCTACAATCAAGTATGTATACATATCTGTGAACCCTGAATGCACCTTCGGCCATAAATCTTTCGCCGAAGAAACAACTGCACAAGAAAACAAGTTTCTGAAAAGTATTGTGTATACGGAAGAAGGAGAAGGGGAAGAAGAAAAAGTAAAGCAGATCAACCGGCTAATGCATTTTTTTTGCGGTGGCCCTCGCCCGAGCTTGCATGTCTTGAATTGATCTTCCCGTCCCAAATGCAACCTGCCCCTGAACGCCTGGATGCAATGCTTGGCAAAATTCGACCTGTGTGTTCGAGATGATGGTCAAGTTGTGCTCAATCCTGAAAACTAAGTTTCTAGGTCCGATAAGCTACAGAAGTGACTGCGGGTGAGAGCGGCTTGACTTGATTGAGGTTTTAGTTGCTATACAAAGGTTAGAATCATTTCTTCTGTTTCATTCTGGATTCGCATATGTAGACTTACTAGATCTCCTTGGGAGCCAACATGTCTGGTTGGAACAACCAGTGATTGCCTTCTTCCTCAGTCTCAAGCCAGTCGTATGGAAATTGGACAACATGTCCTTGGATCATGTTGCAGAGTTCTTCAGCCATTTCTCGGCTGACGACTTCGTATGGGAAGACTGGAGCCCGCCGGCTACCTTTAGTAGTGTTTCGGCGCCTACGGCGTACCGACTCCTGCTGCCCGTTGCTGTTGGGGGCGGTGTAGATGGTGGAACTGCCACCTTGAGAGGAGGTGGGCTTCTCGACAGAAGAGAATGTGGTGCGGCGATCGTGGCTCTTTTGGGGTTGCAAGGTGCTTTGTGCAGTAGCCTGCGGCTCCAGATTCTCCTCACCTTGAGGCTCAAATGCTGGGAATGGCGAGACAGGGGAAGGGGCATCGGGAGCTTGTCCGTTGGTTTTCTCATCCTCTGTATTCAATCTGAGCTTGAGCCTCTCGGAAGACTTATCGTGGTTGGCCAGAGAATTTGCCGTCTTCTCATTGAGTTCAGCATCACCGTTTGAAACCTTGATTTCCGGATTCGTGTCAGGCATGACTTTCTCTGCCATCTTTTCTGCCACGTGAAGAGTCTCATCTGTGGACACTTGTGCCGGGATGCCTGTAGCACCCGCGCCACCGCCGGATTGACTGACTTGTGACTTGGCGTCATGCTCCTCTTCACTCTTCTTCTGTCCAGTCATCATTTCGCTGAAGCGCTCTTGATAGGCTTCAAACTCTCCATACTCCTTCCATGAAAGAGCCTCGCTGTCTGGCATACATCGGAAGACACGACGATAGAGCTTTGTGTTATTTTCCGCAGTTCTACACCAAACGTCATCCCAAAATGATGGATTCAAAGGGTCGCGCATGATGTCCTTGTCAAATATAGCCGGCTGTATGTCTGCAGCCAGGGGATTTGTCTGCTCGTAGGTCGGGTTACCATCAGCATCGTGATGGAGTGGCGGGCCTCCGATATCAGTATCGTCAGTCAAAGGTAATGTTGGAAGTTGAGTGAGGCGAGTCAGTCCAAGTTCGGCAGTCGTCCGGCGTATCATTTCTGGAGCCGGAGGCAGTCTTTCAGTGCTCCGTTTGTTGCCAGGCTCTGGCATGTCTCTGCTTGACACCCCAGAACTTGCACGTTTGGCTCGGTTAATGAGAGATTGCCGTTGAACGCTCAAAGCTCTAGACCGTCGTTTGGGCGATCTGTCCTTGGTCGACTCAGCAGATGATGTCAGCTCCTGATCGGGTACCCTGCCATCATCATTGATGCTGTTCATGTCGGTTCCCGACCTGATGCCAGATACCGACACGTTTGGATCCTCGTCATCTGATTCCTGGTATATCTGGTTCATTTCAGCCTCATATTCGGCATCAGTGCCAATGGATTCGGCTCGTTCCTCCTCAGTGATCTTGTCCACGTCAAGACCAAGATGCTCTCGCATCAAGCGCATTCGCAATGTGTGGGCAAAGGCCCCCACACGATATGGAACACCGGCCATTGTGATCCACTCGTCCTTGGTGTCACGAATGATGGCAGCAACCTCGGAATCTCGGTTGCCCAGCATGGAACGTTCATTGATGTTGGCGGAACCAATGAGAACGACACGGTCGTCTACAATGATGGTCTTGGCGTGGATATACAGTTGCTCGGTTACTATGTGGCCGTTCTGCATGACTCCCCACTTTCTCAGACTGAAGAAGGTAATATAGTCGTCCGGGTCAATACCACGGGCTTTCAGACGACCGAAAATCGAGTGTGGGCCTCTGCAGATACTTCGGTACTGGAACTGCATGATCAAGCGAACACTGCTGCCGCTGTCTTGTCTGACCGTGTTCTGGAAGCCCGGCATGAGCGGAATCATGATGCAACATCGCCAGTCCTCCTCGTTTTCGTGGGCTCTGATGATGCGTTCTACGAGAGCATCACCAATGCCATTGACGACTCTTGTGCCCAAAGTCTCGCAGCTTGTGATGAAGAACTGATTTTCCATATACACAAAATGATCCGACTGCTTGATGAGACTAATGTAGGCCGTGAGGATACTATGTTCGGTCACATCGCGTGGAAGACCGAGAGACCAATCGCCGGCAGACCTCAAGATTTGGACTTCGCAAGTTCCTGTAAGCCCCAAATGCTCGAGGTCTTCGTGTTTCGCATCTGGGGGAGGTAGAAGGAAGGGCATTGGTCGGGTGGGGTTCCTTTCTCTTCTCAAGTAGTTCCAGCGTTGAACGAAATGACGTGTCAAGTCTCGTGCGGGTTGTCCAACAACCTGCATTGCGACATCGTGCCAGGGCATCCGAGGAATTTTGCTACGGTCGTACATTTCTTCGTAGGGCTGATTAAGCCTGAAGAAGTCCAGAACGCGAGGATTTGAGTAGTCTTTGCCCGGCCACAGCTGACAGTGATCGGAGTCTTTTGGCGCCTCTCCGTCTTGTTCGTAGCCGGTTGGACGATCATCTGTAAGGGTGTGTTGGGGAGTATCCCATCGACCGAAGCAGAGATCGATACCACCAAGAAATGCTATATCGTGATCGACAATACATATCTTCTCGTGATGGGCGTAGAAGAATTGGTTCTTCTTGAACTGATTTGGTGATCTCTGAACCAGAATGTTGGGGTGGAGACTGTGGAGGGCATGTTTTGTGTGCTCGGAATCGATGGGAATAGCCTGCTCGACATTCCGATACACAATTACAAAAACTTTGACGCCTTCCTGGGCCTTTCTTCGGAGGAGTCGATCTAGACGCCATTTTTCGCTAATGACGGCAGGTCTCCGCATGTAAAGCTCTGGGCTCAGCCACCAATCATGAATGTAGATGACATCTTGAGCCATGCTGATGGCTCGAGATACCATCCACATGTAGTCTCGTCCATCAACTAACCACTGGGCAAAAACATTGTTTCTCACCGGAGCAAAACTCTCAAAGCGGTGCGGCTCAGCCCACTGGGTTTGTTTCAACATTTTATGAACCGAGGTTTCAAACTGCTGCATGATCTTTTCCTTACGAGAATAGAGCTTGATCTTTCTCTCTGACGTGTAGATCTTGAGGGTATGATGTTTGCCCGACTGGACAATCTCGTCTGGACCAAGTTCATCCCTTGCAACCTCCTTTCCTTTGCGCTTGCGCTTGCTGGCATCGGAATCGCCAATGGCCTTCGCGCCAAACTGCTTAAGCTTATTGGTCTTGTTGACGATGCGGAAACTAGGATCCACGAGGTAGACATCGTAGACTTCCATGGTGGACGGCGACTCGGCCACAACAATGTAGCTTTCTCGGACTAGGAACCACTTGCGCGAATGCCGGGCAGCAATCTTGGATGGGGTAAGTGCGCGTCTAAAGTCGACGCCCTTGGATGACTGTATATGCAGGAAACATTCCTTTCCATGATACGAGCCATCTGCAGCAAGCCGTACACCAAGTGCGGACAGCTCCAGGAATCGGCACAGGCGGTTTGCATCAGCGCGAAACATGAGCCAGTGTATCATTTCTTGCAGATACTTTTCCAACTTTGATCGCTGCTTCCGAATATATCTTTCCTGCTTTGCGAGCGCTTTTTGAGGATTGAGGCTGGAGCCTTCAACCGTGTCCATGAGGCCGGAAGACTGTCTCCTAATGCCGAGCAAGTTCATACGAGATCGCTTCCTCCTTGCCGTCCCCGGCCTGTCCAATTCACTCGCAGTGCCGTCTGCAGCAGTCATCTCCCCAGCGGTGGCCTCGGCGATCTCATCGATGCGATTAGCATCGATGTTGTTCTCTGTGGCCTTGTCTTCATCGTCCGACTCCAGGAAATTCAATCCTCTAATATTTCTGAGGTAGGGGAATGCCGATCGAGGGAAATGCGGTTGCTTTGGTTTATGCTTCAGTGTTGCCGTGGTCTGCAGTGGGTTTTTGTCACCAAGTGACAGTCTGTAGCGGGTATGGAGATCGGCAATTTCGTAGATGGATCGCTCAATGGTCCAGCTCATCTGGCTAGGACCGCTGCCGTATTCCAATTTGAAGGTGAAAAGAGAATGGCGTTCATTATTCCCTTTTTCGTTTTCGCCCTTATCCGGCTGACTGTCGATGATCTTGATCTTGAGCTGCTCGAGGAGTACAGGGATACGCTTATAACCGTGCTCGTCCCTTTGCAACATGCTGGCAAGGATCACAACTGCCGGCGTGACAGCTCGCAGCTCAGCCATGAGCTCGGCCGACTTATTGAAATCGAACGCATCGGCAGGTTTTCTACCTCCACCTAGTGCCTTCAACGTTCTTGTGATCTGCTTCCATGTCTGTACACCGAAGGTGGTAGCCCTGTCTGAAGCGAAGCGTGGTCGCCTGGGGGTAGCGAGGCCATCACCATCTGATACTCCACCACCACCGAGTATATCAGAAATCCTCCGCCGGTGACCAGGCATCCGCGGTTCCAAGTGGTCAACGTCCATATCGGGATCATGACGGGACCTAGCCAGCCATGAGCTGCCGCGGCGCAGACGGTCCAAGTGGTCACGGCCCTCGCCCTCAGACAAGCCTCCTCGTTGTTCAGTGGGGTCCGGCATGGTAGAGCGGCGCATCATGGTCCGGAAACGGCCTTCTGCTGGTGAGTCTAGGTCCTCGTTATCAATCCTGGGGGTCCCTTGAGAGCGCAAGTCCAGTGTCTTCAGCCGATGCTTCATTCGTTTCCGCCTTGACGGCTTGGTCTGGTTTCTTGAAATTTCATCTTCCTCGCTATCGTCCACATCAGCATCGCTTCCCTCTTCAGCAGTCGTTGTAGGTATGCGGTGGGACCGAGAAATGGTTGGTGATGTACTGGCCGAGGGCAGAGGGGTTTCGGACGAGCCAGTTGGCTTGGGTGTTTGTGATGGGCCAGCAACAGCCAATGACTTGAGGCGAGAAACGAATCTCTCACCCCGAGAGCGACCAGAGACATCGCCATCCCACGAGTCTTGACGCGTAGGTTCTGTTGAGATCGGAGGGGGTGGGTCTAGGACGGTATCTGCTCGTGCAAACTGCACAATGCGCCGACCAGGAGAGATGGGTTCTGGCGGTGTGATGGGCTCGCCATTTCCGCTTCTCGGTGAAAGATCCTTTCTCGGCGCTGCTGAGCTTCCAGCAATAGGAAATCCATTGGCGGTAGGAGAAACCGGCGAGGGATCGATGTGAGGCAATCCTCCATTCAAATAGTCCGGTGCTTCTGGTTGGGAGTTTGGCGAGGGCTCTGGAGCAGCGCCATTGGCACTCAGGTAGTCGTTTGAGCCAGAAGCCAGAGGTGTAGAAGGGCCACTCGTCGTGCGTGGGACCGGCGGTCGTTCCTGTTGGGACGGGATAGGAGTTGTGAGGTTGGGAGGAGTTTGTGATGACGGCGACAGCGACTCGCCCCTATCTTGCCACCCCATGATGTATGAACAGTTGCGATGTGCCTAGCCTGCTTGGCAACTTGGTGTTTCCTTGTTTTGCGCAATGCGCAGCAAGTGTTGAGAGAAGCGTCTGTCTAGTCGTCTCGTGGGGGCTGTAGCATTTTAAAGTAGCAGTTGGTCTCGGATAGTATCTGTGGTGGAAACTGCATAGATTGTTGACATCCAGCGACAGCAGCAGCAAAAGCAAGGCACACAAATTATCGACGCAGTGATTCAGATAATTGCGCACTTTTGCTGTTGTGCAGGTAGGACACGCGGTGTCAGTTGCAGATATGAATCGGTCGTGGGCGTGGTTGCGAAGGTTCGTGCCCAGACTTGGAATTTGGAGCTTGTTGGCGTACCTAACCTAGGTGCTCCTTTCAGCAATCGAAGTAAGTCTTACGTAGGCACACTGGAACACCAACCAGTTGGGATTGGATGGACGAATGGCCTAGCAAACAGATTGGCATGCACAAAGCAAGCGTAGTGCAACCTTTAACATCAGAGCAGGCTCCTATAACGTGAATGCCAGTACACCGTTACCAATTGTTGCACACATGAACTGACAGATGCTACCCTAGGCCGTCATGACATGCATACATACGAGCAGCAGATAATGATTGAAGCAGCCCCTTTACCTTACACAAATTCCAGGTACATTAAAGCCAAATGCACGGTTACCGTCGCGTCGTTAGCGCTACGTGCAATGAAATCAGCGCCTCAAGGCCCACTGAAGCGCAGTGGCTAATATCAATCCAAGGAAACATTTTCAGGTACCGGATTCCCCCAAGCCCCCTTCCTAAACTCTCCCCTCCCTAAAAAGATATAGAAACAGACAAGGCTGAACAGGGACGGCTGACACTCTGGACCAAAAACATAACTCAATAAGCGATTTCCAAAAACAGTAATCCGGAAATGCATATCTATTCCTCCCAAGCCTGATAATCGAGTCTTCAATCGAACTGCAACGAGTTTATGGCGAACGGGAACCGATTCATCAGCTATGAATAATGTCGACACCCGGCGTGCTGGCTTAGATGAGTCCAGTTTGGGTTTGTATCTTGATGGCGTTCACAAAGACGTTAGGAAGTAACTATGCAGTCCTTTTATTCTTGATACCTATAGCAATCTGGGTGGGCGGGAAAAGTAATTCAAGCCAGCCTCCCAAAGCCAACGGAATCAAGTCCGTACTTTTTTTTTTTTTTTTCTTGGTCTTCCCTTAGCTTGTAGAATGACACATTTGGCACGCGGCCGCCAGAAGCCCGCCAGACAACTCGTACGATCGGCAGAAGCACCATCAGCCTTGCTCACTAATAGTACACAAACCTTGGGGGCTTCTAGTTCTCCTTCTAGTTCGTCTCTTGGACTCTAAACTCCCACCGTTTCTGTTTCACATCCTTCTAGCTTCTCCGGCAATTACTCTAGAGGACAGCTAGTCAGGTGTCAGAGCTCGGTAGCTATCAAGATGGACACGGAAAGTCCTTGTTGCGTACGTCAAGGGAAGCAGTCAAAGACAGAATGCTGTTCTCTGAGACGGACGGCTCGCCTTGTCATGAAAACAACATCAACAAGCCAAGCATTCTCCTCCCGCGTGGAAAGGATCATATCATCTCATTCAACCAAGCCGTCGGATACGCAAGATCAGCTGTCACTTGACGATAGAAAACTATCCGGTGGAGCTGCGACACTCGGATCCTGCAGCTGGCCTCAGTTGGACTAGCTGGGCGTGGTCGCTACCTGCAAATCAACATGGGAGAATATTCGGAACAATGATATTTGATCATCATTGGTTGATATCCGCACCGACAAGATTGTTGTCTATACTAATACCCAGCTATATATGCCTCATCCCGGCCCTGATGCCTCTCCACTTTGCGCCTCTCCAGCTTCCCATTAAATCACAGCTCAGCCGCATAGTACCAAATGACACGATGGTACTTCCACAATCAATTCGCTACCCCAGTGGGAGGGAGTGATTGCGTGCATGCAAACGCACATGGTTAAGACAATTTGGGCCTAGATCTACAGATCTGATCTCACCCCTGTCTGCGCTAGACCTCAACTTCAGCTTTGATTGAGATTGACTCTTGGGCCACGGACCAGGTGAACCAGACAAACGGATCCTCTTCGAGGTCAACACCCTTGTCTCGGCAGGCGAGGCAGGTATTGCGTACAATGCCAGTGGAGAGAGAGCTCCGTAAAGCGAGCGAGCGACTCCTCTTTGCTCCCCTGCCTGCTTGCCGATCGCGAGACCCAGCAACCGTCAGCCGTTTTCCCAGCGATCGGCTTCTTCGCGCCTCGGGATTCTGTACGAAACCAGTCAGTGCCATCCATTACACGTGGGTGATCTCCTTGGAACCAGCCAACTATCAAGGCTGGCAACAAGGAAGGGTTTGCCATTGCCCACCGAATGCTGTTATGTGTGACGGCAATGCCAATCGTGATCCGCTAGCCGGTGCTCGTGCAACGGGACCAGTCAGAGAACGGTGCTTCCTTCCGGGTCTAAGCCATAGTGCTTAGAAGTTAGCTGAAGCCCTACGTTTTGGAGTAGGCGCCGGCCCTTGTCCCAAAGCGTCACTTGGGAATTCCGCTAGATTCCCCAGCTGTGTCGATGCATTAGGCTGTAGTAGCATTGGCATGCGTCGACGGCCGTTCCGCCATGGGCTCAGATAACATCGAGGGGTGTGGCCGGCTCCCTCGTATCAGACAAACATACTGGTGGGCCGCACCAGGGACTAGGTTGCTTTGCCCATATCAACGTCAACGTCGTTGCGTCCTGGAGAATCTCTCCATAATTCGGCTGGCCCGTCTTTAAAAGAACTGTCATCTCCGGCACTTGGCGCCGCCGGCGGACGACCGTCGTTTGTCAACTATCATTGCATGCATTTGCAAACAAAAACTTTTCGCAGCATGTAAATTCTAGTCTGTTCACTACAACACTCGTTCGACCTCCCACCAACTTACTCCAGACGCATAACGAGCTGCTCACACAGGCATCCCTGGCGCCACTCTTTGAAAAAGTCGGCTTGATAATTGGAAAACAACGTAACGGACAGAGATGCCCCCAATGGACCACGACGAAAGAGTTGAAGCATTCGATCCGACGGCCGGGCCTTCTCGAGACACATCTTTTGCCATGCAAAGAGCGATGCCTTCCTCGAGGTCGCGCAATCAAGCCTTTCCAAACGTCTACTCAACTAGGAGTCGAGGGGAGACAGATACCAGTGTTGCCAGTACATCGTCGAGCAAGGCCTCATTTACCGATAGCACGTGGTCTTTAACCAGCATGAACCCACCAGAGTCCAGTACTGAGGCCGAATCATGTTATGACGACGGCCCAAAGGAACTATGGTTCGAGACACGAAATCCATATGCGCCCGTAACTGTTGTCATGTTACATCTCCTCTTCTCTTCTCATCTCGAGTGGATGCACGTCGCACCAAAGTTGACCGAGTACCACCTACTCATTCCCGACTTGCCTCATCACTCCAGGTCAAGACATATCAAGCCATTTTCGTTCGCACTGGCGGCCGATCTTGTGGTTGATATGATCAAGAAGCACGCACACGGAGGTCGCGCACACCTTGTCGGAATCTCGACTGGTGGTTATGTGGCTCTAGAGATTGCGCGCCGGCATCCGGAAGTCGTTCTCAGTATTATGACATCCGGGTCACCACCGTTGCGCGACGTTCGATTAAAGGCAGCACAATCTCCGCGCCTTGTTCATTACGGGCTCCTGGCCGCGCTACACTCGCCAAATAGCGTCTTCTTTAAGCTTTCTGGATGGGCGCCGGAATTTCAGGACAGTAGATTACTGAAGGAGGTTAAACGTAACACAACCTCACGGCTTTCTCAATACGGCAACAGAGAATCGGCGGAATTTCAAAAAGAGGCCTTCGAGGAAGCTGCCAGCAAGGGCATTCGCGTTGCCATGCTCGCTGGCGGCAAACAAGACGACGTCGAGGCCATAAGAGAAGCGGGGAGGCTTTTTACAGGAGACTTGAATTTTGGTGACGGTCTACGGTCGCGCAGCTACATCGTTCGCGAGGCAATTCATGCATGGAATTTGCAAATGCCGTATCTCTTCGCCAAAGGCATCCAAGCTTGGGTAGAAGACTGGCCGTTACCACCCGAGTTTGAGATCATGGATTAATGCCGGGGACTTTGATATGGACACAATAAAAATTAATGAAGGGCACAATTGGCACGGATGGGTAACTACGGTGCATGATATTTGGTTATGCGATTATGACCAAATGCTAGCGATACGCTATCAATACTATCTTTTGGTGGTTGGGTCTTTGGCGCAAGGTTAGGAGTAGCAAGATACCACACTGGCATTTTTTTTCCCCTTTGTTAAGTCGTCGTTTCTTGGATCATAGCAGCATGATCCATCAATATACCTCCAATCTAATGCTGATTAACGTCTTGCCACGAAGTGGCCAATGATTGATCCTACTTATACGCACAGTGTTGCATTTTCTCCATGTTACTACAACTGAGGACGCTCCACTATATATTACCAATGTTCTGGGCTCGTCCAGCTGACGTCCCTTTGACCATGTTATGGGTCTGGCTTCTAGAATGTATATATCATATAGTACATAGCTAGACGATCAGATGGACCAAATTCATGCTTTCAGTAATCTATAGGCCTTGCTTCCGGGGTATCTTGACACCTCATCTCATAATAGAAGAATCAACGGGCAATATTGACTCACTATTATGAGATTATATATTCCCATCCGAGCCATCCTCCATCCACAATTTATGGGCCCGGCCATCTCACCGCAAATTTTTGTGGTGCGAACGAGAACCATTGGGCTTGGAAGCAACAGGGATACAAGGTCGAAGACGATCGACCCCCTTCCGGGTATCGCAGAGGTTTCTGGCAGCTGGATAACCAGGAAAGATGCGATTGGACCCTTTTGGGGCTTGGCTGACCCCATAATACACAGTAATGGGAGGGGCATCGTGAGTAGGGTTTCCAACTTCATCTCCTTTATACTTTCGGTGATTTTCGCAACTGGCAGGGCTTGGCAGAAGTGATTTCTCGGGAAGCGCTACTGCTTGCTGCAGATAAGATCTTGATATTGTACCCCTGACTACCCAAGCTGGAATAGGACTATATCGAGGACTTTGAACCCTGATTGCCTGAGGTGCTTGGATCTGTCTTCCCATGGCAAATTGTATAAAGGCTTGGCGCCGGCCACCACGGAAATAATCGCTTCAGTTCCATCAAGCTGTCACTGCGGGTTGTTTGTCGTCTCCTCTTCAGGTGGAGGTTTTGGAGAGCCCTTGACCTTCTTCCCGCCCCGTTTAGGCGGGTTGTCATCATCGTCGCCGGTATACGAATCCGAAGCCTGTTGATCTTCTTCATCATAGAACTGCTCAGAGAAATCTCTGGCGTTTTGCTGATCCTCTCCTCGGTCGCGTTGATCATTCTTGTTATCACCAGACGGCATCTTCTTGAAATGGCCTTGTGCCCTAGAAATGTTTAGCAAGGTATCAACCAGTCGCCTAGTAAACGTGTTACTTACGCTTCGACTCAAAGTTGTGTTGTACCGAAACAGGATGGAACGCCTTACAAGGCCTGAAGTGATTGTTTCTCAGGCTTGGAATAATTGCCACCTCGGCCCCTTCATATGCTCCCCTTGAACGGCCGGGCTTTGATGTGCTTGTCAAATGATGGCAAGTCAAATCAAGGCCCTCAGCTAGACTACGACATGCAGATGGTAAAGTGTCGTGGTTTTAAAATGGTCAACGCGTGATCAGGTGCCGGGCGTAAACCGCAAGCCTTGCTTCCGCCCGCTTCGGTGCCTTTAGCTATTCCCCGCGCAATTTGGGGGGTTTTCGTCAGTTTGCCCTCTGGGCAACCGTAGTATGCCTTGGCGTACAGCCTGCTTCTGTTGTGCAGCTCTTCCAAGTGTTGGCACGTTGATAGGACACTCTATTGGTGGAGCAAGGGTCACATTGTGGGTTACAATACCTACCTTGAGAGAACTGCATAGAAATGTCGGCCTTCCCTGGGTGTTGGGCGTCGATGGCATTCACCAACACGAGTGTCGAGCCCCAGTTGTCCAAGCTGGTACTTATGGTACGACCATCGTACTTGATGATTACAGAAGTGACTAGAATATAGTAAATAATTCATCGTTAATGAGCAACACCATCTAGAAAATGACAGTACCACTGGAGCAGGTCGTTATAGATGCAACCCCGACCGAACAAGAATCTACACCGTTATCCATGGTAGTAGTTTGCCCAATGTCGGAAACATATGTATGAGTAATGGCTAATTACTCCATTCCAGGAAATATATAGGTTACAAAGATTTTGCAGCATGGACAGCTTCCGACCCCGATTTCTTTGCCGTGCGGAGATGTGATCGGCTACATACCCGTGCCATCTTGACTCTTCAAGCACAATTGACCGAAAGCGAAGAAAGGTTAGATGCGATGGATATGAGATTCAGCTCAAAGAATGTGAAAATATCCAATGCGCAGGGCTCAGCAGTAGTCGATATCTCGGCCATGGACCCACGGAACGAGGGCAAAACAGCTTCTTTTCGACACATAAATAATGGAACTGTTAGGGATGATCTTCCCGAAAGAAAGCAGCTTCTTACAGAAATTATTGGAGCATTGGGGGAGTATGGTAAGCATATTCATTCCAGTTATATTTCCTCATCGCAATTGATCGGACATAGATAAGATTGTATTGAATTACGCATCCATGCATGGACTTGGACCTGCACGGTCTCGAAATGTGAAAAATGTTGCAACATGGTTCGAGGACAACCTCGGGGCAATCACGCACAACGAAAGGCAATTCGTCGAGCATCGTCAGGAGCTCCTCTCTATACGACGATCTAAATCACTAGTCAGACAGTGGTTCGAAGATCACATCGTGTTCCCAGCACAGGGAAGGCTCTCATTGTTTCGGAAAAGTCCACCAGCCGCCATGGGCGCGCAGGACCGGGCGACAGTGTACATGATCAGCGATGATGCGATCGATGTCGTTGCTTCTCTTGCACTCTTTGTCGTTGCTGCTACGATGCTGGTGTTGCCACTTTGGATACTCCAGACCCTCCAGGAGGTGAAGTTAAAATTGGCGGTCATTTCAGTGTTCGCGATTTCATGTCTCGCTTTTCTCAATATTGCTACCGTTGGCCGGCCCTTTGAAAGGTTAGCAGCCACTGCTGGGTAGGTGATTCTTCCCCCCCCTTTTTCTTTTTCTTTTGGAGATGTTTTCTTGCTCTTCTTCACTAACAATCTCCCTGTAGTTACTTGGCGGTTCTAGTCGTATTTCTACAGTTTGGTGATTCATAGTTGGATATGGTACAATCAACGTGTGTTTCTCGCAACGTATGGCGACTATTAGAAAAGGCGTCCTTTGTTTCATTTCGTGATAAACATGCCCTGCCAATTGCTTGAAAATAGACGTGTGCTGCCTAGAAGTGAAGAGAGCGGAATAGCCTATTTTGGCCAACGCCAGCTTTCATCATCCCACATGACTGTGATTGGCCCGTGGCTGAAGAAAGTGCATTTCAAAAGGTAGCAATGATTTTGACGGACCCCGCATCCACATCAAAGTTCTCCTTGCATACTTCTATACAAACCAGATACTCGAACAACGACGGACAACCTGACATGAAATCCAACCCATGGCCTGTCAAGCGTGTCAGGTAGCTCTCAACAATGGCTTCTCGACACTCAACCTTACTGCTCACACCCATGATGTATCCCAAGTCAATGCTCATGTAACAACAACACAGTGGTTGAAAGATCTGACCAATGCCATGAACGTGGCCTGGCCCAAGCGGTTCAGGCGATACTTGCAAGCTGCCGTTTTGATGCTGAGCTGGGAGAATGGTGATATCACCAACGAATCGCTAGAATTCAAAAGACTCAAAAGTGTCTTCGAAAACGAGTTCGGCTACGAAGTTCATGAAAGGCAAATTCCATGGACACGATCCGGATTTGAATTGAATGGACGGGTTCGGGAGTTTGTTGGTCAATATTACGGACCAAACAATCTGCTGATCGTTTACTATGCTGGTCACGCTCGTCGAGGAGATTCACCCGGATCTTATCCTATATGGTTTCCTAGGTATGTGAGATTGAATGCTATTTCTTGAGAGACTAATTATCACACCAACAAGATGAGGCCCTTTGAGATGTTTGCCTCCACGTAATATAGTACTTTGACCAAGCTGACGAGTGTATCTTATAGCCAACGTGAAGGCGTAGTGCCAGAAGCCAGTACAATACCGGAAGCCAATACAGCCTCCATCAGTTCCCTTCTAGCTGAAGGAGATGCCGACGCTCCAGATGTCTTAACACTCTATGATTGTTGCCATCCTCTTTGTACCCAACATGGGACCTCGCGACCTTCGAATGCTGTGATAGAATCGTTATGCGCAGGCGGTTTCGAGTCCGAAGTTCCAATGCCTGGCCCCGACTCCTTCACATTTGCCTTGGTAGATGAATTATCACTGGCTGCTCACTCAAACCAACCCATCTCCGTTCCAGAATTGCACAAAAGGCTCATTGGCAGATTAGAGCTATTTCAGCAAAGAGCGCGATGGAACCGGGACGAGTCACGACGGCGATCCCCAAATGGACAACTCGCCTTTACAGTGAATGAAAGGCGGACACCAGTATATGTGTCATTGTCGGTGCACAGACCCGTTCGAACAATCATGCTGACACCGATACGGCGGGAATCAATTGTCCAAATGGAAGTGACGAATCCTAATGCTCAGTCAAAGCTTGCATCTCAGGATCCGCCCACTGTTCTTCTCGTGGTAAGAGTCAGCGAGGATGAAATTTCTGCCCGCGAAGAAGTCAAAACTTGGCTCTTGAATTCACCTCCTGGAGTGCTTGAGTTCAAGGGCTTCTATCAAAGCTACTCTACACTGATATTGGTGGAAATAGCTCTGGAGGTCTGGGACTTGCTGCCATCTTGCCCAGCGACTACATTTGCTGGTTTTACCAAAAAATTGTTTGCCAACATGTCCTCCAATGCCGGGCCATCATTGACACAGGGATCTCAGACGCTGGAATCGAAGCCGGAGTTGATTTCAGCTACCAAGCTGCGACACCAACTGCGACTGGATACCCATCCAGAATTGCCAATAGATGCGCAGTCAGAACAAGAAGGCTTTTTCACGTTGTTGGAATATCTGAATCAAATAAGGCCCAAAGAAATAATGGGGTGGAAAAGCCTCCATATCAAGCACCCAATTGAGACCAACCTGCCCACGGCATTGTTCGTCCAATTCTGCAAGCGGCTGATAAATGATAAGTCTGTCGACCGTCACGTCAAATGGTGCCTTCTCAAACACGAGGTACGCTTTCAATCCTTGCATACTCAGACACAAATTTACATGGGATTAGCTTTTCATATCACAATATCTAAATACACGGGATGTGATTGAAAACATCACAGCTTATTTTCCGGGCCATTCCCTACAATGTAAATGGCTGCCAGTGCCGAAAGGTGAAGCCGGTATTACAGATCTTCACAGGGCGATTCACCATGATAGTGACGAACGACCCGCGCGTAGCACATCTGCGGTTGGGCTTGGTTTAGCAGACCCCATAACGATGACTCGACCACTTGGAGGATCTAGGAGTATTTACTCAGGGATAGGGGCCGAGCAAGGAATGCCGCCTCTTAAGTACAACACAGATCAAAGCATCAGGGGACACATATATGATGGGCGTAAGGTACCAGAGGATGAAGAACAAATCTTTGACAATATGAGCACTGATTTTGCCGATGATTTTTTCTAAATAGAGTCAAAGTAGGGTAGTAGATATTCAACGATGCAAAATATTGACAGTATATTCATGTGATTTCTGAATACGACGAATATCAGACCGCCTGGTCATGTGTGCGATGTAAAGTTATATTCATGCTTTTAGCGTACATTTGCTATTGAACGCAGGAACAAACGGCAATTGTGACGTTGTCTTATCACAGGCGACTTTTTGCTTTGGGGTTGTGAGGCTTCTGATATCATCGCATACTTGTTTGACCGTGAACACGTGTAGCACCGCACCCTCCTTTCATATTCTTGGAGGTTCGCTACCGTATGGTGTCCGGTTTTTGAGCTTCGTCGTCGTATACCAGGGGCATCTCAAATTCTCAATCAAGAATCAATTGAACCTTGTGTTTTGAATGAGTAATACAACACCTCATAGTTTCCGAGTCCGAGGGTATCCCTCAACAACGCTGCGAGGCGGAGATCAAGACGCCGACATCACGCGGGTAATTCGAAACCAGATACTTATCTCGCCCAAGTCCATAGAAACCCAAAGAAACATTTTACTACTCCTTTGAGCACGAAAAGTCTGACTTCTTGACCCTATATAATAAAGACAGAGAAGTGTTCTGGTTTCAGACTGCCTTGCTTCGATTCGACCTCATCCTTGACGAGGTCTAACTGTTTCGGGGTACCATGAACCAGTCAACATTATACGCTTCAGTGGGGCAAAAGACTTATACTTTCCGTACTCAAAGGGATAGCGAGGCGAGACACTTTTAATCCTTATGGGTGCAATTTGAATGCAAGTCAGGGTGTATTGCTCGTCATGCGGCATGACTGGTCTGCTACTTCCACTCATATGGGCTTAGAATGACTAAAAGTCATGTGTATCGACACGGTCAGCATGTGTCGTTCGCTCAACTCCTCAAGCTGAGTTTTCATCATGAACCTACATCGCCAGCGTGATTGCCTAAGCAAAACATAAATCGATAACGAGGTGTGCTTTTGTATTATAAGCGTGTAGGTCTTGGCGGCATTGTTCTGAGTTCTTGGCAGATATGCAAATGTATTGGGGAGATGCGGGGAAGTTGGGCAAGATGCTCGAGGCTGAGGCAGAGAATCAATTTTAGTCAAACCGACCTACTAGTCTACGGCAAGCTGCTTGCAGCTCAAATGAATATCTCTGCACTTTGGCAATGAAGAATCCTGGTCGTACGATTGTGTTTCAGAAATGCAGGGAAAATTGAAGACAATTCTGTCAGGCTGAAAATTAAATGGGGACACAACGGGATATGAAGCCTCTCCCGTGTAACTATGGAGGGGCCGCAAAAGGAACGACGCTTGGACCCTCCAGTTAGTAGGGTCTCTTCATTAAGTGCTCTTCTGAGGTTGTACGCGGAAAGTCACATTTATTCTAGCCACTCTGTGGCGTATCGATTTGAACCCATTCTTCATTAGCTGGGGGACCTTTTGGCCGATGGAGGCGCGCAACTTTGCGCCCGTCATCGATGGCGGGTGTCTCACGAACTCTGCAGCCACCAACTCGCAAGTACACCGTAGTTTGCGGACCAATGGCTGGACAGTGTCGACAAGCGGTGATGGAGCTCGAAAAAGGCTTCAAAGGAGCAGACGACACAAGCCAGACAATGATCAGACGAGAGGTTTGAAAGGTCGAAAGGATCAGAGTCAAGGTTCATCATGTCCGTCGCATAAGAGTGCGATGAAAAATTCAAGACTGAAACCCGAGCCCGCTCGGGACCTAGGCAAAGTATTTTTTCGTTCCCGGAGGGGGCTGGCGGTTGGCTTGCAAAGGTGGACAAGAACCGAAATCGAATCCTGCGCCGTTTTATTGCTTATACGAAATAAGAGAGCGACTACTCCAAGCTTGACCAAGTAGCGCATCTTTCCCCCGCATGCTTACCCCGCATAATCATCCCCAATGTGGAGTAGCCCGTTACTGGGGTAGAGCACCCGAGGCCGTAGGGGGAGCATAGCGTCGAGGCTCGTGATAACAACGTTCCGAAAGTCGAGCCACGGGTCAGCGCGTGTGCGTCGCATCGCAGACGACAGGAATCGATTCCTGGGCTCGCACACGCGTACCACGGCCCTGGAAGACGACAGGGGACCGCCGGTTTGGCCTTCGCAAAGGTACCCTGTAATCACTCGCTGCTCGACTTAGCGGTCCAATGGCAGCGACACAATCATGCTTTTGCTCTGGCTCGCTTATGGTCCCCCTTAGCCGACAGACTGTCACCCGGCCTAGATGGGACCGATTTTACCCCAGACCGACCCCCCATCCCTCGCATCTTGCCAGTAGAGCGCCGACACCTGGTTGGTGGATGGCTCCTTGGAACTGATCGAGGTTGATTATGAAAGGTATATAAGGTCGACAGTCTCCGATGACTCTCTTGCATGCCGCTCTTTTTCTCCACTCCGCTTTTCTCCCCAATCCTCTGCTACTTTCTCATCAAGGCATCCAGCAGCCAAAATGGGAGCCCCTGAAGAAGACACCAAACACCATGGCGACAGCGCAGAGGTCGAGGCTGCCGTCTCCCACGATGGCCACGCCGCTGATCTCGACGAGAAGGCAAAGGTTGCTGATTACCGAGCGGATGCCATCGAGGCCGAGGCCGCAGAGCACAACATGACGGTGCTTCAAGCCGTCCGAGAATATCCAATGGCTTCCTTCTGGGCATTTGTCATGTCCTGCACTATTGTACGCTTTTCTCGTCTGCTTCCTTGGGATACCACCGTCCAAGATGGCCGTGACTACAACAATGACAAAAAGAATTGTGTCTAATCTTGTCTTTATAGATCATGGAGTCCTACGATGTTTTCCTCATCGGCAGTTTCCTCGCCCTGCCTGCGTTCAAGAAGGAATACGGCCTCTGGGATCCCGGTTCCAACGACTATGTCGTCGAAACCAAATGGCAGTCTGCTCTTCAAATGGCTGGACAACTTGGTGCCCTTATTGGCGTCTTTCTTGCTGGTCCCCTCACCAGTCGCATTGGATATCGTTACGCGACATTGACCGGACTTATGTTCTTGAATGCTTTCATTTTCATCTTCTACTTTGGAAAGTCGCTCCCAGTCTTCTTTGTTGCACAGCTTCTCGAAGGTTTGCCTTGGGGTATCTTTATTGCAAATGCCCCGGCATACTGCAGTGAGATTGTGCCAATCCAGCTGCGAGCCCCAGCTACTCAAATGCTCCAGATGTTCTGGGCCATTGGTAGTATCATCGTCGGTGCCGTCACCTACGTCTATAGTCCCCATATCGATCCCAGCGCCTACAGGTACGTACTCACTCCTTGTCAACTTCAATTTACTTGGGCTGATGGGTTGGAACCAGAATTCCCATTGCTCTTCAATGGATGTTCCCCACGCCTCTTGCTGTTCTCGTCTTCTTCGCACCCGAGTCGCCTTGGTGGTTGGTGCGAAAGGGACGTCTTGAAGAGGCAGCAAAATCGGTTGGGCGTCTTGGGCGCAAAGAGAAGATCAACACTGGCGACGCTGTTGCCATGATGCGTCGTGTCGTTGAAATGGAAAAGACCACCAAGGAGCCCGGCTTCCTGGAATTGTTCAAGGGCACTGATCTCTACCGTACCCTCATTGTTTGCGGTGTTTATGCGGCCCAGAACTTGACGGGTAACCTGATCGCCAACCAGGCCGTGTATTTCTTTGAGCGTGAGTTGCCATTTTTGATTGTTATTCTTGGTACACGTCCATGCTTACTAACAATTACACAGAGGCCGGAGTTACCACAAATACCGCCTTTGCCCTAGGACTCATCACCTCGGCTCTGCAAATGATTTTTGTCATGCTTTCTTGGATTCTCACCACATACTTTGGCCGACGCAGTATCTACCTCTGGGGTTCGGCCTTCAACACTGTCCTCTTGGTGGCTCTCGGTATTGCTGGCTCTTTTGGCAAGTCGACGGCGTCGTCGTTGGCTCAGGCATCGTTGGGTCTCATCATCTCCGTCCTGTTTACCTTGGGACCTGCCCCAGCGTCTTGGGTCATTATCGGAGAAACCTCGTCCATTCGTCTTCGACCTCTCACCACCGGTATCGGTCGCGCTTCCTACTACATCATTGAAATTCCTTGCATCTTCTTGGGAAGTTATATGCTCAACCCAACGGTCAGTCATCTATCTATCCCTTCCGCTCTAATTGACGATGCTAATATCCTGACAGGGTGGAAATCTTGGTGGCAAGTGCGGCTATGTCTGGGGCGCCACTGGACTCATTTGCTTGGTCACAGCCTACTTCTACTTGCCTGAGATGAAGGGTCGCTCGTACCGTGAAATCGACATCTTGTTCAACCGTCGCGTCAAAGCTCGCAAGTGGAAGAAGACGGAAATCAGCATGGAAGATGATGAGTAAGAAGGGTGTAATTCGTAAAGCCTACTCAACAAGGTTCACGAATTGTCCCATGATTGCATGGGATGATGCAAAGGATCAAGGAGGACGGCCTCGCCTGATGCAATACTCAATCATGTAGACGACAAATGTCTATGGTATCGTCACGGTACAAATCTGTTGGTTACTCGTCCATAGATAGATAGAGAGCTCAAATTACACCAATATCAGAGCTTTGTCTTGAACCTAACTCGAAGTAGTTCTAATAGTGCTGTAAATCATGTATTGAGCGTGGTAACATGCGGCTCCTAATTGTCCCGTTGCGCATGCAAGACTTTGTGAGGATCACTCTCAAATCGCTAGCGCAGCAAAAAGACGTGGACGAGAGTTTGACATGAGGCTTTAAGCTTGTTGCCAGAAAAGTATGACAAGACTGGTAAGCCGCTAAAAAGGACCCCAATTGAGATCCCAAAGCCTATCGAGCCACCGTGGAGGAACGCACTCGCTGAACGATTGAAGCTACCATTACCATGCAGAAAAGTCTGGGGCGGCGATTCCCACCAAGCGTTCTCAGGCTACACATCACATGGTGACGACCAAAGAGCGGTTGTCTGTAAGCAACATGGTTCGATCCCGTACCCCGATGGGGCCCCGTGGGAATGGATCCAAACAGTCCTACAAAGTATAGATTCATTTTTACGTGGGGTTCGTTTAAGGCAAACAGCTTCCTTGATAATTCCCACCAATCCAACCCCATACCTCTCGAAAGCTAAACGGGAATCCCATCTCCGCGGTCACCAGGACCACTTTTGCAAGGTTTCCAAGCTGGGAGGAACCAGGGCAGAATTCAGGCTAGGAGTTGTTTTTCAATTAAACCATTACTGTGTATAATCCCGTGTTGGTATGGAATCACGGACCGCATCTGAAAGACCTTTAATTTTTGCGATACAGAGGTCGCTACCAAAAGTCTTCAGCCGGCCCACTTTTTGGATTGTAGACCCACACAAGTAGCTGCCAGCTGTCGGAGCATAAATCGAAAGGTTCCGTATTATGCTAAAAGAATTATACGATTTAAAAATAATAAAAAAATATAAAAAAAATACATAGATTTTTTTTTTCCTTAAATAAAAATTTATTAAAAATCTTTTAGAATTAAAAGATAAATAAAGATAAAAAGTAACGATTTATAAATTATTAAAGAAATAGACTTTTCGATAAGTGAGATGGCCTTTAACTCCCAGCTGGGCAGCAGCTGTTAAAGCCGATACGTACTCCCTCTCCAAAAAGTGGGCCGGCTGATCTCTTTTGGTAGCGACCTCTGTACTTGACCGTGATTTGATGGGGAACGATAAGCACGTAAGGTTTGGTAGGGTCGTATGAATAAATGGGATGGATGGAAAGCTTTTCTGGCTGGCTGCTGACTGCTGGCTGCTGAGAAGCGCTGATGCAGGCTTCCTTGTCTTCCCTTTTACATAGTAACCTTGGGTTGCTATCTAGGTGGGGCAAACAAAAGGGTCCCCTCCCTCCTCTTCTCTTTTCTACTTGTCTTTGTTTCTCTCTTGCATTTCGAGCTCAATAATGAACCCTGGTGAACCGTGAAACAAAATATTGCACATAAGACTAGACTATAGCCATGCCTATATAACAGGAAAGGCATGCTGTAAGCAGCTTGGAGTCATCATGTCTACCCTAGTTGTGAACCGGGGTGCCGAGCAGAGGCACACATCGGCAATGTTTCTCGGTAAGGCATTCGACCGGCAGCCAATAGACCAGAGGCAGGCCGAAGAAGCTGAGACGTGGGTGCGAAAAGTCCGACGTTGTTCATACCATAATGGTCATTGCTCTTTAAACACACAATGAAGAGAAGAGAATAATCGAAGGAATGCAAGAACTGCACTTTAAAGCAATTTAATATGCCGCCGTTATTTTGGAGGCGGTGTTGTCGCTCTGCCTGTGTGGCGGGATCAGCCGTGTACTTTATATAGACTGAAAGTGCCACTCGCTCAGCGGTTTATTATCTACCACGTTATTGACGTGTATCGTTTCAAGGTCTGCAAGTAGCCTATTTGGATATTAAGCAAAGCTCCAACACTAGGACATCAAGTATGAATTTTGAGCCGCTGTTAAACCCTGTGTCGATTGAAGATGCAGCAACATGGGGTGACTTTGCTGACCAGCTACACTTTCCGTCGAGGATCAATCAAACTACACCACTTGTCCCTCGCTCGCAGATGTCCTGGCATGGCTCCAGCGACTACTCACCTCGATCAAGCACAGAAAGACAGAGCGGCAAATTGAATCGTTGTTTGAGTTCGTCTCAATGTTCAATTGTCGTCTCCAGAATTACTTTAATGCGCTCAATGTTCTCTCCAGTGTGGATGAGACTGCCACTTTAGCTTATGGCGCAATGCGAATCGTTCTTTGCAGGTCCGGGCCTCTACCTTCGACTAGTTACCTAGGTAGCTACCTAGGAAGCTGATATTGTCTTGTTTACTGACTGAATTTCTTTCGTAGTCGGCTTTCGCCTTACCTAGTTTTCTCAACAAGCTGCATGGAATCTGGAGCTCATTCTGTCGGCCGAGGCCAGCACAAGTTCAACCAGAGCATCGAAATTGGGGTTTCGCAGCCAGAAGTCAAAATTCGCCTTTCTGGCAGCTTCATTCTGGTACCAAATGTGAAAGATACCAGTGGGATCCGAATACCGGAAGAATGCCTGCAACTGGGCACGGCGACACACGACAAGGTCGCGACGAGCAATATTGCAAAAACAACCCGCATTGGAGCTGACCACAATGCGACACCTAGATTGATACTCGTAGACAATGTACATGTGTCTGGAAAGAATGCTGTCAGAGAGCCAGTCACTCGTCACAAGAGGAGACTCGTGCATAGTCAACATCGCCTCCTCCAGAACGGGATGCAACCTTGGAATCTTCCAGCAAGAAGGCCCGATGCAAAAGTGAGTGCTCATCTCCTTGCGCTACACAATCCTTTGAACAACAAGAACGCAATGGTTGGCATCAAGGTCTCTGAAATGTTGGATGATTTTGTGACAACTGTCTTGGACAAAACCACAGCGGAAGGCTACACTCCACACCCATTATAATGAAGAAGAACTTGAGGTCACTTGGAGGCATATCAAGCATTGCCACAATCATTCAAGTCTTTCGTCATAAGCAATAGATCATAATGTACATCTCCAGCGCTCTTCATACCACTCCTACCGCCGTAGAAGTCACTGAGCACCAGCATTATTCACCGACTTTCCCGTCTTATCCCATATCCTCAACGCAGTAATCATTGCCATGACAGCCCAGGCGTCCCCCGTCGTGAGTTGGATACTAGGGTCAAGGAACTCAAAGGTGAGCTCTTTCGATAAGCTCATACCGCGTTCAAAGGCCCAGTGAGCAATTACTAGCTTGCCTTGGTCGGCGTGAAATTCTGGGTATCGCACCAGCTCCCAATGCGTGCGGCCGCCCACGGAGGCAACGGCGGGCGACAGGCTGGGCAACCACTCGTACACGGTGCGTCCTTCGGGCTCACCATGGTCAATGATGAATCTGTGGGCGCCACCCTCGCGGGCAATCTGCACGTGCTCGTCCGTCGCCGGCTGGCCCGGAAGGCGGAGCTTGACGGGCGTCGAACGTATAAAGAGATCCGAGTTTACACCAGCCAGCATGGGCGAATCTTTGGTTGGCCCGCTGTGCAAAACGACATCGGGCATTCCCATCCAGCCAAAATGGGTCGTCACGGCGAATACAGGTTTGTTTCTGTGGCCCCCAATGACGAAGTGATGGCCCAAACCGTGAGAAGAGCGGTAGAGGGAAAAGTGAGCAGGAATGTCGACGATATTGTCGGAATGCGCTGCTATTGATGATGATGACTCCCCGTTCGAAGTCTCGAGGCTATTTGACGCTGTACTTTCTGTATACTCTGAATATGGCGGCGGGGGCTCCTCATTAGGCTCATCTAGATCTAGCGATCGTTTGACGTCTTCTTTATTGCCCATAGTTGTAAGTCGGCGAATTTCTTTGAGATTATGTGTTGAGAAGTGTGTGATTTGGTTCTTCTTTCTCTTTTGATACAATTGACGGTTGTTCGGAGCCAAAGGAAGTTGATATTGTCAAGAAAATGATTGAAACAGAGGGTGGTCTCACGAGAATTATATACTCACAAATACAGTGACAATGATGAGATGTTTTACTGAAGCTTTGCGCAATCATGCGGCACAATACTATCTATGAGTTATATTCTTGGCGCTGCCGTTCGACGGTCGAACCCGCCCAGTCAGATTTCGCGAACCACCCAATTGTAAGCTCGGATCAACTATTGCGAGGGCTCGTAATACCGAACAAGACCGCAATTACTGCACTTAGCTCCACTTTATAGCTAAAACACAAGATTGGCATCCTATTTTGTTGTCAGACGGGGTCTTGGTATAATGGCGCAGCCCTACACTAAAAATAGTGTTGGTGTCCACAATGAAGAATAAAAAGACGGTGGTGGTTTATACACTTACATAAAGATGGCCGCTAATGTCGCAGGTGACAAGCGCGACAAGATGCGAGTGACAACACCAGGTTTAAGATCACCAGCGGGGCAAGTGCACAGCCGTCAACAGCAAGCTGAAGGAGATCCATGCGCCGGCCGGGGATGAAGAAGCACATATAGTTGATTTGAGTCGTGGTGCGGGGGAAACCAAATGATGCTACACTGCCAGTTGAAGATCTGCGCAAATATGGTATGGCGTCCCTTGCCAAGAAAAAACATGGACTCTATAACCAGGTATCTTGCATGACGCTTCCGCACCTTCGCCTATTCCTCGGCACCAAATACTTTACTTGAGCGATCGCTCGAGGGATTCATCATGGCCCAAGTCGAGACACGATCCCGCATTCTTCGAGCTCACAGTGCACACTCTCGGCCAAGAAGCTCACGGCATCTTCTCCATCGATCATGCGCCCAAGCATCCTTCTCCTGGGCGCAGCAGCCCTGGGCGGTCCCGTCGTGACAGCGCATGGCTCGTCGCAGCAGCCCAAGAAGCCCAATATCGTGATCCTCATGTCCGACGACCAGGACCTTCGGCTGGGGTCGACCGACTACCAGCACGTTTTGCATCGAGATGTCCACGCCAAGGGCACCGAGTTCAAGAACCACTATGCGACCACGGCCAACTGCTGCCCGAGTCGCACGTCGTTTTTTCGGGGCCAAATGGTTCACAATACCAATATTACCCACGTCAACGCCCCGGGAGGCAACTATGACAAGTTTGTCCTCAGTGGGCAAGACACGGACTATTTGCCCTTTTGGCTCAAGGATGCCGGGTACCGAGTCGAGTGTGAGTCTCGTGTCGTTGCACTGAATGAGACGAACAGTATCCTGATACTTGACTGCAGACATTGGCAAGTTTTTGAATGGTTATAGTCAAAAGAATTATAACATCACCCCAAAAGGCTGGGATCACATTGACGCGCTGGTAAGCCTATGCAGAAGCATCAATACCAACTGAAGCCTTGAATCTCATGTGAAATTGCTAGATTGATCCTTATACCTATGTCTTCAACACGCCCATCATGTCGGCCAATGGGCAAAGGCCGATATGGTACCAGGGCTATCACCAGTCCGACGTTATACGAGCCAAGGCGTAGGTTCCCTGTTGCAAATTTACTGTTTTCTCTTCTCATGTGGTCAATAGCCTAGATCGAATCGAACAGCTCACTGCGCAGGATGAGCCATTCTTTCTCATGCTGGCACCATCTTCACCGCATATCCAGAACGACAAGTATCAAACCATTCCGCTTTCCCGGCATGCGAGTGATTTCGAGAATGTGACTGCACCCAGGAACCCCAATTGGAATCCGGCAGATGAGTACCAATCCATGAAAAGTAGCTGGATCCGTAACCTCCCCTTGATGAACTCTTCAGTACAAGACTATGCTGATCTAGAGTACCGCATGCGCATCCGTGGTCTCCAGGGCGTAGATGAGATCATGGAAGACGTGATTGCCTTGTTGGAGAAGAAGGGTGTCATGGAGAATACGTATTTCATTTATACCACGGACAATGGATACCACATTGGGACTCATCGCATGCCCGCCGGGAAGGCATCATTCTTTGCAGAAGATACAAACCTCCCATTTGCTGTCCGTGGGCCAGGGATCCCTCAGGGAGTGCAGTCCAAGGTACCCAGCGCTCATCTCGATCTCGTTCCACCTTTCTTGAGCTAGCCGGTGTTCCAGAGGATCAATGGCCACCAATGCTAGACGGCCGAAGTCTTGTCCAGCAATGGAAGGATCCGGAGGGAACCACCGGCTTGGGAGCGGGCGGTGGCAACGCAAAAGAAACTATAAACATAGAGTTTTGGGGCCTCTGTGTTATCGAGGCTCCTAATAGCGCCGAGCTGGGTGCGCCGTTTTACAACAACAGTTACAAGACGCTCCGCATTGTCGGCGAGGACGAGTCCTGGCTCTTTTCAGTCTGGTGCACGGGCGAGACGGAGCTGTACAACACGGCCACGGATCCGTACGAGCTCAATAACCTGGCCTTCTATCCGACCGAGGCCACGGAGCGACTCCTTGATCGCCTCAACGCGTTGCTGTTGGTCGCCAAGTCGTGCGAGGGCGGCACTTGCCGTCAGCCGTGGCGCTTCCTGCAGCCGAGCAACAGCACGGTAAACGGGACCTTGGAGATTATGTCGCTCCAGCAAGCCATGGATTCCAAGTACGACGACTTTTTTCAGTCATTTCCTCGCTTTGCCTTTAAAGAATGTTTGCAAGTACAGTCGATTGAAAACGAGCAGCCCTTTTGGCCCCCGCTGCCCGCGGACGGTAGTGGACTTGGGCAAGCGTACCGCGAGCGCATCGACTACTATACCTCGCAAGGCGAGGGCGGGACGCGGTATCTCGACAGCGGCGCCGAGTTCGGGTCCTGGGACCAGCGTAACGCGACGCTGGCAGAAATCGAAAAGACGTCGCGTCCCATGACGGATGCCGAGATTTACGGGAACGCGACAACCACGGAGCGGAGGAGGTCGTTGGGCATTGAGGATCCGGCCGATTGGATGGCTGAGAGCGAGCTTGGTTTTCGCTTATAATGCGAGAGCGCAGCCCTATAGTATCTATAGTATCAGTTGGACAAAAGCGGGTGGTGCCACGCACGTACGTAATGTAGCGTTAGTGCATGATTGCCTCAAACGGGCCAACCCGCCACTAGCAGGCTGACAGTACATACCTAACCTAGTACATACCCAAAAGTCCCCCGCTGGCTACCTAGGGGGTGCACCCCGAGCCTGACTCCTGTACCTGGCACCAGCGTTCCAAAAAAGTCCACGCCGCATCCTTGGACGCCTCCAAAATCCACCGGTATGCAGGTGAATTAGATTGTTGTTGTTGGGCACGTCGAGCATTCTACTTTCATTGCATCTATATTCTTGGCACATATGTGCTGTGACTTCGATCTGAGGGCAAGCTAGAAATCTCATGAGAATATGTTGCATTGATCAAAGTGCCTAGATACCTACCCAGGTATGCATTTATCCTCAACGCAGCCATCAAGCGAAAGGTTACACAGAGATATGACGGTCAACCGATGGAGCTGTACTATGGTGAAGAAAAGCTTTCGAGAAGCTTAGTAAAAAGGTATCCTGTTCTAGAATGACCATGCTTGTCAAGCACAAGTCAACGACCAGCATAAATATCTAGAACTGAGCCTTGGTGAGCTGTGGAGATGACGTTTGCTCCAAGTAAACAAAGGCGTAACAAACCACAACTTTGGCGACAGCACTTTGAGATAAGCGATGCTCGTTGTAATAGGAAGCACTCGAGAAACCACTCAGGCCCTGATCGGCTCGTAGTTGGTGGGCAGCGAACGTTCGGCTGTTATCTGCTCACAGTACAAGCCAAAATTTCCCCAACAATGAGCCTGGCCAATTGTTAAATTACATGCAAGCTTGGCTATAGATCGCAAAGCCAACTTGTACATCCATATATGTAATTAATCATTAACCAAGCTCCTTGAATATGATAACAGTTTTATAAGTTAATTCATTGTAGTCGTTTCTTCGTGTGCCTCTGGTATACTGCCCTTGACTTTGTGCTCCTGGCTCTCAGTGCCTTGAGCGTTCTGCTCGTCGGTTGATACCGGACTCTTTCCCTGCTTCATTGAACCCCATCTGATGCCGAGTGCGCCCACGGTAGATGCAGCACTAAGAGCAAGAGAAATGTACAGTGTTTTGATCAAAGACGTACCATATGCTTCTCTCGCGCTCTGTTGTTCTTCAATGGGAAGGGAGGAGATGAAGTCAACGGCTCCAGAACTTGAGAAAGAAGAGCTAGCCACGCTGTTGAACCGAGAAGCTAATTCGCCCTGGAAGATACTTTGCGCCACTGCTACAAAGATGGAGGCACTGAGGTTTTGGAATAGGGTAATCAGAGTGACACCGATGGGCACTTCGGAGGGAGCAAGGATGGTCTGGACGACGTAGCTCGGCTGGCCGAATCCGAAACCTACACCAAAACCGTATAATAGTTGGTAACCAATAATGCGCCCCGCTGTTGTTTGCAACTTGATCGTTACGAGAAGTGCACTCCCTGCAATGGCTAGTGCCGTGCCAGCAATCATCCCTGGGTTGTAGTACCCAAGGGCGCTGGTGAGAATGCCGGCAACCACGGAACAAACCACGTAGCCGGCGATCAGAGGCGTCAGCATGGTCGCCGACGAAAGAGCCGAATCGCCCTGCACAGCCTGGAACCAAACGGGAAGATACAGAACAGCCACGTAGACGCCACCGGTGATGCACATGGCGTAGCTCACGGCCAGCCAGATGTCCCTATTTCGGAGCAGTGTGGGAGGAATAACTTTTGCCTGGCCGGTCAGCGAGGTTGTTTGCGTAATGACAAAGGCAACGGCCAGGAACCCAAAGACCACAAATAGAGCAATGACACGGCCATTGGTCCAAGGATAGGTTGAACCGCCCCATTGTAGTGCAATTAGGAGACATATCACCGATGTGACCATGAGGACAGTTCCAAGGATATCGAGCTGCCTGAGTTTGGAGAGAAAGCCGGAGGGGGATCCTTCCGTCTCGGATGGTATACGGACCAGGACAGCGCACACCGCGGCGGTAATTGCACCGATGGGAAGGTTGATACCAAAGCACCATCTCCAGGTTGCGCGGTCCGTTAGAGCGCCACCCAAGAAGGGCCCGATGATGGCTGCAAGGCCAAATGCTCCCGACATGATGCCGAGATACCCAGCGCGGCGCGAGAGCGGGACAATTTTGGTGGTGATCAATATTCCCCCAGAAAATATGCCAGCAGCACCGAGGCCAGCAATGGCTCGGCCCACAATCAAGGCAATGGAATTCGGAGCCGTAGCGCAGACCAAGGAACCAACCTCAAAGAGCGCGATGGCGGCCAAATACACAAACTTGATAGGATAGAGAGTATATAGTTTCCCGTAGAAGAGCTGGAAACTACTGAGAGTCAAAAGATAGGCGTTTGACCACCACCCAATGTCAGATATTGCCCGGAACTCGTTGCTGATTCTCGGGGTGGCGGTCGCCAGAATGGTTTGATCCTACTCGTTCGTGTCAGGACTGATTGATGATAACCCAAGAGAGATATGGAGAATCATATAGAGAATCATACCATGCCAGTCAGAAAAACGGCCAAGCAAAGGCCACAGAGTATCAAAGCTAGTCGGCCATTGCCGATATGCGAGGTTTGATCGTCATGCCGCTGCGATAGCATGGTGTGCAATATGAAGGGGAAAAAGAAAACCCAAAAATCAATGGGAAGGTGCGAGGGTGATAGATAGTACATGTAAATTGAAGCGCAAAATGGAAAGGGAAAAAAAGAAAACGAAAAGAGGGAAGTCAATGAGCCTTGTCTGTGCGCGTAGCAGCACGATGCTAGAAGGCGTACCGAAGAGCCCAAAGGCTTCTCTCTCTCTCTATCTCTATCCTTTCCGAGCGGACGGGTGGTTGCACAAGGCTATGGTTCAGTAAACAACACGCAGCATGCATTAAGCATACATAGCAGTCAAGTGACAAGTCATACTTGGGTCTTGCATCCTTGAAATGTGTCTAAGTACCTACCCGGCTTGGGTACTTTTCTATTAAATGATACATATGTATCTAGATTAGATGAGTATGTTACTGAGGCCTGAAGATCTCCTCAGGGCGTCACGACCTGACTGGACCCAGATTGGATACTCCTCTGGTTTGTGTTTCATGCAAGGCGCCGGGTGTTGGTTGTACAGCAGCCACCGCCCCTAACCGCTTGGGGGCGGCCTTGTCCCACCTAAGGTAATGTAACCTGCCTGATGGTGATAGACCTGCAACACACCATGCTGCTGCCAGTCCACACGAAGTATGTAAGGCTTTTACTATTTCTGTTGTTAAAAAGTCTTGTCAAAATGCCATCAACGCAAATGGCACTCTTTCCATCCGCTCCCAATTCCCTCGTCAATAGAAATTGTCATTTGAACTTGAAAACTTTTCGTTCACTCCACCATGACACTGATTGATGTCGCTGTCATCGGCGGAGGCCCTGCAGGCTTATCCGCAGCAAGCACGTTGGCACGTCAGCTACACACAGTGACGGTTTTTGACTCACAAGTTTATCGCAATGCCAGGTCATCCTCCATGCATATGGTCCCAGGCTGGGAGAACAAAGATCCCAAGGACTTCAGAGCTTCGGCCAAGAACGATATAGTTGCCAACTATTCGACTGTTGAGTTTACAAACCTCGGAGTGACTAAGATTGAAAAGAAGAACGACGCTCACTTCATGGTCTCTGATTCCAATGGAAAAGAGTGGCAGTTCCACAAAATCATCCTCGCTGTGGGCTCGTCGAACATCTTCCCATCCATTGATGGCTATGAGAAGCTGTGGGGAGAACGAATGTACGTTCTATACTGTATTCTTCTCAATCTTGTCGACAAGCAGCTGACAAAACAACCTTTTAGTTTTCACTGTCTGTTTTGCAAAGGGTACGAGGACCGTGGGGCGGATTCAGCCGGTATACTTGCCGTGCCTCCTCTCGTGATTCATCCTCTCGTTGTACACATGGCAATGGATGCCGCACGACTCGCCAAGCGAGTGACAATCTACACTCATGGCAATGAAGATCTTGAGAAACAGCTTGCGTCCATAGCCAGCACAAGGTTCATCATTGAGCCGCGGCCGATCCAGAAGCTTGTTCAATCTCCCGACTCAAAGTCTGTGATCGTCGAGTTTGGCGATGGGTCCAGTAAACAAGAGACGTTCTTGGCCCATAGTCCCCAGACCAGTGTTCAGGGTCCTCTCGTTTCCGACCTTGGGATTTCGTTGACGCCAATGGGAGACATTGTGGCGGACGCACCTATGCATCAAACAAGTGTGCGCGGCGTTTTCGCCGCCGGTGATTGCATCACTCCATACAAGGTCATCCCAGGGGCCATCTCCAGTGGTTGCAACGCAGCCGTGGCCGCAAGCGCTCAGCTGCACGCGGAGGAATATGGACAGCCACCAATGTTTTGATTGGATACTTTCTACTGTGGCCTCAAATATTCATAGTTTATTCCCTAATTACAGTCCTTCTAAAAAGAATCTTCTCGTCCAGACCGTCAATAGTAAAAATAAGATGAGGGAGTTGTGCCATTCGACCTTGAGGCGTTGTGGGTTCCTCGGCTGAAATCGCCGCATGACTATATTGAAAACAGGAACATTGTCGGTGATAATCTGCCGAAAGATTAAACCTGATTCGAAAGCACGAGAATCGGTGATTACTGGCTTGAACCGCTACGCATGTATGGGCGCAGAGGTTTGGACCCGGAAAATCACCACTAACAAGGCTCGCATCTGTCACGATTGGATGTGCAGGTTTGGCCACTGGGACCATATGATCTGTTTTTAAGCAGGAATGCTTCAACCATGTCAGCTTGTGCATACACCGGTCTCTTTCACTGCAGACAAAGAACGGCGATCCAGTTCACCAAATGGGCAGGTTTCCCGAGGTCCTAGGTATTACCTTTGCATCAATACAACCTCAGAAGTCTGACATGGTATTTTTGACGCAGTACGTTGAATTATTGAATTTCTACAGCCCGATGCATCTTCAGTGGACTTGTGGTCTCTGATCGTATGCCATTAGGTAGCTATCTATACCCAATAGTAACCGAGGGCACTTGTGCCACATTATCAGGAAGTATTCAGATTGGTTTCGTGTATAAAAGGGGCCGTTAGAAAGCTAGCATGAGCTGCCGATTCTTATAGAGCCACCGACAAACCCAACCTGATTCTCCCTATTCCCACAATCACAACACACTCAACTCAGCATCTGAAATCCAGATAACTTCATTGAACTCGGTAAAGCTCTACACATTGTGGTATACAAACGAAAGACTGACAATGTCGACAGTCAATATGCGCTTCATGACTATTGTCGCAATGTTTGGCGCGGTCGCCGTCGCCGTTGCCGTCCCAAACCCCAACCCAGAGCCTGAGGCGATGGCCAGCGATGGTGATATCATCGAGCCCAAGGCCTGTTGTCTATAAGATCGGGTGCGCCCTGATGCTATCTATGGAGCGAGGATTTTTAATATCATTCTGCTATGGTGGAGGACCAATCAACAGTCAATCGGACGTGAAGCTTCTAAATCTTTAGTCAACGTGTCCACCATGATAGTTGCGAATTCAAGATGTACCCTCACTTAAATCATGTTTATCAATGAAATGCAGTGTATCAATAAAAGGCAACAAGTGCCAAGGACTGCAATCTGTACAGGTTACTTCCATGAATAGATTTTTCCGTCACAACGTACGACGTAGAATGATGTGTTATTCCGATGTCATCGCGGGCCAGTTGTGCAACACTTGCAACCAAGCTTGGCAAGATGCTGCCTAAAATTACATAGAGTACCTACCAAGATAATCAAGAGCAAAGACCTTGAGGGCTTTACAACCGAAACACGGGCTTAATGGCCAACAACGCCGCAATGCGCCGCAATGCAGCCTTACGTCGAAGCTGCTCGCAAAGTTTTGTGTCGCGCTCTCTCTGCAGCTATCTCAAAGCGTCTCAGTTGCGTGCATAATATTGATGCAGTGTGGCGCTAATGTTACGGGCCGAGCCTTTCGAAGAGTGCATCCACATATGCAATACCTCAACAATGCATGGACGGGGATGCAACACTGTTGAGGCTGTCGATCACCGAAGTAGCCCCGGATCATTAGAGTCATTAATGTTTACGGTGTTGGTGTCCGATGCAAACTACCAACTGCATCTTCTTCTTCGTAATATCATCCGAGGCGATGTGGTGACTGGCCCCCCCCCCCCCCCCCCCCCCACTTCACAACTTGAGATTGGCCGATCACACGAGGAGAAGACGATTGTTTTCTAATCATTGAGTGGATTGACTAACTTATGGAAACGTATTGTAGTATGAACTCCGCAGTCTTCCCTAGGTCGATGTGATAGGCCTTATAGCTTGATTGCGCGGGGCTGGTCAGTACAGGGGGGGATTGTCTTGCCTTCCACATACTTCCCTCCCGATGGCCTCCACATGATGCTGACTGGCTCTGATTGCAGTTCTTTTACCAATCGATGCCAATCATCACTTGGATTGTCTCGAGTGAAATGCAACTCAATGTAGTTGACAAGGATGAACCCGTATTTTTGATACAAGGGGGTGCTCATATGAGAGCCTTCAAGATATGCCTCGAGTCCACTGTCATTCATCATTTTGACCCAGTAATCCATCAAGACCGCTGCCGCACCCAGTTTGCGATATTCAGGGAGTACCCAAAGAGCCTGGCCATCTAAACAGAGAATCAGTCCAAGGGTCTTGAGAGAGGGGGAGGAAAGAAAACGCGCGGCCAACTCAGCGGCATGGCGCAGTCCCTGAGGGATGATTGGGTGGTTGGAAGGATACGGTGATGTGTAGTAACAATGAAAAGTTCCCACTGCAACAATGATGCATTCACTGTACAGCAGCAAGAAAAGCAGGATTTATTGGCAGGTAATCGGGGATGCAAGCTGGCAAACAGATTCCGGGGTTGCAGTGAAAATGCATTGTGTTTGTTGATGGTACTCACAGATATGAGCTTTGTTCATCATTCTGGGGTGCCAACTCCACATTTGCTGGTATAGCTGCTGCATGAGGCCGTGCCGCTCGGAACCAGGTTCGAAACCGGGACCGGGAAGCTTCACGTCCTCTTGCGTTGCGGTGGCCTCGCGAGATGGGCAGTGGTCAGCACCGAACGAGTTGGTGCGATGTAGTGTCCATGCACCACCCCCAACGATCCCTGAAAGTCCCCGAGACTTGCGTCTCCCGTCTTCCAACTTTACCCAGTGTTGGTTGACGTCGGCACGTGCAGCTGCAAGATACGCTATCTTTGTAGCCGTAAACGCAGCAGCCTCCGCTTTGCCGCCTGTACCGATTCTTGGAAATGTGAGTTGCCCGGTGGCCTGTAGCGGGTCCTTCCAGGAGTCCCAATAAGTGGAAAAAAGATCATCCCAGTCTCGGTCAAAATCAACGGGAGAAACGACAAAACGACAAATCTCTTGCATGATGAGTGAAGGAGGTGGCGACATGAAAATTCAATCGCGCGAAGTACTGGCAGATATGGTCTTGATTGAATTTTCTTGTCATTTTCAGTCGTTATCATCAACTTATATAAATCCTCAGGCCTGCATGTCCATGTGAGGTTTGTTGATATCAAACACTGATTGGGCAAAGCACCGTTACATATAATTTCTATTAATGCCTGCGGTGTAGCGATTAAAGCGAGTGAGAGGCTACTTTAGGTACCTATTGAAACCCTCTGGCGGGTAATCATGCCCAATTCTTCCAAACAACACACAACCTTGTAAACCCACACCACAGGGTGAACAGCATCTGCAATTTTGTACTCGTGTATTACAAAGACTAGCTTATGCCAAATGCGAAGAAATTATTGCAGTTTAGCAAGTTTGTAGTCTCTGCGAGTCTGGCTGGAAACTCGCATCAACATAAGGCGTTTGATTTCGTGTGTCGTGAGAGTCTCTGTCGAAGGAAGTGTCGCCCGCAATATACAAACTGTCCAGGGGAAGAAGGGATGGCTTTTCGGAAGTTGGAGTTGATTTCCATAAACGGAAGCTACTCCAAGATCTTGTAAAGCCACCCAGCCGCTCGAAACGTTTCCTCATGCTTTGGTCTTTAAGCAGAAAATTAAATGTTGGAAGGCAAGCTGCTATACTAGCCAAAGAAACCTCGATCATGCTCCACCATAGCATTGTGGATGCTGTGCCTGTGTTCCGAGCCACTTAGTAATCATTCAAGTGATAAGAGATTTTTTCAACATTCACTCACGGTTGATATCATATCCTGCAGAATATCCTTCGTAAAGGACAATCAAGTAGATAGACATTCTTGCAGCTGAAGCCGCTACAGACATAAGTCCGAAGAGGAAGATGCCTGTCACAGCAAACTTACGGCCCTTTGACATATTGAGTTTCCATATCTGTACCACAGTTAGCGAGAGTCTAGTGAGATAGTAAGCATCTTGTGTCTCACAGCAGGGATGGGAAGAATGAGAATTGCCAAGTCCAAGACCATATCCGAAATAACCATGGCCACTTCAGGGGTTGAGACATCACACCCCGACTCTTCTATCGTCTGGAAAGGCGCCCAATGCAACTCAACGGACTTTCCACATCCAAATATAAGCGCGATGAGGAACCCCACAGACCACAAGGTACTTGTTGCGACCATGACTTTTGAAACCAAGTCAAAGACAGAGTTTTTGTGGGAAACAAAAATACGGCGACAAAAGAAAATGACGCCCGCTTTGATGAAGCCGTAAGCAAACGACATCAGAAACTGCAAGGCAAATTGAATCTGTTCAAAATCATCAGTATCGTGATCTGTGCCCGGGAAAACTTACTTGCCTTTGCTTGAAGTATGAAAGCGTCAAGAAATAGACCGTATGCTTCAGTGGCATCTGTTCCGGCTGGAACTGGGGTCGGATAGCCAAACACTTTGAGTCGCTCACCAGTGATGAGGCAAGCGCCCATCCCAGCAACGAAGACTACTCCAATGGCAACAAGCCAGTCATCAGCGCCGGGTGCGGCCTTTTGAAGTCTTCGAACGTAGAAACGTAGTAACACGCATGATATACAGACTAGAGGAAGTGCAATCCCCGCCGCGAGGATTTGGCCGGGTGTTGCAAGAGGGAATGGGAGTTCGAGCCAGTGTATGGAAGCCATGCCAGGAGGTAAATTTCGCGACTTGATCGTATAAATAAAAATTTATGAAACTACTCGTGCTCATCCATCTTCAGTCCAGAGCTATGGACAGTCTTATATCAAAACCCCCCTCAACATTGAAATACACAACCTACATCAATACATCAAAGTCAGCTATGCTTAGGTACAAAAATGGAAGCTTCGCAACGGCCCTGGGCTCATACAAGCGTTGCAGCGTACCTAGTCTTGCATTCTATTCTGGCCGGCGCTTGATGAGGTGATGAAAATTGCCAGGAAGAAAGCACTTAGCATCACCATCCTGGCCCCTTACCACGGCCCCCGATGCAACGAGAGGTCAGCCTCATTGTCCGTCACAAACGATCACGATGTATGCATTTAGCGCGGAAGTAAATAACAATTATTTCTTGCTATCAACTTCTGGAAAGTAACAGGAATGAGTGACGAGATGCATGACAAGACAATGTGTCAGTCCATATCTGCAGAAGCCGGTGTGCTGCAGTGGCATCGAGATGGTAGCATTTCGACCCACTCCATTTCCATCTCTGTCTTGCTTTGCAGCCAACGATACTACAAAGCACGCAACCGATAGGCTAAAGATATACCATATCATTTATTGTGGTGCACGCATTCACAGATCAGCGAGAAGATATATCCACCGAAACTGCCCATTGATAGGTAGTCCGGAGAGCCGTCAGCCATTTTAAGCGACTTTACGTTGCATTGCACACTGCTTGGAGAATTCACATGCACCAGGCTCAGCCTCTCAATGTCGATGTCTATGTACTTGAGACCAAAGGTACATAGCATATATATGCAAAAAGACGAGGGGCATTAGAAATCCGGTATAAGGATATGGCTGTACTGTACTACCTGGGTGTTGTGAAGTGGTCGAAAATGACAACACATTGACAAACTTTCCCACCTATTCTTTTTTTTTCCCAAGACCACTGGTTGCGCTTGGATATCCTCCTCCTAATTTTAGAACTTTTTATCACTCAGTAACTGCCTTGAACACAATGGTGCCATCCTTGAAGATGAACCAAGATTATCGACTTCTAACCTCAGGCGAAGACACCGAAGACAATTTGCGAGTCTCGGTTGACACGAACGATTTGCATCCTCGATTACCCACGCAAAGATACACATTAATCCGTTCTATGAAACTTGTGACTATGGTTTTGGTTTTATCAGCTGGATTTGTCGCGGGTTACTGGATGCGCTCTTATGGATCTATGGAAAGTAGCTCGCCATATGGTATAGTCTACAATTACCCGACCTGTGGCCAAAAGCCCTGACTTCGTCTGCAGCAAAGCTTGAGTTCACAAAACATGATATCCTTTGGTGGAATACTGAGTACAGCAGCAATAATGCAAGCATCCCGGAACTCAACAAGTTATGGGACACTCAAATTCCGTGGTGTGTGACTCTCAAAACTTGCTGTTGTCATTTGAAGAATCATTCTTCTTGTCTTGTGGATGAATTCCAAATGAATAGATTGTCTATATAAGTCAAAGTTTGATTATTTCTAATTATTGTTCAGGGAAAGCGGCATCATTGCACTGGAGAATGAGGAGGCACGCAGGCTAGGCCTCCCGGATTCACAGCCGTTCCCATGGGACTCGAGCAAGAAGAGTATCTATATTGTTAATGCTCACCACATACTACATTGCGTGGTAAGTTAAACCCTCATTTTACCCACTTCTGCACTCGATAAATCGTTGTATAATAGAGATGATTCAGTGCTTAATACATGGTTGTAGAGAAATCTTTACATCTCCATTCAACAGTATCGTACCAACACTCCCCAGACAATCGACCACCCCCACATACTTCATTGTCTGGATAGTCTACGCGTCGAAACCATGTGTAATGCCGACGACACCTTGCGTTACGTTCCACTCAACTCTATGAACGGGTTCCGTCCCGGCGATGGCCAAGATCGGACATGCCGTGAGTGGAGCAAGCTCCAGCAGTTTGTGGAACGCCACGACCCATGTTATCGCTATGTCATGCCTGGCAGTCATGAAATATCTAATTTAGAGCGCTTCAAATTTTGTCCGACAAACTCCGAGTACTTGCCAAAGATCCGCAAATATTTTGGCTACACCGAGGAGTGGGTGCCCGAAGCCCGAGAGGGTCGGAGAGAGCTTGATTGGTGAGAGGAACACCGGTCACGTTGAGGTGCATTGAAATGATACGATAGGAAAAAGATACCGGTATGCAATGATGTGCGACATTATTAGGTCTTTTGGGGATCGGATACTTCGATATGCTGTGAAAAGGCAATTAGCGTCAAAGATATATACGTGATATCCAAGAGATCTCTAGTAAGTCATCGCCAGTACTTTATGACCCAAGTTGGTACCGCTGCGGGGCTCTGTGGTGGCTCTAAGTCTTCAGTGTTCTGTATGGTTGACATAATGCTTGCTAACCTACGGATGCCGAGATTTAAGGCAATGCAACGACCACGGAGCGGCGGAGGTCATTGGGTATTGAAGATCCGGCTGACTGGATGGCTTGGATTGGGTAAAATATCACTTTTCGGTCACCTTGCTAGACCTGTAAACCCGATCTATAGTATTAAAAAGAATACATTTTGGTGCTCGGGAATTTGAATGTGGAAATCGTGCAGCTTGGAGACACCCCGCCTGATACTTTGACATCTGTAAGGCGCTTGCTGGCCAGTACCAGGAACTTACGGAAATAACGGGATGTCAAATAGAAGTAAACGAGTGTACTATTCCAGCTACAGAGCCACGAGAGTGATGATCGTTAGGTTGGATCTCTCAATTTACGGTTGGCAAGGTGCAGCTATGTAAAAATGTGACGACAAGAAGAGGGCGGAAATGCCGTAATGGCTGTGGGGATGTTGGTACGTGCCTAGCACCTGATAATATCATTGATATAATTTTACGATCATTCAATGTCCGTTGTGCCTCATTGATCCCTATATTTTCGTATCTTTGATCATCTCTTATTTCGAATCTGGCTCCTTCATTTTTCACACTTTGTATTAGTGACGATTCATCACTCTGCATCTAGGCGCCTGGACAATGATACATTTGCATACTGGCTTGCACCCAGTAAGAACTTCAAAACGTCGGCACGAGCGCAGCCCTCTCCGTCCCCTTCCAGAGCAGCAGGTGGTACATTACCTTTCTCACGTAATTGCCCCCCGCCCGCCCCGGAAGAAGTCAATCCAGCACTACATCCACCAGACCTTCTCTTTTCAGGCTCAGCGCGTTGCAAACATGCCTATTGGCAGCCGAGAATCAGACGAATCCTTGCGGCCCAGCACTGAAGCTCACCGGAACCGAGCGGCCTGGTTGGTTACGACCCCTGCACCCAGAACCAAATGCAAGAATCCCTTAAAAGCAGTGTAAGGCAGTGCCTGGATGGCAATTAGCAGTGACTTCAGGGAAACAACGGGAAACGAAGGTTTGAATAGAAACGATTAAGTAAGCTAGCTACAGGCCACGAGACTGATGATTATCAGGCGTTGATGATCTCTCAATCTGGAGGTGGCAAAGCGTAGCAAAAAGTGAAGTACAGAAGAGGGCGGAAAGCTGTAGCAGCTGCGAGGAAAATTACCTACATATGTAGGTACTAGTACCTAGCGTGGTTGGTGCCTAGCACCTAACAAGCAGCGTCGTCGCCTTGGAACATGCTGCTGCAGTCAGCAGAATCACCTAGTAGGCACAACGCAACCCTTTTTGTGTGTGTGTTTTTTTTTTCTTTCTTTCTTTTTGTCGACTGCATAGTAACAGTGACTATCATGTGTAAACGGCAGGAAGAGGGTCAATTATACCCCATGAGGAAGCGACTGGTCGCTCTCACCAATGGTCAATCTATCTTTGCTAGAATCATGGCGCCGACCAACCGAGTCACGACTTTATGACAAGAACATGGGTATGTAAGACAGAATGGCAGGTTTCTTATGCACAATATATAAGAATAGAGCTACAAGGATCGATGTGATTGGATTCTAGTGTTTTGGGGGCGACATATAAAAATTCACCGTTCATGATCGGCAGTTGCTTATTTTAGACGACCAAGCTCGCCAAGCTCGTACAGAAAGTAAAAAGACGAATGCTGGCAGGCATCCAGAGCTGTCTGTTACGAATAAGCCATACTTTCCACTCTTTGGAAGCTCGGCAAATACTCCTAGAGTTTCGGCGAATTTCCAAACTATTACATGGAGAGAAGGAATACAAAATGCCAATATGGAAAGGTTTCCCTCCGCGGCTTGGCGACCTCAATTGGCGGCAAGCGACAGCAATCAACACGACAATCACCAGTATAGCCGCAGTCATCTTTGTGCCACTTCTCCTCGCGGCATGGACCAAAGCTGGAGGCATCGACAAGACTCTCATGTTCTTTTCCGGTGGCTGCGACACGGGAAGCGCCAGTCGACTAAACGTGGTGCTACACTTGGGTATCAACATATTCTCGACGGCGCTCTTGGCGTCTTCAAATTTCTTCATGCAAATATTGAACGCCCCGTCGAGAGAAGAGGTCGTCAAGGCACATGGCCTAGGCTCGTGGCTGGACATTGGTGTTCTGTCGTCACGAAATGCATTCCGGGTGTCACGCTTCAAGACTGCTTCCTGGATAATATTCTTTCTCAGCTCTTTACCGATTCATTTATTGTTCAATAGTGCCATATTTCAAACTGACAATCGGGGCGCTTTCTATCACTTGACCATTGCCAACGAGGCATTTATCCATGGGGGCCAGTATTTTGGTCCAGGAGCATCCTTGACAATGCCATCTGGAGATCTTGATGCCAAGATTGATTGGCTCGTTTGGGACTACCCGCAAGTCTCCATGGACGATTATCGCGATCCAAAGTCAGCAATATCCGCCAACATATCGTTGGCGGCTGCCCATGCTGCAGGCTGGAACAAGGTTTCGGCAGCAGAGTGCAGAGACACTTATTCTGTCAACGGCTGTTCCGGCATAAGAACCAACAGAGACCTTGTCGTTGTCATTGACAAGGCCGAAGGATGGGAAACTGGCGCCATCTTTGACATGTCATTCAATGAGGTCGAATCCTGGAATTCCATAGTCCCGCCCAATCAAACCAACAATCTGTGGTTTAGCACTCGTTGCTTGATGGGTGCCGACCTTGCGGGTGGCACACTTGCATGCCATAATGCATGCAACAACTCACTGAGCTTTGCGCCCGAAGACACGGGAGATTCTTATAACATCACATTTCTGCCACGGCTAACGTTTCAGAACACATCAATCTATAGAGGATTGCATCTGGATCCTCTGCCTGTGAGATACTGCCTACAGGAAGCCTTTGAGACTGAATGCCAGCTTGGACTCAGCATTACATTGTTATTTGCAGTAACCTTCTGCATTCTAGTCAAACTGTTGCAGTGCCTTATTGTCATCAAGTATCTTGACACTTCAGAGAGCCTCGTTACGCTGGGAGATGCTGTGGCAGCCTTTATCGCCCGGCCTGATCCCTACACGGCTGGGTACTGCACAATGCAGAGGCGCGACGCTGCGCAATGGGAAATACAGGAATCCCACGAGAAATGGCAGAGGACATCCAGGCGCGTGGGGTCCACGCTTTCTAGTATGCATTGGCTGGTGACTTATGCCGTCTTCTTCATCTGTGCCTCAACTGCTGTTGCTTTTCTGATCGTTATGACGAATAAGCATCTGGGCCTGTGAGTACATTACCAGATCCACATCTTCTTGTTCTTGCTAACAATTTCTTTGCTGTCCAGGCAAGGAACGATTACACCAAGTGACTCGAACCCGCTACTGTCCACGTCCGTTGCAAAAAGTTTCTTGTCCGGGGTCTTGGCAGTGAACAGCCCCCAACTAATGCTATCATTTTGCTACGTGCTCTACAACAATCTCTTCACCAAGATGCAGATGGGGAGAGAATGGGCAGCATTGAGCCGAAGCTACAAGGGACTTCGAGTTTCCGACCCAAGGTAAGTTTTGCCGTACCAAAACTATGATGCACACGGGGGAACTTTTGCTGACGGTAGAATATGAAGAGGCCACCAGTATGCAACGTATCGTCTACAGTTGCCCTACAGGTACAGCATTGCTTTGATCATTGGGAGTATGATACTGCATTGGATGCTTTCGAACACATTCTACATCGTAATTGTTCAAGGAGGTTTGTAAATGCTTCTCCCAAGGGGCGAAATCATCTGCTGACAGCAATCAAAGACTATTTCAATCCAATAAAGTCAATTTCTATTCATGATGACTCCGTCGGCCCGGAGAGGTCCATCGCGTTCGGGTATTCTTCTACGACTCTCCTCGTCTGTCTTGTGATCTTTATTGCTTCTATCCTGGTTCCAATTGTCGTGGCTCTATCTCGCTTGCCGGGAAACACGACTGTGGTGGGGAGCGAGTCTCTTGCCATTTCCGCAGCCTGCCATGTATCCACAAAGTCCAAGACGAAGCAAGGCCTCTCTTATGAGAACGGGCCATGGGAGGTCTTGAATGGATCCATGGAGAACATCGAGAGCGCCCGGCAGAGTTTGATTCCCACCACATGCGGGACTGCTGACATGGAGCCTGGATATGAAATGGTCATGATGGACAGTGCAGATTGCACTGCAGATGCCGAATCGCAGCGTATGCATCTAGAGGGGCACGCCAGACTGCCAGCACAGGAAACGAATCATTGGATGGCAAAATCATTGGAAGACCAACAGCGTTTATTGATTTCACAGGGCCGGATCAAATGGGGCGAGGTCACCATGCCAGTAGAGTGGTACGCGCATTACGAAGAGTTACCAGAACCAGTTCGACACTTGAGCTTTGGCTTGGAAGGGGACGAAGTACAAGAGCCAGAAGATGGTCAATGGTATGCGTGATAAGAAGGGCATTGGCTCATCGCTAGAAGCTTGTGGCCAACATCTGTCTTCATCCATCGCGCTGCTGATCGGCCACTTCCAGAATTCATGATCTCCTAGTCATCAGAAAGCCCAGCTGCCAAATTAAAAGTGAAAAATAGCCTGACATGATGCTTTGACAGCATAAGAGAAGTCTACTTTGACTGGAGAGAGGCGTAGTAGCTTGCGACCTCCGCAACAGCACTTGGAGACAAGCGACTCTCTGATAGCTGGAAGCATTCGGGGAACCACTCAGCAAAGCCTTTGCCAACGACAAGCTTGGCCAATTGTTCGCCGGCCAGCCAGGCATATGGCATTCCATAACCGTTGAAACCAGCAGCGATAAACTCTCCGTCCCCTGCCCGCCCGGTGGCCGACATGGGCAGCTTGCCGACCAGCGGAATCTCGTCATGGGTGAAGCCCATGATGCCGCTCCACGCGCTCTTCATCGAGTCCAGCTTGGTGTCTTGGTACCCAAAGAACCTGGGCAAGACGTCCTGCAAGTGATCCCGAGAGACGTCGGTGAGGACCGAGTCGTCGGCGTTTAGCGTCTGCTCCATGGTCCCCTTGTCGCCGCCAAAGAAAAAGTACCCCGTCTTGGCGTTTTGGGTGAGATACCAGAGCCCGTCGGCCAGCGTCTCGCTCTCCTTGTCGTACTGCGGCACGTAGTGAAAGGCAAAGGACTTTTCCCGTCCTCGGTTGGGCACGTTGGGGCCGAGGTCTTGCACCGTCATGGTCCCTCGCAGGGGATAAATGACGCCGCGGATGTTGGGCACGAGATGGCCTACATGGCCGTTGGTGCAATGAATGACCTTTTTTGCGCGCGTGGTGCCTCGCGGGGTGTGCAGTAAATAGGCGTCGCCGTCGTGCGTGACTGATGTGACGGGCGTCTTGGTCTCAATGGACAGCTGGCGGGAGTATTTTGAGAGCAAGCCAGCAAAGACACTCGTAACTACTCGATAGGGCCATAATACTCCAGCCGTGAGCGTAACACCGCCCTTGGCACCATGCACTCCGTGTTGCTACAAGAGAATGTGTGAATAGAAAGCCGGGATCCAAGGACAGCACAAACTTGGCACTTACCTTTTCCACAGCGTCGGCGTCAATCACTTCATAGATGCCCCGTAGACTAGGGTGATCTCTTTCCATCTGCTCGACGCTATCCTTCAAGGCCGCAAACGACTCGTCATCGAGATATGCCCGCACCTTGACCACGTCGCGATACTCGCTCTCCTCGGCGGCATATTCCTGGACCACCTGGCGCACCCGATCACACGTGCGGAACGTAAAGTTGGCAATCTTGCCCGCCTGTTCGCTGCCAAACTTGGCCTTTCTTTCGGCGTAGGCCTCGCCCGCATTGGTCGCCAGCTGGCCTCCATTGCGGCCCGTGGCGCCGGAGCAGAGCGTGCGCGCCTCAAAGACGACGACCCGGAGAGACGGGTCGGCGTCGAGCAATGTCTTGGTCACACTCGCGCCAGTAATGCCGGAGCCGATGACGGCGATATCCGCCTCCGCCGGCATATCTGGGGACTGCGTCTCTGCGAGGGGATGAGGAATGTGTTGCCAATAAGATGCAGTGGGATTTTGGCGAGGAATTCCAGGGTCATCTGTGATGAGCTTCTCTATTACGTGAACTGCGACATGTTGAGTTAGCCAAGAAGGACCGGCAATCTAGTTACTGTTGGTACCTTTGTCTGATGCGGCCATGGTGTCGTCCTTTAGCGTGACGCAGATGATAGAACAGCGCGACTCTTAACAGCCAACAACCGTGTACTGGCGCAAGGTGGATTTGCCGTGTCTCGTAGAGAGAAAAGAAGAATATTCTATCAATGAGATCAATCACGAGAGTCTCAAAGGGAAGCCGCGGACATCGTCCGTACCTGATCCGATTCCCCCGCTTTGGGGACTCCCATGGTATCTTTGTGGGGGTATCCACAAGTGATCTAGATATGCGATCCGAGCTATTATAGTGACGATAGTGGTGACATGATTAGGATAGCGCACTATACACATGATAAGCTTTGTAGGTAGATAGACTTTTGGCAGTCCTTGAACATAATTTTCCGGCGCGAGTTTCTGAGAGTTTTCTACTTTTGAAATTTTCATTTATACAAGGGCAACTCCCAGGATCTTTATCGCGCGTATGTAGTGACTAGCCGCAACATGATTCAAATCATATGAATAATCCACTTCACAACAAGCCCTTGGTCGTTTCCCTTGCGCTCATGATTGTGCCTAGCCAGCTGCGATTGCATTGCATGTCGCATCATATACACAGAGTTTTGCACAAGTATATGCTCAAGCGCCAAAGGCGCTCGTTAGGGCATCGTACTGCTCCTGCGTCACTGCCAACACGGAACCGTGCCTCATGTAAGTGAGGGCCGACGCCGTGGAATCGAACACGCCCGACGTCGGGTCGGCAGACTCCCAGGCCCGCAGCCCCGCGCCGCCGCCGACGAGGTCGCTCAGCAGCCAGGCCTTGCCGTCCACCTCGTTGTCCCAAAAGGGATACGGCCCCTCGTAATCCGCCGCAATGACGCCCGCGGGCCGCTCCCAGTCGCCCCAGATGCCCCCGTAGCCGACCTCGGCAATGATGCCGTCGATGCCGCCGCCCGCGTGGATGCGGACAAAGGCCGTCTCGTTGATTTGCAGGAAGCTGAGGTCCAGCGTGTCTGATGGACTGTAATCAATATAGGTTCCAGGGTCCTCAATCGTAGTAAAGTCGGTGGTGATGCCGCCGCGAATCAAGAGAGGTGTCGCGGTCCCCGTGTGCGACGTATCGTCCTCATCATACAAGGGTGATGCCCAGTGGACAAAGAACTCATCTGCGGCCTAGTCAGTAAGAGAACAGACAGTCGAGAAACTTTGTTTGTTTTGTTTTTGCCATACTATACTGAGGCAGCCAGACTGCATCGGGTGCCCACACGCAGCCAGCAGTAGGACCTTCGGCAGTGACCAGTCTTTCATCTGTCCAATTGACCAAATCCGTGCTCTGCCAAACCACAATGGCGCGCGATCCATTGGCCACAGCAGCGGACCAGTTGGTCTATGAAGTTGTGAGCATAATTGCAATCGTCGTTGTTGGCCCATGGTGGTGGGGGATGGCAAACCAACCTCGCCGATATTCAAATCAGTGCCCAGAATGTACCATATCCCATCTCCAGCAATAATGGAGAGATCCCGTACGGCGCCGGTACCGAGCGTCGGCGACACAATGTGATTTCCGCCATTTAGCTCGGTAAAGCCCAGCGGGTCGTCATTAGTGCTGAGGGCAAAGTAGACACTCTCGTCAGCCGTCTTCCAATAGACTGCTAGATAGCCGACTTTGCTAGAGTCTGCCTTTTTCTGGAGAAGGATATCCTGTAGAGGCCCGGGGACTTGGGGTACTGCAAACACATGGGCGCAGCTGAGGAAAAATGCGGCAACCGTGAAGAGTGAGTGCTTCATTTTGATGGACTTGATCGCAAGAATCTAGTACTGAGGGGCCTTGACACAAGGCTCATCTTGAGAGAGGTGCCAAGGTTATGCGAATATAAATACTCAAGTTGCATCTTGTACGTCATGATAGTATATTAGCATTTTCGCTCCATTGAAGCCGCGATCAATGGATTCGCTTTCTGCCATTTCACGATTCTTTGCCACTGCCGAGCTTTGTATATTGCTCTGCTCCAGTGGGTTGCTACTAGGCGAGCCAATCAACGTTTGCTCGCCATCGGAATTTCTCTGGGCGCAAATTCCTCCATTCACTATTCTCGCAACTGTCGCATTCTTTTATAATGCATTTGCAAATACATTGCACATTGCGTAGTGCACAACCGTTCCAATTTCAGTGACATGTGTCTATTACCACAAATCTGGCCATTTGATTGGTGCGCATCCGTCCACATACTCTGGTCGGTTTGTTTGTATGTAATAGTATAGTTGGCGGTTGGAGGAACAAATTGTTGAGGGCGGGCTCGTGCCAATAGACTGCCCCCTTTGCCTTTGAAATATACTGTCCCTGACACGCCTAGTAACCGCAAATCGGAACAGACTGATCACCCATCAAAGGCACTTGGCAACTGCATTGAGTGAAATCAGTTCGTTCCATAATAGAGACCGCATCTCTGCTTCTTGAAAAGTTATGTCTAGCAACATGCGACTTGTTCACCGATCAGGACGATACAGATGCTTGATTCAGCATACCTCATTCAGGAAACGCCATCATAATGAATCATTGCCATCAGCTCATCAATCAAGTGAAGAATAGGTTTTACTTCAATACATTTCAGACGACTGTAATTGCTTCGTATTTTTGGTGTTGTGTCAGTCAGTCGGCCAGCTCCTCATGTCTAAGCGCGAACCCGGATGCTGAACCTATGTTCGACTCACCTTGGGGAACGGGGGGACGACGATCACCTTGGCTCGAAGGCGTAATTAGCAAGAAAAGCTGTAACGGAACTTGCGGAGAGTTACTTTGCTCGTGAAGCTTTTGGGCCAGGAACGATCCTATGAAAGAACCCCAGGCTGGCCATTCTCAATCTTCCAGCAACACTACAGTGTCGATTTGCTCCTTGCATGGCATCCTCCAGCTGAGCCCTCTTGCCGCGGCCAAGATGCCCGCCCTTGACATTTGGTCTATTCAATCACAACAAGTTAGACTTACCGAGTCGGGAAGCGCCGTCCCGGGCCTGGATGCAGGGTCAATCCGACCCTCGATCGACCATCTTATCTGAATCCTGATTGTCCGTGGACATGGTAGATCGATCTGCTGCTGCAGCATGGTGGTGCTGTTGATCGGTGTGTGTCTTGTTCTGGTCGACTTGATCAGCACGTCGCCTCCTGCGGCTGTCGACGAAAATGGAAACACAGGTACTTCTCAATCACCTAGCACCGAGCGAATGCATCTGAATCTGGATCTGGAATCTGTATCCATCACGAGAGGGGTGGAAAGGGCTATTGGACACAACCCTGATGCTGGTCTCAACCGGTGAGAGGGTTTGATGGTCTCTGCAACCTCCGCCATTGTTTGATATCCTCGTCTGATTTCTGCGTTGGCAAAACTGGCCCCCCTCCTCCCCTCAAGGGGTGGCGCGTTGAATGGAGATTCGTTCGTCGAACCAAGGCCGAGCAGGGACCAGCCCATCTGTACAAGAGAGAAACAAGATGTTCTCGCAAGGGGAAAATGTGCTCGAGATAATGGACTAATGGAAGGCAGGGGGTGTGTCAACTTTCAGCCCTTTGCTCTCCACACTTGTCCCTGTACTGTATAAGGGGGCCAGATCGAGAGCTGCATGGGACTTGGAAAGAAGAAGGGGGGCCATTATTGCCTCTATTTCCCATGTTCCATCAGGCGCGCTTGCTTCAGCTCCCGGCGCCCAGGCCCAGGTTAAACCCGGGTACCCGGGTCGAGCCCGGGCATCCATTGGGCATGGGGTTGTTTGTGTGCGTGTCTCGTCCGGGCATGCAAGTATTGAGATCTGGCAGACGAGAGATTTGCGATGGGTTGTATCAGAATCCGCCGGTGATTGCACGGTGATTAGTTTGTATGTAAGTAGAATGGGCCAAGGTAGCGTGGAAGGATCGAAGGAGTTGTTGCATCGGCGGCTATGCGAGTTTGCGGGTGCCCACAGGAGTAGAGTTTGCGATCCGTACCTCTGTATCGGCCCAATGCCCCCCACGGTCATAAGGGGAGGGGGGGTTTATGAGAAGGATTCAGGTTTCATGCATTCACATGTGTATGCCATGTCAATCAGCGCTCTCGATTTGCTCGACTTTGTTTGCTCTTGTCCTGTCTCCATTGTTTCCATGTGTGTGCGCGGCGTGGGTGTGGAGGTGGTATTGTCTTTTTTGCCAGGCCGGGTTACGCTGGAGGGGGCCGGCAGAAAAGAAAAGAAAAAAGCGACCAATGAAAAGTGTCAGTTGTAACCCCGTAGATACTGGAAATAGGTGGTCAGACCATTTTTCCATTTGGGCTGAATGTCTTTTTCTTTTTTTGCTTTTTTTTTTTTCTTTCTTGTCCCCTCTTTACGGCGGGACTAATTAAACGAATGCTGCGGGTATTGATGACAGAAGACGGCGGCGGGGTTGAAAGCATCAGTCAAGTTGAGAAAAAGAAAATAAATCGTTTAGAAAACGAATAGAAAACAAGGAAACAGAGAGACCCCTGGGCGCAGCTAACCCAAATGGATTTTGACGGTGCCTTGTCTTTCTTTACTGCCTTGGCGATGATAGTACCTCTGTATCGAAGATTGGGATAGCTAACCCCCAACATGCAGAATGCATGGCGCAGCGCAAGAAAAAAAAAAAAAAAAAAAAAAAAAAGAACCAGGGGGGCCGGCGCGCAATCATCATTAGAAGACGGGACAAGAGTCTGGGGGGCGGTGCTGGTAGATCTGGCAAGTATGTACACATGCAAGTAAAGGTAGGCAGTGTTGGAGATAAGTGTACTAGACATACTATTGTACATGCACTCGCTCCATGCAGATTATGACGAGCGAATGATTATGGTTCGGGAAGTAGAAGCAAGAAGCATAGTATTTCTGTCAAATTAGTGCCCGCGTTGCCGGGGGTTTCTTCAGCGTGACGTTAATCTACTTTTTGTCATCTCCTGGTTTGCTGCTCGTGTGTACATAGTAGATCAAGGAAGTTCCATGCATACCAAGGATACGCCAATGACTACTTGCAGCAGCTTGAAAATCTTGCTTCTTTCTGTAATTTTGCAGATCTCCCGGCAAATGATTTACTTTGACACATGGGAATTGCAGAAATGACATGATTGTCCGTTTTGCCGGGGTGGGGGTTCTTTCGTCTCTCTTTTTCTTCGGTCATCAAATGGTCAATCTGTGTATTGTAGCTCTGTCAGTGGTCTTTCGAGGATGATCAAGTCAGTCCCTCGAGGAAATGCAAAGAGAAGCAGCACATCAAGTAGTCGTGAAGCAATAGAATGAAAAGCTTTATTGTAACTGATGAATGCGATATGGGTAATTGATTTTGTGGGTATATAGTCGTCAAATCGTCACAATGAGAAAACCTCGAAAAAGTCTATGCCTTGAACCTGCTTATTCTCCAATATGAAACATTAAATCCTATATCGCGTGGTGATACCAGAATCATTGTCAGCGTAGATTGGGATCAAGGTGAGACTTGCTATGATGCTGCCAAGCTGTCTTTGTCTAGTCGTCGAGCTCGCCGGGCGCATCTTCCTCGTCATCGTAATCGTCGTCATGCTCATTCTTGATTGTCATCTGAGTTGGTGCTTTGCTACCAGCACCTCGCTCAGGCTTCAGGGGGTTGTTCAGAGCCCACCTGCCAGGACCATCGTCTCTGACGACGGCAACATCTGACCGGAGGACCCAGTTCATCAGTGTGGGGTCATTGTCGCCTCCAAACATGATTTGAGCTTCTTCACCGTTTGCCGCCTTCTCGAGGTGCTTGGCCACGTGCTCCATGCGCTCGTCCCAAGCTGTGTGGCCGACAGCCTCGAAATCGCACCCCTGCACTGGGCATCTCATGTACTCGGGTAGTGCGCATCGAAGCTTGTGAGCCTCAGTCTGGCATGAACGGACTCTGTCTTCCCACTCGGGGACGCTTTTCTTGGCCTTGGCCTGCTTCTTGACAGTCGGTGGGCTATGCATTCGGCGAAGGTGTTGAGTATACAGGTCCTTGCGGTTGAAGATGGCGCCATTGGGAAGTCCACCATAGGAGCAAGGACCTTGCGACCCAGTATTGTTGGCGTTTCGGTGACGGGATGTTCCAGTCGGCTTGGTAGCGGAGGCGGATGTGTTGGAGAGCTTGGCGCAACCGTCCTGCTGGCATAGCCAATAGTTGAGGAGGAGGTGCTGAGAAGCTACATGTCTCTTCCATTCATTCTTGCTCGCGAACGTCGATTCGCACTGGGCAAATTGGAAAACACAGACAAAAGGCCGTGTGTGTTGCTGCTTGATATGTCTCTGAAGGCTAGCTTGGTCTTTGAAGGAGGCCTCACGACATTCCGTGCAAGAAAAAGCCCCTCTAGTAACGGCAGCTACTTTACTCATTGGCCTGTGAGACGCAGGCAAGGTCGACTCGCGCTTCACTCTCTTACTGGGGGAGTTGGGCTGAGAAGCATTGCTTCTCTTGCGTTGTGCAGCACCACGGTTGGTGTTGGAGGTCGTGCGCTTGTGCGGCCGACGCGCATTGGGCTTGTAGTCCTCGTCATCGTCGTCGCCGGCATTTGGTTGTTCACTATCGTGTTCAGAGGCGTAGTCCTCATTATCTGGCGGAGAAGGATAGTGCTCCGAGGCAAACTTCTCCTGCTTGATCGGGTGCGGTACATCGGCTGGGCTTGTCGTCCCTGTTGATGACGATGATGGTGATAGCTGTTGGTTTTGAGGATCCATTCCGCACGTGCTGCAGTCGCTTGACATGCTTGATGCCCGGGTAGAGAATTTAATGTCTTCATCGTTAAATGTTTGTTGATGTTCTTGGTAACTGGCGGTCATCTCGAACTTGTTGAAACTTAGGTCTGATAGGTAGACAAACTGTCCTCCATGATGTGACCACTGGTCGTAAGGTGCCGGTGGTGACAACATTCCATCTGAAGGCGTCGCTGGATTGTCCAATCCATGGTCGCTGTCGCCGAACGGGAGACTGTCACTACTACAGATAGAGGACTGCTGATCGTAAGGGGTGGTGCGTCCTGGGATGAAAGCGGCTGGCGGTACTGGTGCAGTTCCTTCCCACCTTCCGTTGCCGTGGTTCGCATATGCTGAGCTCTCGCTGTCAAGTAGATTGTTGTACCTTTGAGGGTAACTCCAAGGTGCTGTATCGTCTTGCACAGCGTGGTCCTTGAGCATTGGGTCGATATATCCTTGGTCCATGTTACCGAACCAGGTCGGTGCTGGATCTAGAAACGGAATCTGATACTCCATGATGAAGGATTTGGGGTGTTAGACTTTGTCCCCCAATGTGAGGATAGTGGTGAAGATGGAATTTCGGATCAAGTCATATGTTGTCCATGCGACTCCAAGTTGGTAAGATGTGTAAGTGACAGACAACAAAGTGGTGGCTGTACTTGATCAAAATTGACTGATAGTTGCAGGTATGGGACGGACAAAACAGAGACCCCAAAAAGATCAACGAAGGAGGACAAGAAATAAATTGTCTTCTTTGATTCTGCATACAGTAGTGGGGGCTGAAGGAGTTAAGTATGGAGATCAGACCAACGTATGAATCAATGATCCACTGAAGATGTTGAATGATCCTCCAGACTGGAATACAAGGACTGGGATTGTATAGATCGATGATGGGGGCGAAGTCGCAAGCTTGGAGCACTTTGCATTGTACGCATTGTGCCTCGCGAGAGACTCGATACTTAACCACCTCCCAGATGGCTTCAGTCTCTTTACTAACACAGAGGTCCCACAGCAGAGCCGCAAGAAGTACCCAAGTACCTCAAATAGTACGTACCTTTAGAAGAGTCGTCCGGGATGATGGGGGACTTTCGTACTAGGTTGCATACTTGGACCACAAGGACCAGGGAGGTGTGTGGGACGGGATGTAATTGGCACACGTCTCGTCCTTTGTTCTTTTCTGGCGTCCATAGGCGTCTCCAAGCGCCCTGGCGAGTTCAGGGCCCTTGGGGCCCCCCCTTGACGCCTTTTTGAAGCTCGCCTGAGGCAGACTCTCAAAACGGGATTGGGCAGAATACTAGGCATGTACCTCTGCCATCATAAAAAGACAATAAGAGGTTGCATAAGTGTAGGAACCTTTGCGGGTTGAACGCTCACTGTGTAAATACTGTAGTAGTTCGCGCACCAGTGTCGGACTTGCTCGATTTTTGCCAGGTTACACACGGGTCCATGACAACTCGGGCCATGTGTGTAATGTGTAGGACCAAAAGGTGGCTCGACCCGTGTCGGACAATAACGACCACAGCCCGCGGCGCAGGTACTGGGAGATAACATAAATGTGAACTCAGCCCTTCATCCGGCCGAAATCTTGTTTGTTGAAAATGAAGCTGTCACAGCAATAATAGCGTGGAAAAAGCCTCGACGAGATGCTTGGCTGCTGCATCTCGGGAAGGTGAAGTGGAGGGTGGCTGATGTAAAAGACGGACGAGGCATACCTTCAGGGAGCGTACGAATTGCAGTGAACAGGTACCACTCACCGATTGCGTGCGGAAATGCCTTTCTCATCAAAAATTGGACTCGTTTGCCCACGCGAGCTTTTGAGACCGGTTTGTGCCTCGCCGCTCGCGGGGGAGGCTTTCTGGCTCTCTCTCCCATCTTCTGGTTCCGTGCAAGTCAATCCCATCGCCAATCATTGGAAAGAAGTGACAGCAGCCCGGGAGGCCAGAAACCCGTGCCGATCTGCCGGAGCTGCAGTCTATGATCATCGCCATGTGAGAAGAATTAGGTGAGGAACCGCTCATCTCAGCAGTCAAGTAACAAACCGTAAAGATCCCGACCAATTGCAATGGCTCCCAACCAAGTGGTTTGCAAGACATGGGGGGTGGGATTATGTTTCCGGGAAGACTATGGCACCATAGCGTGCGAGCTATAGTCCCTGGGATCAGCTCTCGGGTGTTGAGAATTAGGACATTGGGCATGATGTTTTGGCATGGCCATTGTAACCCCCTGTTCATTGCCCTGTCTGATTGATAGTGGATGGATATGTAGGTAGACTGACAGGCAGTATGTATACTGGATGATGATAAAGTATAATGGGATTCTTCTGGGCCGATTATACATGGATCAGCAGCGACAGCCTACGGGGCGGGCAAGGCGGGCGGGAACTATGCTCCTCATCATGTTTGTAAGAGATGACGAGGTCCGCGTGGCCGACGCCCTGTGGGGTTGAAAGGCGGGTTGGATAGGTTGGTAGCGGCAGTAACCATCTCCAATCCGGAAAGGCCGCAGCGGAGGATCCCATCATATGGTTGAACATGCAGGGGACTTTCGGCGTTTATTTCCTTTGCTTTCCTTCACTGCAATCTTTTCACTGCAATTTTACTCTGTAAAGAGCGCATCTTTGAACTGCAATCTGATGTGTCGGGGGTCGGGCAGGGTTAACGTTGGCGTACTTTGGCGTCCTGTACCCTCAGGGAAGTTACAAATTGCAGTGAAAGATATTTTGTTGGATGAGGCTAATTCCGCCCCCACCCGCTGGCTTGGGGTTTGGCCCAGTCCGTAAACTGCTCCCCCGACCCGCGTGTGGGTAGGAGTTCCTAGAGGCGGCTGGCTCTTCTTTTGTTGGCGTCCTTTGGCGCAACTACCTAGCCTTTGGCGAGTTACAAATTGCAGTGAAAGACGTAAACTGCTTCCCCGACTCAAATGTACCAGCTAGAGAGGAGCAAGGAGTACCCAGAGGCAGCTAGCACCTTTTGTTTGGCGTACTTTGGCATACTGACCTAGGTTAGTTACACAAATCGCTGTCAAGGCAGGCATTGATGGTAACAAGACTTGGCGCGGGGTGTCCCATCACATTGGTGACAAGAGAAAAGGACTCACTGGAGCTAGGTCCTCAAAACATCACATCTCGTTCTGTCATTATCTCGTCTCTCAATCCGAATCCATACCTACTTGTGCCTTTCCCAGGCATGACCGACCTGGGTGACTCCATTTGAATCCACTGCAACAATTGTCAATCCCACTCATCTGCGTGCGATGCGTGAATAGTAAGGGAGCAGAAACAAAACCCACCAGAGACGCATGGCATGGCAAGGCAGGCAAGCACGGTCCGCTGTCAATTCATGTCCACGTTTGCAGATACCCAAGACTTTTTCTTTGCAACGACATAAACTTGAGGATCATTGATGTCTCGCTTCCACGCCGGCAACCACACAGCAAGCATCGTTTCGAAGACGTCCCCGTTTGTGGAAAGGAGGTCCCCGGGTTCGATGATCACTACCATTTTGTGACCCCCAATTAATATGTTTTCTGTAATGCAGATTCCGTGGTTGGGGTCACCTGATGCATCGGAGTCTCCGTTGGAGGCTGTGAGTTACCCTCAAAGGCCTTGCTAATGGCTAATGTATGTAGTTTCCAGGTTTCTCGAGGCCCTTTCTTAGGGCCTAGTGCACCACTAGTGTTCTCCCTAGCAGGCATTTGGCAGGGCAGCTACTGCCTGTGAGTACCTACCTAGCTAGGGTTTCCCGGTGCCATCACTTGTGTATACTATGTAGGTGAGGTAGGTGCGCTATAACAAAGACTGGATGTCCCCACTTGCAGTTATTCTAGATTGCTGCTAGCGAATATCATATCCCCTCCACTAACCTACCGGCCATCAAGTTATCTGGGCAAATATAGTCGGTCAGTATAAACTGCATATGCACAGTATCCAATCCGTACAGTGCGTGCATATCTTTGGTTGTTCTTGTGTGCCCGACTGGCTGACCGGGCGAACGAACATTGGTCTCTACCCGCGAGCTATCCAGGCAATCCAAACGCCAAGGCGAGGCAACCTTCGGTCCCAGGATCAGGTCTGCTGAGGGCCTAAAAAGACCTCTCATACAGCATGTACATACAGGCTCACCATAAAAGAGCCTCGAAATGATCAATTGCCATCGTCATTGGCTCAGCTTTGCAGTCTCGACCTTCCTATTTCCCTTTCCAATTTGCACCATTGCGTCAACAAGGAACTGCCCTCATTTGAGGTTTGAGCCTCAATAAAACTCCCCAGGCCTCAAGGTACGTAGCTCTGAGCATCTTATCGCTCAACTGGCCCGCTCTCTCCCATTGACCCCGTCTGCCTTTCAATTTTTGCTTCTCGCCGGCCCACCTCTCTTGATCCTTCGGGTCCTCTTCATAACTACTCCCGAGACTGGTACTATGTAGTTAGGAACCCCCCTTGCACCTTTTTGCCTTCTTCCCTTCTTCCCCCCGTCATCGCCCGGGATGCACCAAGTACCTATGATTTCGGCCCCCAAGAGCGCCAAAAATGCACTTTCAAAGCCCATGTTCCAGTCTCCAGAAATTCCCAGAAAAGGAAAACGAGACAGCGCTTCAAGGAGTGCGAGCATCGTATCATCCTCTTCTTGAAATTGAGGAGAAAGAACGGGGGTGAAAAGCGCGAGAAAGCGCGAAAAAAACTAGGTATCGTTGCAAGTAATGGAGCCAGCATAGGCCTGGTTGAAGTTTCCTTTCTCTTTCGGTAACATAAAAGTTCCTATATCCATACAAGCATCCATGTCCATACAAACTTCCCAAAGAACCCTAGTCATCTAGCCCGTATCGGGTGTCTTGCCCTCCACAATGACTACACACATGCATATATTTATGACCTGGGTTGGTTTTTTTCTTTCTCTCTGCCCAGGCCCAGGGGGAGGGGTGTAACACGTTGGTAGTGTAGATCTAGGCCTCTTTCTGGGGAGACCGCCAAAAGAACCACCGTGCAGCTTTGGTATCTTGCAGGAAGGATTCCCAAAGTGCTCTGTTGCGCAACCACCAGCATTTCCCCCCCTACACACCCGAGCCGAAAACGGTGTCGGTGGAGCTGGCAAAAATACTGCAGAAAGAGCATAAGGGGAAAAGATTGGAAACATTCATTATTGGGTAGGAGAAACTCGGCCGGGGCGTGTCGGGAAGAGGGGGGTGGGTGAGTATTGGTGATCTTTTCCCGGCCAGTCGGGGTTCTGGGAGATCCTGGGATAATTACAGATTGGAGACCTAGGTTAGGTATGGGAAGAAAAAAAAAATCTGACATGTCTGTTGTATCGCCATTATTCAACTTTTTGACACCGCCCCCCCTTTCCTACGCGGCACCTACTCGCTGGCTAAGCTGGCCAGCGAGCCCGCCGCTCCCCATGATGGGCAGCAAGCACACACAGTAGAGGTCGGAGGGAGAACAAGAAGAAGAGCACTGCGCCCCAGCCGCCATTAAAGACGCCCTACCCAATCCCAGTGCGTGCCCGGCCGACCGGCCGACCGACCACACATACCGTCTCGCAGCATTTTAACCCCCCTCATAACCCTTTGAGAGCTTTCTCCTGTGTAGCAACACACCATTTGCCGAGAAGCCCCTTCGTTTAGAAAAGAGTACTGAGGCTCTTTGCCAGATAGGGAAGGACAGCCGCAGTCTGTCATCAGCTCAGCCCTCAAATAGTAACACACCAGTGCCGTAATTTTTCTTGCTTTGGCCAAACAAGGGGAGGAAAAAGAAGAACAAGAGCTGGCCATCGACAACACCCCAGCAGCCGCGCCCAAAGAATACGTAGGTACAGAAAACTGCATACATGCATCATCATCATCTTTCCTGTGCAGTCTTGATTAGTGAGCTAATATGGTCTCACCTACCACGACCATAAGGGAGTTGGGGAGCGAGTGGGCTTGTTTCTCCACTTTCACTTTATACTACCATCGGTCCCTGGAATTGCACCAAGATATTTATGGACTATCCGCAGACCATTAGCTCCCCTTAGGAATAGCTTTTTATGGATCTTGGTATATCCCGAACCTTGTTTAGTCCATGGGCGGAACTCCCAAAAGCGATGATTGCGATTCAAGCTATTGCTGTTAGTAGAATAGTGGCGGGGAACTATGTAACTCCAAGCTTTTGAGAGGACAAAGCTGGACCTCCAAGTAGGCGACAGAGACGTGATGCTTTACTGGCGGTGTGGGCAGAAATGCACAGAACGATCGCTGGTTCCGCAACATAAGGAAATGCTTGTACATGAATCCGTAAATCCGCATGTGAAGATGATCTTAACCCATCTCAATCACAGCTCATGTAGAATAAATTGCTTACGACATCACTAGTTTGGGGAATATCATGTAAGCATTATGCCCAAATCTTATTGCCGAAGCGCCGATTGCGACCTGTACAACCCAGGAATAACAAGCCATTTGAACTGTTTACCACTCCGTTGGAGCCGCATAACGTGATGGTCAGATCACATTCAATATACGCAATCTTTGCACATAGGGTGCTGACACTCTATTTTAACACACTGCGGGCTCATTCTGCTGCGGACTTCGCCGCACTGGCACTGATTCTGGGGTTAGCTTCAACTTCACGTGGGATACTTGGGTATCAAGTGTAGGTTAATGCATGCTTACACATGTTGCTGTTGCTGTGGCCATTGGTCCATCATCTTTACCATTTATTCTGGATCTTTTCGGGTGGCGACCTTCACCAGTTCGGTCCGCCTTTCGCTTGCTGGCAGCGACGCGTCGCTTGTCGCTTAGCGGGGCCTCTACATTCAATGGCCTATCAGGCGCATGTGGTACCAATGGAACCTCAGCCTCGGCATTTGGCGATTCCGTTGAAGCATTGTCTGCGTCCAGCTGTGCCTCAGGGTCGAAACTTTTCCAGTCAATCATCTGCTTCTGGGCAAGATCATGGCGTCCGGCGATGTGATCATCGATATGATCATACCGTTTCGTCCAGGCCTCAGCGCCGCCTTTGCTGTCGTTTTTGATGATTTTCTCGCAAAAGCCGCACCAGAAGTTGGCTTCACAATTCCGGCCCACACGACATTCTTCAAGCTTCCTCTCAATGATTGCATTGCCAAGTTGGTGACTGTTCATTAGATGCTGTCGGAATGTCTCTCGGCGGTGGCTGACCTTGCCGCAGAGTTGTGGAATCTCGTGCGTCGCCTGGACATCACATTTCCAAACCTCTACCAGGAAGTGCTGGCTGTTCTCATGACGCTTCCAGTCATTCTTGCTGCCAAACCGTTTGGTGCAGCCTTCAAATGTACAACCATAAGGCTTGTCATGACGCTTCATGTGCTTTCTGAGGACCTGTTAGCACATGTCTCTTTGCCTTTACCCGTGATGTGGCACCTACTTTAGCTCACAACGCCGTAGAAAGCTCTTGTCGCACTTGAGACACTTGTTCTGTGCATCCTGACGTGGAGTCGTCTCAGGCGCTTTTTCACTGGCTGTTGGCGTCTGCTCCTTCTTGTAGCCAGTCCCTTCCAGAAGACCACTGCTTTGTAGTGCTTCTAGTACCTCTTTGATTTTATTTTGTTCTCTCAAGTTGCTCAGCTTGAATACAAGGGAAGATACATCTTCCGACAGCGGTACACCAATGTCTGAAGAGTCTGGAGATCCCTTCACCTCGTCTGTCAAGGTAGGAGTTGCTGCGCCCTCGGCATCCGACTCGGTCGAATCTGGAATAGATCCATACAGAGTATGCTCGGGTATTGGGGCATCTTCATCTGCACCCACCAATACCATTGAAACAGAAGAGGTGTGCTGGTTCAGGTCCGCCGGTGTGATGTATTGTTGCTCGCTGCGGTCATCACTCGGGGCATATCCAGAACTATCTGTACTAAGGGTTGTTGGTGAGGCCGCAGACTCTAGCCGTCCATCCGTAGTGTGCATATCAACGTTCTCATCATCATGAGACTCGATATTAATCAATTGCTCGTCGTCCCCTGTATCCTGACCTAGGTGGCTGTTGGGTGTCTGATGCATAGGCATCAATCCTTTCGGTACATCAAGGCTTGCTGTAGTGTTGCCCGAATGGTTCCAATATGGGATCTGATTAGGTAACCCCTGACCCTCGTGAACATTAAAGTCCGCCACGGAGGGTTGCATCCCAGCAATGTCAGGCAAAACGTCTTGAGGAGCGATGGTACTTGGTATGGTCAGCGCTGTGATAAATGCATGAGGCTCGAAAGGTGAAACTCACCGAAAGACGAATTTTTCCAACTCCTCGTCGGTGATTTCTTGTTGATGGACTCGCTTGATATGAGCACGGAAGTTGTCGGCGCGTGGCCAGATCTTTTCCTTATGCCTACAAGCCTGGAGTGTACAGCGATAGCGATTGCCGGCTGTTTGTTCTTGTGGATGCACACTCCTTATGTGGCGGTCCAGATCATTTGACGTGCTGAATCCTTCTGTCCGAGAACATCCCGATACCTGGCACATGTGCGGTTTGGTATGTCTCTGCCGATGCTTCCTGAGATCAATGTCAGCTCACAGATGTCGAAAGTATGAAATCTTCTACCACACGCACTTGAGCTCCGAGTTGGTCTTGAGGATTTTGTGACACGTCTCGCAGATCAACTCCCTCGCATTTGGCTGAGGGTGTCGTTGGAGAGATGGCGATGGCGACTGATTCGGGACCTGGCCCCAACACCGCAGATCCATATTCATGTGGAATTGACCTGCCAGGCTCTGAGTCTCATGATTTTCAAGTGGCTCATCGTAGCAAATCGAAGCAGTCGCAATGCTTTGTTTTGCTCCATGGCTTGCATAGCCAGAGTCTGATGCTATCGGGAGAGTATCACATTCCGATGGCGAGATGCCATCGCGGTAGCCGCCTGCGAATGTAAATCCATGGTCTGTAATGTTCATGCCATTCTGGTTTCCAGGAAGGGCGATGTCCTTGGGATGCCATGGGTCATCATTAGAGTTTGTGTACCATTGTTCCACGGCGTGGGGGCCTCCGGGTATGTGGCCGCCATAGGGGATTTGCATTGAAGGGTCGCGCACAAAAGGCGCGGACAACAAGTCTGGGTTCAGTTCCATTCCGATCAGATCATGATGCATCGAAGAAAACATGTCGACAGTCCCAGAAGCCGACTCAACGGTACGCCGGCGACCGTTGCTGGTCAAAATTTGCAATGGATTAGTCATGTTGGGATGAAGCAACGGGCCTGGCTCTACTGAGTGCACCCGTTGTCTGGCGGTTTAGGTGCGCACTCTGGGATTTGTGTTGACTCTTGCAGCAGCCTTGCTAGGCCATGCACCAAATCTTAGCGGGCGTGTTATCCCGAAAAGGCGATTCACATTTATCTCTCATTCAACGGCGTTTCGATCCTTGGGGCTCATCCGGGTTTGGAGCGAGAGATGGGGTGCTGAGCAAGTCAACTTGGTGATCTCATGAGACAATGGGGCAGTTTCCAATCATGAGATTTAGGCAGAAATCAAGGACAGACAGATCAGCTGTCTTGGTTGTCTTTGGTGGCTCGAGTTTTACTGGGCTTCCATGGTGATTGGAGGAAGGCGGTGCGCTACTGGGGAACGAGGGGCAGGGTAGGTGCAGTACGTACGGAGTAGACAGAGACTCGAGCGCCAACAAAAATGATTGTCTGCTTCTGCCTGCGCAGTATGTCCAAGGATCAAAGGATATAATTACTGATGATATGCGAAGGCGCAGAAAATTGCGTTATCGTTGTCGCCGACGAGGAATTGGAAGCGAACCGATGCGAGGGTTGGCAGCGAGTTTGTTGGGATGAAAGGAGAACCAGCCCGGTGCAGGTGTTTCCTGGTGTTGGGAGTATGTAGCACTGTAGGACTGTCGTATCGCAGATACCACGCAATGCGATGCTGACAGCTCAAAGTTTGCTGGATTGAGGGGTGGTAAAGGATAATTTTTTTTTTCTCCCCCTTCACCCTGCTGACACAGCAATGTGGACGTCGGTCAATGGACTTGAGCCGCAGCCTCAAGTCAATCACATCAGTTGCATCACAACAGATTACGTAGACAAATGGTGCTTCCAATGTCTCAATATGAAAACAGACAGTCTCCAAAAACCAACGGCACGATGGTGGCAGTGACGGCAAAAACCGGCTGTTGAGGCTCTTTTCAGAAACGGTTGGATGCGACACCAATACTCGTCATGACAGCAAGATTCAAGTGTGAGGTGGGTAGCTGGATGCGGTGAGTGCCTATCTGCTGTATGCAAGTATGGCACTACGCATGGAGTCACAAGGCAACTGTGACAAACGAAGAAAGTGAGGCGACCACATTTGTGCTTTGCCCAGTCCAGTCCAGTCATGTTTCTGTCCAGTAACGACCCGAGACAGTGCATATACATTTCCACAGCAGGCATTGCATATCTCTGTCCCTCTCCCTCTCTTTTTCCCCTCTCTCTCTCTCTCTCTCTCTCCTCCTCC